AACTTCTTTTGGGGAGAAGCGTAATAAGAATTGTTAAGTCTTGCCTGCCCCAATAGAGATATTATATTGTCTATAAATCTTCTATTCGATTTCTATGGGTTCAGATTTCTCAGATACATCATCCAATGGATCCTCTTCCTTGGGTTCATCATCTTCTTAATCAGGATGGACAGAATGCATAATGGTGTCGTCATCATCTTATGGTTTGAATTCTAAGCAATCAATTCCATCAGGGGCTTTTGGGTTCTCACTTTGAGATCTCAAATCCAAAACCAATTCAACATTGACAGGAGATGAATTCACTAGAGTCAAAGGCATTTGATTGCTAGTGCCTAGGGTGGTGACATTTCCAAATTCGAAAAGATCTTACTCAATTTCAATTTTGGGTATGATTGCTTATGCTGAGAAAGGAATAACCAATAGTTTTCCTCCTCTGATTTGAATCACAATTTCTCCTTTGATTGTTTTCTCCTCTTTGCTAAAGAACTTCACTTGAATATCTTTAGTTTCCTCCTAATGAATTTTACCTTTCAGAGGCATGACTTCAATGCAATCTATTTATGATTTTATTGCAAATACTGCTGTTGATTTAGAATGATTCTTTACACTTATCATTTTAGTTTCAGCCTTACATACAACTACATCTTTGAAATCTAATGAGCCTTACTTGACTGAGCACTTAGGTTCAGTCACAATCCCAGTACATTTGACTGTTTGATCTAATCCTTCTTCAGTTTTTAGAGTAATTTTCTCTTCTTCTGTCCTTGTTGTGGCAGCTGTGTATTATTATTATTGACCGGATGCTTAGACTGCATATTATTATTGATTATTTGAAAGAGATGGACGATAGATTATTTAACATTCTACATTCTTCCCGAATGGCACAACACCCTCTTCTGGTTTTACTGAAAAGGTCTTTTTTTCTGCTGTTATCCATTTAAATTTAGCATCAGCATTTCCATTATTAGTCAATCTCAAAATTTCCATTGTTTCCATCTCTGCATTGTCTTCTGTAAAGTTTAATTTAACTTATTGTCTACTCATTTCTAAGAACACTTTTTCAATTGTAGCTGATACTTGTATCTCAAATACATGTTTCTCATTGATGATATATTTCAAATGTGATTTTAACTATCCTAATTGCCTAGAATTCACACATACATCAAATCCAGCTGTTTGTCCACTGGGAATTATTTGTGGTTTCATGTATGATTAAGCAAACTCTTCTCTGTCTGAATACAATCGGACTGAGATGGAACTCCTTAATTCATTTCTAACATAAAAATATTTTGTAGCCAAGGATTTTACGAAGATATTCCCAAAATCGATCTTGACAGGACCAGCACTTATTTTAAGTAACTATTCTGCTGTCAATTCACATGATGCGTCCCTTATTTCACTGTGAGTCTTTGGTTCATTAGGGAATTTCTTCTTTGGAACAGTCTTTGGATCAGGGTCAAAGGGTTTGATTACATTACCCTCTTTGACTCTGGTTATTGGTTCATAATGATATATGGGTTTAGTAACAAATAAAGATTCATTGGCATCTGGAAGATTCAAATCCTATTCGTAACCATCCTCATGCATTCCAACTACAAATTCATAATCAATAGGGGGTTCTGGTTTCTCTTCTTCTGTTGTTTGTTGCTTCTTCTTCTACAAAAGCAATGATTCGTTCTTAATTTAGTTTAACTTCTCTGTCATCTGAGTGAATTTCAATTTAATCAACTATTCTTTCTCCTTTTTGATCCTCAATGCTCTGTGACCTTTCAAATACTCATTGTATTTCTCCTTATTTGTTAATTTCAATTCATCAATCCTATCCAAACTTTGTTGAGCCACAGAAACCATGGAACGTGACAAATCAAATGTCTATACCTTATCGGTCTAAGTCTTTACAATCCCTGAAATAGACCTATCTTTGGTTATTTCAAAATCTTAAGGTTAAGATTCAGGTCCTCTTCTGTATTGTGGTTTTGGTAGTATTTATTAGCATATGCCTGTCACTTTAATAGGTATTTTAAAGACTCCGCCCAATAATTCTGCATTCAAAATATTAGCAAATTACCCAATATGTTTAGGTCTAAAACTAATCCAAAAATTAACTTTCTCAGATTAGCTCAAGGTTTTGATAGGGGGAGTCACACTGAAGTAGGGAATGGTTGGAAAAGCAATGAGTAATGGCAATTCCTATGATAGATTTTGGATTTCAAAGTTCATGTCCTTTTGTTAATTTGCTCCACATTGCCCAAATGTTAAGGATTGGATGGGTGGGAATTTGATTTGAGGACAAATACAATGCACAGACAAATGATTCATCAACGGTTCATCATCATTAAAGTCGAAGATGGCTGAGTATTGGAATTCATCTGCGTCCATCCTCTTATCCTGATTCATTGCATATTGTCTTGTTCGTATCTACAATTCTTCACTTACTTTGGGCCTGCATTTAAATAGAATGGTTGCCTATGAGTATGATTCTATAGTTCCTTCTTCAGGCCAACATTCCATAATTCTCTCAGTTTGTTCCAATCCTAATTCCGCTGGGGTTTATAACTTCAGAGTTTCTTCTTTTTAATGCAAACCCTTCTTCAATTTGACTTTGAATTTCTGCTGATTGGGAGTGTTATTGACCAAGTAAGCCTCGATGTTTTTTTATTGTCCATAATAAATTGTGCCAAAATCAAAATGATTGTTCTGCGTTCCATTTGAATCTATCAGGAATCGTGTAAACTCTATTGAAGTAGCGTTGATATCAATAGGATTCTTGAGACTCAATCCGCTGAGCTGACCATCAGCAATCACTTCGACGATGCCTCGAAAGATTCCTGCATCTTTTGGTTTGTAGAAGACTGAAACTGAGAATTCTTAACCTGGAGCCAGTGTGAATGAGTTGGGATCTATTCGAAAGTCAGGTATCTTCTCTAGTTTTAACTCAACCTTTCCAGGTGCCTTGCCTTCATTCTTAAAATGGATTTTATCCATCTTCTCCTTGCCCACTCTTACGAAGCCCAAGTTGATGAAGGGTTCATAGATTATACTTAATTAGTAATATTCCATACGCTGCTTGTGCTGGAAATGCATGTAATGGAATTTCGACACTGTACTGTCCATCAGTTACGATCTTCAGACTGTCAGAATAACTCTCTAAATTGGCTGTCTCGAATGTCACAATGAGCTTCATTGACAGACCTGCTGCTATAGCCCTTAAATGTAGAAATCCTGAATTACCCTTGCATTTCATAATCACATCTGAAATTTGAATGCGGTTGAAAAACCCTGATCCTACGAGCCGTTTGAGTCAAGTTTCGAACAAATACAGTAATTTCATAGGTCTGGTTGATTTGAATGTCTTTGAAGATGATCTCATTGGGAACAACCTCAATAGGAGCACCTGATGAGAGTTGTTTGATTTTTGAGGAATTCAGGCTGCTTTTATTCATTTATAAAATAATAATTTATTTCAATAATAGATGAAGCATCTCAAACCTATTAAGAATGTATTTCTTTAGCAAGTCTACAACCAGGGACGCATAAACCTAGTTGTATTGCATGGTTTATTGGGTTCAAAAACTAATTTTAAAAATATAGTTAATAATGTTCACATCAGCAAACATTTGTCATCAGCATACTTGCTTGACGTAAGGTATTGACATATGATTATCCTTAGGAATCATGGAGATTCTCCATAAACATAAACTATGAGTTACGAAGAGATGGGCAATGATTTGAAGCACTTCATTCATGATCATAATCTATAAAATGTTGTGTTACTGGGACACTCCATGGGAGGCAGGATCATCTTTTCCTATTTACAAAATTACACTACTGATTTACCAATTGGGAATATCATAGTGGATGTTGGACCTGGTGAAGGGGAGGGCAAAAATTATGTCAAACAATTGCAAGATATTGATCTGAAAAACAAGACTTTGAAAGAGATTGAGAATAGCATATTTTAGGTGGTGTAGAGCAAGGAAAAAACCAATCTAATCATGACCAATCTCACTTATGCGAATAAGGAAGAGTTTCACTCTGATTATAAGTGGAAGATAAATATAGATGTCATTTCCAAATTTATGAGCAACGGCCATTCAGAATTCTCTAGTAATTATTAGGGGTCAGCCTTTGTGATTTGTGGAGATAAGTCTGATTATGTGAGTATCCATGATAAAGAAAAATTCTTAAAAGTGTTTCCAAAAATAGATATCAATAGAGATATTCATTTTATTCAAGGAGCAGGACATTGGGTTTAGGTTGAAAAGCCAAGGGAGTTCATTAAATTAACAAGTTAATATTTATCATCATTTTGAACAATTATTAGTATATTTATGTAAATATCTTTTTATTATTTTTATTTATCATCAAACAATTAATGTATTTGTAATTATAAATAATTAATCGCACTCCTTTAATACACTACAATCCTTTTACTTATTTTCAGCCTCTTAATTTCATCTTTTTTCATTTCAATAAATTACCAACTTATAATTACATTTGGGATCATTACACATTAAGAATATATTTAGTATAAAAAGATCTTTAATATACTATTAAAGTGAATTCCAATGATATAAAATATTACAATACACAAAGTGTTAATTTGTAAATTGCTGATTTATAATTGTAAAGCGAGTGATATTTGAACTAAAATATATAATTTTATCATAAATTATTTATATGATGCATAAATGTTATTTTATAAATAATCAAATCTGTAAATCATTACCAGTAGTATAACATTTAAATTAAAGATAAAGTCAATAGACGTAATAATTAACACAAAAACAATCGATTTTTATTTTAAAGTAATTGATTTCTTTGGTCTTAATCATCTTGGGAAGTAGAATTAAGGAAAAATGGGATTGACTGGAAATCCTTATCACCTTCTCAAAAAACACTTAAATAGAAAGAATGATGAATAATTCATTAAAATGTATTAACTCAAGAATTAACTGGTATAAAGAAGGTATTGAATATTATTATATATATAAATAATTATGGGAGATATTTCCGATTAATTGAATCAGTTGATGCAAAAGTATGAGCAGCTCGAAGTTTAGTGGAAAAAGGAGTGCGATAGTGTTTAGAAGAAGGATGAACTTATAAATCAATTGAAATTAGAGTTAAATGAGAAAAATAAATTAATTGTCACTTTAACATCTGAAGTAGATTCCTTGAATGTCTACATTAATGATTCCATTTCTGAAAAAAAATAATAAACGAGCAAACTTAATGAATTAGATAAAAAGTATTAGAAGGTGAGAGATGAATATAATAAATTAAAACAAAAATTGATTGATCGTGATCTTCACATCCAAGAATAAGAAAAAGAATATAATCTGTTAAATTCTTAAGTTTAAAGTGAGACTGAGCGTCTAATCAAAACATATGAAAACAAAATTTAACAATTAGAAGAAGAAAAAGATTAGTTGAAATAGGTGAATGAATAGAAGGAATAAAAAATATCATCTGACAGCTATAAAAAATGGTTCATTTTATCTGTGGTTTTTTATCCATTGATATTTGGATTGACCAAATTCTTGAGCAAAAAAAAATGATAAATACACATATTATATATAAGTATTTGTATATATATTGTCCAGCATCATTCTTAAGAGTATTATATTCATTCTTATTGTTTTCAATGATTTCGATACTTACACTTAGGCTATACCATATAGATGAATTGTGATTTAAACTATTAAATATAATATTTTGGTATAAACAAAATTCATTAAAATATGATAATAAAAATTTGGAAAGATATCGAAAAGCTGGTGTTGAATATTTCACTTAATTTTTTTATAGAAGAGCTCTAGAATATTAATAATCGTCGTCTCCTCCTTGCTTATCAAACCTTATTCGATTCTTAAGATTTAAAATATATTCATTTACAATTATTCAACTCTCAATATCTCTCCAAAACTTCTTAGTTTGCTATGGTGAGAGTAATGGAGGCAAAATCATATGTGATGGAATAAATAAACATTTACCCAACTTCCCAAGATACTTTGTTAACGATTATTGAATCAATTATTTATTTGGCAGAGCAAGAACTCGTCAGGATTCATGATCAAGTCACTCAAGTCAATAAGAAAGACAGGATATATGAAAATCTCTTAAGGAAATCTTTGGATAGACCTATTGAAATAACAGAAAACAAGAGCAAAAGCGTAGAAAGACCATATGATTACAGTTACAATCGGATGATGTATAGGAAGTTAAAGTAGGAGGCGTTTAAAATGCTATCAACTAGTGTAGAGATCGAAGATGCCAATGCATTGGTGGATAATTATAAATTAATAAAATCAACAGACACAACCAATGTTCCATTGAGACAAATGCCAAAATCAAGTTTGCATAATTATTATGTAACTTAGATATTGAAGCCTATTGGCATAAATGCTTACAAGCTCTCAATTATGGATATATAAAAAAATAAAGAAATCTATTTTGACACCTTCAAAAATGTACAGCATTTATTTAGTTTTTTTAGCAAAATGATTGTTTGAAAATTGTCAATGAAATAAAGTCTGAATACAAAATTCAAGATAAGTCAATTTAGATAAACAAAACTGAAACTAAAATATTTGTAAATTCTCTAAAAATATCAACTCCAAAATTAGGTGAGCATTTGAAATCGATGTAAAAAATATCACCTAAAAAATTGAATTTCTGATTTTAATTATTTTATTAATGAAAACTCCAGAATTACCATACGCATTCTTCACGGAAGAGCAAAAACAATATTTAGATATACTCGTTAAATTTTCAGGCCGAACCTAACGCACGCGATTAGTTTCAAGCCAAGCCATACCAAGCAAAAAATATGTACCAAAGGCATATTATTTAGCAATTCCTCAAAAATAATTTCATTCTGATGACAGCTGATGAGCAATACGATTTTAATTAAGCAGATAAAGTGCTATCAGAATAGACTACTATTGGCGCATTACTAGGGTTTGGCATTTCAGCGATAACGATGCTTTACTTCATTAATTCTAGACCATTACACAAGAAACTTTATGGAGAAATGTTCACAAGTGGAATCTTAGGTCTGATGTTTGGCTTGTCATTCTATCAATACCATAATTATCAATACAGGGAGAAAATTCACTAGATGTATGTTAAATTATTGGCCACAAAAAAATTAGGGAGAATCTGAGAACATATTTAATTAAACAGACTTTTTTTTAATTTAACAAAATTTAAATTGAATGCAACGAGTGCCACAATATATTCAACGACCAATAATGTAAGATTCTTATCGACAAACCATCAAACAGACTCCAGATAATGAGAATTCCTCTAATCAATATCAAAAGCGAAAACCCATCTAAGCATACCCTTAATATCAATCTACTCAAGTCCTTCAAAAACCTGAGATGCGTCCCAGTTCATCATAACCTAGACAACCTTCCATTTAAGCAGTTCCAAGACCATCTTCAGCCTCTAATGATAAAAGGGCATTTTCGAACTAGAAACAACCATGCAGATCTTCATTCAAAGAATTGAAAAGTTCAACGTACATCTAACCATAATAAGCAACCCCATAATCTAGATATTTTTCATTAAAGTAGAATCCAGATACTAATATGATTAAATGCTTGTCAGATCAATAATTACAAAGCAAACAAATTGATCAATAAGAATATCAAAAATTACATGAGAAATTGCAATTCTTGGAGAATAAAATCAATAAAATTAAATCCAATATAGAAATCAGCAATTCTCAATTGTAAAAATAATCAGAAAGATCAAAACAAAAGCCACTTGGATTAGCAGCTAAATTTTTTCAAAAAAAAGATCAAGAAAATAACGAACCAAAAGGATCAACAACTCCTAAAGAGTTAACTAAATGTTCAACATCATTAAATTTACAACTAAATAAAGCATTAAAACAAAGTCAAGTAATTAAAGAGTAGAATCAACCAAGCATCAATTTAGATTAATTTGTTACATAAGTAAAATAACCTAAAAAACCGATCCAATAATAATCATCAATAAATAGACATCAATCCTTAGAGATTAATTAATCATTTAACTAAGTAGCAAAACCAACTTTGAATGACAAATCCTATTCATCTCAAAAACCTACCAAAGACGATCATGTATTCATATACTGTATCATAGTTCCTATATTACATATCTAGTGTAGCAAGATCAATTTTTATATAGTAAACAAATAAAGCTGATGAAGTTGTTAGAGACCATATAGTATAAACTATCTAAGTAAATTGATCATTTATCAAATAGGGCTTAGAATATGCTAGAAATCTAACACTAGAATTTCAAGACGATAAAATTGTTAATTTACCCAAAACTAATCAATTAAAAACACTAGTATTTGATTTAGATGAAACATTGATTCATTGCAATGAAAGTACTTCTGTTCCTGGTGATATTGTTCTACCAATAACGTTTCCCACTGGAGAGACTATCTAAGCTTCCATCAACATTAGACCTTATGCTTAACAGATCCTTTAAACCTTGTCTCGACACTTTGAAATCATTGTTTTTACAGCATCGCATTCTTGTTATGCTAATATTGTGTTGGATTATTTGGATCCTAAGAAACAATGGATTAGTCATAGATTATTTCGAGAACATTGTTAGTAAACTGAAGAAGGTGCTTATGTGAAAGATTTAAGGTTAAAATTTCAAAATTAATTTCTAGAGTTCTTGGAAATAGAAAGATGTCCAATATTTTATTAATTGACAATGCAAGCTATTCGTTTGGATAATAAATTGATAATGGTGTTCCAATTATTGCTTTTTATGATAACAAATAAGATTAGGTAATTCTAAAACTTAATATCTTAGGAATTGTTATATCTACAAAATTACTTAATGAAATTCAGAACAGTGAATGATGTTAGAGAATTGAATTCCTAGTTATTAAAAGTGAGTTCGTTCACCAACTATTAAGATCCATCACAATTATTATAAGAACTATTTCCATAATATATCCCAAAATGAGTAGTTACTGAATACTTTCATTTTTTAATTTAATTTAAATATAAACATTTTAATTACAACAATCAATTGTATTAGAATGAAAATATTATAACAATTAAGTTTATCAAAGAATTAAAAAAAATTTCTTTTATAAAATAACTAAAAGATTAAGTTAAAATATCAACCAGCACCAAAGTCTTTCATCCAATTCTCATATTCTTTTAGATATTCTGATGAAACAGATTTATTAACTATCTTTAATGCTTCATCAAAATCTTTCTATTCTAAAGGTACATCAACAACATCTAAAAGATTAGTAATGAAATATACTTGAAATGTCTTCATATTTCTATTATAATTTTTAGAATCCTCCCTCTTCCTTTAACTTTCTTCTCATTGGCAACATAGATGCTTCCCTACAAACATTCGCAATATCTGCTCCTGAATAACCATCGCTTCTATTTACCAATTGATCCCAATTGATATTTGGTGACAACTTTAAAGAGTGTAAATTGATTTCAAAAAGAACTTTTCTACCTGTAACACTTGGCAATGGGATATCTCTTGTAAATGTATTATTTTACATATTCTTCTTTCAAGTCTTCTAATTAGAGCTTCGTCTAAATCCCATGGACGATTGGTAGCTGCTAAACACATTACTGTTTTTCTTTCTTCTCCAGTGCTAGCACCAGAAACTCCATCCATTTCTATTAACATCTATGTCTTAACTCTATGATTGTAAGATAATTTTACTTTCTAGCAGAATCACCATCATTATCTCCTCTCTTAGAACCCAAAGCATCAATTTCATCAAAAAAGATAGTGCTAGGTGCATAAAATTTAGCCATTTCAAACAAGAGTCTAACTAATTTCTCAGATTCTCCTTTCCATTTGCTTGCTAAAGTGCATGCAGAAACATTGAAGAATGTCGTTTTACCAGTTGTTGCAACAGCTTTGGCAAGCATTGTTTTTCCAGTCCCTGGAGGACCAAATAACAATACTCCTTTGCAAGGTCTTCTAATACCTGTAAATATTTGAGGCATAAATATTGGCAGTAAGACAGCTTCTTATAGAGTATCCTTAGCCAATTCTAATTCTGCTATTTATTCAAATGAAACATTTGGTGTTAGATCAAGCACCTCCCTTTCAATCATTTATATTAAATCACTATCTGGACCTCTTCCATCTGGATAAACATGATCATGAAATGTTTTTCTTTGACCTTCTACAGGTTTCTTATCACCAGCAGCATTGTTTTTCTTTTGCTTATCATATTCTCTCCTCTAATTACCCTTTGCCTATGGCTATGGTTGTGCCTATGGTTTAAAAATATTGTTTGATTTAGGATCTTTTTAAGATTGCTTTGGTTTATCTGGCTTTTTAGAGGGGGGATCCCAAACATCAGGATCTTTTGGAGGAGGATTATTAGTAGGACGTCTATTATAGTTATTATTGCTGTTGTTATTATTGAAGTAACTGCTAGGATTATGGTTTAAGTTATTGCCATTATTACCATTATTATTAGCTCTCTTGCCATCATTACCTCCTCTTAGGCCACCAAAGAAAATTTCATCTGGATCTTATGCTTTCTACTTTTGAGGTGATATTTAAAATTAATTGGCTTTCTAAGATGGAGATGAATTCTCTCTTTGAAGATGCTAGAAAGGTATTTAATTGAATGGCAATCGAGGCTGTCTGTTGTCCTCATGAAATTCAGGACATTCTTACACTACTTTGGGTTTCTAAGGAGATGGTTATTACTGACCTACCTTATGAATTCAAAAATTACTATTAGAATTGCCTTTTGTAAAGTCAAATAATGTTTGAGTTAGATCTAATTCTTCTTTTATATCATTCACTAGTTTGCTCCATTCTTGAAATAGTAACTAATCTCCTTAATTTTTTCCCAATTATTGAGTTAATGTCTCAATTTAGGATTTGAATTTCATGATTGCTTCTGGATATTTTCCCAAATATGCTAATTCTCTAATTTCTAAAATTACAGCGTACCTTGCTTCTTTAATTATTCCCTTCGCGGATTCTAATACCGAAGACATTTATTATAATATTAATAATGCTGTTATTATATTAAATTAGCATTTAATGAAAAACAATAAATTCTCATTATATAACTCTGATAAATCCCAGTTTAAGGCTGCCATTTTTTAATCTTTAAAAAATGTACTCCCTTTCAAACTCGATTTGATGTTGTTTAATAATACCATTTGGAAACTTTGCTTAAGTTAATCAACAATTATATTTCATTTATTTTATAATTTAATATATTGTTCTAATAAAATATTCATTTAATACTCCTAATTATATAATTGATAGATTATGAATGATTTATTTTTAGATTATTAATTGTTGAGTGTTCTTCTGTAAATTATAATATTGAAGGCAGTCAATTGAAATCTTAAAGGTTTGAATTGATTAAAAATTAATGACTTTAAATATAATACTTAAAAGCCTTTTTCTAAAATTGATTACAACATTTGAATGAAATCCATTTATTATTTTAATTATGTAATCCCCATTTCCAAGAAAGAAATATCCTTCTAAGACAATTGTTGTTAGAAAGAATAATCAGTTGTTCTCATCAGCTGAGCAAGGGGACAAAAAACTCAAATCCTCCAGAGCGAGCAAAGGAACAAGAAGAAAAGGAAATGTACTTGACAACTAAGAACTTTTTCAAGTTAATAAAGGGACATAAAAGGCGTAGCATAGTTCTGAGTCTGAGTCAGATAGCGATGATTCGTTTTAGAAATCTGTATTATCAGAGAGCTCAAAATCAAGTATAAGATCAGCAAAAACAATAAAATCAAAGTCTTCAAAGAGACAGAAAAACAACATAAAGGATTTGACTCAAAACCTCATATAGTAATACCAAACAATTCTAAGAAAAGCTGATAGCCAAATGACGTAGCAGAAACAGTATATTAATTCATAACAATAGGGAAGAAATATAGTAGAAGATGCTTGATAGAATAGCAGAATAAGCAACTGCGCAGATGTATGTACAGCCTTATAAGGACAACAGCGAATATGAAAGTGGTGAAGAAAATTCTGATCATCTATCATAATTATTTTCAGACTTGGCCAAAGAAGATGACAAGTCTGATAAGTCGGATAATTCAATAGTAAGCCTTGAGGTGATTTAAGCACAAAATCTGATAACCAATAGATCTGTAAAAGACATTTAGTCTCCTGGAACGCCTGAGTCTTCAATTTAGATTCCGAATGTAGATTTAAGTGTAAGTATGTAATTTACACTAGACAACAAATGTTAAGCATAGAATGTCAAATTTTCATAGTGCTTTTGCTGGTTTCAGTCATTTGTCTGTTACAGAATAATCTCAATCGTCTAATGAAGTATGAAAATATTGGATATTCTAGATTGAAATTGATCAATTAAGTAAGCTCTAAAACCACTATGGGAAGATCTATTAAAAATTGAGTAGTGTTAATGGAGCATTGCACATAAAATTTAGGAAAATGAGAAGTTTCTCAAAGTATAAATTACTTTATGTAAAAATAACAATTAATTGAGAGTTCTTATTAAGATGGCTACCCTGTATTAAAGCTAAGAAGGATCTTCGCTTATTGTTATTTGACAACAAAAAGATTATCCAAGATAATAGTCAGATCTAGAATATATTAATACCTTTTGACCTTTGTAACCTTAGGAAATATCATTCTATTTATCTATGAGCATTTAAAACATGACAATTAGAACTTATTTGCAATTAATTTTGGTAAAGAGAGCACTTATAGATTTAGTTTTCTTGTGGTTGTATGTAGTTGACATCGTCCTACAGCTATTTGCTTTTGGGTTATTTAGATCGAGATTTATATTTCTAGGAAGAGTGATTGATGCATTTCTAATAGTGATGTTTTATTATCATTTAGCTTACACAGAAACTGTTGTAAACATTACACCTTTAAGAATGATGAGATTACTCAAACAATTAGGAGCAATATTTGAGGGTATTTGAGATATATGACTTAGGATTGTAAAGGATGATTGAGGCAATGATAGAATCTTTAAAGTTCATTTTTGAATCTACTGCTGTTGTTATATTGTTTGTCTTATTTTTTGCATCCTTAGGCAACTCTTTATTTATGGGTTTGTTCAACGAGCGTTGTTTGCCATCGGAAGAGGATGAATGGATTTAATGTATCTAAGGAGAATGTCCAGATGGTAAGACTTGTGTGATGACAAATAAGGCCTTTAACATTCCTACTAATTTTAACAACATCATATATTCATTTGGTTTGATGTTAAAGACTGTTACTATGGATGATTGGAGTTGGGTTATGTATTACACAATAAGGGCCTTTCATCCAATAGTGTGGATATATTATGTCTTGATTATATTCGTTGGTGGTTTTTTTGGATTTAATTTGCCTATAGCAGTCTTTAAGACTCATTTTAGTGAAATGTAATTCCGATCAATCTCGAATTAGGATGAGAAAGTTGAGTCCATAAGCAAGCTACAGTTAAAAAAGGTAGGATTTATTCATTATGTGAATCAAATGAATAATTATCTATTTTCTAAATAGCAAAGCATCCTAATTGAAGAACCCAGAATAAATAAGCTTAATTAAGCTTGGGACATATAGCCAAAATTATTATTAGGAAGCATGATTAATCAATCCAAAATAGGTGAAAGCAATTTTACCCAATTTAGGAATACTTTTAAAAACTTTTCATTGAAACATATTCTACTTCCAAAATTAAATGATATTGCTAAGTTTTATAATAATTTAGACATCAAACTGTTTACTTAGGATCTTAAATAACAAATGATAATTAAACAATTTAGTAAATCATCGTTTTTGTTGGAGAAATATATTGATTACAATTTTCATTATGTACCCACTAGTTAAATTGATATTCTGAGGTAATCGATGTTTTTAGTGTTAAAAAAAACAGAAAGCAAACCATTTAGTGGATAAAAGAAAAAGAAATTCTATTATAAACCAATCTAGATTAAAAATAAAATTATATAGAATCCTAGAACCAGCAGATCAGAGCTAACTGTAGCAAGTTCATACATATCTGAAAACAAGAAAATGATGTTACCAATCAAGTAGTCTTAAAGGATTAAAAAGGATAACATTAATACATCTGATTTACATGGATCAAAATCTAGCTCAAGTTCAAACAATCTAACTCAAGGTTATTAAATGATGTAGGAAACTGAAAGAAGGAAGTTTCCTTATTTTATGAAGTAGCTCTCAATTCCTTTGGAGAGTGAGAAAAAGGATTTCACTCAATATCACAATGGGGAATTGAAGATTCTTGTAAATGGTGTTTATTTGGATTATTTGAGTGTTCAAAAGAGAATCAAAGCTAACATTCATTAAAAAAATTAGGAAGGTCCGAGAGGATAGGAAGAGTATACTTAATTGAGGAGAAAAGAATTTGAAAAGAAAATAATCAAGGCAAAGCATTGGTCAGGAAATAATGTTTTGATCAGTTCTCAAGCATTAATCCAGAAATTTGATGATATCTTTAAAAGCCTCAATCAAAAGGACATTGAAATCTGGCCTAAGTCATTAAGTGGAATTATACTTAATTTAAGAAAGTATGCTTTTCAAATTATTCACTTCAAATTAACCAAGTTTTTGTTTGATTTGACTATTTTAATAAATACTTTGTTTTTAGCACTCCAAGGCACCATAAATAGAAAAATAATTGATAATGAGGAGGATATAGCAACGGTGGTCTTATCAACTGAAATAATATTGCAATTAATTGTGTATTAGCCAAGTAATTAAATATAAAATATTAGAAAGAATAGCTAAAAATAAACATCATGTAATTGAGCTTTTGATAGTGATACTTAGTTTAATAGAGTTTGGATTTAGTAACTATTTGAATGTGAGTGAATAGTACCTGAGATTGATGAGATCAACTAAATGTCTCTTATTCTACAGGTGCATACTTTACATTTAGATGGCTAGAATAATAGGAGCAATAGCTTCAATTACTTATAAATCTTATATTTATCTGACATTTTTAATGTTCTTTATGATCTTAACTTTTGGATTGATAGGAATGGAATTGTTTGCAAATAAGTTTGATGATTATCACAAGAAAGGATACATGTAATCTTTTGATGATCCAGCTAAGGCATTTATGACAGTTTTTAATATTATGACAAATGATGATTGGTTTGGAGTATATCGTATTGGTACTGAAGTATAGACTGAATTAGCAGTGACTTTTTCGATTGCTTTAGTGTTTACTTTAAATTATTTTATTTATGGAATTATGATGGCTATTTTGCTTGATGGATTTAGTTAATATTTGGAAAGGGAATCTTCAAATGAGGAGAATGAGTTTATGAAGGAAAAAATTAAGTAGATAAACAAGCTTAATAAATAATTAGATTCAGATCAAACAGATGATGATTCTGAGAGTGAAAGCTCGAATTCTAGTTCTTCTTCAATAAAACAATATAAAGAATTGGCCAACAATGTTATTGTTAATAGTAATAGAAATTAAAGGAGAGAAAGCACGTCTCCAGAGAATATGTTAGCATCATCAAGCAATGTTAGAGAATACCAATAAAAAAGAGACAGCTGCTTTACAGAAAAACTGTTCCATTCTCTTTAATTTCCTCCTACTAGAAACAGAAGACCTGATATTGTTAATGATTAAAAAAAGAAGATCAAGGATGACTTCAATAGGTTGAAAAATAAAACCAACATCAATATCAATCATTTAAAGGCTTAAGAATCAAAAAAGATCAAATTAATATAGGAGAACATCGAAGCAATCGAAAGACAACTTCTTAAGCAAAATCCAAAATTATACACTGGCAATGATTGTCTCTAATCCTATTATATTTTCCATAAATCCAATAATTTTAGAAAACTACTCTTCAAAGTCAGTTAGAGCGATTATACCAAGTATTCCATAGACGCCACTTTACTATTATCTATTACCTACTTAGCCATACCAAATGATATTCAATAAGACCCTTTGCTTGTTACCTTATTATTTATCTTGAACTCTATAATTTTTATAGAATTCATCATAAAATCGATTGCTTATGGAGCATTCTTAGATAAAGGATCGTATCTTAATGTAAAATTATAATTAAAAATAATAGTACACATGGAAGATTATTGATTTGGCTTACATAATAATTTATTACGTTCAATTTTTTAAAATTGGGTATTTGCCAATCTTTGAAGTTATTTAAACCTTTTTGTTTTTTAGACCTTTGAAGTTGCTCTACAGAATACGATGGGTGGCAAGAGTGAGGGCAGCATTGACTCAATCTTTGTTTGATATAATAAATGTTTTTGTAGTCCTATTGTTGGTTTGGTTGATGTTTGCAGTTTTTTCTATGATGCTCTATGCAGACAAGTTGGGTTATTGCGAGGAACAATTCAATTATGATATTGGGATTGAGGAATGCAAACAATTAGGCAAGTCGTGGATAGTCTACAAGCACAATTTCGATAATATTACAACTGCAATGCCAAGTCTTTTTGTTATATCAACATTTGATGGGTGGGGTGCAATCTTATGGGCATCTCAAAATAGTAGAGAATCATATTATGGTCCTCATCCATACTATAGTTAGGCTCCTACTTATGTATTTTATATTGCTTTTTGCACAATTGGATCCATGTTCTTTTTGCAACTATTTACTGGTGTTCTGTTCATAAATCTAAAGGCAAACTCCAAATAAATTGAGAATCAACAATTGACTTAAGCGTAGTTGGAATTCAAGAATGTAAGTGAAATAATTTTGTTCGATCATCCAGTTAGATCTTCATTGCCTAAATCGTACATTAGAAAGGTACTAGCCACTATAATCACAAGTCAATTTATGGATTTCTTTATGTTTTCTATTTTGCTTATCAATTGTGTAACTATAATGATGATATATCACTCTGCTGATTTTCATTATAATCGAATCATTAATCTAATTAATCATGCGTGCACCATCATATTTGCTATTTGGGTGTTGCTCTAAGGCATAGCTCTTGGAATCAATAGATTCAAAGACAATCCGTGGAGATTATACACAACAGTAGTTATCATTTTGGGGGTGGTTGATTTCGTGATTGATGTCATTTGGAAATGGTTCCAGTTATATGTGTATTCCACTTAGATGACTCCTTATTATCAACTACTGAGAGTCATGTACATGCTAAGGAATTTGAGAGTGATAATAATATTTCAGGGACTCTAGAAGCTCCAGAGGTTGGTGAGAGTGATCTCATTTGCTTTTCCCTTTTTGTTCAAGATCCTATTTATATTATTAATAATAATGGTAGTTTTCGCTTTTTATGGAACAATGTTGTTTGGTCATATTGACAAGGGAGAAGTGATCAATGATTTAATCAATTTTAAGAACTTTTGGTTAGCAATACTGACTTTATTTAAGTGTGTAAGTGGTGATGATTTTAGGAGTATAATGAATGATTGTATGCATCATAATCCCTATTGTCAAGAGGATCCCAAATATTGCGGATCTCCCTATTCGTAGATATATTTTATAATATTTATGTTAATATCTAATTATGTGCTATTAAATCTGTTTGTATTGGCAATGATTGAATAATTCGAGTTATTTTTTAATAATCAGGATTCAATCTTATAAACTTATGTCGAGAATATCGATACCTTTAGGAAGGCATGGTTTAAGTTTTCTTGTAACCATGGCCAATTTTTAAACATCAAGAACTTACCCTTCCTCTTGATGGAAATAAAGGAACCATTGGGTTGTAAGCCTTACGAGAATCAATGGGACGCAGCCAAATCCAGTCTGCAGTATAATTTGATAAGTGACGAGGAAAACAGAATCACTTACAACCAGTTGCTCTATGAAATCTTTTTCCATAGATACAAGAAATTAATATTGGGTTAATGTTCTGAAATTGCTGCAGAAAAGATGTAATATTATCACAAGACCATGAATTTTCGATTAGCATTTCACAGGAGAGGAAATACATTCAGGAGGAGCAACATAGGGCCATAACTGAAATTGAAAGGGAATTGCAATGCTCTTTACTTTCAATTAATTGCCTTGACTACCTTCAGAGTCTGGAAGAGTTACACTTAATAGATGATCTAAAATATACTCACTGATCAGCAATACATTTCAGATCGAACAATTAAGGACACTGAACCTATCAGACATTCGATTTCCTTAAGAAGTTTGGAGAGTCAGGAATCTCGGATTAAACTCAATGATAAACCGATTTATTAGAAAAGGAGACTGGGAAGACTAAAGCGCGTATCATTGCAGGGTTAATTGAATGACTATTTACCTGGAGATTTAATAAATGTAATTATGTAGTTAAATGATTGTAGCCGAAACCTGTTTTGAAAAGAAAGAGTAGTTTTGGAATTAATGTAGAGGAAGGCAATGTTCAGCCAGTCTATGGCACTGTAAGAGTACAAAAAATGAAATGATGTGTAATCTACTAAGCAAAAATATTATATAGAGATTCAAGTGTTTTCATCCTGCTTTTAAACATCTGTTTAAGATTTGGAATTGTTCTATAAGCTTTTTATTGTCGCATTCTTTGAGGCTTTGATTCTTTCAAATAAATTTCGGTTCGATTTAGTCCTTTTATACAGTTTCTTTTCCTTCCCCTTATTCAATTAATAGTAAATCTCTATCTTTTTCAGGATTGAATCAATGTTGTATTCAGGAAAATACACCAAAGTGGATTTACAAATATCCATCTCCAGATTGATATTAGTATGCACTATATCAAGGATCTTTTATTGCAATGAATCAATTGGTGATCCTTCTTTTACTTCTCCTTTCAATTCAATCAATCCAGAACTTGTTAATTGAGCAGTTTATCCCAAATTCCTCTTATTCTCAATGAAACTCGCTCTGGTTTTTTTTTGATCCAAGGAAATTGTTATTTGTTGAACCTATTACTAATTCTATGAGACAGGACTCTAATTAGAAGTCTATTGATTTTAATAGGATCTTCGCTTCGGTTTCTACCCCATCTGTATTGTAGTCTTCTTTACTTTTCTTCTTTGATCCCCCATCTGAACCTTCCTTTCTTGACTTTCAATTTGCCTTTTAATGTTGATTGAATCCTTAATTTCACTTTCTTCACTGTTCTTACTCACTTGCTTAATTGACTAAATATGGTTTTCAAGATCCTATTGATTCAGTTATTGAGCTAAGTTTCCCAATTTCTAGGAGACTTAAACAAATCCCAAATCATCAAGATTAGAAGTTCTTCTGGTTTTCTATTAAATTTGTTTCATAAATAGATTATTTTGTAGTTAGGTAGTAGGAATAGATAACATTTATGATTATTCTAATGCTTCTGGTATCTTTTCTTAATTCTAATTTTCTTTTTTTAAAAATTAAATAGCTCTTGTCCTTTCTTTTCCAAACTAAATCCTTTTAAAATTGATCACACTTTTTCTAATTTAATTGCCTAGATCCAAATCTCGACTTTCCCTTAAATCAGTCGTTATCCCAGCAGTCACTTTCAAGTTCTTTGACAAAATGGCATTCTGCTTTTCGCTGTTTGATATTGATTTGGAATCACAATTAATTTGGGAAGAATCATTATCTTTTGACGATATATCATCTTGAATTGGACTTAATTAAAATCCTAAGGAAATCAAATATTCGTCAGTGTACTCTCTAAAAATAACTATATTATATTACTACTCGGTCAGATTTCCAACGATTATTCGTAAAGCACATTCCTAGATTTTATTTAAAGTCTCCTTTACTCTTGATTTCTTGGGATTACGATAAGGAAACTTAATTCGATTGTTAAATTTAACTGAAGTAAACCTGTTAGCAATTTTATTAGTATTTGGTTGCAAAAAAACAAATGGACACCTATATATAGATGATAAGGGCTGTTACTAAATGAAATTATGTGTCCATTCGCAAATTTCACATACATTTCCTGACCCTTTAAAGGCAGGGTACAAGAGCAATCTATCTCTTTTCATACAAAATATTTCATATTCCCTGTCATTCTCTGCAATAACATTAATGAAATCATCGTAACTAAGTCAATTCATAAACTTTATACTCTATGTAAGCCATCTAAGTAAACTTCACCGCTCTGACTTTGTATTCATAAGGTTACTAAGTAATGAATTCTCTCTCCCCTAAAACTGCCCTATATAGTAGTACTGATAATTTACCCAGCACTAACTTTCTTTAAGAAAGTCTCTGTTGCTTCGTAATAATCGTTTTCGTCTAATAATATTGAAATTAAACAATACTTTTATGATCAGCTACATATTCTAAGGCACCTGAAAGAACAAACCAAATTTTCTTAGGCTGATCATATCGAGAGTAGAGCACTTCTTCTGGGAGCACCTTTTTCTCTTTAACAAATTAACAAAGATTATTGATAGTGATTTCATTGAAATTGTCTCTCAAGAGTCTTGATTTTTTGAGGGTATTACTATACAAATCTGTTAAGACTTCTTCTCTCAAATGTTTTGTGAGTTGGGATAAAAAGATGTCTGCATGGTTGTCCTCCTCTTGTTCTAATTTGAAATAGTACTCAAAGTATTTTTTAACCTTTTAAGATATTGTAAAATGTAAACCTTTAATGATAAGTTTAAATTCAGCCCTCGTTTCCTAATATGCTAATGAATTTATCGAAGTTTAAATTTGTAGGTAGTTTTCTTATCTGAAATAGATTTGAATATGTTTCCGATGTTAGAAATGCAATAACCAAAGATTCCACAAAGCAATAATGTTACCACAATTACAAAGACTCTTTCGAATGTGGTCACTGGAACTATGTCTCCGTATCCAACTGTCACAGTCGTTATGACACTCCAATACAAGGATATTATGTATCTATCAAACCAATGATACTCATATGCAGCAGGATCATAATGAGTCAGCCAAGTTTCATTCACTCCAAACGATTCATGTTCAGTCAAAGCCACAAAATGCCAAGCACAACCACAAAAATGACCTGTTAAAACGAGAAAAAAGATAAGTTTGAATAGATCAACAACAATTTGAATATTTTCCTAAGTACAATATAAAAGTGCAATACTTCCAAATTGAGCATTTCTTCGATACTTTCCATTAAGGGGTTCAATCTAGTCAATCTCAGGAGTAAAGTGTATCTAACAAATGGGATATTTAGATTTGATATTAAGAAAGGGATTACAACAATCAAATCCCAAAAAAAGTTCTCCTTTAGATAATGCTTCACTATAGACTTCCTATCTTCATGCATCAAGCCTTTATCATAGTAGGCCGTGTTGAAGTTTAAGATGATCTCGGCTACAAATATCCATGATGGCAATAAATCAAATAAATATTCAAATGCTCCTGAGGTGGTGATGTTGAAACTGATATTGATGGGGATATAAAAGATGTTCATTACGATAAACAATAATAGAAGGATGTCCCAGATGATTTTAAATTTACTGTCAGGTTTGATGACTATGATGTTTTTGCTGAAAAAATCTTAGCAGTATTCTAGATAGTGCAAATACTTGGTTGCCTGTTTTTAAAAATTATATTTCAAAATTAGGAACTAATATTTTATAACAAATTACTAAACTTGGTTTTTATTTAATTTAACGAGAAACCAAAATAAATTCAAAGTTACTTGACAAATCTCCGATTACAGAGAATATTTTTTGGGTTAAAAGTCTGAATTTTATAGTTTCCGTCTTCGTCTTCAATTGTTGGATGAATCTCGAAACCAATCGAATTATCATTAAACCCTTTTGTGACCAGATTTGATTTAACCTACGTTTTCATCCCATAAAAATACCCTATTGTGCCCTCCCTTCGACCGGACATCCTTTTTGGTTGAATCTCCTTTACCTTAACTTTTTTTTGGGCCTGTCTAGTTTTCATTCTCTGCAATTTGTCTTCCTGAATTTCAAATTACTAGACAAAACTTTGATATTTTTCAAGTTTTGAGTTAGACTTACCAACCTAATAGTGAAAATTATTGGTCGATTCCAGCATTAAGCCAGATTGTGCTTTTTGATTTGGAGTGTTATTTTGTTATTCGTTGGGACCGACACTCGGACTCATGTATTGTTGAATGAAGGAATGAGTTCTTTATTTGGGAGATGCATCATCACCGGAGTTATCGCTAGTGATTTTTTATTCAACATGCTTACTTAAAGCTACTTAAGGAGCTATCCTCATTTGAGCTATGGGATTTATGTCCGTCATTCAATGCTCTGAAATTCTTCCTTTCAAATATGTTCCTCTTAAGTTTCAATGCCTCGTCCATTTACTATTCGACAACATTTTCATTGTGATAAATAGGAATCATATCATCAAATCTAGGAGATAACACATTCTAGCTGTGCATGGGACTTTCAATACTGAGAAAGGCAGTCTCCTTATTTTACATTTATTATATATTTTATATACTGAGTTATACACTTAATTAAGAATCAATATTTTTGTATTCCCATTTTGGCGTTCTCTTCTCTATAAACATAAACATAGAAATCAAACGCAATTGAGTAGAATTGCTAGAATTAATATCTGGGGAAAGCGAGAAATTTCTATTTTATTTTATTTTAAAAATATTGGATGGAACAACTATTCAAATTGATAAATCTACTAATACATCCAGCATCGAACCAACTCTAACTCAAAAGTATCATTGTTCTAATCGCAGCCATTAACAAGGCTCAGGAACTTGAGATGGTCAAAAATTTTGAATTGAATTATAAAACTGAAATGAAGTATGACATGTGATATGATCCTTAGCCCCATTTAGAATATAATAGGTTACTGCTTCATTATCGATTCTGTTTCATCAACTTAGCACATACTCTTCATTTCAGCCTTCTTTATTGTGCATATCCAATTGCTTATGATGTTAACCTATTTTTACTTTGCAAAGAACAAATCAGTCACATTGCAGTACATCTTGCACTCGTTTCTGACTTATTACTAATTGCTCTTCCAAATTCCTATCATATACTCTGCATTAAGGTTTATCTATGATTAGTAGATATGCGATGACAGCGACATTTGTACTTCAGATGCCAGAGTAGGAGTGATACTAATAGGGTTGCTGAATATCATATTCACCCTGGTTTTAAATTCAATACATATATATTTTGGAAGATGCGAAAAATTAATGGAAGACAATTATATTTTAACATTGGATTATTCAATTCTTTTGAATGGCATCATGCAGATTTTAGTATTAATCGCCATAGTTCTAAAGGCAATAGAAATTCTACCAGAATTGAGATTCGCGTTGATCTTGATAAAAAGTTTGATATACGTTATAACTTCAATTAACAGAATAAATCAATTCTCATATATATTAGTCGAGACAGTTTCGGTTGCAATAAATATATCAATATCATTCAATTTTAGCATCTATGAATTATTCTTGGTTATCTCATTTTTGTTGTGCTTGTGTATATAGATTCAAAACAGGATAGTCAACTTTTATGTCACTTTGAAGGAGTAACAGAACTTGTTAACACTCTAAGTATAAATACTAAATTAACATAGATTCTAGAGGAAAGCAACGAAATGAGTGCTTCGCCAAAATCCAAAATCATCCTATCAGTCATCAAAAAGAATCACATCTGCAAAAAATGCAAGAACTCTCATCAATTGGTTGAATGCCTCTTACGCAGAATGGCCAATACAGCTGTCAACAGGAGTCAACTCTATGTTTTACTTTACTGTTCCTACGTTGCAAATCATGCTCCATTAAAGGCTTTGGTCAGATTGATTCTGATGAGTTCTAACGGCATTTACTACAGAATAGCATCTCATAATTTGTAATAGGAATTGTACAAAAGAACCTAACAATTCTAGAAAGAGGCTTAAATCAAGAATTCAATTAGAAATGCTAATGAACACTTGAATTCTCTAGATGTTCAATCAGCATTTCACACATCTCATTCTGCTGCCTTTTTATTTCCTCTCATTATTGAAACCTTAAATGGCAAAATCAATTTCTGGAATAAACTCATTAATGGATATAACGATATTGATCATTGTCTACATGAAGCACTAAAGACAACTTCTAAAATGCTAAGATGTAAAAAAGAATTTGAAAATAGATTTGATATGATCAACAACAGATTGAAAGGATCTTCTACTCAAGATATATTATCTATGAGGATCATATAAATCTATTAGACTGGAATTTATTCTAATTCATTCTAAGCCTTTTAATTAGAAAAAGCCATTGACGATCTCTTAAAGAGTGAGAGGTATAAGCAAGATGAATCTTTGGATAACATTCAACTTATATAAAGTAAGTTAATTTAATTAATTTTAAAGATAGGTTGATCATCTTGAAATCTAGTCTAGTACGCAAAAGAGGAGAACTGGTTAGCACTAACACTAAATAGTTATCTTAGTTCTTGTGTGATTCTGAAGACAATGTTAAGTTAATTAAGCACTGCAATCAGTTGATGCCTAATTTCTTGTAGAGTATCCATGATTAGTTGATGGACAACTATTTATAAAATGGCCATTCCAAATTAATGGTTCATGGTGAGTCAACATTCTTTTAAAACATATAAGGATACATAGAACCTTGTAGCATCAACTTATATAACTATTTTGATTCCAATAAGAATGACTTTTTGTTGAATATGATCTTGACTAAAGAATAATCTAATAATGAAACTATATTATTTGGTGTTGATGGAAAGGTACTTGGATTCACCAAACAATTTTATGAAGAAGCATTGAAATCCAAAACTAAAATAGAAAGTTCTCATATGTCTAAACGAACTGAAGTAACAATTTCATAAATGGAGGTCAAAGAACTTCTAGCAAGATATCCCTTAATTTAATATTACATACCATCCATCACCCAGCAAGTCGAAGAATTAAAAGCGTAAATAAACTCATCCTCAAATTACCTCATGAATAATCTAAGATCATATTGGATTGTTCCATAAAACCATAGTGACTGTCTCTTAAACTCTCAATTAATACTTTCATAATTTAAGAGAAGAAGCAACGGGTCCTAATTATAACTGAACATGAGATCATATAAATCCCAAACATATTCGAGATACTCCCAAAACTCAATGAATACGAACATAGAAATGTATGACGATTAAGAAATTCCATAAGAAATCAGAAAATAAATTCTCATTGATAATACTCCAATCATAATTCTGCATCCAGAAGTCTAAGAATCTATAAAAAAGCTAGTGGAATTCGACAACCAATGTCAATAAATGCAATTAGGCCTATTCTACAGTCTCTCATACAAAGTATTAAAATATAAAAAAGGAACTTATGCCTATTTTATGATTTCAATCAAGGAAATGAAGCATTTATAGTTATCAAATACAAATCAGCACTTCACTACAGTACCCTCTTAAACTACTCAATAATAAAGTTTATAACCTTCATAGGAATTGAACAGTAGTGATCTATTCCCGAAAAGTGAAATTGTGGAAATCAATGAATCCTAAAATGGCATGGTTTAGGAGATCAAAATGATGAATTAAATGAGATCTGTCAAGCAATACGATAATGAAGAGCCCAATAATAATAACATTTTAGATAATTCCAAATCCTTTGAGATGAGCTTCAAAGTTAAGCAATCTGATAGATCCAACATCTTTGATTCAAGCAGATAAATGATTGTTTAGTAGCCTTTGTATGTTAAACCCAGACAACTTGACAAATCATGCAACTAAGAATTCGAGTAAATGGAAAATGAAATGCATGTATATCATAATATATATATTATTTAAGGGATTAAAGGAAAGATAGCTTGAATTATTAGATGAAAATGAGTAGGAAATAGTTAATGACAAATTTGAATCCAATAGTCAAACTCTTAAGAAGAACTCCATCCTAGGTAAGCTTAGAATAGCCTAGATGCAAAAGAAAGAGAATGCTATGGATTTTGCATCGAATCCCTCTAGGACTTCAACAAATTCAACATCCAAGGAGTCTTTACTAATAGTTTAATAGCTATACTATAACACTCAATTGATTACTCCTCTTAAGAAAATAGCATTCATTTTAACATTAATATGTCTAGCTATTTTAACTGTAGATATCATAAATGTTTAAATGATATCAACTAATCTGGTATCTTAAACTGATTAGGTTGTTAATTTGAGAAAACCACAAAATATTAATTACTTTTATAGTTCTGCTATGCTGTAAGAATGGATTCAATATATGTAATCTTAAAAAATACTGACCTTAAGTCCTTTTATGAATCAAAGAAATATAGATACCTTAGCTTCAATGTATGACTATGCAAGATAGGAACTGATTAATTTGGCTATTTAAGTACCAAAGCAGGCTCAGGATTTGAATGCGAAGACAATCTTCAACTTTAAGTACATAGAAAATGGAGCTGTTAAATATTAAGAATTACCTTTGTAAGACTTTTATTAAGTCTTATATTAAACAGTAGAAACTTCATATAGAAACAATCTGGGAAAGCAATCATTCTAATACCCAGATATGTTAACAACAGGAATAGTTAGGGTGAATTTATGGTAAATGGTTGATTTACATAATCAACTAATTTAAATAATCATGTAAAATACAATTGATACTTAATCTTTAGTAAGATCATACTTCTTAACTGTTATGATGGCAGAGTTATTTTCTGTTATATTTTTTATAGGACTTTAATTAAAATACTGGCTATTCATTGATCACATCACTAAATCTATATTGTTTTTGGTATCACGTTTAAATGAAAATCAATCAACAGATTAAATTAATCGCTTATCAATGATAAAAGAATAGTTGGAAAATGAAAGTACAAATACATGGAAACTCTATAATTTTGGAGAAGTAATGTTTGAGTTTTCAGATAAAAAGTCAAAGAAAATTTAATTAAAGTAATCTCTTTCAATTCAATCTACATAAAATAACTATCGAGCTACTAGTGCTCTATATTCAAGAATATAGAAAACCTATTATTTGAATCGCACAAATGTAATAATAACATTTTTGTTGGCTATATCATGGTCTGCCTTCTTAATGGCGGGATATCTTATACATATGTCATATAATGACAATTTCTAACCATCTTTAACAGTTACGTTGAAATTTGTGTAATTTAGACACAACATGGATTCATTAGCTTTGATTGCAGGACTAACAAAAACTGAGCCTCTAGTTCCAAATTATAATTTGAGTTTCATTAATTAAACTTTATCATCAACGCTATTAGTTTAATACAAAGATAATCTATTACCATTGATAAATGAAATAGCTGATGTGATTCTGACAAATGCAAATGCCAATAAGAAGAACAGTATTTTTGATGGAGTACTCAACTATGACTTGTGTTTATCTACCACTCTAGATAATCTTCCAGTTTGTGATTTATCAAAACAATCTTTAGCTTATGATAAGTAATTTATATTTGATTATCATTAGGAAAGATTTATACTTGGATGTAATTGTAAATGGTGCTCTTGGATACACAGCAGCATTGATTAAGTTTATAAATTAAGAATACGATTACGAAATCAACAACTTGAAATATAGTCCAAATATTGAAGAGTGCAGAATAACTGCATAATCATAATAGTTTTAGAATTTTATTCTATAATATTTTACTGACATTCAGAGTGCTATGAGACAATTTTTAGTTTTGTTTTAATAAGACAACGCAAATATCAGTTAAGGCATTATCAGTGTAATACAAGTGTATTATTATGGATTTGGATTAAGGTATATTGATATCAACTATAACATAGTTTATTTGCTATATATTGTATATTGAGTTTTGTATGGATATACAAACAACAATAAACTATTTAATCATTAAGATAGATCTTAGTGCTAATTCCAGCGGATCTGATTCTTACTGCAAACATTAGAAGCCAAGCAAAGGAAATCCATTAGATGTTGTACTGACTGACATTTATAATGTAATTAACATGTGAAAGTATGAAATTATAAAATTATAAAATCTAGAATTATTTTTTTTAATAATTGTATATTAATACTAATTAATAAACAATATAATTCCTTTTTAAAATATGTACATCAATTATAATATTAATAATGTAGAACAAATTTTCAACCCATTTTTTAGTCTGAATTTTGTAATTTTTATTAATTGTTAATTTCTGGCTTCTTGTTATGTTTAAAAAGGACAGTGCTTAAATAGGCAATAATAGCTATTCCTATAAGCCCTAAAATTATTATCATAAATTCTGACCAACTATGATTTACATTTAATTCTGATGATTAGAAGAGGTTTTGACTTTAAACTTAATACTATACCTATAATTATTCTCTTTTAAGCGAAACTTCCAGTTGTCTTCTTCTGAGTAGTCTAGATGTTGGCTAAGCAAGAGAGTTGATATGGAATTCAAATTCTAAAGAGGGGTTGAAATTTGAATCATCCCAAATAAATCCAAAAGTTGTTTTAGCTCCTTTTTGGATTGAATAATCCAAATTCAGAACATAGGTCTCTCCATTTTAAATTATATATGCTTCCATGTAATTTATTTAATAGTTTGAAAATTACGGATCTAAAATTGATTAGGTTACTGTCAATTGCTTTTTATCAGCATTAATTTCTTGATTGATTGTTTCACTTACAACAAACACAGGTCCAACTTCACCATTTGAATTACCAGTAATTGAAATCGCTTATGTAAATTATTCTACATTCTAAGTAGCTCTCTCTACTGAGATCTACCCAATAACGATGGCCAAGAACTCTGTTATTTTAGAACTGGTCAAAGCCACTCCAAGATAACACTAATAAACATACGCCGAAGTAGTCTCGAATTACTGGCAGTTGGTTTAAACTTCATCTAGCGATAGGGTTATTTATAATGAATTAGGGGTTCCTGATGTTGTGATATATGACACTTACTTCTGATTCAAAATCTTTAAAATAGTAGAGTCTTTTAAACCTTTTGTCAAATATACTTTGGGAATCAAACAAAAAGCAATTTTAAAGTTGTATACCAAGGAGACTATGTATTATCCATTTTATATGGCTCCAGTTGACGATGTGATGAAATTTTTATCAATTATACTTAAATCACAATCATTGGATTGACAATTATAGTTGTATAAATAGTAGTTATCGTTGCACTAGGTGCAAAATCCATTGACACAGGTCTTACAATTGGGGTTGCAGTCTTTACTTATTGTTAGACCTGTAAAATAGGCTCCTTTTTGATTAAGTTAAATAGAAGAAGAAGTTGATTATTATTAAATTGTTGCTCTTCCCAAATCATCTTAAATTATAACAGACCCAGTGTTTTTTTGATTGTTGATGGCTATATCATAGCTTTGAAAAGAGGGTTTGTAAAATGTAAAGGTATAAGTGAGAGTTTCACTCGTATTGGTTAAAATATTCTATCTGGAACATAAGCCATTTTCAGGTACCAAATAGCATTCCAACCATAGTAGATCATCTCCAGAGCAAGTAGATGCTTAAATTGAATCCTTACTCTGACAATCAATCCATCCATCATTTTCTAATTATACTTTAAATTTCTCAATTGCAGGGTAAATTTGATCACATAAGACCTCTATAACCAATAGTGAGCAGATTAGTATGGGTAGCATTTAAATATAAATTATATTTTTTTGTGATACTAAAATTTAAAATGCAATACCTATATATATAATTTATTCACATCATTCGTAACAATTCGATTACTTCCTATTATGAATTAAGATAATAATTGGCATAAGATGGAACAAGACCCAATGATACTGAGAAATGATTGCCATTCTATTAAATCAAATAAAATATTGATACCTCCGTAAAATATTTTCTACTTTAGGTAATCACCTTAAAATGAGAAAATACATCCTCATTCTCAATGCCTCTGGCTATTATCAAAGCAAAATCCAGTTTTCCTCTTTATAGATACTCCTTCTGCATGATCAATTCTAAAATCATTCCTTTGTTCAAATTCTTTGGACAGACCTCTAAATAGTTTGATTTCACTATCAATTAAAAGTTAGGATATCGTTCAACTATAGTTTATATGTTTTCTACAAGATCCTGAATTAGTTGTTGAGCATAATCCTCTTAATTTTTGACTTACCAACTTATCGAACTTTCTTTAACTTCTACCATTACTCCTTCTGTTTTTGAGGCATAAGAATTGAAAACTTTCTTGACTTGGGTTAAGCATTAATAATCTATATTAAAGAGGGAATTCCATTAATTTGAATCTGATCTAAATAGAATACCATTCTCTGCAAACAAATTGATATGTGACCCATTAAAATTGGATGATAATTCATTGTATAATCCACTTGAAATTATATACACCTTATGGGTCTTTGCTAATTCTTTTAAGGCCTGCACAATTGATTGTTACACTTTTCTAAGGACAATTATATCCTCGTTGCCTTTCATGTGTGGACTTTATTGAAAAAAATGATGGGGCTTATAGTCAAGAACATATTGATCACTCAGAATTGATTCAAATTCTAATAGAATAATTCCTTTAGTTGATTGTTAATATGCTCTTGCTACTTACTAAATATCGAGATTTAAAAATTTCATATTATGAGCTACTTTTACTAGATATTCATCCTCATTTCTTATGCTAATTTAAGCAAATTTAAGCATTGAAGCAGCCTTCTTTGCATCAATAAAGATATTTTCTATCCATTACGAAGTTTAATTTAAACGAATTAGCTATTAATCTTTTTCAACTAAAAGTCTATGAACTTGTGTGAATTGATATGACCTTTTCATTATTTTATCCAATAGATCAGAGAATTTATCTTTGAAGTCCTTATGAGAAAATACATTAAACGTAGATATAGAGTGGCAGCCTCTATGATAACAACTTGAGTCACTTATCAGAACTATAGGCATAGGGTTTAGATGAATGTATTCCAGAAGATAAAAATCGTGTCTCCCACTGTACCGACATTAAAAGTACATGTTGGCTTTAGAGAACTCTTCAAAGCGTTATTTAGAATCCATATCATCCTCTATTAACTTAATAAAATAATCTTCATTATTTGGATACAATAATTGATTAATTTATTAAATCTAATTTATTAATTAGGTTCTTTAAATTTATATATCATTGTCTTCAAATACCTTCAGTTATATTTAGATAAATTTAATTTGAGGGTTCTTCTGAATGATATCAGTTTCCTTAATAAATTTCAAAAGGTGCCTGAATTTCAATTCCACTCCTGATTGATGTCCATAAGTGTCTACTCCAACTATTCTGATTTCATTCTCTGTGATATTTCTATTATATTTCCCAGCTTACTTATACTCTCCACATGCTTTAATTTCTATACTTGGATTTTGCAATTTTACATAGATTTCTCGGCCATAATAATGAAATGCCAAATTTCCCCTGAATGAATGATATTCTACCTTGTATAAATCCTTCATAGTTGATAAGAATTCGTTAGCAGTGTCATAATTACTAAAACAAACCACATTAGCTTGTAGAAATGAATTTGTTATCTCTAAATAGAATGGAATTAACTTCAAATTATCAATATGAGGGAATAGTCTATTATAAAATATAACTATTGGCAATCGAGTGAATTTATGACTAACAAAGATCTAACTTAAATATAATAATCGATAGTCGGCTATTAAAGCTATGGAACTTTGATTAATGTAAGGTTTCATTTCTTAGAAGAATGAGTCATTCATCTTTTTAAAGCAATCCTGCATATGTTCAGAATACTCTAATGCTGCTAATTTTGTTATGCTTACATCATTGTTCATTATTGGCTAATACAATTTAGTACAGAACTCTTGATTAAAATACTCTAAGCAATCCTAATCCACAAACACTGGAACAAATCCGTATAATTTCAAAAAGTCTTTTAATGCTTCACTTGTGTCATTGATTTTCTCCCCTTACTCGTTTAATACTATTGGCAATCCAAACCAAATTCTCTTGAATTATTATACCCCAAATAAAAGATGCAAACTAAAAGAATGTTAAAAAGTTCTGCTTTCATATTGTCCATCTGATTTCTTGATAACAACTATAGGGAGATAGAAGGTAGATACAAGTAAAGTATCCTCATCACTGATTCCTATCAAAGGGTCTTCGTTGACTTCGTACAAAATATCATTCTAATTGAAATTTTTCAATTATCTAAACTTTGGATTCTCATTATATTATTAATATAATGATTAAAAGTTGCTATCTTTATTAATTTCAGTAATGGTCTTTTTTTTCTCATCATCCGATTCTGATGATTCAGTATCATTTTCACCAGCTATCTCCTTAGCAAAACTATCGTATCCTTCCACGGAATCCTCAGAATCATCTTTTGCTTAATCAAAAGGATCAAATTGATCACTCATTCGAGTCCTTGTGACTCTACTTAAGGCTTCCTGATTTAAGCATACACTTGATTTAAATCTCTTTTCTATAAATTCTCTGCCTTCATAATTATTCCATTCTGCTGTCAAAGCAACTTTCCAATATCTGCATCGATATTTACGATCTTATGGCAATTCTTCCCAAATTGTGTTCCCATTTTCTATTATCACAAATTTAAACTGCAATTTTGTTCCTTCATATAATGTATAGCTTTACCTCTCTAGAATATTATTGGGTTTTCAGTCACCCATTTTGGAAATGATGCTGGTTCAGTTTTTAAAATACATGCTTTTTTCTCATTCCAGTTTCCCAAATCTGGTTAATTACCAACAACTCCTACTACTTATGAAAGGGATGTTCTAACAATTACATTGAATACTACTGAACACTCCGTACTCATTTTTAATAATTAATGCAATCATAATAGTTGAAATAACCAATTAATACTCCTAATTCAGTAATTTTTATCGCATGAAACGCATTTTCATAATTCAACATTTAAAAAAAGAGTCAAAATAGAATTAACTTTTTAGGCAAGTTGATTTTAAATTATACTAAATTTTAAAATGAGGTTGAAATATGGAAAAAGTTTAATTATCATTACAGTATTTTAGATTGAAAAATATTGTGCTCATCTAATTCAATAAACTTATGTATTTTCATATTTAGAAGATGTGCAATAATTCTTTAAATAGAAATATGAAAATTTTATAATTAATTAAATAAATTAAGCATTATTATTTTTATTTTTAATCAAAAATCCAAATATAAATTAATCAATTTTTATTCATAAACAAGAAATTATTCATAACTTTAACATATTTTTATTTGAGATACTTGATGTAATAATATTAAATCTCTTCTACATCTCTTCCTTATTTAATATAAGCACATTTAGAGTATTTAACCATTCTTATATTTGCTTCATATTTTCAAATGCATCTATCACCTTTTTGTAATGCAATATTATTCTTTTACAATCTTACTTTTTTAGAAAATTCTTTTTCTTTTTATTACTTATGATAGTATTGACACTATGATATAGCTAATTTATTGGAAATAGAAAGTAGCAACTTTAATTGACAGAAACGTATTCATCTTATCATTTCTATCACAAGTATTCTGTTTCTCTATTTCATTTTAACCGCAGTTCAGTTTTGATTTATCTTACTTCATTGATTTACATTGAATGATTAAATTGAAATTTTTGATATGAAATATACAACAAATTTTTTTAACATTACTTATTATGGCTTTATTATTATTTTTATAAGGATATCAACACCTGCTAAATTCAATTTAATTTACCATAAATTGTTATACATTATGAGAATGTTATATAAATAATTTTCAATTCAATTTTGGTCTCTTAATAAATTACATTGATTTGTTGTATAAATCATAAGTATCTTTGATCGACAATTAAAGATCATCTGTTTTGATGACATTTCCGAGTTCCTAATTCATATTATACTCTCGATTACCTCCTCCAAACTATCCAATTATTATTAGAAATCTAATTTTGAGACATGTTCAAAGAACTTATTGAACTCTGGAATTTCTTTTGCAGCTTTCATTGTGATATCAAGTTTTTGCATTTCTGAAATCATTTCATCTTTGACATTGTTCATTTCATTGAAGCAATTATAAAAACTTTAAAAACAATTATCCAGCTCTGGATTGCGCTATTCTTATTTTAGATGCAAAGCCATCTTCGGGATTGATTGAACAAATATTTCCTGAAGGTAATGACTTAATTAATCAGGTTTCTGCTATGTTTTTCCAAATAACAATTGAATTTATGTATTTCTTAATAGTCCCTAGCTTTGTTCTTGAAGTTCTTTATATTCCTATAACTGCTGATTTAGACCTGCCACCTGAAGGTTAATGTTAAAATGTACTTTGTTTTCTAATAGGTCAACATACATCTTTTTTCTTTTTCTACTATTTTTTGCAGATTCCCTGTTTTTTACAAGCTTCATTCTTTCACGAACAATGATCTCTTGATCTGTCAATGCTAAATTAAAATGAGATTTTTCTAACCCCTCTGTCCTCTCTTCTTTGGTTTATAATCGAATGAATGATCAAGAAAGTCATAATAATCATTATCCATGTTTTAATTTTATTATACTTTGAATTTTAGTATTCTAATTGACGTATATATATTTCCAGATGTTACGCATTATAATTCAATTAAATTTTTATTTGATGATGATAATTATTCAATCATAAATAAAATCAAAAATAATTCAATATATGATAAAGAATAACGAATTAAAATAATTCATTTTTTATTAAGCTCATTGTTGTTGAGATTAATGAAATGAAACTGATCTCAATTAATAATACTCTCAACAATTAAGTCAACGTGTTGAATTTTATTGTATATTATACAAGAATATTGCGTAATGTTTTATCATTATCATATTCCCTTTATGTAAACTTCATCTTTCAATTATACTAAGACGTTCAATAATTTGAAATGGGATTAGTTAACACATATAATGGAGAATTTGATCTCTTATTTTTGTTGAAATCCATAAAATTTTTATCCTTTTTGTATCAATCTCATCACTCTCATGATTTAGGAGTATTCTACGCCACTACGATATATTAAAATGGTTTAAATTGAGTTCTTAATTCAATTTTAAGTTATAATTCTGAAAAAGTCTTCAGTTTGAATTTTACAATCAACCCATAAATATGAATGGAAGCTTTTCTTAATTAATTTAAAAAGGGTTACCTGCAGTATAGCATATAGTTGATTATTTCCCTTTATAATGATTTCTGTATTATAGTTATATTAAACTGGATGACTTAAATTTGAAATTATTTAAATTAGCTTGAATAATGCACTTGAATTCTCAAAGTAAATAGGGTTTTTACTTTATAGAAATTTATTTTGAATAAAGATTAGTATAAACACCAATTCTTAAGGATTATTTGGTGAAAATAGTATTATAGTATTATAGCGTTAATTTAATTAAGAATCATTAAAATATTAATAAAATCAATATGGCGGGTAATAGATGTGATGCAAAATCTTCATCTACTTTGCAAATTTATGGACAATTAAATGAGCCAGTTATATAATCATTGCATTTTAAACAATAGCCATTGTTGCTAATATAAAATTAACTGTCTGCTTGCTCGTCGAATGTTGGAGTTTCTTCACTCTCGTCGTAANCTGATTTAGACCTGCCACCTGAAGGTTAATGTTAAAATGTACTTTGTTTTCTAATAGGTCAACATACATCTTTTTTCTTTTTCTACTATTTTTTGCAGATTCCCTGTTTTTTACAAGCTTCATTCTTTCACGAACAATGATCTCTTGATCTGTCAATGCTAAATTAAAATGAGATTTTTCTAACCCCTCTGTCCTCTCTTCTTTGGTTTATAATCGAATGAATGATCAAGAAAGTCATAATAATCATTATCCATGTTTTAATTTTATTATACTTTGAATTTTAGTATTCTAATTGACGTATATATATTTCCAGATGTTACGCATTATAATTCAATTAAATTTTTATTTGATGATGATAATTATTCAATCATAAATAAAATCAAAAATAATTCAATATATGATAAAGAATAACGAATTAAAATAATTCATTTTTTATTAAGCTCATTGTTGTTGAGATTAATGAAATGAAACTGATCTCAATTAATAATACTCTCAACAATTAAGTCAACGTGTTGAATTTTATTGTATATTATACAAGAATATTGCGTAATGTTTTATCATTATCATATTCCCTTTATGTAAACTTCATCTTTCAATTATACTAAGACGTTCAATAATTTGAAATGGGATTAGTTAACACATATAATGGAGAATTTGATCTCTTATTTTTGTTGAAATCCATAAAATTTTTATCCTTTTTGTATCAATCTCATCACTCTCATGATTTAGGAGTATTCTACGCCACTACGATATATTAAAATGGTTTAAATTGAGTTCTTAATTCAATTTTAAGTTATAATTCTGAAAAAGTCTTCAGTTTGAATTTTACAATCAACCCATAAATATGAATGGAAGCTTTTCTTAATTAATTTAAAAAGGGTTACCTGCAGTATAGCATATAGTTGATTATTTCCCTTTATAATGATTTCTGTATTATAGTTATATTAAACTGGATGACTTAAATTTGAAATTATTTAAATTAGCTTGAATAATGCACTTGAATTCTCAAAGTAAATAGGGTTTTTACTTTATAGAAATTTATTTTGAATAAAGATTAGTATAAACACCAATTCTTAAGGATTATTTGGTGAAAATAGTATTATAGTATTATAGCGTTAATTTAATTAAGAATCATTAAAATATTAATAAAATCAATATGGCGGGTAATAGATGTGATGCAAAATCTTCATCTACTTTGCAAATTTATGGACAATTAAATGAGCCAGTTATATAATCATTGCATTTTAAACAATAGCCATTGTTGCTAATATAAAATTAACTGTCTGCTTGCTCGTCGAATGTTGGAGTTTCTTCACTCTCGTCGTAAAAAAGATCCTGCGATTCATCAAAGGTAATCTGAGTTTCACAAAGGTAGCAATATCCGTTGATATTTGTAGCCAAACAATTCTCTTTATATCTTTTGCAGTTATTGTCAGTAGCAGTAAGATAGTATTTATCACGGCAAACATTACATTTTTGTAAATTTCCATCGCAATTTTGACAACCACTCAAACAAGGTTTACAAGTTGATTCAACAAGTCCATAGTTGTCTTCACACTTTGTGCATTCCTTTAATTTATTGCATTCCAAACAAAAACTAACTTCACAACTTTGACATTTATTCAAGTCATCCAAATAATAGCCAGATGCACAAGTAAGGCATAGTGTTTCATTTAAACATTTTTGACAATTGGGTGTACATTATACACAAAGATTACCAAAGTAACCATCAGTGCATTCTTTACAGATGAGTTGCTTGCTAGTATCAACATCGCAAGAGATACAATTTTTAATATTTTCTGCGCAGTTTTTGCAGATACTCATTTACAAGGAGGTGTCAAAGACTAGATTAAACCCAAAATTGCAAACTTTGCATTGACCTTATTAATTGTCAATGGTGTAACAATCATGAGTATTTAAGATACAAGAATAACCATTGGAATCTTGAAAGAGTAGATATCCAACAATGCATTAAGTGGGAATAGTAAGTGATTGGCATCTCCTGAAGTTGTTGCTGCCATTGTTACAAGGCTAACAAGATTTTGAATCCTGTGTTAAATAATATCCATTGTTGCAATCTATACATTAGAAATTCCTACTCCTTTCATTAGTAGAACATTTCATGCAATTTGGAATTTACTATTGACAATTCTCGCAGTAGGAATCATCAGCAGCCAATAAGAAACCTGTAAGACAAGTATAGCAAATTTGTGGAAGTTGACTAGGATTTTGACATGTGAAACACCCAACTGGACATTTGAGACATAAGTCGTTTTCTTGATCAAAATAATAAGTATCAAGACAAGCTTAACAAACTAATTATTCTTAATCCAAAACACATGATTTGCATCCTTCTTGATTTTCTTCTGGATTACAAGTTAAGCAACTCACGCTTTATTCATGAATGTCCATGTAATATCCATCATCACAAACAGTGCAGTAATACTTTGAATCACAAGCTGAGCATCCCTCTGGACATGCATAACAACTTTCTTAGAGATAGTATTTATCCAAACACTTTTGGCATCTCCCATGAATTGAAATTTGAGTGCATGCTTCAACTTTGAGACACACTCCATTTATCATAATGTAGCCATCTAGACAAAGTGTGCAGATGTATTAAGTCAACTCAGAAGACTTACAACATTTGATGCATCCCTTGGGACAAGGAGTACAAGTTTATGAAGTCGAATCATAGTAGTATTAATTCAAACATGTATCACAACCCTGTGATTTTTAGCATTTACAAGAGGGCTGTTTACACTAAATACATTATTGTCCATTCCAAAAATAACCAGTGAGATAAGTGGCACAACTCTGTGAAATCCTGATGCTCTGATCTTCCTTAGACAATACAATGGTAATTAATAAAAATAACATTAATTAATAATCCAATGGTCTGTTTAATGTTTAAAAGCAAATGAAATTTGAAGCATGGGTAACACTTCTATTTGTGAACATTACACTAAAATATTCTTGTATTAAAAGAGACACTCATATAATGAAAATATTAAATATAATTTATGTAAGGATTAATTGATATTGAACCCAAATAATATTTAGACTTCGCTGCTGAGGAAGGTAAATTAGGATAAACCACTCTCACTGTATTCAACTTGACCTCTAATTAATTATCATTCAAAGTAAGCATACTCATCTATGTCCAGATCAAAACTGCTAACCCAATGTTATTCTAAGTGAAACCAAGCATCGGCATCATAGCACCTAACAATCAAGTCTCCATTGTAATCACAACTGCCCAACCTCTCAAGGAGAATGGCAATTTGAATTCTAAATTCCAAATCAACGCATGCACACTTCTATAAGATGAATAGGGTAATACCATCTTCTATAAGAAAGATCTTACTAATTTTTGGAAATCTGTTGATGCAGCACTAATACAGTAAGTACAAGTGAGGAGTCGAATTAAGCCTGTGGAGGTGCAACAAGAAATTATGCCATAATAAATTCAATAAAGTGTGATATCAGAGAATAGTGACATGATGAATCTGTTGTACTAATCAATAGTCGATCCGAAATCAAGGGAATAAGACGAGGAGATATAGAGATATCAAGAGCAGATCGATCAAATGGTATGTACTCTTCCCCTAAGCTTTTAGACCAAGGAACTATCCGATTATTAATTGATATTAAGGAGTGTGAAATAGCAACAAGCAGCTATTAAACATCTTGGTATGTATCAAATCATAATGTCGCAATAGGTAACAAATTCGAGTTGAATTAAGTGTTGATAATTGGTGCAATATCGATCGTTTTGGGATTCATATTCGGAAATTGATTAATTAAATTTATCAATTAAATGGGAACAATTACTATAGGAAATTGTTAATGTCAATGTTACATCAATTATGTGTCTTGCGATTGCTCCTGTGACCAAAATGAAATCCGTACCATCAGAAGCAATCGATTCACAGAACAATCCACCAGGAATCGATCCAAGAAACGATCACCAGGAGATTCATCAGATCGACAATCCAAGTTTTCATCCACCCAGAAACCAACCAGTCGAAGCAAATCATCGAACTCTGACAAATCCATCTATCTCTTATCAGATTATTGCAACATCACCACTGAATCACAAAAACAAAGGAGGAAATCCAAACCCCATAAATCCTTCATTAAGTCCAGATCGTTATACATTTTCGAAGTTGATTCCAATAAGAACCTCTCCAATAATGTAGAATAGAGCTTGAGTCCCCTTTCCTTGTCAGATATCGGAACTGTTAACAAACCCAAAATGCAGAGCATGGGTACAGAACCTCCTAAAAAGTCAGCAGAGCAGAAAAAATACGTCAAGTGGAATCTACCGCAACACTATCTCAGATAAAATAAACAAAATTAGTAGGAATTTTATTCGTGATTATATCAAACAAATAATCTCAATGCTGGTTACTTCTATTACAACTTCTAAGTCTTATCCTAATCCTAGGATAAAAACACCTTAGGGTTCTCTCGAAGCTATAGTTTACTGTTTGCAGGATTGGTGAACGTCACGATTCTATCACTAATCGGAGGCAGTTTTACGGGCTTGTTCATATAGTCATAGGGTTGAGTCCTTATTTCTTACTATTGCACAGGCGATATTTGAACTGAAAAGGATTTATTTCTTTAAGGGATTGGAGAGTAGGTCTCTTATTCCTCATAACTCTACTCCATTTGGGATTAATATAATGCTTTGTTTTTTTGTGCTCTCTGCTCCTCCCTCTATATTCTCAGCTTTTAAGCCACTTCCTGATTACGGACTGCCTTACTCTGCAAAGAACCAGGAACTGCTCCATCAATGTCATTTGTACATAGTAACCTATCAACCTCAATTTACCCTCATCACACACAATTATCATACTTGGGTTGATCGTAATAATTCTCCAATGCTCTATATTATTTGATCTCGCCTTCCGGGATCACGAAGTGTTTCTTATTGGATTTTTCGAAGTACTCTTCTCCTTGAGGAATACAAATATTGCAGAAATGATGGAAATCATGTTAGTACCTTCTTCTCCCAAATTTGTAATCCTGCTTTGGAACTTGTTGTCTTTCATCACTTGATATTCATTACTAAACTCTGATTTGTTCTTCGTATCTGAATTGATTCGGCAACAACCTATTCATGTACGCATTTCTGGATTTTGGCTGGGCCCCTAAAATATCAACTGTCAAAAGTGATCGATCATATTACATTTTATTATATAATTATTCAACTGTAGTAACAATATAATTATTGTCTAACATATTAATCAATTTTCGGGTACTATTACATTGATTCCTACATCTAAAGACGACTTCAGCCCTTTGCTGTCATTCTTTTGATTCGAAGGTATAAGAAATGCATTCTGCCTCATTAATTGTTTTTTCTTGTATGCCTTGAACAACGCTCTTGCTTTCTTCTGTCCAACTGATTGAGGAGTTTCATTGGGTTCCTTCTTTTCGTAGTACTTTTTAAAGTATACGTTCGGAAAGGAAACATACCTCATAAGGCTGTCCCTCAGGACCATTTTCCTTTCCTCTTAATTCAAATGTATTAATTTATCATTTTTTGGCGTTTCTTATTTTGGCAATATTCTAGTCTTTTATTACTCTAAATATAAATCTGTTTTCTTAATTACATGCGATAAATTATTATGCACTTAATATATTTAATATTCCTTTTATATCTCAAAAGGCTTTGATAAAACTAGTTCTGAGTATTAAATTAAATCGCATTTCATTCTGAGGAAATACAGATTTTCATACTCAAATTTATTTAGATAATCTTTCAAAGAATTGGTCTTAAAATAATTATCTACGATAAATTTAATGTTTTTATTAAATGTATGGTCTGATTCTATATTATTTTACCTAGAAAACGCTTTTGAATAGTGTTGCATTTTCATAACTTTCCTGATTATTTTTTAGAATTTAATCTTAATTCCTGTGTTTTTTATTCTAATACTTTACCTAGGATAATTTTTCCGTTATACCTTACTCTAAGGATCTAATTTAAAATATAAATTTACGAAAAATAGAATGATCAAAGGGTTTAGAAGGCGAAAAATTGACTGGATTTTGAATAACTTAGTCTACATAACAAACTGACCCACGATCACGATCATTGGTAGTTATCGAATTCTTAGACTACTATGCTTACTACTGAGGTGGTTTGATTTCTGAATCCTCCACATATTAAATGCCATAAAATTGTACAATAGGCACGTCTTCATGATTCTTCATCATAGATGCTATTTCCTATAAAAACCATTAATCGAATATGGCATTAAATTAATTTCTAATACGACTTCGATTTCTCAATCCTGGTACTCGCGATTATACTGATTAAAATTAATATGATTTTATGACTCTTTCCTTATCAATTACGAAATGAACAATGGGACAATTTTAGATATCATGACCCATGCAATTGCATGATTTACATTTGGTTTTTGAATCTCTTTGGTGTAAAAGTATTTCATCCTTCATTTAACAAAAGGATTCGTAATCTTACGGATTATCCTTCAATGTATTAAGAAAATCAGTTCTTGTTAGAATTAATAGTTTAACAAATGACAAAGATTGCAATTGCAACTATGGCTACTGCCCAGTGAGCATCTCTTCCAATCCGAAGAATTACCCTTGGGAATATGTTATCGCTTCAGAACGATCAGTAATATTAGCACAAATATTCAAAGTTCCTTAATCAATAAAGCAAAGACAAGGTTCATTATATTCTGGCAATTCACAAGTGATGGTCTATTCTGGAGTTATGAGTACCGTTTTAAACAATTTGATTAATTTTTATTTAGTATCAACAGAAAAGGTTTGTTGAAATAAATCACACTACTCAATGATTGAGAAATTAGCCTCATGTATCAATTTATTCTTCAGATTCTCAGATAAGGAAGTTATTAACTTTTCCTCCTCTTCATTTTCTTATTGCAATTGTTGACTCCAATATATTTTAATGTATTCCCTTATTCTAAGTATACTATTTTATTTAAATACTAATATTGCAATTCAAAACTGATTTTCTTTCTATTCATGAATTTATTAATAATCCGAATCTTTTGAGCAGTGTTTTCAGTTGATAAACTAATCGAATTTAATATCTCTCCCACTGTATTAACACTGAACGACAATTACACACAGGTAGTGAACATAAATATGATAGTACAAATCTTCTCCATGGCATCTAAAATACTTTTGTTTATTACTTAAAGGCACAATGTCTCCATATCCTACACTAATCATTGTTACTGTCGAAAAATAAAAGGCTTCTAAATATTGAGTTTCATAGGGTGCTTCCGATAGATGACGATTGTCCAACCAATTAACCATTCCTACTTCATTGGCATACGAACCTATATAATACCAGAGACAACTAAAAATGTGTAGAAAATAAAGAATAGTGAAAATTAATTTGGCTAGATTGACAATTGATGATTGCGTTTTGCTTAAATGAATGGATTCCTCCATATTCCGAACTACTTTAGCAAAGTAATGGTATTGAGTGATGAAGAGTATTAATGAAATGTTGAGCCAGCGATTTCGAATGAAGTAGTCATTAAAAAAGGCACACAATAAAACTATTAATGAAATACCATCTATCAATAAGCCTTACTTTAAATAATTATTGAAAATTAAGGATCTATCTATAATTGGTTATCCATATTCATAGTAGACTGTGTTCATTTTCATAAGGTAATCTATAATCAGAAATAAATAAAATGGAACAGTTAACCAAATAGATTAGAAATACATAATCGAATTATTGAAAGCCAATTCTAATGGAATCATTATAAAAAAGTAAATTAATACCATACACAAGCAGAGATCCCAAATAATTTTGGACACTGATTGAGGATAAATTATTGGTAACATTTTCAATAGACCAGTCAAAGGATTATAGCATGATATTGAATTTTAATGACTCTTTCTTCTTCGATCCTTCTTTTTTATCTACCCCAATTTCTCTACTTCCCCACTTGCTTTATCACCAACAATTTAAAAATGAATACTTTTAAAGAATAATTTATGTCTTCTACTTACTGATAATTTGGTGAGGAATCTTTTTACGAAATAATAAACCCTAATTGTGAATTTTCTATTTTCTTTTTTCGTATTTTCTGATTCCTTGGTTTACATTTCTTGATGAGGTAAGAACTCATGAAAGTCTTGAATTTGAGTCAAAATGTTTTAACTCAAACTTTCAGGCAGACTATGTCTCTGAGGTTGAGAATCACAAAAATCATATTTAATTTCCACAAATTCTACACTCTCCTCCAAATTAGGTTCCTTATAGTCATCCATATTTTCCTCGGTGGATAATATTAATTGAGGTTTTTCCTGCATTATATTATGTTTGTAAAATTATATATAAATTTATATTTTTTTAACGAATGCAAAAAAGAGACAAATCTCCAATCATCCATGTTAATCTTATGAAGGAAAACATTCATAGCAAACCTAATTCCCTCAATAAAAGTAGCATTTCTAGCAAGGCAAATCTCAACTTGGTCAAAGTACTAGCAACTAGAAGATCTGATATGAATTCCCTTTGGGAACCTCCTGAAGATTCTAAATAATAACACTCAAATAGATTCGATAATTATTTTCAGAGACATTCCACTAAGAGATCTAATGCTTAAACATCTAGAGAGAGGGAAAGAGATTTTTCAGACTCGCCTAAACAATCTCCATCACATTATTAATGTGCTAAGCATTTCAATAAAGCATAGTAAAGAAAGAGAACTGCATAGTTCATCTGTTGTTTCCCTAAATGTGATACTCACTTGTTGTGCAGAGAATGTAAATATAAAATATTCCAATGTAAACATGACTAAATTGTTAAATTGACTGAATTTATTGAATAACCAATCTTAATATTTCTAAAAGCAGATAATTCAAAAAATGAACTCGTGGGAAACCTAATATTATAATAAATGCAATTATTTCATGTAATCAAATGTTCTTTATCTAGAAAGTCAAATATCAAGCAGAATAATCGAAACAATAGTTATAGGAGTACTTAGAGAATATATAGGATCAGCTTAAAATGAAATGCCAGGTTATATAAGCTGAATTCAATGAGAAAGTTGATGTAATTTATAATTTTATTATCTTGAAGTTCCAATTAAAATAAATCAGAAATGATATTGATTAACTAGTTTAAACCAGTTTAGTCTACAAAGATGATTTCGAAAACAGACTGAATGAAAAAGATGATTTCATAGAGTCAGTAAAACTATTCAAATAGTAAAGTGAAGATCCCTATGATTAGGTAATGAATTAAGTAAATCAATTATAACAAAATCTAAATAAAATTCCTTAATTAAATTCCACTGTTTTAGAATTGAAAACCGATATCACTATCAAAGAGTTTAATTTTAATAAATTGATAACTTGATTGACTTATATAAATATATATAACATAATTAATCAAAATTTTATATCTTCCTCATCATATGCTTCATCCTCAATATCTTCATAAGCCTTTTATCTGAGTTCTTATTTATGCTATTAAACATATGATATTAATTATTTACCTTAATATAAGCCTAATTGAAATCATCTTCAACTTAGCCAGCCTAATCTTCATCCTACTTAGGTTCAACCATCCGTTTTTCAGCGAGAGTTCCTTAAATGATAGTAACATCATTCTGTTATTCTTCATAAATAGTATGTTATTGTTTTCTATAATCTTTATCTTGCTTTGGTTTCTGAGTCAACTTATTAAATTGTATCTTTGAACAGATAGCCTCTAATTTATTAATTGATTTTGTTCTCTCTTCCAATAGATAATACAATTTCGAGAAATCTCCAACTCCTCTCTTCACTATTGCTTTTATCCAATCCAAATACTTCTTTGTTTATTCTGGATAGCTTATCAATTTGTCTACAATGAAATGCTACAGCTCTTATAATTGTTCAAGTTGCAAACTATTCACAGATTCTGTAATACCACTTTGAAGAGTTCTCTCTAAAGCATATTCTAAATACGCCTTGTCCTTTGCAATCAGCGATTATTTAAGCACATTAATCAAATTTTATTCGCTGGTAATCCTTTTTGGCTCATTTTTATCTTCTTTCGCAATGGATGGTTGATTATTAAAGTAAGCAAAATCATAAAAAGCAATTGGAATAGGATTTTATTGTTACTTATTTTGCTATTGTTCTAGTTATTTTGATTATTGCAATTCATTGAATCTTAATAGTTATTCTTATTAGTATAAGGATTTGAACTTCTAACTTTCAATATTGTTTATCTATTTTAACTTAGGATTGCTTATATTATCGTATACAATCAATAATCTTTCTCCTTACAAAACAGATTATAAATTATTTATCTTCACGTCATATTACTTATTCAATTCTTTTTCAAAAACATACCCTGTGATGCTATCTTGGTTCCAAAATAGAACTGTTGTTTTCTTAGCCATATAAAATAGTTCATAATTTTCATAGATTCCAATTTCAATAGTTAATATTGCTTCTGAACTCTCTCCTAATTTGAATATCTTCAGCAAACCTTCCTTGCCTAAGACAGAGAAATAATCCCTTGATAAGTTATTTGTCTTGACTATCAAAGGTCCCTATTGATTGATCTTATACTTTGTTTCTATCACCTATATTACAATAATCTTGTACATCATTTTCTAAGTTAATCAGGACTATCTTTTAGCCAAACTGAACCAAGACATGGGAACTCTAAAGAAACAACGTACCCTCCTTAATGTGATTAGAGAATTATCGAGAGTATAAACATTAAAATGTTTTGATGTTGGTTTGTTTTAGTAAACCATCTGAACCCAAAGATAAGAGCATTCCATCTTTAACTATTCCATTTAAAAATTAACTAGAATGCACTTAGAATGATTCATTCTTGTAATACAATTTTCCTTATTTGTCTCCCACAAGTAAATCATTCTCAAAGTAATCAATAAATGAAATTTCAGCATCTCTGAAGTTGATTTACTTCTGTTTAAAATTCTCCAAATCAATTATATTGATCAATGTTCTAAAACTTTAAATTAGTAAGAATTTCTAGCAAGAGGACAGTTTAATGATTTCTTTTTCAATTTCCATTAATTAATTTATGATAAAATAAAATAATCAACTTTTAAGTGCAAAGCCTTTATCCTTCATGCATGAAGTGTGTTAGGCTATCTCATTGATGCAGTTGCTTTCGCCGTTTTTAAAGATGCATTTATCCCTCTGAATTCTAGTCTAATCGCAGATAGATGGTTGTTTTGAGTATGATGAGCCCATATTATTTTTATTATTTATATTAATTATTTAATTTATGTTTACACTTTAAATAACGGATTGTAGATTTATTGATGATGTGGATCAAATATGCAAATTTGATGAAGCTCGAAATTTATGTTTGAAAAGAAGAAGTGAAATTGATACCGTTAGTACGAATCTTAATATGCAAATCAAAAATTATATTGATGGAGAAGTACTAATCATGCTTTAACTTAGGATTAATATCTGAGAGAGGTCTAGGTGAAGGGCGAACAATTGAATTAATCCGTTATGGAGGGGATAAAAATATTAGAAGTAAAAAAGTGAGTTATGTTTAGCAATTAAAAGTGCCAACCCACATAGATTTAGAATTGAATTCTGCTTAAAAAGAATTTAAAAACATAGAATTAAAATTGAAATAAACTGAAGAATAAAAGAAATGGGCTGAGCAAGAGACTATAAAATAAAAAGCAAAACTAATAAAATTAATTGAAGAAATTTAACTTTCTATACTAAGTAATATAAATGATATCAAAAGATAAACTTGATGTTCCTGAACCAGATAATAAGACTGGGATAATTTTTAACTGGGTTATAGGCTGTTTATTGAAGAAGAAGAAAGGACCAATATAACTTGCAGAAGAACTTAAATTAAAAGTTGAAAAAATTCAATTATAGCCTGAATCTATTATAAATTAGCCAGCTCCACCTTAGAGCACAGGAATATTTGCTTGCGGAGGTAGAAAACCTCTTTCTAGTTCAAGGCCAATAAAGAGAGTGGCCTTATCAGAGGAGGAATCAAAAATGTATGAAAACTTATTTGCTTGGAAAGCGATTAAATAGCACATTTTTCATCAAGATTTCAAATTTTAAGAGAAAGTGCAATAATTCACATAAGAATATGACAAATTAGAATCTTTTTAAATTATGTTGGTAGATGAATTGGTCTCAGAGAAAAAGGAAGTAATAAAAGGAATATATGATATTGATATCAAAGATCAAGCAAGAATTATTATTGAAATAAATGAGATAGTTTTATTTTTATTGAAAGAGAACTAGAATTTGAAAGAATAATAAGAAAAAGAGAAGGAATTCGAATAATTAGATTAAGGAATTAGATAGAAGGAAGTAGAGATAGAGATTATGTAGAAAGAAAAATCGTATCATGCTGCAAAAGAAAAAAGAATATCAAGTTTGAAAAGTACAATGTCTTTGCTTTCTGCAACAAGTTAAAAAGTTGCAGATTTCTGTAAAGAAAAAATGGTCTCAAATGATTAAATTATTGCCTAAATCGAAGTAATAAAATCTCAAGGATTATCAAAAGAATTGAAAGTGTTCTAAGATGTTGAGGATATATATAGAAGAAAAAGATAATCATATGAAGAATAGTTGCTGAGTTAGCAGTAGAAGGAAGAGGAAAGAAGAGCACAGGAAGAAGCTGAAAGGAAAGAAAAGGAAGGAGAAGATCATAAGCAAAAAGCTATTCCAGACTCAAATGATTTAGATAGGTCAAATTAATAACATCAAGAAGTAACATCATTTATATTTTAAGGAAGATAACATTTAAGCACAAGAAGACAAAGATGAAGTTGAGGATTCTGATTATGTAGACTCTGATGAGAGTGATCAAGATGGAGAAAAGTAAGATTGGATTGTAATTAATATAAATAATAATTAGGTCCTTGCTGATGATCCTTAAACTAAGCACATTTAAAAGACTTTGTTCCCTGATAAAGTAAAAACAGCAGAAAATAAAAATCTTGTTAAACAAAAAAACTAAGGGGAATCTTTAAAAATCTTAATGTAAAAAAGAAAGAAGAATTGAATATTTATATAAACAAAAATTTATATTTCAAGAATATAAAAGTGACGTAATAATGGAATTTTTATTTACATTATTAATTATTTATGAAGAGATATACTAATACAGAAGATTCAGCAGAGGATTTAACTACTTACTGGGGTAGACTCAAGCATTTTCAAAATATCATAAGTCCTGCGTAATGGCTTAGTATTATCATAGCAATATTTTTTATTCTCCTGAACAATTAAGTGAATACGGAAAGATTTTAGAAAGCGTTGACAAAGATCCTTCAATCAGGACTAAATACACAGATTAATAATTGTGGAAAATGAGATATGTTGTGGATTCAAACATTCACCCTTAATTGAAAGAACCTGTAAATATTCTTTTCAGAACTTCAACATTTGTTCCTGTAAATGTTCCTTTAGCATTTGGATTAGCTGTATTACCCCCAACAGTAATTCTTCTTTTCATTCATAGCCTATCAACCAATTACTAGCTCAATCTGCTAATCAAACTTATAACTTTATGTTTAATTATTGTAATAGAAATGCATCTAATGTATTTTCCAATGAAATGTTAGCATGTAAAATCTAATCCTATCCTTAGTCTCCTATGGTGGAGCAGTATCATCAGCTGTAGTTGGAAGTTTAGGAACATCTTGGCTCTTCAAGAAACTAAATGCACCTGCACTTCTCATTAGAGTAAATATATCGCTCATTCAATTTAAAGGCCTGTCCCTTATTTGGTGTTCTGATTGCTAACACATTCAATCTTTTTTTCGCAAGATATCCTGATTTTTAAAAGGGAATTCAAGTTTTCGATGATGAAACCTAAGAACCCTTACCAGGATTATCTAAAGAGGCTGGTAAATTCATCAGTTACTATTTTTTTAAGCAAAAATTGCATTCTTTAGAACACTTGTTACTAGATATATATTGCCATTGCCCATGTTTATTCCACCCATTGTCATTTACTATATGAAATAAGCAAAATGTTATCCTTAAGGGAGAGCAATAGGCTTAGCACTCGACTTAAGTATTTTCATTATAGTAACTAGGTTTGTCCGGATTTTTCTTATATTGTGGTCTTTCTGTTGGAATAGGAATATTCCCATAATATTTAAAGGTTAATCCAACCGATCTGGAATCATAATATTAGAATTTAACAAATAGCAAAGGAAATAAGATTAAGACTATCGTTTTTAATAAAGGATTATGAAAATTGTATAAAATTAAATAAGAAATTCATTATTAAAATTTTTAATAAATTAAATAGAATACTTAAGGTTCTTATTAATTGTGTCTCTATATAAGGTTATGCATATTTATCTTTTATTAATGAATTTCATCTATTTCAATAATTTTAAATAATATGAAATTATATTTCCTCTCATATATAATGTATTTTTCTCTAACAAAATTTGATATTAATAAGATAATGGAAAAAATATAAAACAGAAAGATTAGTAATATTTATTAATATGCTTCAACTTAATAAAATTTTAAACAGATTTTGAACAATAAAAATATGAAATTTTCAAAATCTTTAGTATGGTTTATCCTAGAACTACTATGTTTTGATACTTAACAATGTTTAAGAAATTAACAGCTTTTTGTCTTTGATATCTTTCCTGATCTTTTAACTAACTTTCATTTCTTCCTAAGTCTAAAATTCCTAAAAAGCTTCCCTATATTCTGGATATAATCTTAATATAAAATCATAAGCTTCTTCGTCCTAAATATCAACTGTGTATAACGCTGAAGACAATAAAGTTTCAAAACATTTTTTCATCTAAATTAGAGTTATTTTAATATCTTCCTAAATTTCAAGCAAAGCTTTTTATAGATTAGCAAGAATTTGGTTAAGCTTTTCAAATTGAGATTTAGCATTTTCATTCTCTCTTTAAAGAGATTAATTTATTCTTTTTATTTATTCAGTTGTAAAACTCCATCTATATTTTTCATTTATATGTTTATCTAATAAACAACTACAGGATTAACAAATCATTTAATTTTTAATTTGGATCATTTAAATGCAATTTGCTAAGTGTTCATTTTTAACATGACAGATTTCACAACATGTTTTATTACATTTTAAACAATTTGTAAAGTACATTCCTTCATTAGGGTGAAATTCTCGTTTACATTCAGTTATGAATTCATAAAATTCAAAGTTTGATGACTCTTCAATCCTACTTTAATATATTTATATTTTCCTTATATTATCGTTTATTTTATTTTTATTTGCTATCAAATTCTTTAATTTCAGATGAATTTAATCTCTTTCTTGCTTTAATATTTTTCTTTGTGCAATTACTTCAACACTATCTTAAAGGTCAAATCCCATGCTATTCTTGACTCTTTAAGTTATGAATAAATAATTTTCCACATTTTTTTTAATTTGAATTTTTTCAATAAATCCTAGTTTTTTAACCTAAAAAACTGAATTTTGAAATTAATAATATTATTAGTAAATATTCTCCTATTATTAATTGAGTTAAACCTAAGTTTTAAATGTAGGGTCATCAAACTAATTAGATTTTTCATGTTCTTATTGTTAATTTTCATGAATAAATTACAATTATTGCTCAGTTAATGAATAGAAAATAGAGTTGGGACTCTCAAAATTTAAAGTATTGGCTGCTGTGAAATCTGAAAATGAAAGACAATGTTGTGCATATCTGCTCATTTACTTTCCAAATAATTTTAGGATACTCAACATAGAAGTTTACAGAAGTGTTAATTTATTATCAATAATTTCATATTGAGTTGATGATTATGAAATTATTAATACAGCATGAAGATTTTGATTATTCTTAAAGAGATTCTACTCAAGGTATTTTCCAATATCATCTACTATCTTTTGATCTTTTTCTAAGCCTTCAGTATCACCTAGGCCTGGGGTATCGATTAAATTGAATATATAGTTTTCATATATAATTTAATAGGATTGAACATTTTAAGTGTGAGATTTTACATCTTTGCTATTAGGCTTATCAATATAAAATCTTGAATGAAAATTTTCATAACTCTTATGTGTGTTGAATCCTTTTAGATAAGTAATAAAGCTATTGATAAAAGTAGTTTTCCCTTATCCAGTTATCCCAACAATTAATATATTTCTTATATGGTAGTCCTTGTCCTCAAATCTTATCATGTCACTTTCGATTTTATTAGTCTTTAAATACTCTGAAATGTAATCCTGAGTGATCAGTTTTTCTTCTTCAAACTTTGCCTCATATTCTTTTTATTTCTTCAAAAAATAATTATTGAGTATTAAATGTTCAGCTTCATTACAACGTCTTCCAACCTTGCTTTCTTTGTCTAACCCATAGGCAGAGATAAGATCTTCCATTGAAGTTATTTTAAATTATTTCAAACAAGATTACCATCTATCCCTTCTCTTTTTATCATTTATATAATTTAAAAATTCTGCTTCTAACTCTTAAATTCCACTCAAATTGACTGTTTAAATTTAGTTTGTGACATAAATATCTTCGCTTGTGTTTTATTGCCCTTGTTAGTTTCCCATTTTAATAGTTTATGTTATTAATAATTAATACGTATTTACTATAAGAAATTATTAACTAGAGAAAACATAAGAAACAGAAAATATAATACACAAGAAAGCTAAGGTTTTATCAATTTAGTACAATATTCTCAAAGATTGATAGAACATTTGCTTGCTAAAAAAAAATCAGGAGTAAAATTGGAAATTCTTTTTAAGGTAACTGAATTGATCCTTTCATTAATACTAATCAAATAAAACCTTCATTTACTTAATTAAAAATATCTTTATCAATTAAATCACATTTTAAGGATATAATCAATTTCACAATTAAAGCCTTCAATTATCTATGAGTATTAGGATATATTTACCTAATAATTACTTTAGTAAATATCTCAAAGAGTTATTAAATTATATTAAATAACTGTGTCCTTAATTTAACTAACATTATAAATTTTGATAAAAAGGGGAATATTACATTTAGCTCAGTTTGTTATTCAATTTTGTTAAGTAGTATATCCAAAAGTGGATCAATTATTAGAGAATATTAAATGCGATTTCTGGATTTAAATTCGAAATTCAATACTAATGCCTTATTTTAATATATGTGAATGAGGATTAATTAAATAGGATTAAGTAAAATAAAAAGTTATGAGTTGATTGATAATATACTTCACCTCTTTATAAATGTGCATTGCATTTAAGTAAATAATATAACAAGTTATATTTACTGACAATTTAATATATTTACGCTATCATTAATACCTATTATTATAGAGTATTTAAAATGAAATATATCTTAATCATTGTCTTATTGATTTCCGCAACCACAACAAGATCAATACACTTGAACTCAGACGAGAAAATGAGTAGATGCATAGCAAAACTTTGCAGAAATTAAATAGGAGCTTGTATAAGAATTAAAGGATGCGCCGATAACTTTAAGAGTTGTGCAAATGAACTTGAAAAAGATGAAGATATTGAAAAAGTTAATTAACATATTAATATTTAGTTTGACTTATGCTTAGATAAAGTACCATAATCTTATACATTAATGGAATGCATATAATCAAATTGCATCAATATTGAAAGTAATAAGATAGAATAGCATTAAAGAAATTGAATTGATCATTTTCGGCACATTCCCATCCTCAAACATATAGATTATATTGTTATACATAATGTTTTCTTCAATTTAAAGTGATCCAAGGACTAAAATGTGTTTCTAATAAGACAGATGAGAATGAAAAGGTGTAATTAGATTTTGCATGAGTATAAATGTGAGGTAGGAGGGAGTTGGTGTGAGGTAAAGGATTATATGAAGAATAAAATAAATATAAATGAAATGAAAATTATATGATAAAATCCAAGATTTAGTGTGCAATAATTTTTATATTTTAATGGACACCAATACAATTCAAAGTGTTTACATCCCTGATCCTGAAGAAAGTATCTTTTATCAATCTATCTGTAGAAATTGTGTACNCAATATTCTCAAAGATTGATAGAACATTTGCTTGCTAAAAAAAAATCAGGAGTAAAATTGGAAATTCTTTTTAAGGTAACTGAATTGATCCTTTCATTAATACTAATCAAATAAAACCTTCATTTACTTAATTAAAAATATCTTTATCAATTAAATCACATTTTAAGGATATAATCAATTTCACAATTAAAGCCTTCAATTATCTATGAGTATTAGGATATATTTACCTAATAATTACTTTAGTAAATATCTCAAAGAGTTATTAAATTATATTAAATAACTGTGTCCTTAATTTAACTAACATTATAAATTTTGATAAAAAGGGGAATATTACATTTAGCTCAGTTTGTTATTCAATTTTGTTAAGTAGTATATCCAAAAGTGGATCAATTATTAGAGAATATTAAATGCGATTTCTGGATTTAAATTCGAAATTCAATACTAATGCCTTATTTTAATATATGTGAATGAGGATTAATTAAATAGGATTAAGTAAAATAAAAAGTTATGAGTTGATTGATAATATACTTCACCTCTTTATAAATGTGCATTGCATTTAAGTAAATAATATAACAAGTTATATTTACTGACAATTTAATATATTTACGCTATCATTAATACCTATTATTATAGAGTATTTAAAATGAAATATATCTTAATCATTGTCTTATTGATTTCCGCAACCACAACAAGATCAATACACTTGAACTCAGACGAGAAAATGAGTAGATGCATAGCAAAACTTTGCAGAAATTAAATAGGAGCTTGTATAAGAATTAAAGGATGCGCCGATAACTTTAAGAGTTGTGCAAATGAACTTGAAAAAGATGAAGATATTGAAAAAGTTAATTAACATATTAATATTTAGTTTGACTTATGCTTAGATAAAGTACCATAATCTTATACATTAATGGAATGCATATAATCAAATTGCATCAATATTGAAAGTAATAAGATAGAATAGCATTAAAGAAATTGAATTGATCATTTTCGGCACATTCCCATCCTCAAACATATAGATTATATTGTTATACATAATGTTTTCTTCAATTTAAAGTGATCCAAGGACTAAAATGTGTTTCTAATAAGACAGATGAGAATGAAAAGGTGTAATTAGATTTTGCATGAGTATAAATGTGAGGTAGGAGGGAGTTGGTGTGAGGTAAAGGATTATATGAAGAATAAAATAAATATAAATGAAATGAAAATTATATGATAAAATCCAAGATTTAGTGTGCAATAATTTTTATATTTTAATGGACACCAATACAATTCAAAGTGTTTACATCCCTGATCCTGAAGAAAGTATCTTTTATCAATCTATCTGTAGAAATTGTGTACAAGAATGTTCGCAAGCCTAATTTACCTGCTACGGCTGATATTGCATACTGTGAAATTAGAATTGCAGAGCTCATGGCTGAAGTCGAAGCTTAAAAGGAGCATTCTTTCAAAATCCAGTAATAATTGGATCTCTATGTTACATACGAATAATCAGTATATATCCATTTTTGATTTAAGCTCATATAATATGAATCTAAGAACGCTATATTGTCCGAGGAAAACAAACAATTAAGTTGTTTGCTTTAAGTGAAATCCAGGGATTTGGAACAAGCCTAATTAAAAATCTTAGAATTGGAATAATAAATAGATTCACTAAGGGAGGTGGACCAAGAATTACAAAGGAATATCTAGCTATTGCTGTTCAAGGATAGAGAGATATAAGAAGTATAACCTAATTCGATTAATATAGTTAAATAACAAATACAACTCATTAGAATAGTTCTTGCAATAAAACAAGAATTGGGAGTTAATTAACTAAGACTTAAAGAATTAAATAATCAATTGGAAACATGATGTTGAACTTTGGAAGGAGAGATTCACAAAATCAGAAAATGAGAGAAAACGACTATTAGAATTACGGGAAGAAGGACTAAAGAAATATGATCATCTAGAGAATGTAGACACTCAGCCACATTCTCCGCAAGTTGAATTGAATGAATAATAGACAGAAAAGCATAAGGTAGAGAAGAATCCAGAAAATCACTCTTAATTACTCTAATAAACATAAGTTAATTTATTTGAAAAGGAACATTAAAATACTTTATTAAACAATGAATTAAATGGGTTGAGACAATAACAATAGGAATTTTAGAAACGATTAAGTGAATTGACAAATTAGTTAGGAAAATTGGATGAGAAGGACAAAGAAATAGCCAGATTAAATGGATTGCTATAAGAGAAACCAAAGATCTAAATTGTAAAGGAGGAGAAGATTGTGACAGTTGAAAACAGTGCATTGGATGAAGAGAAAATAAGACTACAAGGATTATTGGATGAATCAAACATTCGTTTGGAGCACTCTTTCAATGAGATTGAGTAATTGAACAGTAAAATATAGACTTTGGAAGATGTGAATCAAAAAGTATTAAATTGCCATATTATAATAGTTACAAAGAGATAATAGGCAAATTCACAGATTATAGGAACAAATAGATTTATTAGTTATTGATAAGTAGAACTTGTAAACTTCTAATGGGTAAAAGGATAAGGTCTTAAATGAAACACTTGCTCTTTTAAGATAAAAAACAATTGAAATTTAAGAGTTGCAGGCAGTTAAATAAGAATTAACTATAGCAAATGAAAGAGTGCATTAATTAGTTAAAGATTTAGAATAAAGTAGAAGACAATTAGGAGAATTGGAATAATTAGCATAACAAGTCAAAAAGTAGGAGCATATTTGTTAGGAGAAAGAAAAGGTGGTTAAAGAGTAAGCATTGCAAATACAATAACTAAAATAAAACAGAAATGAATTATAGAATGAATTGAATGATAGCAAGATTAGAATTAATTTACTATCAAAGTATGAGGCAAGAGTGAAATCATAATAAAGCACAATTCAATCACTTAGATAAGAACTTTAAGAGACATTGGGTGGATCTGAACAATGGAGAGAAAAGTACAACTAGAATTGCTCTGAAATAAGTAGATTACAGAGATTGTTAGATGTTTCATAATAAAGAATTATCAAACTTTAAGAGGAATTGAAAAACTTCAACAATAACTTTGAATTGGGCTAGATTAAGATTGAGGGAGCACCTGTTATTAAGAGAATTGAAAAAGTTGTCATTTAAGACAATAAATAGATTGAAAAACTATAAAACTAATTGATATCCTAAGAATTAAACAATGAATCATTATTAAGAAATAGGAAGTTTGAAATATAAACCACTTAAAGAGAGCTAGATGCCTTAAATTAACTATTATAATAGAAACGATAGGAATCTGAGTTATGGAAAAACAAATATTTAACATCAGAATAATAAAACACTTAATTGCAGAACATTAATGACAAATACAAATAATTAGTCTTGAGATGTGAAGGTCAAAAGGCAACTATATAATAATTAGAATCCAAGAGTTTGGAACAGGGATAGGAAATTGAATAATAAAGATCCAAGATCTTTTCCTTGACTCTTGAAGTTCATCAAATCGAAGGTTACAAGATTGAGAAAGAATAGCAAAAGGAGAAGGCTCTTCAATTATATTAAGAGCTCATTCTTTCATAATCGCGAGTTGCCCGATTGATTGGAGCATTTAATGAATTATATAGACAGTAGAGCATTAAGTCTGATAATCCATAAGCAAAATTTGTTTAGCAAAAGTCAGATACTGTGGAAAAGATGAGATAGAAGATTGTTGAGCTTGAAATGGAAATAGATGATACTAAGGATGACTAAATTAGTGAATTGGAATAAAGAATATAGATTTTGGAATCTGAATTAAAGAAATAATTGGATATCAATGGATAGCTAGTTAAGGATCTCTAAAATGTGGATAGAAAGAAACAAGATATTCTTAGTGAGTTGCAAGCTCTGTAGACAAGTGAATCAGATACAAATTAATTAAGAATAGCTTTCAATAAGAAGGTTAAAGAATGTGAGTAACTTAAAACAGATTTAGATAAGATTCAAATTGTGATATAGTCTTATGAACAATAGATAGAGAAATCAAGAGAACAAGATGCCAATTAGAAGAACGAATTATAAAGATTGAAGTTATTTAATAATAATCTTAACAAACAGATTGCATCCCTTTTATTGCATTTGAATTCTTTAGAATTGACTATCAATACATAAAGACACAAATTGGATTCATATCCTGAATTTGAGGAAAGGATTAACGATTAGATTGATAAAATTAATTCTTTGGAGAAGGAGAATAATGAATTAAAATTATAGAACGATATTCTGAATGCTCAAATAAGTTAATTAGAATAGAATATTATCAAATTGCAACCATTAGAATAATAAGTGACACTTCTCAGAGAAATAATAAATAATGATAATAGAGAGATTAGTTTATGGTAGACAAGATTTTAAGATCTGGAGAATGAACGTTCTTAGTAAAATGAGGATTATAGAAAGAAAATAGATCAATTCAAAATAGAATTAAAAGATTAATAAAATCTAGAGATGATTATTAAACAATAATAAAATGATATTGAGGATCTTACTCAAAATAATTAAAAGTTGGTTGCAAACATAAAGGATTTACAAACACAATAGGATAAATTATTAAGAGATTTAGATAATAAGGATATTGAAATAAAGAGATTATAATAAGTTGAATAGGAATTCAGAAAGTTATAGGATCTATTCTATTAAGAAATCGAGAAATACTAGGATTTAAGTGATAAGCATTAGTAGTTGTAGAATCAGTATGATTAGACAAGGAGAGAATAAGAGAAATTGGAGAATAAATGTGCCATGATGTCTAGTGAAATTGAAAGATTGAAGGTCATGCTTAAGAATAAGAATTAAGAATTAGAATTGAACAAATAACAAATTCATTAAAATGAACAATTAATTGATTAATTACAACCATTAACAGTCGAAAATAAGCGATTGTTTGAATAAATTTAAAAGTAAATTCAATAAATTGATGAGTTGAAATAATAAATAATCTAGTTATAAAGATAATTGGATGATAAGAAGAAACAATTGGATTAAGAATAAATTAATTAGGAATAATAATAAGAAGAAATTAATAGATTATTGAATTTGTTAAGAAGTAAAGAAGATGACATCCATTAGTTCAGATAAGTCACAAAGTAATACGAGATTCAATTGAAGGATAACAAGAAGGAGGATGATCAATGGAATGACTTGCAAAATGAATTGAACAAGTTGACTTAACATGTGAATTATTTGAATGAGGTTATTGGATAGAAAAATATAGAATTGGAGAACATGCAAAAATAGAATACTTAATATCAATTATAATTATTAGAGAATGAGAAATTAGATTACAAGATCTTAGAAAAGACAGTTGAAGCAAGAGAAAAAGAGGTTGAAGATTGGAGAAGAAGATTCCAAAAACTAACCTAAGACTAAGAAAAATTGTATAATGAAAAATTAGAATCAAACAATAAATTAGCAGGTTAGGAATTGGAAATTGAAAGATGGAAAAGAAAGGTGACATCAAATGAAAGTGAATTGAACTTACTTAGAAATATTATAAGTTAATTAAATGTTGAAATAGAACGTTTAAGTAAGAGCAGTGAAGATCTATTGCAAGTAAATATTATACTATTTCTAGGATAATGAAGGATGGAGAGAAAAGTATTCAAAACTATAGCAATAAATCCCATCTATGTTAGAGTTAATACCACCAATTACTCCTGGAAACAGTTTTAGAGTATCCGAGAAACCACAATAATGAGTATGATGAGTTATTTTAATAAATACGTATAGGAATGATTTGTTACTTGTTCTAATTCTTAAAATTAATATTCAAATCTTATAGATATTTCTATATACAAGATGAATTTAATCTTATTTCATATATATACATTTAACTTTTATTTATAAATTACTCTTTTTTAATAAATGATTGTTAACTTTCATTAATTAGAGATGTTTATTGAATCATGGGAATTATCTACTAAAAAATATTTAGAAATTATAAAAACCTGTAATTTTTTGAGTTCTTCACCATAAGTTATTTAATTATATAAACTTCATAATTAATTAATGAAAATCGATATTCCTGTTCATTCTTATCTTCAAATTTTCTCTTAATTCTTATAATAAAAGATGATTATCAATCTAATAATTTTTAAACCATTGAATTAACTAATAATAATCAAAAACCTTAATAGTTTAGATATATATATAATATTTTTATTCAAGGCAAAAGAAAAGAAATAGCAAGAAAATATTAAAGTAAGAGAGTTCTCATAAGTTCTGATGATGTTTGAGAATTACATCCTAATCAATCATGAATTACAGGGTTAAAACCAATGTGTAATCAAATTTTCATATCTGTCTTTAAGTAATCTAGGTTTTCATTAAATTTCGTTTGGCAATAACTTTGTGACTGTGAGGTTATCATATGGTTTTAAAGATATAGTGAATGGCATAAAATATGTTTGTTTATAAATTGATATATATTATATAAAATGGATTATGATAACATGGATTTTACGAATTATTCCAATGAATAGATTGGAGAAATGATAAAAACATAAGGATTGGAGAATATAACATATGAGGAGCTGATAGCGAAAAAGAATAAGAGAATAAAAGAATTTTACGAGTAAGATTCGAAACTGGTAAAGCTTTGATTACTAATGTGAAGTAAGAGGCAATGTTGAGACACTGGTTATTGAAGAGAAAGAATAAGCATTTGATAGACTTTAATGACAAAGAGCGTTCTCAATTAAAACAATACTTCAACTCTTTGGATGAGGATGGATCAAGTATATAGTTTTAATTAAAATAATTAGAGTCGATTGGCATAGATGAATTGGAGGAACCATTAATCTCGTTGGGCATAGCCGAATCGCGAGAGGATGTTAAGAAGCTCATTTACACTGTTGATGATGATGGGTCTATTGAATTTAAAGAATTCTTGGAAATTATTAAAAATAAAAACGGAGATGGGAAAAGCAATTCAAAGGAGACAATGGTGATTGACTTTTTTAAAGGTACGAGAGTCTATTAATATTAAGACATGATAAATGGGCGTTTAGGACACGGGAGTAATTAACCAATTAATAAGAATCTGCCTTTTAGTTTGATCATAAGTACAATAAGGAGATAGAAGTTGTTGGATGCTTTGATGGCGAATGATCAAAAGAAGAAGGAGGAAGGAGAGAAAGTGATGAAAGCTTATGGAAAACTAATTTCTTAGAGGAGGGCTTAAAAAAATGATGGCTCAATTTAGGGTTCGAAAAAGAGAATTTGATTTTATAGTATGCGAACCTTTTTTTGTATTATTTCATAATTCTTATTATCTTTTATGTTGAGGTGCGTACAAATAATAATAATAATAAAAAACACACTAAAATGTCAGAAGAAATACAATAGTCGAATTCAGGATAATAGTTGATAACCCATTATTTTAATCAAAATCCTGAAAATTCATAGGATAGACAAAGAATAAGCAGGAAGAGAAGGATGGATTCAGAGTTACCGAAGAAAAAGATGTCTCTCAAATTAAAAAGCGATGATGAATCATCCAATGATAACATTTAATTACAATTAACTAATCCACCTAATTGTTAAACGATCTACAAATACTTGAAACCAACCAAAGATGTCAGCACTGAAGCGGGTAATTAGAGTAAAGCATTGTAGTTAAAAAACACAGAAGAAGGTAAGTAAAAAGCTTAAGGGAATGATAAAAGTTCATTTGTTAAGCCCAAGGACAGTAAAGTTATTTTGTAATCAGTTTAAAAACAGAATGATGATGAAGCCAACAAATTGTAATAAAAATTGATGGAGAAAGAATAAGTGGAAAAGCAATTAAGATAGGAGAAACAACAACTAGAAAACGAGCGTTAAGAGTTAATTCAATAGCATAATGCTTTTAAGAAGAGAACATAAGTAGTATTTGCAGAGGCCTTAAAATAAGTGGAGGAATTAAAGCGGGAAAAAATGAGGGAATATCTCGAGAGGGAACGTTATAGATTGGGTGAGTTTGTTAGTTCTAGGAATAATGTGAGGTTTGTAGAGGAATGGTAAGATGGTTATGAAATTAAATAAGTTAAATAAAATTTATAAAAATTAGAAAATGAAAGAAATGAATTAGAAAAATAAAAAAATGAAATTAAAGACAAATCCTTATCAAAAATACAAAAAGATAAATAAACTAAGTTACTCTTTGATTTAGACCTATAGAATGGTGATTTAGACAACAATCAAAGGAAACTCAGAATCTAGTTCCAATTGAGCATTCTCAAGAAAGAAGAGGAAGAACTTAAATTGAAACTACAAAAACTAGAAGAAGAGAAGCAATAATTGGCATACAAAACAAGGAGATTCATGGAAGAATAAGGGTAAAAAATTTATATTATTTTTAGTTGTCGATATTATAGAGCAGAACCAAAATGGCCATTGATTGCTTAGAGATATTAAACTTTAGGGTTGTTGGGCAAAGGTGGATTCTCTGAAGTTTACAAATCATTTGATTTACAAGAGTTCAGAGTGTGTGCTTGCAAAATTCATTATCTAAATCCATAATGGAATGAAAATGCAAAAAATAATTATATCAAACATGCACTCAGAGAGAATGATATTCACAAGCGATTGAAACATATTAATATAGTATCCTTATATGACACTTAAGAGATCGATTAAGATTCCTTTTGGTATTGAAATAATAATTATAACAAATAGTACAGTATTGGAATTTTGTGATGGAACAGATTTAAACTAGCATTTGAAGAAATATAAAATCTTAGCAGAGAAGGAAGCTAAACTCATTATTCGTCAAGTGTTGGCAGCATTACATTACATGAGTTGCAGTCCTACTAAAATCATACATTATGATTTGAAACCGCAAAATATTTTATTTCATAGAGGTGAAGTCAAGATTACTGATTTTGGCTTGTGTAAGGTTTTAGACTATGACACTACTAGATAAGAGTTAACTTCACAAGGATTAGGAACGTATTGGTACTTGCCTCCAGAATGTTTTTTAGAACAACAAAACATTTAAATTAGTACTAAAGTTGATGTATGGTCGGTTGGAGTTATTTTATTTGAAATGGTTTATGGCAAAAAACCGTTTGGAGATGGTATGTCCTAGGAAAGAATAGCTTAAGTAACATTTAGTATTATCCTTTAGGAAAGAGTGATTTTGAATTCTTATTAGGTTAAATTTCCTTAGAAACCAAATATTTCATAAGAATGCAAAGATTTCATTACAAAATGTTTGACTTATAACATGGAAGCAAGATGGAATATTTCAGAAGCATACTACTGCAATTACATTTAGAATTTAAAAACAACAAATTGAATTATTAAGTATTTATTTCTGCTTTTTTATATTAATTTTTTTTTATTAATTAGAGCGTTATTTCAGTGATTTATTAGTCTATCAACTTATAGCTCTATGCACTATCAATTAACTAAATTATCATGATATAAAAATTGATTAGAATTCATTACCTTTCATAAAGTTAAGATATTATTAAAAAAATGAATTTTGCTTTAAATTTATCAGGAAATTACACTTATAGAATATTTTATAAAAATTTCTAGTTCATAAGAGTTTATGTTGTTACACATTTACAATAACAAATCAAAAATTTCCATCATGATCCCTAATGGCATCTTCAAACGAGATATAATCAACAATATATTATATTTCAGCGTAAAAATATTCAAAAAAAAGTGACAAGAACTTTAAATTGTGTTCAATTCCTTATTTTTGGAGTAGATATCTTGTTTTTGATTTCTATTGTAACTTCCCTCTAATACAAGAATATTCCTGTGTTCTGATTTTTGAGATCAAGTTTTCTAGAGAAAATTAAAATTAGGCTTGCTTTTTTCTCAAAGATGACCACAAAGTTAAATGTTATAATTAAATTTCATATATAGATATGAAGTGGGTATCAAAAATTCAAGCTCATTCTTCTTCTTCAATAGGCTCTAAGTTATCATCATCCAAAAGGTCAGGAGGTGCTATGATGTCAAAAATTACTCCTTCTACTTCTACATTATACTAATGTTGGAGACCTAATGATATAATTAGTATTTGAACTGTTAGGGTCGTAGGGTTGAATTATTCGCTCTTTTGGTTGCTGTATGCATTTATCTGCCCAAGTCATTCGAGAATGAGCGTAAGCACATGTTGTCTAAGAGTTGAGAGGCAGAGTATGATGTGTTTATACTTTTTTTGAGGAGCAAGATCCCATGGATTGTGTTAATTTAATTAAAATGTTATTTTACAAAAGAAAAATCCATTAGTATTTATATCATACAACTCTGTGAAAATCTCGTTTCTAATATCAAATTAAACAGTAGTTACCCACTATTCTAAAGCCATAGTTATCAAACTAGATTTAGATTGATTAGAGCAATAAGTTTTAATTCAAGCAGTTAGTATGAAAAAATAACTGGCTATTTTTTTTTAATTATTTTTCCTCATTTAAAATGCCTGAAGTTTAATAATATCTCCCTATTAAGTATGAATTATTAATAGTTTACCCCTATGATTGAGGATGGATGACAACCCTATTTTTCTTTCGCTCTTAGCAGCGAATAATTTAAATATGTTACCTTTAGAGTGAGTTCCCTTAATTGCTTTGTAATTAAAATACCTAAAAGCAATCATCAAATGAATCATTGAAATTTGCCCTTATTCATTTAACATTAACTAGACGAACAAACTATAAATCAAACTTAAGACCTTTGAACTCTTCCATTCATTCAGATTGTCATTTTTAATTATATTGTAATATATGTTAATATATACATATATTATACATTGTATATAAATTAATATATCAGCAGAACCTTCTCTTGATATAATCGGAAAGTTGTTAGAGAAAAGAATATTTCAATAGGATGCTATTATAATTTTCAAAGACATATTGATATTTATTGTATAAATCTGCTTACTTATTTTCAATAATCTAAGAAACCCACAACTTTGTTAACGAAGCCTAGGATACAATTATATGAGAAAAACCTTATAAAAAGGTTGAAATTATGACACTCTGCGAGATTTTGAAAGGTAGTATTAAAATAAATTTCAAAAATGAGTTAATCTCTGTAGGTGAATTCCAATTATTATTATTACAGGAGTAAAACACGCTTATTTACGAGTTAATTACAAAGATTTCTGGAAATATTATTCTTTATATTATTATGTCTTAGTTTATTAAAAAATCATATGTTGTAAATTAGGATACTAGTATCCACAAAGTGAGATAATCAATTTTGTAAGATATCTAATTAATAAAATTATAATTATTCTTAATTACAAGTTATATTTGAAAGATGACAAGTATTGAAAAAAATAATCAATATAAATTTATTTAATAAATAATTACTAAATATTATATTTTCAAATAAAATATTTAGTACTATTGGTCATATCAATGGCGGTGTTTGCTAATGTCAAAAATGAAGGAAAAGTCATTTAATTAACATCAGATAATTTCAAATCTATTGTTTTGGATTCATAACAAGATGTTTTAGTGAAATTCTTTATCCCCTGGTGTAGTCACTGCTGAAATATGGCTGAAGATTACATAAGCTTAGCTGCTAATTTTGAAGATAATACGAATTTGTTGATAGCTGAGATGGACTGGACTAAACATAAGACTGACGCAGTATAAATCAAGGGATTCTCAACTATAATATACTTTAAAAAAGGTGGAGAAAAACCAGAATAAATTGAATTCTCAGGAGCTCGCAAAATATTCGCTTTGATTGAGTTTCTAAAAGAAACGGCAGGTTCAAAATTGAAGTCCTATGATATATTTATGCTATGTATACTTTATGTATAATTATATTACTTTAACATATTTTCATTAATCATCTCCTTTTGAGTCGATTTCATTATAACAATACAACTTCAAAATTAAGGACATTAATATTGAACCTCGTACGAACCTCAATGTCGTATTCATTAGAATTTATTAATAGATAATTTATTAAAGATTACAATAACACAAATTTTTAAGGGCAATTTTAGATTATTCTCAAGTTTAAATACATCGATAGAAGGGTATAGTTTTCTGATTTGATCGAATACAATAATGGCCTGGCTTTTTGATAAATAGTATTGGGTTTTTTAGGTTAGAAATTTTCATTGAGTAAGAACATTCTAAGTCAAAAATTTCAAAAGCTTAAAGTTCCTTTACTCCATCAAAGTTCATAGTTCTTACTTTGATTACATTTTTACATCAAAGTAATAGGAATAAACAATTTGTAAACCCAAATATTTTTTGGTAGATTTGATTTTTACCTCTTGCCACCTTATTCAAATTAATACTCTCTTGGAATGTTACACTCTCTTTACATAATCTTACATCTACTCTCCTTTCTGTAGTTTTGATCCGAGTATCCTCGGTATCCTTTATCTAGTGGCCTAGTCAATAATGGATCCATTAACTTAAGTACTTAGAATACAACTTGCAAATGTTATGTTAATCTAAAACTATATAGTCTCTTGTATCAGTTATCCTATGAATTGCATAACAATCAATAGAACATCCTTGATTTTTAAGCATCATTTTAATTTAAAAATACTTCAACGCCCAAAGGGATGTTCTTTGTGTGTTCTAATTGTTCCTTAAGTTTAGAATCCAATAGGATAGTTTAATAATTGTTGATATTTATGTTGATAAATTATATGTGATCATCCTTTATACAACCATCCAGTTTTACAAAATGCTCCTGCCAATACTAACGAAAGGATAGCCATCAACTTAATTAGAATATTCAATGATGGTCCTGAAGTATCTTTGAGAGGATCTCCCACAGTATCGCCTAAAATAATTTAATATCATATACCAATAACTGCTGCTTTGTGTTCATCTGAACCTTTCTTCTTCACTTCACCAGCATCATTTCTATAGAATCCAGCTTCTATGTATTTCTTAGCATTATCCCAAGCACCTCCTGTGTTTGATGCAGATATAGCCATTTAAACTCCACTTACCAATGCTCCTGGCAATAAACCAGCCACAGCCTATGGTCCAAAGAATAATCCAACTGCAGTAGGAGTCACAATAACCTATTTTGATATAATATTCAATATTTTACAAGTAATCCAGGGGGAATCATCTCCTTTAATGATGCCTTAGTTGAGATTGCAATACAAGCTCTAAAGTCAGGTTCCTCAGTTCCTGCGTAGATTCCTGGATGTTCATGTAATTATCTACGAACTTCCTCGACCATTTAAAGTGCAGCTTTTCCTACTGATTTCATAGTAAAGGCTGAAAATGCATATGGCAACATGGCACCGATCAGCAACATGGCAAAAATGATGGGATCATCTATTTTCGCACCTTCTGCAAATGGGAATTCATCGCCAACTTTGTAGGTCTATATTCTTGTTAAATATCCACCATATAGTGACAATGATACTAAGGCTGCTGATCCAATAGCGAATCCTTTACCAATAGCTGCAGTGGTGTTGCCAGCTGCATCTAAGGCATCAGTAGATTCTCTGACATTTTCTCCCAATTCACTCATTTCAGCAATACCACCAGCATTATCAGAAATGGGTCCATATGCATCAATGGCCAAACCGATGGTTAAATTGGATAACATTCCCAAGGCAGCTAGGGCAACTCCATAAAATGAGAGCATTTTCATTGATAATAAGGCAGTCACTGCAATGGCTATGATTGGGACTATTGTTGATAGATATCCCAATGCAAGACCATAAATGATATTGGTGGCTGCTCCTGTGCCGCAGGACTTAGCCACTTCTCTTACTGGAGTATAGGAATGAGAAGTCATGTATTCAGTGAAATAGCCAATCAACAATCCTGACCATAATCCGAGTAAGGAACAAATGAAGGCGTGATATGGCTTTAGATCTGCTAATTGAACCGAACCATCTGCAGCTATCATCACAAAATCAGCAGGTAGAGCCCAATAAGCAATGCCTATAATAATTGGGGATAAGGCGATAGTTGAAAGTAACAATTACAGTTTCAAGGTAGATTCAATTTTGTTAATATGATTTACTTTAGAAATGTAAACAGCATAAGCAGATACTAATATGCAGATTCCAATTCCAAATGCTGAAACCATCAAAGGATACATCAACTATCCAATTTCAATTGAATAACCACTTTCTGATGGGACTCTCAGTTGAGTTGATGACACAACTAATGCAGCACAAGTAGATTCAGCAAAAGATCCAAACAAATCAGCTCCCATTCCTGCAATATCACCTACATTATCACCCACATTATCTGCAATTGTGGCTGGATTCTATAAATATTACTTTTGTATTTTATACTTTAGGACTATCTTCTGGTAAATTCTTCTCGACCTTACCGACCAAATCGGCTCCAACATCTGCAGCCTTTGTGTATATTCCACCACCTACTCTACCAAACAAGGCAAATGTTGACCCACCCAATCCATAAGCAGCAACATAATCAAACATTCTTACCAAGTCCTCGTAATTGTTATCGTCACTTTTAACAATTACAGCGTTGTATATAATTATGACAAGTGAGAGAATTGACAATGATATCGAAACCAATAAGAATCCCATCACACATCCTCCTCTGTAGGCCATCTAATCATTTTTAAATTCGTATTTACTTAAAATGCATTCGCTAATGATGTTATTGCTGAAAATGCTGTTCTAAAGTTTGCTGCTGTTGCGATTGCCATACCCAAATAACCACAAAGCATCGAGGTCGCTGCCCCCAATACAAAAGCCAAAGATGACCATGGGGAAATAAACTAAGATTATGATAAATTCACATACAATCAACAATACTGCCATAACTGCTAAAAATACAGAGCAATCTGAATATTCCTCCTTTAAAAATGCTTATGCACCCTAAAATCAATTAAATCTATTACATCTTAAATGTGTTCTCCTATCTCTAGCAAGGTCTCAATCTTTTCTTATTCGGCTCCCTAAAGTAATTCTGTTAATCCTTCATGTTTGTGATGGATTTCCAATTTGTGCACAGCCATCCAATTGAATATGGCCCAAATTATGCCACAAGCACAGGCGATGAAAATGAACACTAATGCTGTTACAAATTCCATCTGATTTAAAATTAATATTAAATCTTAATAATTGTTTCGATCAAATTCTTTGATTAATCCAAAAAAATTTAAATAATTTAGTATATTGTTTTAAATTATTTTATAATTATTTTATAAACTTTATCATAAAACTATTTCCCAATGATATCATTTTTAATGAATCATTTTAAAAAGATTTTTAAGTTCGATTAACCAGATCTCTAAACAAAATACTCCCATAACTATCAACAATTATTAAAACAAAGATGTTGAATTCGATTTTTATAATTTAAATTAAAATTCCTTATCTTCAAATCCTTAAAAATCTTCTTGTTTTCTATTGCAATCCATCACATACACCATGCTTAAACTCCAAGAATTAATATAATATATGTAGATTACTTGAACATCAGAGTCACTACCTTATTCCTACATTTTGATTTTAGTACTGTCATTTTTCTGAAGTTAATTTGTGTAATGTTATGAAAAATGATTTAATAAATGCTCTTTAAAATTACAGGTATAACAATAGAATATTCATTAAATTAATGAATTCAATAATAATAAAAAATAAATTAAGAGCTTTATATGTGACAATTCGAGAATCAAAATCGCAAAGTTATTTGAATCCGTCTTTTATTTGGATTATGTATATTGGAACAAGACTTGGTCTTATATTGAGAGTGGATCAATTCAACGGAAAAGCATACGAAGTATTTACAATTTTTACAATTTAGGATAAATAATTAGAGTTAATAAAGAACTTAATCAATTGGTTTCACTTTTTAACTCCAATAAAATCTATAGAAGTGGATTAATTCGAAAATCTCATCGTAATATTGATTGCTGTAATTCATTGGTTATCTTGTTTGATCACACTATTTAACAATAATCAGGTAAGGTTTTTCAATTCATTTCAAAACTAATATTTCACTTATTTGCAAATGTTGTATCTGTATCCATCTTTTTTACACATCCATTAATTGCAATATGCAAATGAGGATTAACTAACAGTTATTATATGCACAATACCAATTATTTTAAATTACTTTATATTTACATACATTTAAAGAAATTACTCATTACCCAGTAATAACCCCTTTACGAAAAGATATCGTCCCTACAATTACCTGGTAAATTTAACAGAGATTATAGCCCTGGTATTAATTCCTTATTTTGATGAAGTATTTTAATCAATAATTCTAATGATTTAATTCCTGATTCAATTGTGTGATTCTATTTTAAATCAACCATTTCCATAATAAATCAATTTGAATTATTGCATTGGTTCATCAATACTGTTCTATTGTTCTATATTTAAAGGCTTGAGCATATACTGGACTGAAATGGAGTTCTTGTATTTCTGTTTAATTTATACTCCATTTTTAACTGTAATAACAAAGAAACTAATAAAATTGGTATACGAATAGAACTTAGATAGTAGAGAGTTAAACAAATTTATAATCCTATAAATGGTGGATGAATTTCATTAAAAGAACAATAACTTTACTCATATTAAAATCCTATACACACTAAAAAGCAGATATTAAATATTAAACAATTCAAACTTGAGATCGGATACCCAATTCAATGATTATATTTATATCATGTTTAATCGATATATTGACTCACTGTCAATACAGGAAAAATACAAAGATGAAGATTTACACACTTATAAGATTTAGTTCCTTTATTACACTTACGATAAATAGAATCTTGCTTACATTTAAATTAAGCAATTTTAGATATATCAAGAATTTCAAAGTCTTTATTTTAGGATATTGGAAGGTTTCTGTTCTGAAATAATCCAGAAAAGAATAAAAAAACTAATTTAACAGAATTAAGGAAGATTGGAATTACAATAAATTAGATAAAGTTAGGCATTACAAGAAAAATGCTAACCTTTAATTATCTAGATTTTGGAATAAAAAATAAAATATTGGGATTAGTTATTAAATGGTTATGAGAACATTGAATAATTAAGTGATGTCTCTGTAAATTTAAGTTAAAAAGTAGTGAACTTAAAGAATATAGTTTTTAAAGAATTAAATATTGAAATATTCACTTTATAGAAAGAACTTTTCAGATTAAACTTAATTGATCTACGTCTATTATCATAAATATTTGCAACTGTTTTAAATGATTATCATATCACACTTCAAATCGAACAAAGGATAGAGGAACTTCTTAATTTGGAGAGAAATATAACCACTAGGAATATTCAAAATATTGGTTTATTGAATGACGATGTTATTATAATACCTGTTAGTATGATAAAGAATCCAGGGCAGATCTTAAGTAGAAATAAATAGAAACTATTCAAGTTCTTTAAATATCAAAATGAAGATTCCTATCAATAAATAACTAATATTAATTCAATTTTGCCATTGTATTTGCAAAAAAGGCATGATAAATTTGTGAATCACTTCCTCCAAACAGGGGAGTCATCATTATTTATTACCAGTTAGGATGTATTCCCTATTTATAATTCTGGCTTCTCTTTTAGTGCCACTCTTTAATTGATACCTTCATATGATTAAATAGATGATTACATATTGTCAGCAGTGCTAAAGAGAAGCACAGAAAATTATGATTTCATTCTATTTGACGAATCTGGCAAAATCTTAGGATTGACAGAATCAATTCATTAATTATTGTTATCTAATACGAAATCTTAGGTTACAAATGAATTAGATAGCAATATATTAAAGTCTTATATCTATTTTTGGTTCAAAGATCTTTTACTCTTAATCAATGACTAATAAGATATATTCACAGGATAATAGACATAATAGTCAGCTTTAAATATTTAAACAACAATTATTTAACCAATAAATAATTTGGCATCGCTAATTAAAGAACATGAAACTTTTAGAAAGTAAAATTTTCTAACTTAGACACATACTATGAAAACAGAGTAGGATCTCCCATCAGATGTAAAGAAACCAGTTAAAATTACCTGTTTTGAATCCAATTATGTTAGTTAAACCAATGAATTTATAAATGAATAATTGCTCAAAATGCACTAGAACTCTGTTTATTTTTAGGTGACATTTATGGTGCATTTTCAAAGAAGACAGGATTCTTATCCAATCTTTCTATTAACGATTAATGAGTATCTATAAAAAGAATAGAAGTATACAGGAAGTTAAAGTGCCTATACTTCATTGGTGAAGACTAAAACTTTATTAGGAATAAAAAGTGAATTTCAAATACAAACTGAATAAGATCTAGATGAGTTACACCAGGAATTCTTAATTAATTAAACGATTATTAATAAATTATTAATTAGGCATCAAGATGGATTACCAGATTCAAGGGATATATATTAAAAGGAGGAGGATTTGAACATTCAAAATATAATTGATAGGGATTAAAAGGAGAGTAATTTAATATCTCCAAGATCAAACAGGGAAATATTAATTTAAAAAGGATTGATAGAGGAAGACTCTGAATACATTAGGGGAAATGAATCAAATGTCATCAAAAGTAGTTCCTAAAAAGAAATAAAAGAAAATATTTAATAAGCAATTTTACAAGAATAAAATGTAGATTTTGCTCATGAAAAGCAATCTAAATCTAGTGCCACTTCTGATAAAACTTAAAATTCAATTTATAATTTGATGAGAAAATTGTAATATACTTAATAATTTTAAACTTCCATCCTGAATGCTATTTTCTTAACTAATATATTAACAGCATTCTTGATTATTCTTGTAAGTGTAGAATTATCAATAGTCAGAGATCATACAAATTAATTAGAAGTCAGTATACCTTTAGTTAGAGTACCTTAAAGATTTAATAGACTCTTTTGCACTTTTCTTACTATAGGGTAACTAGAACTATAATCTAAATTATTAAACTAATCTTATGGTGAATATTACGAATATAGAATTAAAAATGAAAGTGCTTCAAAACGTATAGAAATTCAAACATTAATGGCAGATATCTTGACGGAGTTTTCATCAATGGAAGATAAGTAGTAGCTTCCAATAATGGAAATTCGAATAATCAATGAATATATATATGAGACATAAAATGCTAGTATGATAGAATTTGATAGTTTGGTAAACGAAAACACTGATTAAATAAATTAATTTCTCCAAAGAATTGATGATGACAATGAATCTGCAAAATAGGTTCAAATTCTTTTATAATTTTTAAAAGGAAATTTAGTAAATCAATTAGATCTTACAATAGCTATAGTAAATTAAATTGAAAATGATTTTTATGATCTGATATAAATAAATCAAGTTGAAGAGGTTATCTTTTTAATTGTAATACTTTTTACAATCATTGTGATGCTCATTTTATAATTTAGACAATGGTTGCAGCCATATAAATATATGTAAACAATTCTGCTATTGATTGGTAAAATATCTGAAAGAGACATAGAATATTCTGGAGCTAGAGTGTATTTTCTATTAGAAAAACTCAATCGGAATCATTCAAGTTGGAAGAACATTAATTACTTTCGTGAATTCTTTTTATCATCAAAGAGATCTGCAACATACAAAACTTTAAAGATACAATCTTCAGAAACAGCAAAAAAATCGAATACTGGTAAAAATTAATAATAGAGAGCCAAATAGACATCTCGCATTCAAGAAACATCCTTCTCAATTAAAAACATTTAAATTATCTTATTACTCCTTTGCTTATTGTTATCAATCTATGCTATATCAGCATTTATCATCATGAAAACAAATATGGATAACAGTCAACCAGAACTTAATATAGCTATGGAATATGTAAAATTTAAATAAGATCTTGATGGTGTAATGATAATCAGTCAATTATTAAAAATATAATAGATCCTAACTGAGGAAACTATGGCTAGTGGAATTTTCAAAATGAATCCAGAATTGAGCTCAAGAGACAAATACTTTAAAACATTGTACACTGAATTACTAGCTCAATTTTCACCTTTAATAACGGATATGGATGAAATTTATTCGAAGATTTATAACAATGTTATAGAATCCAAGAAAATCAGTGAAGAAAATAAATAACTATTACTAAATTTATACGAAAAAGATCTATGTGAAATTATTCCAACAATTTTACCTTTTTGTGTTTATGAAAACGATAGATTCCAATACTTTCCTACCTTTCCAGCTGCCAACTCTGATCTAAATAATAAACAAATTTATAAATATGGAATTAATGGCATCTATTAACAGTAAGACTTTAAACATATTAATTAGGATTATGTCAATATTGAATACACATTATTCTTTGGAGAAAAATGGAATAAAAGATACAAATATTACTAACATTAATTAATTTCTCTAAAGTCCTGAATATGTTTAAACAATTTTGCCTTACTTTTTTGATTTAAGCTATGCTATTCTTTAATTCTATTACACTATAATATAAGCAGCCCTTGATATTTTAGAGAGTGATTATTAGATGGCACTTTAATTTTATATAATTGCAGGAGTTGGCTGCCTTATTATATTATATTTAGTAATTTTGTTAAGGGCAATTACATTATAAACAAGGGTTCGTTTGATTAGATAAGTATTAATTGTTATACCACATGAATCATTATAAGATTAATCTATACTGAATTCTATAAGAAAGATCGATAGAAACCTGTGATTTTATGAGTATTTTAAAATAGTAGTTAATTTTTTACTTATTTTATAATTATATTTCTTTTATAAGATTTAAATACTCTTAAATTATTAATATATTTAATTAAATAAATAAATAACTAAATAAAGGATTCTAATCTAAAATAATTTAATTATTTCAATATAACCAATTATGAATTTCTTTAGCCTGACTTCTTATATTAGCTGTTAATATTAAATCAGAAGGAATTAATACTAAAATTTATCGAAGACAAGAGATCTTCATCTAATATTTGTAAACCCAAAGTAAACTCATAATCAAAATAAATAAAAACAAACTAAATATTTAGACATTCATACCATATGCCAACACCTAAATAAAATATCTGAACAACGTTGTTAATATCTGCAGCAATTTCAGAGTTGTCTAATTAAAACAAATTCAAAAATTCTAGCATAGTGTTTTGAATATCACAATAATAAGACAAAAAGAAATTTTCAAATGGTTTTTGTTAGATAGCTACTAAGTTGTTCTCATTTGTATCATACTTTAGATTGTTTATTTCATAATCATAATCCGAATTTAGATATTTTACTAATGTAGCAGTGTATCCTAACACTCCATTTTTTACAATATCATTAATCGGATCTGTACTATATGATATAAAAAATAATACCTAAAATAAGGCAGATCTTATCTGGCCAAATCGCATGATTTCATATCTTCCCAATCAGTGAACTCGCATATATCAAAATTTAATATATTGTCAAATCTACTTTATTTGTTATTAGCATTAGCATTTTCTAAAATGACTTATGCAACTTCATTTATTAATGGAGAAATATTTTCCTTATATTCAATCATTAATTAAATTGCATATGTTTGGTTAATGAAACTTAAATTATTCTTAGGCACTAATTGTTCGGTTTTAACAATCCCTGCAATAAATCCTAGTGAATCCATATTCAATCTAAATTAACCATATTTTAAAGTAGCTGTCAAAGAAGGTTAGAAATTTTCATTTTTCTACATGTGTATTAAATAACCAGCTAAGAGAAATGCAGTCCATAAAGCAGTAATCAAAAATGTAATAAAAACATTGATTCTATTCAAATAATAAGTTCTTTAGATTCTTGAATATAATGCACTTGTCGATTTATAATTATTTGATGTTTAGTCTTATTGCTTAAGAATTATCTTTTTAAATTTCTTATCTGAAGTTTCAAATACTATATCTCCAAAATTGAATAGCTTCCACACATTTGAAGATTAATCTTCTAAATGTTCTTTGATTTGTATTAATTTATTTATTTAACTAAGGGCTTGAGTTTCATTTAATCTAGAAACTAAAAAGATTATCGATTTAGTAATATGATCTAAGAATAACCAATATCTTAATTAGAATCCAACAAAAAATAAAATTGAAAATAATTCCAAAAGCATAATAACTAAAAACTAACTTTTTACCAGACTTTATTGATATATAGTGTCTTCAGAAATCTTTATAATTAATTTGTTATGTAAATCGATTAATTCCAAAAAGTTTTATCTTACAATCCCTCTCGCAAATAATTCATCATAAGATGGATTTTCATTATTCTTATTGTTGATATACATGTCATACATAGTTTCATAAAGTAACGAATAGAAATCTTATAGTTAATAGAGTTCTTTTTCTATTTTTCCCAACTTAACTTATTTCAGATCAAAAGTAGTAACACCAAGATTTGCAGCAGTTTATGGGACTTCTATTCCAAATGATTGAAGATAAGTTCTTCCATACTCAAGCATACCATCTAAGGTTTCTATATTCCTTTGATATTAAAATTAAGACAATTTAAGGATGTTTAATGTATGTAATTCAGTTCCCCAAAATTAATAGAAAACAGATGAATAATAGTAAATAATATTTTAAGGTTTCACCAAATTGATTACTTATTGAGTTTATTATTGCAGATTGTCTTTAATTAAAAATACATTTAAAATTTCGCATGTTAACATTCCAATTAAGATTAATCCTAAAATTACAGATATCTTTTTTAATGGAGAAATTAGATCTTTATTAAAGTACAATTATTGAACTATTAATATTGATTCTTTGGAAGTAGAATTAGTCGAAGTTCTTGAAGGATTGGAAGCAAAATCGCCAATATTTTCTTTATTCTATTAAGTTAATTTTACCTTATCAAGAATATTTGATCTCTTTTTTACACTTTAGCTGACTGATTCTTACCTCTAATTAGCCAAATCTTGATCATTTTCATCAAAGTCTTATTGCAATTATTGAATGTTCTACAATAAATAATCAAAATACTTACTTGCATGTCTTGTTCAATTTATGAAATATCTTCAAATCTGCATTCTTATTATTGTGGTCTAGCAAATAGAGGTTAAGATTGTTTAAGTATTCTACCTGTGTCGTAAAGATTAGATCTCTCTGAGTTTTTCAGTTGAATCTATAATTTGATATTAGTTTAATCTAAACTTAGATTGTTTCCACTTTAATCAACCAAAGAACTATCTTTATTATTATGCATGATATTATTCATTAATCTTATTTCCTAGATTATTTCCTCTTATTAGTTCAAGTTCTCTGACGTTAATTCAATTTTCATCGAATTTTAGATAGTTTCAATTTCATTTGACTCTTAAATAGAAGATCTAACTGTTTAAGGAGTTTAGTTATGACTTGAAAACTAACCCATGGTTTATTGAGAATAATACAGTTTATTTTCTTTAATGGTGAGCATAAAGTATCCAACGCTGCCTTATTTATACTTCAATATTTTGAATTGTAAACTATAAAATATTCCTAATTGGACTGATTATTTTTAGATGTCCTCAAAAACTATTAATTCTTTTAATGAAGATGCAATTTCTGGATGTAAAAGTACAATAGGAATGTTGTCGATGTTAATTTAATCAAAGACTTATTTTCCAATTTCACTCTTATCATATTGGTCTTGTTAAGTATTGTTAGTGTAATTGGAATATTTTGAATAAGTTTGAGACTTGTAAGATTAAAAGTTTTAATTGAGTTTTTAGGTACCTTAACTTTTTTTCTTAAATTATGATAATATTAACTACATTTGCTATAAGCATTCAGAATGATTTATGGGAAACGTCCAAGTAGATTTTTAATTGTTCATTAAATAATTAGAGGATGAGCATATTTGATTTCTTAATTCTTCAACTTGACTTTGAATGTTTGGAATATAAAATTGAATCAAAGGTTATCTAGCTAAGAAATCTTTAATATTTGTTGAAGAAGACGTGATTTCAGTATTTCTACCAGCTGAGGTAGTTATTGTTTTTGAGTATTAAGTATTTGATCTTATGGCGTCATTGAAAAATTGTTAAGTGATTCCTAAGATTTTTCCATCTATGCCAAAGAGAATTGTCTCACTCTAACATTACTCTTTGGTGAGGATCATATTTAATATGAAATCATCTTTGCCATCGTAAAAATTGAACAAATTAATACTACATGGCTCAATGAAACCAGCTGGATTTTAAAAGAAGGACGATTCTCCATGAATCATTAATTTGGAATATCCATTTTACATGTAATTATCCATCAATTATTCATGAACTGTTGATAAATAAGTTGGCATAAGTTAAGAACAATGCTTTATCAACTTACAACCTTCTTCTGGTTCATTCAGAAACTTAGCCATTTGTTTATAATTCACATCTATCAATTCACCTCTTTTTGATACAAAACTGGATTTCAAAATGATCAATCTATCTAATAAATTTGTATAAAATGTTTACCTTATACAAGTTGAATATTGTCTAATGATTCATCTTACTTAAATCTCTCACTCTTTAATAACTCATCAATAGTTTTCTCAATCTAAAAGGCTTGAAATTAATTAGTATAAATTCCACAGTAATAAATTTAAATTATTCTTAAACTAATTATGTCAGTTCCTTGTTAGTTTTTTAATTTATTATAAACCAAATCAAATCTGCTTTCTATTTCGGATCTACATCTCAACATCTTTTTGGCAGTTTTCAATGATTCAGATAAACATTAATCAATGTGTTGATATCCATTAATCAGTTTATTCCAAAAATTGATCTTCGATTAAATTGTGTCTATCAAGCATGGAAATAATGCTTAAGCAGAGTGAGATGTATTATAAACAGTTTAGACATCCAAAGAGTTCTAATGTTCATTAGTATTCTTAATAGATGTTTTATTTTAAGCCTCTTTTTAGAACTACTTGCTTCTTTTGTTAAGTTCCTCAGCCAAATTATGTTACCAACATCTATAATATAAGTCATTAGGATTCAATAGCAATAGTCTTATTAAGGCTTTTAATGGAGCATGATTGCTTACATAATCACAAAATAAAGAAACTATATGATTATTCATTTAATTTTCTTTATTTGCCATTCTTCTAAATATACACTCTACAAATTAAGACGGATACTGACACTTTTTGCAATTATGGATTTTCTCAATTATTTTCAAAACTATTTTGGACTGCGTCTTAGTTTCTAACTTGTTTGCCTCTTCAATTTTCTTAAGTTAAATTTATAGTTTACTTAAAGAGTGATTAAATTGCCTTAATTTTTCAATGTGACATAGTAATTTTCTATTATATCTATCAACTAAAAAAAGGCTGCCCATATCAATGTTAGAACTATTAGATATTCAAATACTGACAATTTAATTAAAAGTGAAACTGAAGATGTGATTGATACAATATCAATTAGTGCATAATGTTTTGCATTGATCTTATTTATTGTTTGCATAATCGTTAGTAGGTATTTAATCAAAATTAAAGCAAATCTTAGCTCTTACAAAATCTCAATACTCTTAAGTACTATGCATGTGAACAAGCAAATTTCTCTTATAAAATTGTTTAAAAACGAGTAATTCAACATCAAGATATGATTATCACCCATCAGTGAATCAGCTCTCCCAAAATAAATGTGTAGAGAATTGATTGCTAATGCTATTACCAAATTAAGGATGCAAATAATAATTAATACAATTTAAGTGCTAGTATCACAAAATTGACTTGATTTGCATACTGATTCTGAAGAAATAAAATACAATGATGAATAGGAAATGGGAATATAAAATATTAGTGTGTAATGCAATAAGAATTAGTGTAAAATGGTGTGTATGATGACTGAAATAGATTTGGATATCCTGAAATAAATGTAAACCAGAATTAGGATTATATGCAAGGCAAAAAATCCAATAATTATCAGAATCAATTGATCATCAGTTACAGCATTAATTACAAAGCTGTATGATGCTAATTAACTTAGTATTCTAATATTCAAATATTATAATACTTCATCTCAGAGTGAGATTCCTAATCTATGTTATTTATGATGTCCAGTTCTTAAGCTTTGTTCAATATCGTAAAAATAATCATTAGCCCTTTCATGGACTCTTAAGAAACCAAAGGATGCATCAAAAAGTAAATTTCTTTAAAAAATTTTTCAGTGTTTAAATTTCTCATTAATTATTTTAAATATTTTGATCAAAGACTAATTTATTATAAATATGAGATTGAGTAAATAAAGAATTAAAGGAATAGTTAATATATTTGTCAAATAAAAATTAATGAGTCACCTTAATTTTCTAAACTGAAAAAACTAAAGAAGGAATCTCCCATCTCAATTATTTCAGTAGGTTCAAATCGACAAACAATGTGTCTATTTTCATTTGTGATTCTTAAACATTATTATAATGGCATAAATTAAAATGTTAAAGTATCCCCTTCACTGAATGTAAAATTCCCTTTTCTTAATAGCTTGTATTTGTTCTCATTCCATTCTTTCCTTTTTATTTCACCTAACTTATTTATTATAAAATCAATTGAATAATGACATAATGTGGAACAAATTCCAATCAATAAATTGCCTTTTAAAGTCTGAATTCTCATTCTCCAAATGATTCCTTAAACCGCTTGAGTTTTTATTTTGTGATTAATATAAAAATGAAGAAAATCATTTTTTTATTTTTGGAGGTTAAATGATGGACGAATTAATTTTGCCTCGATGGCTTAATTACCTGTAAATTGATAGTTTTGTGTGAACATAGTTTTAAATGAAAATTGATGCATAGTATCAAAGGAATCTCCTTTTAACATTTTACATATTTTTTATTCCAATAATTAATTCTTTTGGTTTAGCTCTTCTATCTTTTTGGATAATTGTGCTATTTGATTGTCTTTGTTAGTAAATTATGATTGTACACAATCCTAGAATAAGGATAATAAATTACATCAATAGAATGAAGTTGAAATAGTTTTCTTGACATTTTATTGAAACACTTAGAACATTCGATACTTACTTATTCACATTAATTTTCATGTTATTCTAATTCATTTTACAATTGTTACAGTCCACATCCAGAACAATTTATTCTTCGATAAGGACATTACAATATATGCTTTTAAAACTATTCATATCCTGGCTTCGTTGTGCATTCTTCATATATACAACTTAACTATATGGAGTCTAATAGATTGTGTATTATTGGTATCGATGTTTTTTTAAATGGTCTCTTGCATTTTGGGCAATTTGGCAAAGTAGTTTCAACATGAATCTATTAAGGCATTTCAGAAAAAGAACTAGATTAAGAACTATATTGTGATCCAGATCCTGAATCTGGAGCAACAATTAAAGATTAGGAATAAAGCGATTCTTGTAAGACAACATCTCCTGCTTGATCCTGAATCCATTTGTTGATACAAACTTCACAGTATGATTAGAAGCATTTATCTTATCCACAAGCAATTGGTTTCCATAGAATATTTAAACAAATAGGACAAATTAAATGGTCAACTTCTATCTTTGATTGGTATAGTAAATGTTTAGGAATGCCACTATCTTTTAAGAGTTCCAAGGGATTTAATAAATTACTAGACTCTGTTTACATGATAAATTAATATATATATTATTATTATATAATCATAATTAACTCCGAAATAATTCTGAGTATCTGACAGCCTTTTTAGACTCTAATTGATTCATCTTTCTTTTGATATTTGCTAACTCTACCAAAGAGATTACACTTTTCGTAGCCTATCCTTTAGTACTTAAGTATTGGGTTGATCCAGCAAGACCTTTGAATGTTTCCCTGAATTAGCAATTTGAAGGAGATTTTTCATGTTTGGATGGCAATTATTCAGAAGTATGTCTTCTTGATTTTAGTTATTTTTAAGCAGTTTCCTATTCTTTTTAATTATCATCCATAATCACTTTGATTGCCTTTTCAAAATATGTAAAAAAATACATTTAAATTGGTTTGAATCATATTCCTAATAATTTGGTCTTCATTTATTTTGGGTTTTTCTTCTTCCTTCTATCCAGATATTTTTTAATACAATTTCATTAGAACAGATTCTTCCTCTAAATGTTACAATTTCTTTTTTGTTTATTTTAAACCTAAAGTATTGCAATGCTTGATGAGTATCTTTCTAAATGGAGTTTTACTCTTAGGTTTAGGTTTGAGAGATTATTCTATTATTTACTACTATTATCTCTTCTTCTTTAATCTTTCTTGAGCCTCCAAGTATCCAGAAATTAATTAAAATTCAGTCTTTATTTCATTATTCAATTGCTTCAAAGAATCAGTTTCTTTAGGTTCAGCTATTGCATTCTTACTAAATTATCTTTTAAACAACAATATTGCTCTACCTAATTCGCAATCCTATTATTATCTTTCATTTTCATTGAGTTCATCTTTACAAGTGCGTTCAATATCAGCAAGTGAATAGAAGGCTTATTCTTTTTTCAATTAGTTGACAATGACTCCTGCTAATTCGGAGTCCAATTTAGGATAATCTGATTATTCTGTTCTACAATATTAGGTAAAATCTGTTGGTCTGGTTCTTCTTGAAAAGGATGAGATAGAGTTTTATTTAATCATTTTTGATTCACTATCCGAAGTTACTAATTTATGTTAATCAAAACCATCTTAGGTAGTGAACGATTAATAATTTTTAGAGAACTATTATTAGGTAAGTTCTCTTTCTGTTCGACTACCTTTGGGTACATTGTATAATAGATATGGCGAGGGAGGTTTAACAGGAATGGGATTTAATTTGAAATATTATTATTTGTTTAGTTGTTCGATTCGTAATTTGAGATAGAATTTTTCATTTAGGGCTTGTTAATAATCATCTTTAACTTAGGATGTGATTTCCTTGATTTCAGGATTAGAGTCATCAGATAAACAAGTAAATATGATGTGTCTAATTTCACATTCTGCCAAAATATGATCAATATATTTTTAAATATCTTAGGCTCTACTGAAGATGAGGATTCTCAGTTGATGTTCATCTTCTAATCTCAAGACTTCAGTACAAAACCATTATGCTAAATGAATGCATTCCTTCATTTTCGAATATTCCGAGAGATATTCATAGCAAAGAGATTAAAGGTATAATATCATTGTTAATTTCATGATGTATGGTTCAACTGGTCTTAAATCTGAATCATCAATAACATTTGGAGTATTTCTTTTTTTTAAGATTAAGAAAATGAGTTAGTGTAAATACGAATATGCAATTTCATATTATTTTATTGATTTTTTGAATTCACATATTTAAAAATAGAATTACCCAAAATTTTAGTAATGATCGACAATTATTTTGATCAATTCAATATTATTTGTGTTTTTTATTTCTTTAATTTGTAAGAACTTCTCTATTTTATGTATCATCTTTAAACTATTGGGTATCTCATTGGTGATTTTAAACATTCTAGCGTATAAAATAAGTTATTTCATTAACAAAGCCCAACACTCGCTTAAATAGAACTTAACTATTCATATTCATAGCTTATACTTTTAGTTTTCTCCTTAAGTTTGCCTAGATGGGCAGCCTTTATTAAACTTCCAGGTATACAAATCGTCTATCTAATTCTTTGTCTCAATCTATTCAATCCTATTTTTTATTCAATCTAGGCGGAACTTAATTCTTCGTAATGTTCAGTTCCTCTCTCATTTTTTAGCATTCTTTGGATGTTGATGTATATTATAGCTGTGTACAAATTGCATCGATCAAGTAACAAATCCACCTTTGATATGTTATCTCCATGAATATATTCGTTTAACAAATTTTATGCTGCTCTTATTAGTCTTCTACTGATTTGGATATTAAGTGTACTCATTTCATTATGAGAGTAACTCATGAAATGTTTGTCCAGCATTAGAATTACTTTTCGATTCCCATTCTTTTATGTATAATTTATAATACCTTTTTTAATAAACCAGAAGCATCATTCAGTATATTTTCAATTGGGTATTTCTTCATAACTGGTATTTCAGATTCCATTATTAAATAATTATAATATATTTATTATTCCATTTCAAATTAAGATATTTCCTGAGATAATTTGGATAGAGTATTACTCTGATCAATTTAGATTGACTGATTTACTTTTAATATGAATATCATTCTAAACTTATTTTGGCCATTTTCAATGTATTTTCATAAGATTTAGCACCTCCTATGAATCCACTTGCATGAACAAATACAATGTCGTTAATACCAGATATTGCTCTCAATTACTCAATGTCTTTCACTCCTCTCCATTCACTTTTCAAAGATTTTCTATTTTCAAAACTATCCTCGTTAGCTGAAACAGCTTGCACTCTCCATCCTTCATTTCTATCAGGATATAAAACAAACTTAATTAATCCTACAGTTCCTCTTTCTTGTTCTATGTCGAAGACATGACTTTTCCAGGGCAAAGCCAATGGCAATTTTATGATTTAACCTGATTAATCCTATTCGAATCTGGAATCAAAGGCTTAAACAACATAACATCTGCCAGGGTACCATCCTCTATGAAAAATCAAATTAATTCTTACAAATAGATTGACTTCACTTATGAAATAAGTTCAGTAGTAACAAATTCAACAGCTTAATGAAATTTAGCATTTTCATCTTGATTTTTTTCACACCAAATAGGATTAAATCTATTGATGACAGCTGACAAATGAGTATTGATTTAGTACTTTAACTGTTCTTAATTTGGATATTGATTGATTCCATTATCGATGGCATCAATACTTTAAATGAAATTCTTATATAACTTTATATAGATTAAGTTGAGAGTCTTTTCATCAACTTTTTCCTTAAATTATTAATGATAAATAATTTACAATCTCAATGGTCGTTTCGACTGTGGCATTGATATGAGCAATTACATTTTGTATGATCTCTAATCCAAAATGCTTGTATATCAAACCAGCACTGCTTAAACGAATATTAAAATCCTTCGAAAATGACTATTAGAACTCCTTTTAATGATGGTCATAACGATGAGTTTATGGGTCGTAAACTCCTCCCACATCTACCAAAATGTCCTACTAAGCCCAAACTTCTGGATCTCTTGATCTGGTTATTATTCCATTCTTAAATTCATTGGTATATTTGGTCAGCATGGCGCATGCTAGAACTTCATCAACATGAAAAGCACCATTGTGAGTACCAATTTTCTTAAACACTTGTTGCATTTTTAATAATTATAATTATAATTTATATATATATGATTTACTTGTTGGATTGTTTCAGCATTTCTCAATAATGCTAATACTCCTTTTATTATATATATTTTCTTTAAGCTTCATAATTACTAAATAGTTCAGGTGACATCCATGTGTTTATGAGGGCTAATTATGATGCTACATTAGTTATAACAAGTATTATTATAGTTTAACATATTCATTTCTTTTATTAAGGTTTATGTAGAAATAAATATAATTCTACAAATCTAGTGTGTTTCACTTTTACTGTCCTACTCTTATACTCCTATCAAATTCAATTGGTACAATCACTATTCATGAAGAATAAATTAAATCTTAATATATCTACCTAAAATCCTAGTGAATTTAGGAATTTCAATATTTTTGAAGAAAAACAAAAAATTTATTCTAATAATTTTTCTCATATTTATTATTAATGTATCTAATTTTCTGAGAAGTTAATATAATATAAAACCTTTTGCAATAAGGATGTATAAATTGTTAATAACAATTATTTCCGATCATTTTTAAAATTTATACAACATTTGGTTCTTCTTAATTACTAATTAGATCGAGGCATAAAATTGATATTTATTGAAATTACATACTTGCTACTAAAGACTTTGAAATCTAAGCGATTCTATGAGGTAAAGAAAAAAGATGGCCATTTCAATTTAGAGTATCATTGAAAATTAGTTTTATTCATGAGTTAGAAACACAATATTTAATTGGGAGACTAGATTTATAACCCCGCTTATTAAATTGTTTTGTTAACAGTTGATTCATTGTATTTATTAATATTTATTTGAGAATTTGGAGGTTAGGTAAAGAGAAAAAACTCCATTAATTATCAATTAAAATGAAGTGTTAGAGACAATAAAAATATTGAAGATTATGATATATTTAATTTGACTTATGTAGCTTGCAAATCATTGATTAGAATGAATTTTTATATTATTTTATAGTTATATAAGAAATTTGATGTCCACTCAAATTCCATAGCTCATGATTACAGAATAACCTATGGATGAATACTAGGATTTTATTAGTTATTCACTCTCTGATGTTTGTTTTTCTGCCAGTAAGTTCAAGAATAAAGGTAATAACGTGAGTGAGAATTCGATTAATTAAGACTACTAAGAGCATCTTAATTCAACTCCGCTATCTCCAAACAACTATACTTTAACTAAACCTACCAATGAATCCTCGGATCAAAAATAAACTACACAGGGTTAACAACGTAATAGTGTAAGTTCAACCTAAGAAAAAGTATATAAAGACTTTTTTCAGTACTTTTTAATTCAAAAATTTGTTCATAGGATATCATTCAAAAAGAAATTGAATTCTATGTTTGATAAGTATCATTTCGATGTGATTAACGATCTAGGAGCAACCTTTAATATAAATTTATTTAGAGAAAATACAATAAAAATGCGACCAATCATAGTCAAATAGGTTTAGGAGATAGAAAATAAATGCTAGCTAAAGATTAATAAACTTCAATCCTTGCTATTTTAAAAATGGAACTATTGTCTCAACAAAATTCCATTAATTTATCCAGAATCCAAATTGAAAATGCTTTGGGATGCAATTGTTATGTTAGCAAGGTTTTATTTCATCTATGTCATTCCGATGGATTTGGCGTGGGAAATGCAATCATTTATGTTTGATATCTTGATTATTCCCACTTCATTAATGCTGACTTTATTGATAATAGATTTCATATTAAGTTTTAATAATGCCTATTATGAGTTCGGATCTATAGTAACTGATCGAAAGAAAATTGCTTAGTATGTCTTAACAAAAAGCTACGGTCTCGATATATTGTCAGTATTGATTCTGATAACATTTTTGATTATTTCAGTTGTTCAATCGCAGTATGTGAGGATAACTGAAAATTGGTATCATTTACTACTACTATTGTTTCTAATTTAATATAAGAATATATCTAAATTATCAGAATAAGTTGAAGAAGCTTTGAATTTATCAAAATAAGTGAGTTCATTATTGGAATTAGGGAAATTAATATTTTTACTATTCTTCGTTCTACACATATTCTCCTGCCTTTGGTTTTGGGTTGGAAGCTATTCATATAGAAATGATTACAAGACTTGGCTAAACTTGAAAAATTTAGAAGAAGCTGATTGGAATATCTAATATTTATACTCATTCTACTTTTCGACTGTTACTATGTTTACTGTTGGATATGGTGACATTACTCCACAAAGCACTTTCGAGACTGTACTTTGCATAATGTTTATGATGATTTGTAGTATTCAATTATCATACAGTGTCAGTACTGTAGGTGCCATTATTGATAAAATTTCATTCTATTCAAAAGAGAAAAGGAAGAAGGTTTAAACAATAAACACTTACATGTAGCACAAGAAGATAAGTTATGAATTACAATTTAAAATTAGAGAATATCTCAATTATTATTGGTAATGTAATCAACAAGAAGAAACTGAGGAGGAAAAGAACATCATTAATTAACTATCAGAAAATTTAAGAGAGAGCTTATAATTTGAAGCTAATTCAATGATTTTGAATACTTGTCCATTGTTTAAAAATCATTTTAGCGACTAATTAAAAAAGAAATTGGTGAAAAAGATAAAATCAATAGTTGTTTAGCCAGAAAACATAATTGATTTTGATCATTTGTTCCCAAGTTAAAAAATGAATTAATTTATATGTTTTGTAGAGGAAGGGTAAATACAGATATTTATAGAAAATGAATTGTCGTAGAATCATGTTTCATATAATTCAATATCGATAGTTAATACTGTTTCCAAAGGAAGTAGTCTTGGTTTGATGTCATTCATTACAGGAATCAAAGCAAGAGAAAGATTTAAAAGCATAGGCTTTTCAAAATTATTATTATTGTCTAGAGAAGATTTTCTTAAAATTATCCCAGAATTTCCAGAAGACTATGAAGTTTTCAGAGAAATGCATGATGATTTGATTTATAATTCAGATTCTGAATTTCTTAAATTAGCTTGTTTTTCTTGTAAAAGTGTTTCTCATAAAGTTATTGATTGTCCTTTGGTTCATTTTATACCTGATAAGGAATATTTAGTCAAAAAACATCAATTTTCAAAAGAGTAAAAACGAAATGAAACTTTTAAGTTTAAATTCAAGAGAAATTAAAAAAGACAACATGGTTATTTTTCGGCTTATAATGATTTAGATTTAATATAAGAAACTAGCGATTTATTTTAAGCTGATAATTATAAGCAATGTCTATTTTATGAGGAACTTGATGATGAAGTTGAAAAGTTAAAAGTTCAATCAATAAATATTCCAAAACCCTCTAATTATATGCAATAGGACTTGATTAAAGAAGAACCTGAAGAAGATGTTTAGGTTGCCATGAACTTTTTGAATCAAAGAAAAAGTCAAATTAACAAAATTACTAAAAAATCAATATCCTTGTTGGTGGATGAAGATCTCGTGCCTTTATAGCAATTTAAAGGAATCAATAAATTCAAAAGAGCTGTAGAAGTTGTAAAAAGTCTAAATAAAATTACTAATCGAAAAAGTTTTAAGGCTTAGACAAAAAATATATTGGCCTCTTTAAATAGTGAAAATTACAAGGATTCAGAATAGAAACAATTATTAATTGGGATTTAAAAGAGATAAAAATATATTGAAGATCATAACATAGAATGGATGGAGAAGGATATTTAGGAAATGGAATTCTTGAAGATGAAGTTGTAGATGTTGATTAAACTAAACACTCAGAAAATTGAAAAATTTGATTAGATTGAAACTGTAAAATAATATAAATTTTATAATATACACAACAATGTGGATCAGATATTGACAATTTATAATGAATTTTATAAGGTCAAATTGTAGGAGCAAAAGAACATTCCTTAAGTATTTAAATAATTTGTCAGATATTTAATGTATCCCTATTCATTTATTCATAAATACAAATTTAAATCCAACAATTTTAACGTGAGAGAAATTAAATAAGAGGAAACTAATTAAATAAAAAAGAATAATAAATTTTCAAAGTTATTAACTTTGCATAAATAGAGTAAAAACTTGAGAAAGAAATTAAATGTGAAAAAAGCTTAAATATAACCACTTTGATTAAATAAATAATAACAAACATCATTATTATATTTCTTGCAATTATTCTCTATAAAATAAAGAGTCGGGATGATTTTTTGGAAGTGTTCTATCTAAGATTTGAATACATTTTGTCAGGCATTATTAAGCTGATTAAATGTTTCCAATTTATTTTAATAAGATACCAAGATTTCCATATGTTGTAGCAACAAGTGGATGATCATCTCCTGATTGAGATTACTTTAAGATAGCTAATGCGTCTGCAAAGAATTTCTAGCTTTTATCATATTCTTCTAGATGCTTACAAGAATTTCCTATATTATTCAATGTTAAAGCAATTTCAACATGATTTTCTCCTAACTTACTCTTTTTAATAACCAATGCTTTTTCATATTGGGATTTTGCTTAATGAAAATCTTCCATCTCAAAAAATACATTCCCTAACACTTCGATTGTTGAAGCCACTTCCAAATTTCCAGAGCCTTAAAGTTTTTCTCTAATAGCTAATGCTTCCTCAATGTTTTTCTTTGCTTTCCCTAGAGACCCTTTCAATCTCTATATTTCTCCTAACATAGTTAATCCTTAGGCTTTCAATAACAAAGCAGAATTTTACAGTTATTAGTTTTAATTGTTGTAACTTAACATACTTTGTTATAGATTTTAATTTCCAGATGCATGTCCTAAAATAACATTCATAAAAAACCTTCAGTGATTCTGAGTCCTTTTTTAACTCTTTTGAGTGCATGCTTATAATCACCCAACAAGGAGTGAACTTTTCCTAAGTTGATGCTCATTTTGGCAAATTCTAGACTATCAGCTCCTTTTTCTTGTTCAGTAATTCTACATGCTTCTTCTAGAAATGAACGAGCCCTGGCTAGATTTCCTTGTAATCTATACCCATTGGCTAGATTTTCCAATAGAAGAGCACCTTCATAACTGTCATCTCCATTATGTCTAAATAAATAGAATAATAAATTACGCTTTTCTGATACAATCCAGAGCTCTTTCGTAATTATCTAATGCTTCATTCAATTTGCTTTGTTCTCTTAATTAATGACCTATTTCATTGTATAGAATACTAGCCTTCATAAAATAATCTTGAGCACTAGTCAAATTATTGATATCAATAAATCCATTAGCTATATCAAATAGAACTTCTGCAGCATGGAGATCATCCTTAGCATTTTCGTAAGTAACTAAGATTTCTTCCATTTTTTCTAGCCACTTTTCCCACTCGAATAGATCATAATAGGCTACAGCAATCAATTAATAAACTTTAGTAGATTCGATTCCAGCATACTTCTTTTTATATTTCATGCTTTCAACAAGATTGTCCTCATTAAGGGGCATCTCAGACAGATATGACTTAGTAAACAAAGATAATTCAGCAGGAGTTAAACGACTAGATTCATCGCCTACTAACATGAGTTTTAAGACATCATGATAATCATTACTACTACCTCTACTGCCAGCTCTTTGATTATTAAGTTTTTTCACTACATTCCTTAATTCAGAACTTTCAAAATTAACTTCCAATTAATCCATCATCAAAATGTTTAAGCCTAATTGATAAACATCAGCTAAGAATGGATTATATCTTCCAACAGTCTGTGCTCCACTTGCATCTACATACTTTTAGACTTCCGGAGGTAAATAATCAGGTACACCTCTGATTGTATTCAATAATTCTTCACTCTCCTATTAGATATTGATTCCCAAATTATTGAGTGATAATTGGTTATGTAGAGTTTAAGCTTTTTTAACAAATTTTGCCTCTTCAAAGCCTCCAATTTTATAGGTTTTGGCTTGAGAACAATACCAAATATTATGAGGACGTAGGTCTCGATGAGTGATATTTAATTGTTCTAATTATCCCAGAGCCTATGCCAATTCTCCAAATACGTGTCTTATTTCATCAGTTGTCCATTACCAATTATGGAACTTACGAAAAGATATTATTTCATGTAATGTTGAATCGCAATATTCCATTAATAGAATGATCGATCCTTTAGAGTATTCTTTATCTTCATTTTCTAAAATGTAACAATCATGTAAGGATATCAAATTCTTGGATTTATTTCCGATTAATTGCATGATATAGATTTAATATAGAGCCTATTTGAATTCGTAATCTTCATAATCATTAAAATTGATCACTCTCAATGTGTATTTGTTACCTGTTTTCTTGTCGATTACTCTCAATAAGGATGTTTCAAAACAATTAGGATCAATGATCACAGACTACGTTATTATTAACAATCACTTTACTTCATCTATGTACCAATCCAACTCATCTTTGTAAGAATAGTCATGACAAACCACTCGTACTGATACAACAACAGAATCATTAGTGGCTAAATGACTATATGGTTTAAGATTCAAAATGAAGTCCTGTTGTCTCTCATTTGAAAAGATATCTATAGATCAATCTCGCTTATACCTTTCTTCTCATTTTCACCACTTGATATTAGTACTTAATGAAATCGTTATGATTCAGGTTTCAGTTTTTATTATAATCTTACTGGAATAGCTTAGGCAAATGCCTATTCATTGGCATCTCTATTGATTGGCTGATTTCCACAACATTGATTCCCCATTTTGATTTTTATTACGTTAAAATATTATATTCAATTCTTACATATAATTATATATATTTAAATTTCAAATTATGGAACCAGAAAGATCAAAGGAGATTCTCAGTACCTTATTAGCTAAATAAATCGATATGAATGAGTAACTCTAAAATGAAAATGATGAATTAAATACTAATTTGAAGTACTTTTTAATCTCAATCTATTTAGGCGATTGCTAAATCTCCTAAATTAAAAAGATAGTCAATTGGAATAAATCAAGGACAGAATTATTCAAGTAGATTAAACAGAGAATTCATATTAAACTACAATCTCTCATCAAACACAACAAATAAAATAAATGTAATCTGAAAATTAAGAATTACAGCTTCAAATCCAATAGTAATCAGAAATTAGATCAAAAATGGAATAGGAATTGACTAAAATTATTGAATCTTTTGAGAGGATGTAAAAAATTAACCAGCAATAATAAGAAGAAATCAATTTGTTATAAGAAAGAAATCAACAATTAGAAGAGACTTAAATTACAAATTAAATTTAAATTGAACAAAGTTAAAAGCAAATTAAACTGCTTGTCAGTTCCAATGAAGATTATGAACAGTAAACAGATATTCTTTTGAAACAAACCAATGAACTCAAATAAATATAGATCAAATTGCTTTACAACTTAGATGCAATCCAAAAAGAAAAGGATGAAATGACAAATCAATTTGATGAAAAACTCGTTCAATTCAAATCTTGTTTCCAAAATTCTGCTGAAAATACCAAAGATTTAACAAATCAAGTAAATGATTTGAATAATCAAATCCAAATCCTATAAAAATAAGTAATTTCCTCATAATTATCATTAGAACTAATAATTAGTTGAATAAATGGATAATTATTAGACTCTCTCCATGAAATTAGAATCAGAAAGAGATAAATATTATAAAGACCTAGAAATTACTATTGAAAATAATAAGAGATTATAAAATAGCAATTCAAGTCTAGAGCATCAATTAAGTTAGATATCATAAGATCAAGAAACATCTATTAAAAAGGTATTTATGTGATTTAAAATTTAGATGAAATATATGATTGAATAAATTGACTAACTCGAATTAGCCAATGACAGCTAATTGAAATAGAATAATGAACTTAAGTAGTAAATCAAAAAACTTCAATTCCAATAAGATTAGGTACTTAAAGAAAAGGAAGTCATTTATGAATAATTTGAATAAATCTAGAAAAATGCTCAATATGATCATGAAGGACACAGAGATAAATATATCAAATTAGATAGATCTTATAAAGAATTGCATTCCTAATATGACGAATTAGTAAATAAAGTAATTATATTATTTAATTTTATAGTATAAAATTTAAAATTAAAGTTATGAGGAATAATAAAATCAAATTTAATTGAATATCAAGGAAATCAATGAGCTTAAACATAATTTAAGAATAATTCAAGAATCTGAGAGAAAATATTCCTATAATGCTGAAGTGGTAAGTAAGGAGAAGTTTATGATTACTTAAAAATTGGAGGAATCCTTCTAAATCATCAAGGACTTAAGGGATTAATGCTAAATTCTTACTGAAAAATTATAGAAAACAGAAATGTTTAATAAGTAATTGCTCTTGGAAAATGAACAATAATAAAAACAAGTAAAATAACATAAATATTCTTAAAGATTAAAGCACAAGAAAGTAAAATTGAGGAACATGAAGTTCATATAGAACTACTATTGGTTTAAATAAATCACAAATAATCCTAATAAGCTGAAATTGATAGACAGTAAGCTTTGAAATAATCAACCACAAAGAAGAGTTAATCAGTCAACAAGGAAAACAATAGTGAATTAATGAGATTAAAGAAATAAAATACAGAATTAACAAAAGAGGCCATTTCACTAAATGAATAGATCTTGGAACTTAAAGTAATTGATTATCTATATTTAAAAGAATGTCATAACTAAATTGAATGATCAATTGGCGTAATAAAGTAAAGTTAAAGTAGGCTTAGAATCTAGAATTTAAAGTTTGATTAAGGTGGTTGAAGAATTTTAATAAAAATAAATCTAGAAGTAACAGGATAGTTTGACGAAGGAACAATTTCAAAATTAAATGGAGCAAATCAAAAAAAACTTTTATATTTAAATTTAATAATTAACAAGGGAAAATGAAGAACTCAAAAAATTGTTGTAAACTTAAGCAAATCAAACATTTAATTCTACTGAGGAAGTGTCTTCACTACAAGATACAGTTGCAGATTTGAATAGAGAGAAGGTGAACTTAATCAGAGAGTTGAATTAAGAACATGAGGCAAAAATTAAATCTGAAGCTGAAAGAGAGAAATTGAAATAATAAATTGAATAATATCAACTTGAAATTGAAAACTGCCAAAATCAATTAGATCTCTATGTTAAAGTATTAAAACAAATGGATGAAAAACTAAAATCGTAGTGATAGAACATTTTTTGAATTTGAATATTTCTCCTTCATCAATATTATTAAATCCACAATTCCGTTCTCAATATTTAATCATAATGATAATTGCAGCAAAAATAAAACTATTCTCATTTTTTTTATTGATTATTTGTAACATGATTCAAGTAATAAATTCTTTAATTTAATGCTGTTCTTTGAAATTTGCTATCATTAGAACATAACATTTATAGAAAGTGATGGCAGTATAAATATTATAGAAGTGCAAGAATTTTATATTGATGTAACTATAAATTCAATCTTAATTTACTGATAAAATATTTCTTCATTAATTTATTTGTTTTCAATTTGGAGACATTTTCTCATTATGAAAAAGTTGACATATTAGTGTAGAAGCTTTCACTACTTGCTGAATTTTGATGAAAACTACTTAAATTGGCAAATTTAAGGATTAACCTATTTCTTATATTTGGCATAGCTTTTCAACTTAGGTGGTGAATTCAAACCTCAATCTGATATTATGTATAAAATATTTTAATAATAGCACAATATATTCAATGATAAGAGGAACATTCATTTTTAATATAATTGATGAGAAATACTTCACAATAATTCAGATTCTCTTTTTAATTTTCAATGTAATTCTCATAATCAGTTTATGTGCAAATGTTATACTCAACTACATATAGAATTCAAAGAAATGGAAACTACTAATAATCATCATCAATCTGGTTATTAATGTGTATCCTAATGTATTTTTCATCCCAATCATCTGGTTAAATATTAAATTATGTTTTACATAATCTGTAATGCATTTTGCAATAGCCTTAATAAACTTATTGATTTCTATATTTTTGACTATTTTGGTTGTATTTTTTCAGAGAGGAGATGCACTCCATTAATATGAAGATGTTAATAATAATATAATTTTGGTAAGAATTCTAGTGAAGCTTGCTGAATTTATTACTATTTATTTTTCATTCTTGAACGATACCTTAACCTTTACTTTCTAACTATTGATATATCTGTCTAATATATCACTAAATGCATTTAAATTCACTGACCAATCTGATGGAAGAGTAAGATAGAATTTATTATTTTTGGTGTTTAGTATAACTCTTTAAGCAAACCTCACTCTGATGGATTACTTGATAATATCAACAGTGGTTTAGTATTTTTACTCTTCATTTTTGAACATAAAGACTCAACAAGTTTTAATAGAAGGGGATTCAATATTATTGTGTTAATTAGCTGGTAGAATCTATAAAAATTGTTTAGTTGACAAACAAGCCAGAATACAATTGTAAATATTTAAGAACAACCATAAATGTGTGAAATGCAAGGCTTTTTATGACATAATCGAATGTATTCTCAAGAGAAAAGCAAAAAATGAAAGAGATAAGTTAATTTATGCTAACTTTGTATAAAAGAAATGGCCATTACGTGCATTAGTAGAGTTGCATAAAGAGTAGAATGAAGACTTTTATTATTAATCAGCATTGTTGACTTTTTAAAAATTAAATATTTCTAAAATTGAAATTGCTAGTTATATTTCCACTTCCTATTAATCATAAAAAGTATGTCAATTGGTAATTGATCAATTGTAAAAAGTTATGGAGAATCTTATAAAATTTTGGAATTAAACAGTTATGAATTAATTTGATTTGATGTAGTTTTATCAGGCATCTCGAAACCTAGGATTAGAAATCAAATAAATGAAATTGTTATTCGAAAAAATATATAATATAAATAGTCATAAGTTAAGGTGTAGTTCACAATTAGATGTGATTAGTTTAAGATTGCAACAAGTATATTATTGTGTAGTAAATGTTGATCTATTTAAAGTATTTCAATAAATGTAATTAGGCTTAATAAATGGAGGAGAAGATTAATGAAGTTTTTAGATTTGAAAAGTATCAATAATTCTTGACAATCGATAGCAATTAATTAGTAATGAGTATAAATGTTATTTACATTAGACAGATCACTATTAATAAGAACTTCTCTAATTTATAACGTAAACAAATTGATCAAACCAAATTATGAATAAATGAGTAAATTCCTTGAAACTTCCATTGAAGAAATATCCTTCATTAAATCAAGTTTAGATTTGATGCCTTCTTATTTGGCCACAATCCATGATTAATTGACTGAAACCTTTATATATAAAGGACAATCTAATCTATCTCAATAAGGTTAATCAACGTTCTGTCAGAATCCAAAAGGATACATAGTTCCCTGTTACATTCATATAATGCCCATTTAAGCTGAAAATGACTACTTCATCAATGCAATTCTAACAAAAGAGTAAAATTACAATGAGTCAATAATATTTGGGATGAATGGAAAGTTGTATGGAATGACTTAGACTTATTTTGAGTTTACACTTTAGAGTTTGATTTTTGAAAATTTTTCTAAAAGAATAACAATTAATGAGATTATTGAAAAGGGAGCGTTAATCTAATATTATATAGATAACATAATTGATTAGATATATAATCTAAAATAGAATATTGAAAGGCATCAAAATTATACACTTAATGACTTGATATCATGTTGGTAGTATCCTGAAAATCACTTTAACTGTGTAATAAGTGCCAATTAAATAATAATGAGGTAGTAATACTCATCTAATCATGCTTTATCTTTTTCAAACTTTATCTCTTAAAAAACCTATTTGCAAACTTCAAAACCTAGCACAGTCTAAATCTCAGAATTTGATGAATCACTTCAACATAGCAAAGAACTCAATTTTGAGGGTTGTGAATGGTAGATATTGAATAATAATTATAACAATTCTATCAGATAAATGTTGGATCAATTAGGTGAAAGTCAAAAAACAAATAGAGGTAGAATTTAATTAATTTATTCATTGTCCTTTCGAAAAATATAAATTGGTAAGAGAACATTAGGATATTTCTTATTAGAAATTAAAGATTTTAAATAGGATTACACTTAAAAAATTACTCTTGACCATTTTACTTCCTATAAAACCAGAAAATCAGGATCAAGCAAAATCGATAAATCTTCATATGAATTTCCAGTTGATGAGATTGAAATCATCAACTCAGAGAGACCACAATCATATGAGGAAATTGAGAATTAGATCAAACATATCAAGTTAAATAATCATCTTTTATATTTAAATAAAATAGAACATGAGCGATAAATATTATTAAATAATTACTTATCATCCATAAGTGTAACGAAATAAAAAATGTAATCCTATGATTTTGAAAATACATCTAGATTATTGAAATTATAAACCGATAGATAACCAAAAAAATAATTATTAACAACTAGAATAGAATTATAGAGTATCAATATTTAATAAGATGATGATGATGTCATGTAAGCAGTTGAATAAGAATTTTAGGAAATTATCTTTGAAAGAAAAGGAATTAATTAGTAACAATAAGAGGAAGATCATAATGATAATAAAAATAGAGTAAAATTAAATAAAGACTCAAATCAAAAGTAAAAAACAAAAACCTAATTTTAATTGGCAACTAACAAAACATTTAAGAAATAAATTAATATTCTTAAAGATGCATTTTTGTATCTCGATCATATCTCAAAATCAAAATTTACATTATCTTGCTTAAAGAAATTCACATATTTTTCTTTTTGTGTTATCCTTTTGTTAATTATCAATATAGGGTTAGAAAGTAATGAAGTTTAACAACATGTCTCAAGTAATGATAGATTTATCTAAAATACTTTAACAAAAGTTGAATTTCATAAATCGCTTGCTATCAAACTCAACTTACATGATGTTTTCAAACTTTCATAATAGTCAATAATTAATTTAAATTAGTATATTATCCAAATGGCTTAAACCCAAGCCGAATCAATTTATATTTAAAATATTTAGAATTAAGAATATTTAATTTTGAATCATTATTCTAAGGATGAGAGCATAGATTTAGAATAATTTCATATTATTTTAGAATAGTTTAATAACGAAATGAGATAAGCTTACTACAACTCTACATATTTTACATTTAAGTTTACAAATAATACACATTATATGTTCTCTTATTTCTATCAAACTATTATAAAAGAATTGGATAACTATGTGGATTAACAATCAGATTTAATTTAAACAATGGTTTTTACTCTCTTAAGCTTTTGTTTTATTTTGTATTAAATCAAATTTTTATATGCAAAGTAGCAAATCATAATTTAACTCCTTAGATTGATTTAATAAACAAATATACTCAAAATATAGAATCACATTGCTCGACTATCTATAATAAAGGAAACGTTTGAAACTAAAATTGATTAAAACTCGCATTATGATACAAATTCTAAGAATTGGAAGTTAACTTCTTATGTGGCTATAGTGTAAGAAGAACTTCATATGGAGAGACAATAAAATAGAAAGATCCATGAATTAGAAGGGAATTTAAATCACCGTTACATATTCCCAAACTTTATAATTGTTACAGTGCTATGTTTATTCATTCTAACTGGATCATTGTTATAGCAGAACTACTATAAGGATAAATTTTTAGAAATTGAGAAATCATTCTTGAAACTTAATCTCGTACTTGATTCTGGATTGCTTTATGGAACTCTCATTAAAACGAACAGGATTTTAGATATATCAGATTAATTGGCTAGCAAAATGATTAATTAATTTAATAATAGTATGAACCTATTGATCTAGATATCAAATGATATCATTCAAAATCTTGAATACTTGTAAGAGGATTCAATATTGACCTTATTAATTTCAGATTATTGCTTAAATTATAAAGATGAAATAAAATATTGTTATGATAATCAATATCCTTATAAAGAGATGCATTCATTAATTGATAGAGGAATGATGAGTTTGATTAATAATATTGAAAAAATAAAGCTAACAGAATTTCTGTTTGAATTAGCCAATGATTAATTTGAGAATAATTAAGATGAATTAGTTAGTTTTGTTAAAAGTCAAACATTCATAAATACATTTTTAGTTTATTTCTCCGAAACAACAAATGTTTTTATTGATTAACTAGGTGAATTATATAATTTTTAAAACGAATATTATAGGAAATATGTTTTAGTAGTCTTGTTTTATGAGATAGCTGTTGGTATAAGGTAATTATTTATAATATTGATTAGTGTTGGATTAATGTATTTATTATATGGGTACCTGACTTAATTATATCACAAAATAGACTTTTAGTATATCATTTTATTTTTGAGGACAATGCCGTATGAATAGATCCAATAAAAGAACTTTTTGCATCAGATGAAAAGCATTTTGTAATGATAATGACTTTTGATGTAATTTATGTCATTAGATGCTTGATAATTAATGATATAAGTATAAATTAGATATTCATTTAATTTAAAACAAAATTTCACTTTATTCTGCTAATGTAGGCTATCTCATTCTTTTAGGTTATCTTTTTATTAATTTAAAACCACAAGCGAATCTTTGTAATCCAATGGGAGATTGTTGTCCTAATTTTCTCAATTTAAATCCTTTCTTAATAGCCATAAAGTAAAATGAGTAAAGAGAACTTTCAGGATATAATCTCTTTTTACCAAAGAATTTTTATGCCCTTGCATATCTTAATGAATAATGAACATTTGATACCTTTTGATAACAGCATCATAATTATTGAAAGGCTGATAATACTAAAAGATGCTCATTTTATCAAATTCTTAGAAAATAGCAGTAATAGTTGGAGCTAGCTATAACTGACATGCATTATTTTAAGTTAGATTATCCGTAATCAAAGTTGGGTCATCATTATGTGTTCTTGTCCTTGATGTTATCTTTCGAGGTTGTTCCCTTGTTGCAGTATGACGATCAAGATCGGATTGATTTTTTGAATGCACTTACTATTTAGAATTTCGAACTTCTGGATGAATGTAAGAAGGATCATCTGCAGATCCACTTCTTGAGAGTAGTTTCTTTGATGATTAGTATTTATTAATTAATTCATTTGATGTTGATAAAGGATGCGACAAGAGAGGAATGACTTGGTCTTGTCCTTCTGATGAATTTTAGGAATCACTCAATTTCTCTACATTCCATGCAACTATTACATTTTCATAATATAATACTTTCTTTTTTTTTTGGGTCATAACCAAATCCAGCTGTTTAAACAGTCTATCTTGGAGGACATAGTTTACGATGATATCCTTTATTGTCTAATTCTTAATCTTCAATTTCTATTTGTTATTGCTATTGTTATTATTATTGTAATTTTGAACTTGCCTTACTCAGACTTGCAGAGTAACTTCTTTGTTGATTTATAGAAGAGGGTAAATCTAGAAATAAAATTATGTATTTACCATCATCATCTTCATCATTGTTTTCATATGCATCATTTATAGGCAATGTATGTGAATCTCCATCTTCAATATCAGTACCACCCTTTTCCTATTGATACATATCCTAAATCAGATCATGGGCCCTTCCTGAAAAGAATTTCTACATTGTAAATGCACAAGCCTCTTTAGTTTTCTTTGATCTGCTAAATACAAGACTTCTTTATTATTCTACTGGAAATAATTCTTTCTTTAGTATCTTTTCATAGTCAGCACAAAAGTGTAAAATGTGACAGTTATTTATAAGATGTCTATTACTGTTACAACTATAGCAATTTAATTATAGAGAAGAGAATTCATTGTTAATTAATCTATCTCTTGCATCACAAAACTTTTCGTAATCGTTTGGAAACTATTATAAAATAGCCAGAAAGTTTTCTCTTTTTATTTTAAATACCCTTGTAAATCCTTTAGAAATTGCAGTAGCTGTCCTAGGATTTCCAGTAAAAAATGCAACCTCTCCAAAAGATTAATATTACTTGAGTATTTTGATCGAGTTTCTCTTAATCATGTCTCCTAACTAATTTTTCCCGGAGAATATTAATTCTACTTCCCCTTTAGTAATTATATATAAAGAACAATCATCTATTTAATTGCATGTAATTATTCTTTCATCAGGACTAAATGACAATTCCTCCATAGATTAAAGGAGATTCTTGAGGAATTATTCAGAAAACAATTTCATTATGATTTTACAATTCTTAAGAATGTTACCTCGCAATTGATATTACAATTAATCTTAAAGATGTCTACTCAACTTTTTAACAATTGAACCAACCTCATCGTCATTCATTTCTTATTCTTCCTACCAAATGTACTCTAAATAACTTCTTATTCTAGTCTGTAAATCAAATTGAATTTTATTCTTAGACATAAATGTATTAATCAAAGTAACTGTCCTGCTGTATTCCATTGTTCCTTTGTACATATTAGATACAAAAATTCCTATGCTATTAACAGAATAAGCAAAAACTATGCTAGCTACAAACATAGTAATGTTATTCATTAATAATTCCTGGTTATTTTGAGCTGTAATATCTCCATAACCTACTGTTGTCATTGTCATGGTTGCCCAATATATTGAGTAATTGTATCGAGTACTACTTGTTTTCTCTCTTAAGTTGTAGGCATCCAACCAAGTATAATTACTGGTATAATGTGCTATGCCATGCCATGTGCATCCACAAATGTGAGCTATAAATATTATTATCATGAGCAATTTCATGAGACCAACCATGTCATTAAGAGATCCATTGAGGTTAAAAAATCTAGATAAAACTATGATTACTCTTAGATTTATGCTAAAATCTTATTGATTTTTGTTATTCTGAGTATGTAGAATATTGCACCCAGTACTATTTATAAAATTAGCATATTGCTGTCTTTCGAACTGAGGTACGGAATAAAGAGCTATGCTGAAACTGTGGATAATGAGACCATAAATAAAATGTAATATTTACTAAATCTACAAATGCATATTAGTTAAAATAATTGATTATTACTCTTTTTCTATCTTTGATGATTTGTCCCTTGTAAATAAATGCCAGATTGAGACCAACCACTACGTCAAGAGACAAAATAGAGAGGAGCACGATTTCAATAGTCTTACTGCCTCTATCCCCATCAAATAATTCACTTATGTAATAAATTTCAAAAGAGATCTTGTAAGGTAACCAAAAGAAAATCATGATATAAGTCAGGATTTGGAACACATCCCAAATCACTATGAATTTGCTATAAGGAGTAAATACATCAATTAAGTTCCAGAAAGCGAGAGATTGAATTAATGACCTCTAATTTGGATAAGCAATATTTGAAAATCCGTCCTATTCAAATTACAAATCATCTAACTATTCAATTTAATAAGCAGATAATTGATGCAGTTTCCTTAGATATGATTTATTCCAAAGGTTGTTTATAAAATTGTTTTGTAAACTTTTAGCTATGATTAATCTCAAAAATTAAGGTTTGCTCTCTTTCTCAGACTCAATTTCATCTATTTCATATGCAGATTGAAATTCAGACTATCTTGGTCCTACAGTTTTATATTTATCTCCATTTTTAGGAGTCAGAGGAGGAGTGTTTTATAACATCATATTGTCTGGGATCATAAAGGTATTAATGCTTCTTCCCTAATTATCACTTTCTTGCAGCGCTGTCTTTTTGTTTAACAGATGATGAATTGGGCCTTTGATTTCTTTGTCCTGAAAATTATTTCGAATTAAACTTTCAGAAAAATCAAACATATATAATAATATTGTGGTGTCTCATTTTATTTTTAATAAATGATATAAATTATTAATTATTGGCTAAAGAATCTCAGAAATGCATTAAATTTATCAAATGTATATTTGTATTAATTTGAAAGTCTATTCCTCTTACTATAAGTATATTTAAAGATATTCTCGACTTAAAGATACTATACTTCACTAAACAAATTGAATTGGCTAGTTACCTTAATATAAAGGAATATCGGCTCAAAAATTCTAAAAATATTTAAAATTGAAAATAATTTTCTTATTTACAAATGTTATTTAGGCATGAATATTACCTTAGTATTAAATAATCTATTAACCAAGTGTATTGTATTTCTAGTAGCGTAGAATTTGTCAAATGATATCAATCTTTGAAAAATGAGTATGAATCTTTTTTAACTAAATTTTTTCAATTTTATTAACCATATATATCATGGTTCGGAGGCTCAACCTAATCATATTTTTGGATCATTTTATGAACTTAATTTTGAACCAACTTCAAATAAATGAGAGGATAATAATTCCATATTGGGATGTAGGATATTGGATTCTTAGAATTTCTAAAAAGAACGTTTAAATCACATGCCCCCTATGTTTAAATATACTAAAAGGCGCTCTTTATTATAATAATTTTCTTTTGGAACTTACTAAGTATAGTTTTATTCAAAAATAGTACTTATTAATTTTTTCTCCGAATTTATCTTCCAAACCCAGACCATTTTTTAAAGAATTGAAACACCTGATTTTGATAATTATTTTCTAGATTTAATAATTTTAATAGTTATCAAAGACTGAATATGAAATTAAACAAAAATGATAAATAATTGTCAGTTTTTAAGATGGATGTTAATATTTGAGAGTAAAATTGAATGATTACTCATTATGAAGTATAAATTGATATTATTAATTATGATTATGAGATATAATTCATTAGTCTTCTTGTTATTGATTATATTTCTGAATATACTTTTAGAATTTTTAAAAATTAGCATCACTATTAACATCATAAGATTATGTGTAATCTTCGTCATTTTCAAAAACTACTTGTTTGGTTGGGAAGTACTTCTTAAATACTTGGCGGTTGCCTTTAGCATATTCAGCAGCTCTCCTGATTACTTCTTCATTAGACAAGTTCTCTCTTTAGCCCTTATTTAATCATGAGTAACTTACAGGGAATCCTCCACTTCTCATTTTGTAGAGTTGCAAAAATGATTGCAGTTAAGCTTATTAATCAAATTCGTCAAACTGCACTCCTCTCAAATACAAATCAACGTTGTCCCATACTGAATGTATTTCATCAGTAAGTTAGGTGAATTGTGAGGAAACACTTTCGTTTTTGGGTCTAATTGATTAGGATTCCTTTTTTGGTCTAATTTCTTCAACTGGTTCTTCTAAGACTTCGTCTAAACACTAATGATTTTGAAGGAGTTCCTCATTTGATTTGTTTAATTTCAAATTTTGTTGATTTGGTATTAACTAATCCTCTGATATTTTGGAGTTTCTATTGTGTTGTTTTGCATCAGCTCTATCTTCTTCTTTCTTTTCTTCCTTTAATCTCTCCTTTTCCATACTAGTCCTTCGAGATTATCGTAATGAGAGAGTATCAATAACAGTTCTCCTAAATGAAAACAAACTTTTATGTGTTTATTCTCCCTCATCTTCCGACCTTGGAGAATTTAACGATGGTAGTGTAGGCATAGTTCTATCAGTGGGTAATTATTTAAAATGGGGGCGTTCCTTAACAGCTGCCTTAATAGTATCTCTAGTATTAGTTTTAGTATGAAAGCGTGAATTGGGAATATGTTCTGATGACCTATTTGGAATATTCATGGTTCCGATGCTCTAATGATTTGAGATGTCTTACCTAATTTGGGGTAATTTGAGAGTGGATCTAACGATTAGATTTCTATCTCTTGGTTTTCCAATAAAGCTTTTTTGGTATTACTTCATTTTATGATAATATTTATATATTAAAAATGTAAGTTTTATAAAATTTAATTTATATAATATATATAAATTAATACTAAATGGTCATAGACAACATTATAGATGTGCCAATCGTTTATGAATGTTCCCTTGATAAGTGTCTCCTATTAAATAAGCTAATTTATGGGCATATTACACACAGGAAGGTACTCTAAATATTAATGATTCAATAAATACCTGACTGCTCCAGTCCAATTCTAATAATTAAAGCATTGATAATAAGTTAATTACCAAAACAATTCTTCACTCCAATTCGTATTGTTCTCTAAAACTCTATAATGAGTGGGAGTGCAAGTGCCCTAAGTAACATATTGAGCAGTGATGAAATAATCAAAATAAGATGATGTAATCTTGTCTGCGATGACACTCCCTGAAGGAGGATTGGAAAGCTACTATTTCTACTGATTTTACCCACCACCACCATTGATCATGAAAAAACGATCATTGATTTTCTTATTGATCATAATAACAGCAAATTATGGATTGTAATTCTTATTGATACTCTTTATTGCATTCTTCATTTATTGTATTTCAGTTTGTTTAAGTGCCTCAATCTAAGCATTTCCAACACCATCTCTAAATACAATGATGGTATCAGGAAGATACTTTCTGCCATTCCTTTCAAAATAAGCAGATATGGCTTCTACAATCACTCTTCCTACTTCTTGAGACATTTCCTAGCCTTCTCTCATAATGATTGGTTTAGCAAAAGTATTTAAACATTCTGACTCCAAATAGGCAACAAAACCCATACAAGATTTCCGATTGGTTAACAGTTTATGATAGATATCGATGCCTACAATCATCGTTTTATCTGAAATGCCATTTGGTTTTGGGATGGCCCATAGAGGATTACCTAATTTCATACTCATTTATTAAGCTATTTTAGAAGCAACACTGGAAGGATTTTTGGTTTTTAAGAATTTGCTTAGAATGTTTTAATGGCTGATCCCTTGATCTTAAAAACAATACTTCTTGATATGTCCGTAGATCCTATCTTTATCTCTCTCATTAACAAAAGTGACTATCAATTAAGGAGGTTTGTCTCCAATTTCAGCAGTCAATCTCTACAACCAATTTTATATGTTGTTGTCTTTAAGCATAACAAAGTAGGGTTTCTCAATTCTGATTCCTATTCTCTCTCCTTATTTTTATAATTCTGAAACTATAAAATCAATATCGTCATCATCATTCTTTCCTCTTGATTGATAGACCATAAACCAATCTTGAATGTGAGATCCTTAGAATACAGGATCTTTGATCATGAAGAATCCACTTTGATCAGTTTAGTATTCTTTATTACCCATATAAATTAGAGGAGCTTGAAGTTGAAATCCACAGACTTTCTAATCATCACTCAATTGAATATTCTATTTACTAAGTTGTTTTTTTAATTTCTGATAGAATCCATATATCTCATCATCTCTTTATTGAGGTGTTAATTTAGTATATTTAGCAACACTTTGCATGCATCTTTAGTCACATCTTTAACGATCAGTCAAACCTGTCATAGTCAATAACTCAGGAACTAAATAGGATATTTTATCTTGGTTTCTTTTATCTTTGAATACTAAAAGAGGTTGTTAGAGATCTTTGATTTAAATATTATATCTTTGTTTGTAGTATTCTTAATAAGTGATAGACTTCCCATCTTACAATTAGAATGAATGTACAGGAGAAAGACTGAAATCAATGTCATCTATTTTATATATTCTGCAATTCCCATAGGCTGCCAATACACTTAATCCAATCATTTCATTTTTGATATCTTGAATATTTCTAGTATTGAGACTTAAGATGAATTCTAAGGCATTCTGATCTCGAAGAACTCTGGATGCAAAATCAATTTATAGAAATGGCATGCCTTGGTAGAACTAGAAGGATGTCTTGACTCCTCTCCATACTTTTAATCCATGTTCATTAATCTACATTATAGATTATATATATACTCTATTGCATTCAATATTTTTTGGATCATAAAATTTAGATTACCTACCTATCTCTATCATACCCATCTCCTTCAAAGATCTCTTAACTGCCACATTTATTGATTGTGTGACTGGATTCGTTGCTGTTTCTGATAGATCTGATAATGTGTACTCCTTCTTGTGTTATGCTATAACCACGTATTCTAACTCTTAGAATGATGCCTTGGCTATCAAACGATCCTTAACATTGAAAGATGACCATATATTCTTGCCTCTTAACTAAAATCATCATAAAATTTATTACTGTGAACTCTTACAATCCCTATATTTATAGATCCTTAGTTGCCAATCTAACTATTTCATCTCTCAACTTTCTAGCATCATCTGCTATTGGTGGATCAAAATCAACTGCGTAAATATTAATCGCTTGATTTTACTAAATAAACTTCATTGGAAAATGATTTGAAATCAGATTTATACGTCTGCTTATTTGTTCCAACCTTTATGATCTTGCAGGTCTCTTTGGTAAATCACTAATTTTTTACATAAATAATTTATTTGAATACTTGTCCCTCAAATAGCGAAATCTTATTCAGGATTTTTTAAAATGGGTCAGTCTAATTTACTCTCCAAAATTCTCATCATAAGCGAATACTACATTATCTAATTCTAAAGGTAATTCATAATAGCATAAACAAGAAATTTGACTATATAAGTATGTTATCCCATTTAATAACTACAACGAACATCTAATCAAATGTCATGCAAAGCAAATAAAATAGTTGGGTTGCTAGTAACTAACTTCAAACAAATCAGATTGAAAATTATTATATTTAAAGGTAGACATCTACTTTATCAGGAAAGTAATCATCTTATACTTCCTTTTCTTTAATCGCCAAGTTATTATACCATCTAATATATCCTTTAATTCCATATATGCTTCCCAAGTATTTCTAGGTGCTTCCAAAATATGATTCTAGTCTAGGTATTAAAATTTCTAAATAGATGGCTCCTCATGATCTGCCAAAAATGAATATGATACTACTATTGATATTTATTCTCTTATTTTAATTATGACTAAAATTGAATGTTGTTGAATTCTATTTCTCAGGTTCTAATCCTATCATAATCTACTTCATGTATTAAATAAATTATGTTGCTTTTCACTTACCCTTAAATTTATGCTTATAACTATTTCCAATTGCAATTTTTTTATTTGCCAACAATCCTTGTATTACTATCTCAAACTAATATTTGATAGTTTCCATTCTAATACTGCTGATTACAATTTTTATATATGTTGCTCTTGGAACCTTATTTGATGTTTTTTAAGTCATTACTAAATTGAAAATATATATTAATTTTTTTTTTGTATTTTATTCATTCAAAGATCAAACTAAATATTTGTTAAATCGTTGTGTTTGCCATTTACGAATTCTCGAATAATACAATTTGACTCCAAGACTTTGACAATTACAGATACTTATGCAAATTTAAATTAATTACACCTTATATATCATAATATGACAATTTATAAGTCAGACTGATGCCTTTGATTGAATTACTTAATTCGTATCGAAAGAATTTTAAGAATTTCTTTGAACAAAATACTTAATTGATATAATTAATGAATAATTATCATTACCTTCTGAAATTCATTATCATTGGTGATACATGTAAATCCAAATTATTACAATATTAAAGGTGTTGGCAAAAGTTGTCTCCTTCTCCAGTTTACTGATTCTAGATTCAGAAATGAACATGATGCAACAATAGGGGTCGAGTTTGGATCAAGAAACACCAAGATTAATGATAAGACTATTAAGCTGTAAGTCTGGGATACAGCAGGATAAGAAGCATTTAAATCAATTACACGCTCATATTACAGAGGGTTTATACTTCTCAATAAATTAGATCGATTGGTGGCATTCTTGTATTTGATGTGACATCTAGATAGTCTTTTGAAGGTGTGGCGAAATGGTACTAAGAGATCCAGGGTTATGCTTGCGATAAAATTGAAATGGCGCTAGTAGCAAATAAAATAGATCTAGATGCAAAGTATAATTGACATCCTTATTTTAAAGACGCGAAGTACACACTGAGGAAGCACAGGCTTTTGCTAAAAAACACGGATTTGCATATTTTGAGACTTCTGCAAAAACAGGAGAAAATGTTGATACTGTATTTGAATCTATGGCTTAAACAATATTGAAACGGATTGATTCTGGGGAGATCGATCCCTCCTAAGAAGTTTTATTTGTCTTATTTTATAATTCTTTTAGATATACGGAATCAAGGTAGGTCCTGGAACTGCAGAGGTTTAGAAAAAGTAAGCAGTAACGTAAGATCCTCAAAATCCTAAACCTTTAACAGGATATACTACACCTGCAGGAAATAAAAAAGCAGAGAAAAAGGAGGAGAGCTGCTGTTGATTGTTATGCATATATATAAAAATTAATATAATGCAAACTGATTATTTTTCTTAAAGATCAGCCAATCAGAATAGTTAGAGTGCTAAGAATTTTATTTAACAAAATAGAGGGCCAAAAACTGCTCCACCAGCCATGTATTCAGTTCCTTGCATGAATTGCGAGAATTTAATACCTATAAATGAGATCGATCTGCACACAATGAAATGTTTGAGTGTTTCAAAGAGTGTAACGGCAGTACTAAAATCGAATAGGATTCTAGATGAAATAAATTTCAAGATTTCAAAGCTGAGAGATTCAATTTAACAATTAAATTCAAAGGAATCGAAATAAGAAATTAAAAAGTATTTAATCAGAGCAGACGAAATGTGTGAGCAAATATAGACAATACAAAACACAAATCAAATTGAATTACGAAAACTGTAGGATTTAAATTAAGAGTTAAGAACAATGACAGAATCTTACCGTGGTTCTTTAGCTATCGCATTATATCTAGAAAGATTGCATTCCTTAGGATTGTAAAAGCAAACCTAATTAGAAAAGGAGATACGCACTCCCCGAGTTGATATTCCGAAACCCAATAACAATAATATCAATAACAATAATTAAATGAATAGTAATTAACTAAGCAACAATTACAGTAGTTATAGTAGTGCATAATAGTTATCTACATATCGCTTTTAATAACCTTCTGAATAGAGTAGAAATTCGCAATTGCCACCTCCATCCTAATTTTAGAATTCCCCATATGGAAGACCCACAATTATAACTAAATTCTCTGGTAGTTAAGATAGAAATTAATTGCATGATATGAAAAGTGAAATATTGACTAAGATATCAACATCCTAATTTGATGAAAGTGAAGCCAATCAAAATGATAGTGATCTTAATAACTCTAATCAATATAGTTAGCAATAAAGAATATTCTATTCTAAATGTTTAGCTTAGAAAACCAAATTACCCAATACTCACCCATCCCAAAAAATACCTTTGTGTATACTTCATAAGGAGATGCTTCAAAGAAAGATTCCAAATTCAATGTGGGACAAATTCATCATGGATGCTTTGAATAACCCCCATCAATACTTAGATATGAACAAAGTATGGAACACTCAAGGTTTGAAGAATCAATTAAGATCCATGACTCAAGAACACTAATTCAAGTAAAGAATACACAACATTTGAACTCAAGCTTAAGTATATATTATAAATATATATTCTTAATTCATTCTTAAACAAGGGAGAGTATAATATTTTGATCTTTCTTTGATTAAATCCTAAATCATGAATTTTACCATATAAATAAATTGATGCCTGTTAAAATGTTTCACATTAATAATAATTCAATGAGCGTAATCAGGGAAAATAACAAAAATAGAGGTAAAGTCTATCGTTGCTTTGCCATTTTTAACTGTGATAGATAAGAATTCACTCACATTTAAAAGCGACGATGCAGCAAGTCTTATGAGTCCTCCTCTCAAGACATCAGAAATTAAGCTGAACTTTGTTTCTCTACTCATTCCTTAGAACTAAGTTATAAGAATGGCTATTCAGAATGGTTCGGAATCTTAGATTAACCATAAAGTAATCAAGTCTAACCATTTTATAGAGTGTTATTTCATATTCATGCTCTTTCCTCAAAGCAATATCTAATTAGTAAATGATGCCTTAAATCAATTAATTAAATTAGTCTCATCCATACCTAATTACTACCACGTAAACATTTAAAGATAAATAGTTAACTTCTGAATAATTGGATCAACTAAAAAGAGCAGAAATAAGGAAACTGATAGATAAATTAGAAAATGAATACATTGAAAAAGATGGCATCATGGGTAATCCTTCAGATGATGAGTAAGCTGGTAGCAAGATTTTGAATTTCAATCCTATTAAGTATAACTACATGCGTAATATAAGGTCAAATCCTCCAAGTACATTCAGATCAAACATTTAATAATAGCAATCCAAAAATGACACAGTAAATATATCATCCTAATTAATAGAAAGAACTTATTTAGATATAAACTGTAGAGAAGGAATATCTTGAGTTCGGAGTTTATAGAGGATTTGCTATCTTCAGTGTCAATTAATAAAAATTCATATTCTAACTTAGAAGAGGATCCAAATCAGCATTTTCGCAATCAATCAATAATATAGAGAAGTTATTAAAGATAAATTCCAAATAACCTGAATAAAATTAGATTATCTTTGAAAAAATCAATTCCAGAGCAGAATGGCATGGGAAGTATCATAAAATTGATTGTACCTATTTTTTCTTTATTTAATAGAATGCTATTATTTGATTATGACTTATCAAAATGCTGACCAAGAGGAATGCCACACCACTTTAAAATTAGCCATAAGTAGATTTTCGAAAGATCGAAATTTTGTTTAATATTCTTAGTAAGAACTAAATGATAAATACCTTTGGGGTATCAGCAATCTGTTGAAATCTTCAGAAAAACATTATGAATATGATCAAGGATATTTAGGTTAACCGAGTGATGATGAGATTGTACCTAAATTAGATATTCTAAAATAAAGGACTTTTGGCTTAACCAAAAATTATTCCTCTTTTTCAGCATCCAAAATGGAATTAATTTAAATGTAGATTCTGCCAAGAGCTCATTTAATGCAATTAGGAGAAACTGATTTAGATTCTCCTATTTAAACAAAAGAAACCATTTTAACAAAGCTTGATCATTTTGAACCATTGGTTAATGATACAGAAGATATATTGTAATATGGTGTAATCACTTCTCTTGTTATTCTGTTAATTATTTTTGCATATTTGATATTAAAATGAAACATAATGATTATTGATATTTATAATATTCGTAATGGAAACTACAGCAGCACTAACTACAAACACAGTTAAATTAACAGGCAATCTCAAACCACTTGAGAAAGATATAGTTCAACTCCAATAATGAAATCATGAAAAAGAATCGAGAATAAGCCAAAGCAGATTTGCAAGCTAAATTTGATGAAGTTTATGAGTACTAATTAGTCTTATTAATTAATAGGAAAATAACTTAAACTAAACAGATATTTTTTAATTGGCTGTTGAATTAAAAGAAAATACAATAATTATTAAAATTTATAATTTCATCTAAAAAATTTTAATGAGGATTCGAAACTAATCCTGAATCCAACAAATTTATTCACTAATGGCGATCTTTCCTTTTCTATCAAAAACTAAAAAATTATAATTCTATTAAATAAAAAAAGCTCTTTAATAGAATCTTCAATTTCACCTAAGTAAATCTAATAATTATCAGCCATATCTATACATTAATGATGTACATCATAATTTTATTAAAATTTTGGTGTCTAAAATTGTGAACCAATTCAATAACATTTAAACTCAATTTATAATCTTCATTTGGTTTATCTGCAAAAGCATCAAAAAGAAATAAAAGGCTAATTCTTGAGAATCAAAAGATTATTATTAGAGTTGTATATATAGAGATATTTAAAAAAATTTATATATCAACTTCATGTTTACTACCCTAAGTTTGAATAATAATGCCATTTTTTTAGTATTAAGTAAGATTGTCAGAGGACAATAAAAATGATTATTAATTAATTAAAATGTAGAAATAATCAGATAATTAAAATTTGCTTGATAGGTATTGCTAAACTCAAAATATACTTATGAATTTAACTTAAACTCAATATCTTAAAATATTCATCTAAAACAAACTGATTAAGAAAAACTTATCTGATAGTCTGGCCCTATATTAACAGAATAATCGCTTTTTAATTTGAAATGATAATTATAAATTAGAATGAACCTCTATATCCTTAATGCATTCATTGAAGAAGTATTTTTCAAAGTAATGAAAAATAGGAATAATGGAAGAAAAATAGTGGAAATATCAAAGTGAAGATTGAATAATTTATATTTTAGATTTATGTCTTTAATTAAACAGATTTATATATTCATAAAAAATTTAGCCCGCATATTTTTGTTTACAGGAAGTGGAAGTGAAAAACTAATAATATTAGGATTGAACAAAATTTAAATAGTAATCAACTTATTTAGGTGGAGTGACAGAAGTTGCTCATAATACTTTCAATTGAGGACCATTACAGATTTATACTTTCCAGAATTGAAGATGATTAGAAGAGAGAATAAAGTTTGATATCCTAATCTAGTTTGCGAACTATATTTGCAACTTAATTGTTATTAACGGTTCTTTTGATGGTATTTAAGAAATGCAACAAGCGAGACCAATAATAAAGCTTAAACTATCACAGATTACAACATAATTAATTAAAAACTAGTTGATTATAATGAGCGGAGACTTTAATAGTCAAAAATATTAATTTGAAACATTAATAGATCTAAATACCTGACACAATAACTTTTTTTCGAGGTATGTATTTAGAAAAGATAGAAATTGTAAACATCTCAAATATTAATAAGCTAAAAGTAATATTGAAAGAAAGGAATAAAAGCTCTAACATTGACTCTTAGTGCCAATAATTGGAAATAGCTAAAGTAGGGAATATTTAAAGTATTTCTTAATGCTAAATTCATAAAATTAGGAAGTTAAAGGATAGTTATCGGGACGAATAAGCTGAATGATAAGATATAAAGCAATATCGTATGATGTTTATTCACACCAATTAATTACATTTTGCAAGCCAGCTTCTTTAAATATCTGGAACCAAAATAGCTTTTATTTCAATAAAGCTTGGCTGGGCTTGACTTGACTTGTCCCATTAAAGAAGGCATACTAAATATCATATATAGTAAAGAATTTAAGCCACTTGAGTGGAGGTTTAGGGAAAACTGATGCATTATTTAGAGGGAGGCATATTGAAAAATTAGACTGGATTCATCAGAGGTCTGGTCAGACAACTGTATATTTACATGATCATAGTACATGAACAAAGAGAAGAGTTAAACTGAGGCCTTTAGAGATACGCTTTGGATGAATCCTAAGTTAGAACTTAGCTATTGTAACCCAAGAGCAGATTGTCAATGAAACCTTAGCCCTAATAGGGGAATAAGAAGGGATAAAGAAAGATAAGAGTTTGAAACTAACAAACTCTCAGAAAGCTTCTCCAACATAGCCCTTAGTATGTGATCAATGTCTTAGGAACTATAAGAACATTAGATCATATAGACTTCACAAATACCAGGTCCATAATAAGTAAATTCCAGAGGGTTCCTCTCACTCCATATAAGGATAACCTCTAGTAAGTACTGTGCCAAAAAGTAAACCTTCTAATAGGCTTGACCAACGTATGTAGCCAAGACAGGACGAACAAACACTCTCATTAGAACTAAGTCAAAATGATTGAGGAAACACTTTAGGGGAATATCATCCATGGTCGAAAGGCCAATAGCACTTTTAGTGCTCTTAATCCAGATACACCTAAGGGGAGTAGGAAGAAAGGAAAATGATTTGGTTTTTCATTTTTCAGAATTATTATTATCATTATTAGACAGCTTTGCTTTCCTACATACCCCCCTGAAGGATTGCCTGTAGGTCTTATAATTTAAGCCGAAAATCTTATTCGATTATATGCTAATAATTCACCTTACAATTATGAGGTTTGCATATATTCCTTATAAGTAGTATAAATTATTTAGGTTTTAGGAGTCTAGATCTTTTCATTTTGATTAATATATCAAAGATACTATTTGGTGTTGATTTTAGCATTCTGTTTTTCTGCTTTAAAGATATTCTTTATAGTTTTATGATATCATTGGCTGTTTGTATAGCTAATTCATTTACGCCTACTAAGGATTAATTGATAAATATTCATTTTATTAAAACACATTAATTAATAAAAAAGAAACACTTAGAACAATAGAAAATACAGATATATTGAATTAATAACCTAATAGACCAACATAAGAATAATCGTAGAAAATTAATAAAAAGAAAGTTTAATAATTGAAGATAATTTCAACATAAATTAATTCTCAATTAGAAATATAATTTATATCTTTTCTTTTTTCCATATTATGTAAATCATCTATAAAATTAAAAATAAATTATCAAAGGTTAATAATACTTCAAAAATTCATATAAATCATCAATTAAAATAATTAATAAAGTTAAATAATTAGAAGCCTAATAATACCAAATCTTAATAATAATAAGGATTAGAAAATAATATTAAAGAATTCAATAATGATTATCTAGCTCAAGGAATCTTTTACTCCTTAATTAGTTCTTAGACAAATCATTTAATTTTTCTTCTCTAGATAATTTATCAAAGAGTTTATTTATTCATTACTCTACATGTCATTAAACAATTCGTCATAAATATGAAAAGCTAGTTTACAAGTATATGTTTTATGTTAATCATTCTAAGTAGAATGCCAATGAAAATTTGAGATAAGAGTTGTACAATAAGTAATTGTTATAACTAAATAAGAAATAATTAGGAATCCTTTCAAACTTCTGTAATTTAATAGTCTATATTTGAAATCAATTATTTTTCTTATTTAAGAGCAATAAGCAATCGTGGTATAATTAAAAGAAATTTACATTATGTTATGTCAAATTTAAGATTGTTGAGATGAGGCGATACGAAAAATGATATTAAATTGCATAATTGATATTTAACCTTAAACCATTAAATTTAAAATGCACCTCATTTAAACTTAGAGTACAATCAACAAAACAAATGTTGAAAAAGCTCTGATATAATAAATAGAGACGAAGCATTAAAATTTTAATTAGCAAATAGCACATTTGTTGGATGGAAAAATAACAAAGCATAAATAATAACAAAAACAAGTTAATTTTTCCTCTATCAATTTTTCAAACATCAAGAAAATACTCACTAATTGAGTGAAGGTTGAACAAATAAAAACATGCATAATTCTATAAGGATTTAAGGTCCAAAATTTACAATTTTTAGGCCTTTTGCTTCAGAAGATTGTGTATGTTTAAGAAGAAAGAAAAATTATTAAAAATTTTAACATAATTTATAATAAAATACTAATTTACATATTTATTTTAGAATGAAAAATAGTGATTGTCATTTTTTTTAATGTCCAAATATCTAGACTTATTAAAGTTTCTTTTTGATAATCTGTGAGTGGTGTAATTATAATTGAATAAATGAAATGAAAAAGATTAAAAGTATGGTGATAACCTTTTGCTTTTTAAGCGAATAAGTTATGTAATCAACCTCATTAATTAATTTAATATTTATGAAAAGCAACCTATTTTTATGTTTATTTTTCATGTAAACAATAAGATAAGTAATATGCTCTTTACCTTGTTCAAATGACAAATGTGGATAATGCGACATTGAAAACATAAATTGTATAGAATGCATTTAAGGCTACACTTTAGCAGAAAGTTAATGTTAATGTAATAAGTATTAATACTTTATAGCTTGCGTATCCAATTGTATTGATTGCAAAAGCGATGTTAATACTTGTAGTGAGTGCTAAGGAGGTTATTTATTAATAAATAATATTTGTTGTGGTAATAATAAAATATTAAATTAGTTAATGTAAGGTGTTAATAATATGATGAAATTTGCAATTGCTAATCCTGCCAAAATGAATATTATCTTCTTGGTTCTAGTTGTGAAAAATGCGATTCGACTTGTACATTATGTGAAATCTCTCCCACTAATTGTTCGGATTGTCAAATAGGCTATTATTTAGATAATACAACTTGTGTAAGTTGCTCACCTCATTGTAATTAATGTGATTCTGGCACTGAATGCACCTCTTGCAATGACAATTATGAACTATTAAATGGAGAGTGCGTACCCTGTACGAACACTCAATATTACTCATCTGGAAAATGCTATAATTGCTCAACAAATTGTAATTCGTGCTTTGACAGCGATACAAATTGTTCTAGTTGTCGTCTAGGGAAATACCTTTCAGGAAATGAATGCTAACCATGTGTTGCTCCGTGTATTGAGTGCAATGCTGAGATTGATTGTACTGCGTGTGATGCTGGATATTGGCTTGATAATCAAGCTTGTACAGAATGTAATAATAGATGTAAAACATGTACTTCTGAAACTCAATGTGAATCTTGCGCTGATAGTTATTACTTAGAAGGAAGCTCATGTGAAGCTTGTCCTGATGGATGTAATTTATGCACTGACGCTTTTGCATGTACATCTTGCCAATAGAATTATTATTTGGATGGTATTTGCAAATAATGTTCTCCTGGATTCTTCTTATTAGGTGTTGTTTGCACTCAATGCAACAGTCCTTGTGAAACTTGTGAAAATGAAGCTAATCATTGTCTTTCTTGCTAACAAAAATATTATTTGATGAATAATAATACCTGCTCTCCTTGCATATCGCCATGCGATCATTGTGAATCCGAGACAGCGTGCTCAACTTGTGTTCCTGAATATTATCACGATAGTTCAACTCATCAATGTATTGTTTGCGATCCACCTTGCAAAGAATGTTCAGAATCTGGAAATACTTAATGCTCGAAATGTAAGGATGGTTACTACTTGAATTCATAAATCTGTCAGCCTTGCATACCGCCTTGCCAAAATTGCTCAACTAGCGTAATATGTTAAAGTTGTACTGCAGGGTATTACTTCGATGGAGCTGTGTGCATAGAATGTTCTTTAGGGTGTGCTATGTGCAATGGATCATAAGGTTTTCAGTGTTCAAGTTGTACAGACACATATTATCTTGACCAAACAATATGCAAACGTAATTTATATGTTTTCATTATTTCCTAGATTGTCCTTTAAAATGCGAATCAACATGTGATTTCTAAGATAACTTTGTAATATGCCATGCTTGTGCTCTTGGATACTTTGGAGCAGATTGTGAAGAATGTTCGACTTCCTGTAAAACTTGTGCTGAAATGCCTGCTTAATGTACTTCATGTAATATTGGATACTACTTGAATGGGTAAACTTGTACTTAGTGCGGCGAACATTGTGTCACTTGTGCTGATACAAGTGGAGATTGTACGAGTTGTGATGATGGATATTTAATTGATGAATAGAATAAATGTGCAAGTAATTTAGTAAATTCTATAAAATCATAGATTGTGCAAATTGTACTTGTCCAATTAAATAATATTACGATAACATTGAGAAAATTTGTAAAGATTGTGACATTACTTGTACATTATGTAATGGTGTGGCCGATAATTGTCAATCATGTTCACCTACATACTATCTGAATGGCTCCACTTGTACTAAATGTGGTCCTCCTTGCTTAGATTGCTCTGGCCAAGCAACCTGCCAATCATGCATCCCTGGATATTACTGGGGGGGTACTGATTGTTTCAAATGCGATTTGCCATGCATGAACTGCACAACTCCAGGAAATACAGGTTGTTAATCCTGCCAAAATGAATATTATCTTCTTGGTTCTAGTTGTGAAAAATGCGATTCGACTTGTACATTATGTGAAATCTCTCCCACTAATTGTTCGGATTGTCAAATAGGCTATTATTTAGATAATACAACTTGTGTAAGTTGCTCACCTCATTGTAATTAATGTGATTCTGGCACTGAATGCACCTCTTGCAATGACAATTATGAACTATTAAATGGAGAGTGCGTACCCTGTACGAACACTCAATATTACTCATCTGGAAAATGCTATAATTGCTCAACAAATTGTAATTCGTGCTTTGACAGCGATACAAATTGTTCTAGTTGTCGTCTAGGGAAATACCTTTCAGGAAATGAATGCTAACCATGTGTTGCTCCGTGTATTGAGTGCAATGCTGAGATTGATTGTACTGCGTGTGATGCTGGATATTGGCTTGATAATCAAGCTTGTACAGAATGTAATAATAGATGTAAAACATGTACTTCTGAAACTCAATGTGAATCTTGCGCTGATAGTTATTACTTAGAAGGAAGCTCATGTGAAGCTTGTCCTGATGGATGTAATTTATGCACTGACGCTTTTGCATGTACATCTTGCCAATAGAATTATTATTTGGATGGTATTTGCAAATAATGTTCTCCTGGATTCTTCTTATTAGGTGTTGTTTGCACTCAATGCAACAGTCCTTGTGAAACTTGTGAAAATGAAGCTAATCATTGTCTTTCTTGCTAACAAAAATATTATTTGATGAATAATAATACCTGCTCTCCTTGCATATCGCCATGCGATCATTGTGAATCCGAGACAGCGTGCTCAACTTGTGTTCCTGAATATTATCACGATAGTTCAACTCATCAATGTATTGTTTGCGATCCACCTTGCAAAGAATGTTCAGAATCTGGAAATACTTAATGCTCGAAATGTAAGGATGGTTACTACTTGAATTCATAAATCTGTCAGCCTTGCATACCGCCTTGCCAAAATTGCTCAACTAGCGTAATATGTTAAAGTTGTACTGCAGGGTATTACTTCGATGGAGCTGTGTGCATAGAATGTTCTTTAGGGTGTGCTATGTGCAATGGATCATAAGGTTTTCAGTGTTCAAGTTGTACAGACACATATTATCTTGACCAAACAATATGCAAACGTAATTTATATGTTTTCATTATTTCCTAGATTGTCCTTTAAAATGCGAATCAACATGTGATTTCTAAGATAACTTTGTAATATGCCATGCTTGTGCTCTTGGATACTTTGGAGCAGATTGTGAAGAATGTTCGACTTCCTGTAAAACTTGTGCTGAAATGCCTGCTTAATGTACTTCATGTAATATTGGATACTACTTGAATGGGTAAACTTGTACTTAGTGCGGCGAACATTGTGTCACTTGTGCTGATACAAGTGGAGATTGTACGAGTTGTGATGATGGATATTTAATTGATGAATAGAATAAATGTGCAAGTAATTTAGTAAATTCTATAAAATCATAGATTGTGCAAATTGTACTTGTCCAATTAAATAATATTACGATAACATTGAGAAAATTTGTAAAGATTGTGACATTACTTGTACATTATGTAATGGTGTGGCCGATAATTGTCAATCATGTTCACCTACATACTATCTGAATGGCTCCACTTGTACTAAATGTGGTCCTCCTTGCTTAGATTGCTCTGGCCAAGCAACCTGCCAATCATGCATCCCTGGATATTACTGGGGGGGTACTGATTGTTTCAAATGCGATTTGCCATGCATGAACTGCACAACTCCAGGAAATACAGGTTGTTAATCCTGCCAAAATGAATATTATCTTCTTGGTTCTAGTTGTGAAAAATGCGATTCGACTTGTACATTATGTGAAATCTCTCCCACTAATTGTTCGGATTGTCAAATAGGCTATTATTTAGATAATACAACTTGTGTAAGTTGCTCACCTCATTGTAATTAATGTGATTCTGGCACTGAATGCACCTCTTGCAATGACAATTATGAACTATTAAATGGAGAGTGCGTACCCTGTACGAACACTCAATATTACTCATCTGGAAAATGCTATAATTGCTCAACAAATTGTAATTCGTGCTTTGACAGCGATACAAATTGTTCTAGTTGTCGTCTAGGGAAATACCTTTCAGGAAATGAATGCTAACCATGTGTTGCTCCGTGTATTGAGTGCAATGCTGAGATTGATTGTACTGCGTGTGATGCTGGATATTGGCTTGATAATCAAGCTTGTACAGAATGTAATAATAGATGTAAAACATGTACTTCTGAAACTCAATGTGAATCTTGCGCTGATAGTTATTACTTAGAAGGAAGCTCATGTGAAGCTTGTCCTGATGGATGTAATTTATGCACTGACGCTTTTGCATGTACATCTTGCCAATAGAATTATTATTTGGATGGTATTTGCAAATAATGTTCTCCTGGATTCTTCTTATTAGGTGTTGTTTGCACTCAATGCAACAGTCCTTGTGAAACTTGTGAAAATGAAGCTAATCATTGTCTTTCTTGCTAACAAAAATATTATTTGATGAATAATAATACCTGCTCTCCTTGCATATCGCCATGCGATCATTGTGAATCCGAGACAGCGTGCTCAACTTGTGTTCCTGAATATTATCACGATAGTTCAACTCATCAATGTATTGTTTGCGATCCACCTTGCAAAGAATGTTCAGAATCTGGAAATACTTAATGCTCGAAATGTAAGGATGGTTACTACTTGAATTCATAAATCTGTCAGCCTTGCATACCGCCTTGCCAAAATTGCTCAACTAGCGTAATATGTTAAAGTTGTACTGCAGGGTATTACTTCGATGGAGCTGTGTGCATAGAATGTTCTTTAGGGTGTGCTATGTGCAATGGATCATAAGGTTTTCAGTGTTCAAGTTGTACAGACACATATTATCTTGACCAAACAATATGCAAACGTAATTTATATGTTTTCATTATTTCCTAGATTGTCCTTTAAAATGCGAATCAACATGTGATTTCTAAGATAACTTTGTAATATGCCATGCTTGTGCTCTTGGATACTTTGGAGCAGATTGTGAAGAATGTTCGACTTCCTGTAAAACTTGTGCTGAAATGCCTGCTTAATGTACTTCATGTAATATTGGATACTACTTGAATGGGTAAACTTGTACTTAGTGCGGCGAACATTGTGTCACTTGTGCTGATACAAGTGGAGATTGTACGAGTTGTGATGATGGATATTTAATTGATGAATAGAATAAATGTGCAAGTAATTTAGTAAATTCTATAAAATCATAGATTGTGCAAATTGTACTTGTCCAATTAAATAATATTACGATAACATTGAGAAAATTTGTAAAGATTGTGACATTACTTGTACAAGATGTTCAGGAATTTCCACTAATTGTCAAACCTGCTCTAATGGATACTATTTAGAGTCTTCAATTTGCAAAAGTTGCATCGCTCCATGTAACATGTGTACTGCTTTAAATGTTTGCATAAATTGCGATAGTGGATACTTTTTAGAAGATGGTAGTTGTTAACCATGTTAATTGCCTTGTATTAATTGCTTGGCAGGTGGAAATGTATATTGTTCATTATGTTAAACTGGATATTATTTGGATGGATAAATTTGTAAAATTTGTGATTAAACTTGCAAAAAATGTTCTGGTAGTTCCAATAATTGTTCAGAATGTCAAATAGGATATTTTTTAGAAAGCACAAATTGTTCTCTATGTCAAAATTATTGTAATAATTGCAATTCAGCAACTCAGTGTACGTCATGTGATATTGGATATGAAAAAGTTAATGGTTAATGTATTGCATGTTAGATCAACCAATACTACTTAAACTTTAAATGTTTATCTTGTTTAAATCCTTGCTATTCTTGTGCACAAACTGAATCTCAGTGTACTAGTTGTATAGATGGTTATTATTTATCTGGTACTCAATGCTTGATTTGTGACAGCAATTGCAAGACTTGTTAGAATAAAGCTGAATATTGTATATCATGCACTACAAGATAATTTTTATCAACTGAAAATAAATGTGTACCATGTTTATCACCTTGCAATTCTTGTGTTAATTCACCAACTTCATGCACATCTTGTTTAGATTTATATTATTATGAAGCGAATAGCTGTAAGAAATGTGTTTCACCTTGTTGGACTTGTGAATCGCTCAATGTTTGCAAATTATGCATATCTGGAAAATATTATGATTAAACATAAAAGAATTGCCTGGATTGTGATAAAAGTTCTTGTCTCACTTGTGTAGGCACTGCAACGACATGTTTAAGTTGCGCTGCAAATAAATATTTGGAAAATACTACTTGTAAATCATGCGACCCTAAATGCGTTACATGTACTAGTTTGACAATGTGTCAAACATGTTCAGTTGGTTATTATTATAATGGATCAGAGTGTGTTTCATGCACATCACCTTGTATTGAATGTAATTCTGGTTCAATTTGTACAAAATGTTAAAATGATTTCTACAAATTAAGCTTAAGTTAATGCATCAGTTGTTCACTACCTTGTAAAACTTGTGATTAAGAGGTCTGTAAATCTTGTATTAATAAATACTATTTTGATTCTTCTGAAACTGATACTTCAAAGAAATGCAAACTATGTTCTAGTCCTTGTGATTAATGTTCTGCACAATAAAGTTGTACAACTTGTGTATAAGGATATTATTTAGAAGGATCTTCTTGCATTAAATGTACAAATAATTGCAGTACATGTGAGACTGCTACAAAATGCATTACTTGTGTTAGTATTTCTTATTATTTAACTACTTTTAATACATGCGTATTATGCAGCAATATGGATTCATCTTGTTTGACTTGTAGTGGTTTTAACAGATGCTTAACTTGCTAAGATGGTTTCTATACATTAAATCAAACCTAGAATGGTGTTACTACAAGCACTTGTTAAGCTTGCTCGGTTAAATGCTCAAGTTGTACTCAGTCCTTATCACAATGTTCAAAATGTGCAGGTAATAGATAAGGCACTCCCTAATGTACAACTTGCCCATATGGATTTTATGATGGTGGATAATTGAATTGTGAATAGTGTGATTCCAAATATTGTATCACTTGCAGTGGATCTGCCAAGAATTGTCTAGCTTGCATAAACTCAAGAATTCAACCTCCAGCTTGTATCTGTAAACCTGGTACTTATATTTCTGGAAATGATTGCATCTAATGTATGGCCAATTGTTCCTCTTGCACAACTTCAAATTAGTGTACTTTATGCAATAGTAGTTTCTACTACAAATAGAATTGGGATGGATAAGGAAATAATATTTGCACAAATACTTGTGGAGATTCATTTTTCTAGGATGTCAATAATCAATAATGTATCAAATGTCCAATTTCAAATTGTAAAATTTGCAACTCAACTTCTGACACAGGTTGTACTTCTTGTTTACCTTCAATATATTAAGCTACCAGTGATTCTATGAATAATGTATGTACATCCACTACTTGCAGTTTGTATTTGTAATAGCAAAGGCAATGTTTGATTTAATGTTTACCTGGATATTATAAGAATGCTGATTTCACTTGCTCCATTTGTGATAAAGCTTGCAGGTAATGTTAGGATGCTGCAACAGCATGTACGGAATGCTACCCAAATATGTATTTGTAATATACAACAGGACAATTAATGAAAGGTTTATGCATGCCTGAATGTCAGACTACATTTTATTAGAAACAGTCATAAGCTCCTACTGTTTCAGGTGGTATATGTGCTAGTTGTCATTCAACTTGTAAGGATTGCATTGATGATTAAGAAACCTCTTGTACTTCTTGCTAGGCTGGAAGATATTTGCTAAATAAAAAATGTTTAATAAGTTGTGGAGATAATGTGGGTTATTTAGCAAACGCTAATACAAATAGATGTGATCAATGTGCAGATAATTGTACTTCATGTACATCAACTTCCGCTTAAAGATGCACTAAATGTGCTAGTACTCATTTCTTTTTGCTAAACTAATGTATGGTTCAATGTCCATCTAGTTATTACGGAGATCTCAATAAAGTATGCCAGCCTTGCAACTCTTCTTGTTTAACTTGCAATGGTCCATTAGATAATAATTGTTTATCATGCGGGATATCTATCTATTATTTGTCCACATCTAACAAATGTACAACCCTATGTCCAGATAGATATTATGGAAAATCAGACACATTTAGATGCGAAAATTGTATCAATGGTTGCTAAAAATGTATCAATTCATTAGATTGTTAATACTGTGATGAAGGATTCTTCTTAAATACATTAAATTCTCTTAATAATTGTTTAGCTCAATGTCCTGATGGATATTTCGGAGCAGCATCTGCCAGAGCTTGTAGATAATGTGATCCTGGCTGTAAGACATGTAAAGGTTCGACATAAGTTGATTGTATAATCTGTTCAGCAGGAAGATACAATTATTTGGGAAATTGTATTGCAACATGCCCAGCAGGCACCTTTTTGGATAATGTAAATATGAGATGTGATACTTGTTCATAAGGATGCGCTAGTTGCACAGGGACGAGTAATTGCACTATTTGTGATTTTGGATACTTATTTTATAATAATGGATGTTATATTAGTTGTCCTACTGGATCCTATAAAACAGGAAAAACATGTACATCTTGCATATCTAATTGTGCAGTTTGTAATGATAGTATTTCTTGTTAAAGATGTAATGACTAAACATTCTACACTGGAATATTGTGCACAACAAGTTGTCTAAGTAATTAATACGGAGATACTTTAACAAGAAGTTGCAAGTAATGTGATTCAAGTTGTCTGACATGTTCTGGGGCAAAGATTGATAATTGTCTAAGTTGCAGTACAACCTTCCTATTTTCAAATTCATGCAATCAATATTGTCCAGATGGTTATTTTGCTGATGCAGCAACAAAGACTTGTAAAGCATGTCTTTCCACTTGTGCTACTTGTACAAATTCTTCATCTTGCTCATCGTGTAATTAAGGATCATTTTTAATCGGAACTCCTTCATTATGCTAAACTTCTTGTCCAGATGGTTTCTATGGAGATTTAGGAACCAGAATATGTTAAGCATGTTATGCTGGTTGTAAGACATGTTTTGGTACAATAGCAGACAAATGTTAATCTTGTTTAGCAACAACTAGTCCAAGATTGTTTTATTCTAACTATTCTTGTAATTAAACATGTCCTGCTGGAACATTCCCAAATAGTTCAAATAGTAACTGCGATGCTTGTCATCAATTTTGTAGTTAGTGTGTTGATGGCACTGCCAAATGCACTTTATGTGTAACAAATAGATTTATGAGTCCTTTAAGTTCAGATATCAATTCACCTTGTCTAACTGTCTGTCCTTATTAATATTATGGAGATATTACTACTAGAACTTGTGCATAGTGCTCTGCAAATTGTAAAAGTTGCATAAATTCATCAGTTGATAATTGTACAGCATGCATGAACAAAAACATCAACAATTACCAAGAAAATTACTTTTTGTTTCAGAATACTTGTGTTGCTTAATGTCCAACATAATAAATAATGAATTAAGAAGGAAGTACAACAGATTAGTAATTATATGGTGATATTGTATCAGATACATTCTCTTTTAATTGTGTTTTAAAATGCCCATCCTTAACTTTCAGAAATAATTAACTTATGATTTGTGAATAGTGCCATGCATCATGCAGAAATTGTGACGGAAATCGCAATAATAATTGTCTAGCTTGCTTTACTGGATTTTATCTTTATTTAGGAACTTGTTTATCCACTTGCCCTAAAGGTACATACTTAAATGCTGTTACCTCCTCTTGCGTGACATGTGACCCAAAGTGTAAAGAATGCGATGGGCCTAATGCTACCGATTGTACTTCTTGTTCAGCTTCTTCAGTTAAACAAGGCAAAGAGTGTTTGGATAGTTGCAATTAAGGATATGTGGCAGTTGATTCAGTCTGTACTTCTTGTCATTATACTTGTAAAAACTGCATAGGTAGTGACATCTAACAATGTATATCCTGTTCTGTTGGATTATATCTTTAAAAACTCTAAGAAAGTGATTTAAGTGGTAAATGTATTGAAAGTTGTAATTCATCTTATTACCCTGACAGTATTGACAATAAATGCAAAGTTTGTCCTTCTGAGTGTTAAACATGTGATGGACCTGAGGTGAATGATTGTTTGACTTGTATCGAAACTTTGATGTTTATGGGAGGAGTATGCAGTGATGTTTGTATAGATGGTTATTACTTGAATGTTAATTAATGCGCTTAATGTAATGTATCTTGCAAAACTTGTAACGGTCCAAGCTCAAACTAATGTTTAACTTGTAGCAATCAACTGTTCTTGTTCAATTCTCAATGTTTGATCTCTTGTATTGAAGGGTACTTCTAGAATGAAACCACAAACTCTTGTGAGAGATGTATGGATAATTGTTTGTCATGTACAAATAGTTCAACTTGCAGTTCTTGTGATGCATCCAAGTACTTCTTATTGGAGTAATAGTGTTACATATTTTGCACTATTGGCTAATACTTTGATACTACTTAGAAAAGTTGTTAAAGTTGTAATAGCTCTTGCTTCACTTGCACAGGATCAAAAAGTAATTAATGTTCCAGTTGTAAAACTGATTATTTCTTAAAAGTTTCATTCAACTCTTATGCTAGTATTTATGATTGGACTTGTGAATAACAATGCGGAGAACTCTATTAACCTGATATTTAAAATGGTGTTTGTTTGTATGATAATTGTCACTCTAGCTGTTCTACTTGTTTAAGTGATTAAGCCACAACTTGTAGATCTTGTAGTAATTTAATATTATCCAATTCATAATGTTTATCTGGTTGTCAAGATGGATATTATGTTGTCAGCAATCAATGTAAAGTTTGCAATAGATTATGTAAGATTTGTGAAGATAGTTCAACTGTTTGTTCAACTTGTACAGATATTGCTTTAAGAGTTGAAGATTCCTATTGTGTTATTTCATGCCCAGAGAAATACATTAAACATTCAACATAAAAAATATGCATTGGGTGCGTTTCTAATTGTTTAAATTGTGTTTTTGATGAAAAGTTATTAGGATCCACAAAATGTATGAAATGTGAATCAAAATTTTTCATTGATTTGACGTATGATTCCAATAAAGTTCTGAAAGGTGTACAATGTTAATAGACATGTCCAGATGGAAAATACAATAATTCAGACTCATTTTAATGTTCAAATTGTGATTGGAGCTGTAAGACTTGTTCGGAATCTACAAGTTTAGATTGTATTAAATGTGGAACAGTTGTCCATCCAAAAACAGGTGCCTCTTAAATTAGATATATGGAAGATGGAGTTTGTAGAGTAACCTGCAGAGCTGGATCATATGCCTATGTTAATGATCTAGATGGCAATAAATGTATGGTTTGTAATAGCAGCTGCAAGACTTGTTTTGGAGCACTAGATACAAATTGTAACAGTTGCTATTCAACTACATATCTATCTTCCAATGGCAAATGTGTCAAAGATTGTTCTACTGGATACTTTTCAAATGATTCCAATTAGTAATGTGAAAAATGTTATTAGGGTTGCTCTAAATGTGATGGTGTTAAGTCTACTCAATGTATGGCATGTGAAAATGGATATTATTTGTATAAAGACACTTGTTAGACTGATTGTCCAGATGAATATTTCAAAGATGGTAATGTTTGCTCTAATTGTGATAAATTCTGCTTCAATTGTACTGGAAAAGAATCAAATTAATGTACATCCTGTCCCACTGATCTCTATTTTTATCCAGAACAAAATACTTGTTATATTTAATGTCCCCTTAAATCATTCTTGAATTTAACAACTTATCAATGTCAAGATTGTCATTCATCCTGTCTTACATGTTCAGATGAAAAAGAGACCAGTTGTTTATCGTGCCCTTTGAAAAAAAGTGACACCGATATTTAAACATATTTGTTGAAAGCAAAGTGCGTTTCTAATTGTGGAAATCATTAATTTGGGCATCCAGACTCTTTAGTTTGCTAAGAATGTGATATTTAATGCACCAATTGTCAAACTCAAAGCAATAATTGCATTGGAAGCTGTCCAGCCAATAGACTTACTATTCCCTAATGTGATTGTCCAACTGGATATATGATAGATTCTCCTACTGCTGTATGTCAATTATGCTACTATAAATGTTCCACTTGTAATGAAGCATACATCAATTGTTTGAAATGTGCTGCCAATAGAAATCAAGATGCACCTTTTTGTTCATGTCCTTCTGGTTACTTTGATGATGAGGATAACAAGAATCCAGTTTGTCAACCTTGTGCTTGGTAATGTGCAACCTGTCAAAAGAGAAGTGATTTATGTATTACATGCAAAGGAGATAGAGTTGGTTCTGGTTGTGTATGTCCTGCTGGTAAATATGAAGATTCCTCAAGTCAAAAGGAAATGTGTTCTACATGTGATTTTACTTGTTCAACTTGTGCAGTCAAATCTAATTATTGTATAACTTGTAAAGGAAACAGATACTCAACACTCTTACAAGCTAATCCACTATATAAATAGTGTTTGTGTTAGAATGGGTTGTATGAAGACGGCAAATCCACTAATTGTCCTTAATGTGACTTTAAATGTACAACCTGTACTGGTTCAAGTTCCAATTGTTTAAGTTGTAGAGGAGATAGAATACTTAAAGAGCAATGCATTTGTGAACCAGGATACTTTGATGATGATGTTAATGATAAATGTTAGAAATGTGACTTATCATGTGTGACTTGTGATAAAAAGGGTTGTTTAACATGCGCTGGGAATAGAGAAGGCCCAAATTTACTCTAGATCTGTAATTGTCCAGCAACAGGTATTGATAGAAGACAACATGGATACGCTGAATGTGGAACTTGCGAGTATGGCGTACCTTACATTAAAATGAGGGATAGTTTAGATTCCATGACAATAATATTTGGTGGAATAATTATAATTAAGGGAATCAATGATGCTACGATCCCAAGCAGAGATGTGTGTCAAAAATTGTTTAATGATGTTGACTTTGCCAAACTAGGAAGTGGTAAGCCTTTGTGTAATGTGGATCCAAACAATTAAAAGTAGTTGCTGGTGGTCTTTGCAAATAATGCGTAATTTATAATTGGAGGAACTATCACCTTAAACTTGAAATAAGTAATTGGAAGGAAAGATTGTTTAGGAGTGTATTACTCTAATTTCATAGTTGCCAAAATTAATGGCCCAGATGCTCCTGTTCCTGCCTCGGTGAAATTTACAGGCCCATAATATAGTAATTTATGTAGCAAGATCACATTTTTCCCAAGTTAAGTCATCAATGATGGTGGTCGAGGATTGAATATGAAGTCATGGTCAATAGTCTCTATTGAACCAGAAAATTCTAGTGCCAGAGGAAGAATTCAAGGTCTATTTGATGCTGCTAATTCTGCCAAGATCAGCAAGATTGAAATTCCACCTATGCTTTTATCAGAATACTCAAAATATGTATTTAAATACACATTTACTAACTTCTTGAATAAAGAATTTAGTTCAGACTACACATTATCAACCACAACTTACGAATCCCCAACTGTTCAAATCGAAGAACTAGCTCCACATGTTTATTTCACAAATGCACGAATCAAATTAATAGGAACTATCATCCATCAAAGTTGCATCTCTGGAGTTACAGAAAGTGTACCTTCAACAATCAATTATGAATGGACATCAAATAAAGTTAGTAAAGGAGCCATTGAATCATATTTACTCTAAGATGTCCAAACTCTTGTAGGAGTAAAGCCTCCTGATGTTCAGTTTGTTTAACTTGATATCCCTCCTTATTCAGGTAAAGGTGGAATCACATATTCAGTTACTTTGATAGCTACTCTAACAACAAAACCAATTTCAGCTAATTATACAGTCGATATTACTATACAAACTTAAGGATTATAAGTGGAAATTGAAGGAGGAAATAGAATGAATGGATATGCTGTGCCTCTGAAAGTAAATGGATGGGCCAAAGATCCCAATATTAAAACAGATTAGAGTGTTGGAATTGAGTTGGTATGGAAATGTGTGAATCTCAATACTAATTTACCATGTGCAGATGTTTATGATGAGGAAATTCCACTCAATAGAACCAATACTTAGCTTGTGGCAGCAAAGAGATTCGTACCTTATAATGCCTATAATTTCTACTTGAATGGAACTAAAGGGGAACTCTTTGAAGTCGCTTAGGCAGTCATTGTAATTGTAGAATTAGACATTCCAGTTTTAGAACTCAAGAGACCTGAATATTTAACATCAAAGAGAGTCAACATGAATCAAGAAATCAGCATTAAGTTCTTGTATCCCACGAAGAATCCAGATAGTTTATACTATGGAGGTGCAATAGTATATGATTTCAATGTGGTAGCTACACTTAGATTCTTCTTCACATCAATAACAATAAAGTTCTGGGATAGCTTCTATGAATTAACTGACCTAGCTTAATTGGGATTCAGAGCATCAGTGTACAATCCCCAATTTTTCATGCCTTCAACAACTACTTTGCTTATTAACATCAATTTGCCACCTCGACTGTGTAGAATTAACATTTCCCCTATCAGCGGTATTTCATTTGATACCTAATTCACCATGAAAGTTACTAATTGTGAAGATAGCGATGCACCATTCACTTACAAGTTTACATTCTATTACTCTCCCACCCAATACGACAATGATATTTTGAAGGCTAGTTCATTGAATCAGATTCTTTTACTTGATTACTCAAGTGACAATGAATTAACTACTATACTACCAAATCCTTTGAGTGATTCAGCTGTAACTCAGCCTTTCCTGATTCTGATGGCGTCAGTATCAGATTCCTTGGGAGCATTAACAAACCTTACATCATCAGTAGTAGTCGGACTGAATCAAGTCGATCTTAAACATAAACTTTTAGTGGCTTAATATTTGATGAAGAGATAAACATAAGAAGATAAATTCTCCCCATTGCCCTATTTCTTCAGATCAAGATAATTAGCAGAGATTACAGATGCAACAGATAAATTTATAAAACTTTATTAGAATAGAACATCTTTAACAATTCCAGAATAAATTAATTTACTTAATCTTCTTGCCATTGGTGTTAAAGATATAACTATTGATAATCCAACTGCTGATCAAGATGCTAATGAAACTGCTATTATCAAACAAGAATAAGCTAAATTAGTCACCCTAAAATAAAGTATTTTGGCATCACTTAAAGAGATGCAATCCCAAGATGTCAGTGTTGCTACTAAGAGTGCTCTCACTAAATCCATTGAAGAATTGATGAATGATGAAGATATCTAATTAAATATGAGTTCTGCAAATATGGATGCTGAATTAGATAAAGCAGATAGTATTGTTTCCACTAGTACCAATGGAGTCAGTGATCTACAAGGAGATATTGAAAATGGCAATGTCGACTTCAAATCGTTTAGAATAAAAGAAAATCTCCAAAATGATATCATGAGAACAGCTGGGTTATTAAATGGACTCTTGGCAGCTGGATAGAATTAAATTGATTCTATTGATTCAACTAGTACTACAACAACAACAACAACTAATTCAACTGACAGTAATTCAACTAATTAAACCAATTCAACAGATGAGGCTTGGTAAAAAATGAAGGATAATAATGCAAAATTGTTTAAAGTCCAAGAATCTGTTAAATATGGTCTAACATAGACTGCTGATCCTAATGCACCTCCTAAAGTATTCTCAGGTGGATCATTCTCCATGAAATCATCTCTTGCTACTCCTTCTAAAATGGCCGAATATTTGGCTGGAGCAGATCCAACTAAAGTAAAGAAGGATATCAAAATCAGTGATGATGATGAATCCACATCCTCTGATGAAACTAACATCCAAACTGTCACTTACAATTAAGCAGAATTCACTGATAATCCTTATGCAACTGATGATTCCTTCCCAAGTAGATCTGTACCTGCATCTGTCTAAAATATTGAACCCAAATTAGCCAATGGATCTGTCATCGTTCCAAAACAACCCATACCTATGTCCTTTGGAGTCACAGCAGCCAAAAAAGCAGCAAGATTAAGAAGACTCAGAAGACTTTATGGCAGAAGAAACATGCAATATTATTAAGATCTATATGAATTAGATGAAGAACCACAAACATAAGCCATATTTTGTATTGGGAAAAGTTCAGATGGAGGTTGGAGTGCAGGAGGAGGAAACTGTAAATCTGTTTAATCGGTTGATGCAACTGGAGCTATAACGGTCACTTGCTAATGTGAAGAATTAACACCCACTTCAGTTGGCGATGCCATTGCTGATGCTCTAGCATTTGATAAATTTGCTAAAGCGTTTTCAATGGAAGCCTTATTGGCCTTGCTTAACTTCCCCTTCTACAAATCAGTCATAGTTTATGCTTTGGCTTTCATGACCGCTGCATTAGTATTCTCAGTCAAATATGGATTCAGAAAGGATAGGGAAGATGCAGAGAAGAAATTACTAGCTCCTCATTTTGTGGAATCAGAATTTATTAGAATCAAAGCAGAAGAAGACTAAGTCAAAAGAGTGGAAAGACACAAATTGAGAATGGAAAAACAAAAGGAGATGGAATTGAAACTTCAATAAGAATATGATGAATAATAATTAAGATTGCAATAGAATTAACAAAAGGAAAATGAAGAACAAAATTTTGAGTTGCATCCCTAGAAAAAAGCCATTAATAATCAACAGTTTCCTTTAAAGGAACATCCACCTTAAGAGATAGTTATGATCTAGCCTGATATTGACCCAGATGAATTAATGAAAATTAGAGAAATTAATGAAGCAAAAGAACCAATAAATTCTGATGCTCCACTTAAAAGCAAACTAACTGATAATTTTGATTCTGATGATTCTGATCTAAACCCTAATTAAATGGTTTATGATGAATAAGATAGTGAAAACAGTGATAACATGGAAAGCATTTATGAAGTTCCTGAAAATATTCTGGAGCAAAAGCATGAGCATTCTTAGGATGAACCTGAAGCAGCCTAATATTTTAAGTCATTAGAACCATAATTGTTTAAGCATTCTTTAACAATTGAAACTATAAACTAAAAAAACACACCCATTTAATAATAGCAATAACAATAGTAATAACAATAGTAATAACAATAATAAATACAATCGCCGTCATAATAATAATCCTAAATCTACTCAGATTAATAATAACACATAAAATCATAAAGCATAGCTGATCTAGAATAATTCCATTAGGAATTAGAGTAACAATTTTAAAAGTAAGTGATAGGATAACAAAAAGAATAAGAACAACAATAAGAATAATAGTAATAAGAAGAAGAAGAATAATCACCATAATATGATATAGGAGAGAGTTAAAAACACGATCCTGAATTGAACTCAAACCATATCCTGCATTAAAATGGTAGTAATACCCCACCCATCTGTCCTGAAATCCTTAAAATTGAATTGCCTAATCTTCATGATGGTGATGGTCGCGCTCTAAGTGTAATCAAAACGAATGAATTAAAACAAATTTCCCAAAACAATCAATAAGATTCATTTGAAAAAGACATCAAAGAAGCTGGTTAGTCTTAAATAATAGAACCTAAATAAAAGAAAGATTAAGTAAAGAGAAAGCGAAAGAGAGTTAAAAGTAATATTAATCAGAAATACAAAGTAAAAGTATAAGATGATTTGGATGTTTCAAATGATGAGGATGCTCTAAAAGAGGAACCAGAGCCACCTTATGAAATCAAAGAACAAATTGTTTAACAATGGCATAGGGATAATAAGCGAAAAGTATTCTTAGAAAGTGGTTGCCAACTTAAGTTCTCCCTTACAAATGTGCTATTGTTCATGGCTCTATTCCACAAATTGTTATGCATCTTTTTAGTATTTGAAAGAACATTGCCTCGTCCAATAAGATTCTGTGTATTATACATGACCATCCTAAACACTTGCTATATTAATATATTCTTCTAAGTACCCTTAGAACCTTTGCAATCAATTATATTCAGTGTATTCTCTGCCATATTATCCAACTTTGAAATGTTTGTAATACTGTTCCTGATGCCACACAAAGTGTTTGTTGTTAGATAAATAGGATGGGGAATATTCATAGGCTTAACTACATTGTTAATATATTTCATCCTTATAGCCATGGCATTAGAGGCAAGTGATTCAGGTGGAGATATCACTAGGTCTAATATGTGGGGTCTAAATTTCATTATTGGATTCCTGAACACTCATTGTGTATCAGACCCAATCAAACTTTTAATAGTTTTCAAGGCTGTTTAACTCAGTTTAACTGGAGCAACTGGCCTTTTATAAACTATTTTAGTGAAAATATTTGTGAATCCTGCTACGAATATTTTCTTTGAAATGATTGAAGTATGAGAATTCTAGCATATGAAAAAATAATTATAAAATTTATTATTATACACATATATCTATTTGTTTATCATCAACATAAATCTTATAATTCGATCGTTGTTTCCATCTATAAAGACTATTTATCAACTTTATCTTTGATATGTTTAGCTTAAACATCCCAATCAATTTTCAATAATGTGTGAACAAATAAAGAGGACAATAAGAAATTACATAATCCAAAACCTAACCAAATTCCAATTAAACCAAAATCAAATATTTAAGTTAATATTAGAATCAGGGGAATGCCCACACCATATGCACCAAATAAAGTGTAATTTGATACCAACTTACCCTCATCAAGTCCTTTAAGTGCTCCGCTTAAGGCTATCTATAATCCATCTATTGCAACACTACCCAATAGGAAATATGGTAGAGTTTTCAATAACATTTCTTAAATAACTTCATCCTTGGTATAGAAATGAGCCCATTCAAAGTGGTAAAAATAGAAGATTATCATGATGACCACTAAAATACAGAAATATAATATAAGGCCATATTTAATATAATTTTTGGCATTTATTATGTGTTATTGACTTATTTGATTGCCGACATAAGTCATCAAGGCTATTGATAAGCAAAGTGGCACCCTGAAGTATAAGGATGAAGTGTTTGATAAGACTAATTATGCATTGGTTGCATCAATTCCAAGGGAGATGGCTGTAAAAGACAAAATAATAAATATGCCTGTGTTTAAATAGATATGGACTATTATTGAAATTGTGCTTTTTATGTACTCTTTATAAATGTGAAAATGAGATAGCAATAAAAATTTGAATTGAAAAGATTTAAATTTGATTTAAAGGTCTTCGTCTTATTTTACATAAAGCAGCAACATTAGTATGTTTGTACATTCTGATATAATGGTGGCAAGACAAACTCCATAGCTCCCATAGCTTGAGACTAAGAGCCAACACCAAAAAGCATGAAGTGCTAAGGTGATTAGATGAATAACCATAAACGGTCTAAACACTTCACATGATACCAAATAACTCTTCAAACCCTCGAATATCAATAAGGCCAATGAAGTGATTGATAATGGTACTATGAGTTCCCTAAATTTTATCTATTTATAACAATTACCATGCAGAGTTTATGGTTTCTTCTCTGTCTTCAACTATCAAATAACTAAATGGAGTTTTCAGGCATAATATCACTAATATCAAAGGGATAAATATTATGACATGAGAAGAAAGTGTGAAATTTAGATAGATGAGCGATAGTTTATTTTTTCCCATTCCGATGGCTTAAGACGCCAAGGTGTTCAAAGCTTGATTAAGACCTTTGATAGTATAATAATATATGATACCAATTCCAAAGGGAAGCAACAATACAGTAATTATCATCCATGCAATGCCAAATGCTGCAACATTGGTTTTAGTTGTATGTAGATTAAGAAAGTGCAAATTGATTGACATCATCAATTCAACACAAATATAGCCTAAAGACAGTTGGATCATGCATGAAGAAATGTCTGAAAGTATTTGCTACCAAGATCGAATATGAGATTGATTGGTTGACATATATTAATGGTACTAAAAAATAGTTTTAATATTTTGTATTAATTTCCTTGTAGGACATTTAAGGAAAATCACTCATATGTAATTGATGAGCGAATGGGGAAATAAATAAAATTAAGATTAAAATGACTAATACTTAATGAATTATTACTATACTTAAAGAATTTTTACTAAAATTTGTATCCAAAAAATTTAAATTTAAACAAATCATAAGGGAAAAAATTGATGGCAAACTTATTTTAAAGAAGAGACACAGATTTTGTATTTGAACAGAAATTTATTATATAGATCAAATAAATCATAGTTAATCAATATTATGCATTACTTTTTTTTACATATATGCGACTCCATACTTAGTAGACGTAAACATCTTGCCAACATTTTCATTATATTGTTGTACAGTAGAATGTATATGTTTCTTCTCTTATGGTTATTAGTGATCTTTTTCAGCAGATTTATGAAAATTTTTATTATGGGATGCATCACTATTACTAATGATTTGCTTGATTGCTTATCGACAATGCTCAATATCTTTGGGCTCATTGTGTTTTGGTATTATTTTTTTGGGAGGGAGAGACTTATGCTTTGATTATTAATTCATAAATATTATTCAACTTTTCAATGGCACTAATAATTCATTTAAATAATGCCATAAAGTATATCATTAATTAATTTAGATACACTCTTTCTAATTTTAGATCTTGTAACACAACAAAATTTAATGGAATATTCATTTCTGCATAATTATTAAAAGAATGATCACATCCACTCTCATAATAGATTGCTATTTGATTTGAATTATATCTGTCTCTCGTAGAGTTAGGTTTATATTTCATTCACATAAACGAGAAAATCAACTGTTAAGTAACTTTTTCTCTATTTTTATCAGTATCTTGGCAATTAATTTCCTTCTATTGTAATTTCTTAATACTCTTATAAAAATTAAAGATTTTATTAATATTCATGGCACCAAATTTTCCTAGAAGTTATTAGATTTGTAACTTATATAAAGTAGTAGAGTAAATTGAAGATTTTCATATTCAGTATTTAAATTTCATAATCATAAATTGATTTAATTGCATCTATCTCTAAATCAATAGGACTTGTAAGACATAGATAATCTCTCATTTATTATTATAATTTAGAAGCAAGATTTCATGCCGAATTATTAAAAGGATATTGGAAATGATTTCGATGGTTTTTTTGACATTTTCCTTAAGATTTATTGATTATTACATTTTGAACAATAAAAAAGGATTCTCTTTTTTATCTTCGTACTTGATGTTGGATTTGTGTTTCTTCATAATTATTTTTAACAGTTAATTTTTTAAAATGACCGAAGAAATTGAGTCTCACATCATTCAGAAGTACGAAGTATTATAGAAAATGGGGAAAGGAGCATATGGAGTGGTTTGGAAAGCCATAGATCGAAAAACAAAATAAATTGTTGCGCTCAAAAAAGTATTTGATGCATTTCATAATGCCACTGATGCGTAACGCACTTTTCGAGAAGTCATGTTTTTGTAAGAGATGCTCCATGACAATGTTATTCGAATGACCAATATTCATCGAGCTGATAATAATAAGGATCTGTATATTGTTTTCGATTTCATGGAAACAGACCTCCATGCTGTAATACGAGGCGGAATTCTTGAAGAAATTCATTAGAGGTAAGTATTTAAACTTTAATTTCAGATATATAATCTATTAAATACTCAAAGCATTAAAATACATTCATTCAGCTGAAATCATACATAGAGATCTTAAACCATCAAATGTATTACTTGATGCAGAATGTAATGTCAAGGTGGCAGATTTTGGCTTAGCTAGAAGTCTTTTAAATCAAGTTGAAGAAAGTGCCATTCTGACTGAATATGTAGCCACTCGATGGTATCGAGCTCCTGAAATTCTCCTTGGATCCACCTAATACACTAAAGCTGTGGACATGTGGTCAGTTGGCTGCATCTTGGGAGAAATGATCAATGGAAAGCCTATTTTTCCTGGGAGTTCTACTCTCAATCAAATAGAGAGAGTACTTGAAGTTATTGGTAGACCTACTACTTCTGAATTAGAAAGCGTTTAGGCACCTATGGCTTCACAAATTGTCAACAACATTCCTAAAGGCCAAAGAATTGGATTTACCAATTATTTTCCTAAAGCAACTCCTTAAGCTTTGGACTTAATTCGTCGGTTGCTTTCATTTAATCCTTCCCAAAGAATTTCTGTTGAAGAAGCCTTGAAACATCCTTACGTTGGTGCATTCCATCACAATAATCAAGAAGGTACTACAAATCCGATTATAATCTCTATGGATGATAACAAGAAATTTAGTATTAAAGAATATAGAGAGGCATTGTATTTATAGATTAGCAAGAAATACGAAACGAAATATGAAAATAAATTGGAGAATAAATATGAAAATAAATTTGAGAACTCCTTTAAAAACATAGAACAAAATTAATAAGAGAGGAAAAGAACGTAAAGTTTTTAATAGGCTTCAAAAAAACCTACTGCTCCTTCTAATTCTACACTTACTAATGAACTAAATGTTATAAAATAACAAGATCCTAACACCTAACATATTTCACAAAACTATCTAAAGGAATACTTATCGAATTGCAGTAAAGATTACTTAGGATAATAATAATCATAATAAAATGTCAATATGAGCAAAGAATTTATTAGTGGATAATTGTGTAAAGAAATTAACAAAGAAAATTATAAATCCAAAAATCTAGTGGACGTTTCAATTAACAAAATGGAAAGGGACAATTCCATTTCTAAAAAATAAATTATTTCTCCTTGGACTTAACCTAATCAAAAACCCTAAACTGCAACTCAATAATAAAGGCCACCTTCAGTAAGTGTTTATACTACACTGAATTAGGCATCTTCAAATCAATTAAAATCTTAAATTCCCTAATAAATAAACAATAATGTCTGTGCTGCATAAAAGAGGATTAGTACTAAAATGCCCACTAGTGGAACGAGCACATCATTCTATGTTCCTCCAGATAAAAATAATTCTAGTTTTAATTATGGTAAGAAAATTTCCAAAGACAATAGTTTCTTAGGTGACCATAATACATCTACATAATCAAACATACCTCAGCCTATGCATTAAAAAAGTAATCATTTTGCTTATTCTTTTAGCTGTGAGCATGAACTATTAAACTTATTTAATGTAAAAGGGTATTTCAGATCAAAGAAGTAAACAGCATCTAGTTAACCATCAAAGAACATAGTCTTCATTAGGAGCAAATAATAGTGTATTGATCAATAGATGTAAAGAATTCCTTCAAAACATATAAGCTATTAAAAAATGAATTAAATTTTCAAATGCATGACTATCATTCTTTTTTAATTCTTATTAGTTTATGATAACTCTTCATAGTAAACTACATAAATAATTACATTTAAATAATCCAGTAGTAATGAAATAGGATTATGGTTGAATTTATCGTAATTAGCTTTTTTTTATTCCGTCTTTCTAGTCGTTTAATTATTACTTACATAAATATTTAAATCTATTCCTAATTTTTGCCTCATCATCCTAATGTTAAGATATTAATTTTGTGAAATATCAGTATAAATATTACTGAATTACATTATTTCATTAAATATTCTCAATCATTCAATCCAAAAATAATTACACATTGTTAAATTAATAATAGTTATGATTAAAAAGATTTATCATTCATTTATTTTTAATTAAACAAGCCAATTCAATGGGATGTGTATAATAAAATCAAACCAAAAGGCAGCATTTAGAATCAGTTGATACCATTTATCAAGATAACAAATCTCATGGAGAGGCTTCTCGGTAATAAGCTGAATTAATTTAGCCAAATTGCTCAATAGGAAAGAAAAAAGGAAATTTTCAAAATATAACTCAATCCTATTGTATAAAGAAGACTTTCTCCATAAAGACGTAAACAATCAGACCTTTGATTATTTCATATTTATTTAATATTCTCATGTTAAGATATTTCTCTTTTAGAAATGAAGATGAAATCGTGTAAAAGTCTAAATAACTTTATGAATATAATCGATATAATTCGGCTTTCAGACTGCTCATATTTTAAGAATTAAACATCTGAAATTACCTTCTAAAAATTAATTATTTTTAATTTTAATACTCTTTTATCAGTACATTTGCAAAAAATCTGTTTCAAACTTATTTATTGAGTAATAATAATAAATATAAACTCTATTAAAATCAATTGTTACAATCACTACAGTTGTCTCATTATCTCTAAGAATTCGTAATAATTCAACTATTGAATAATTATTAATATTGTACCTTGCGTTGACCTTTAAGTTCTTCAATTGCTTAAATGAACAATTTATCGTTGATCTCAAGATGCCTCTTAACACTTTTACAAGTTATAAATCCATTTTAATTCTATAAATATTTAAAGCAGGTTTCCAAATATGTTTATGACATTAAGTCTTCGAGATTTAAAGATGCTGAGATAAATTCATTTATATCTATTGAATCTTAATGTGTTATAGCTAATTTTTAGAAAAGTTGCTAAATATCCACATTAATGCTTTCGTATTCAATAATGGATTTGTATAATTTAAGAATATCATCTTTCTTCAACAGCCCATCTTAATCAAGATCTGCATCATTGAATATTTTCTATAACATGCACTCCTCCTCCTAATTGAATTTGTTCAGCATAAAAGCCAGAATTACAACATGAAAATAATTCCTTGGCTTACATTTTGATAAAAAATATAATGGTTTTATTAAAACTTCCTAATAATTGTTTCGTTATTCATTTTTGGACAATTATTTTTTTGCTTCTTCTATAGTGATTCTTTCATTCAGTTTTTTTTCTAACATCTTCTTCAAAATTCTTTTTAAAGAAGGTGAGGTTCCTTCATTAAAAAATAGGAGTTCATTCTGGTTTTCATTGTTCTCCTGTTCATTATTTACATTGAGGTATAAAGGCATTTATCCAGTCAATAATTGATAACCAATCACTCCCAAAGCATAAACATCTTAAGAGTATTCTTCTAATGAAGGCTCTATCTTAACCTGTTGGGTACCATAAAATAAACATGCTACATCAACCAATTTACAAAATAAACTATTTAAATCACTTAGTAAATGGAAACTATCCAGGGACAATTTTCCATGAACCATTTTTTTTTAATGTAAATAAGAGATGGCAGATACCATTTAATTTAATAGGATCATTACTTAACTATCTTTTAATTTGCCCTTTAAGGTATTTAGACTTCCACCACTACAATAATCTGATAATAGGTAGTACTTCTCTGTGTCTTCATAAATATTAGTAATTGGACAGATATATTCATTTTACTAGATTTAAATTTTTAAATACCAATCTGTTTTTCTAGATTTTTTATATACAATCCTCTGACCAAGTAATCTATTTATCAATAGTTTCAACTCTCTTTTTAATTCCACTAACATTATGTTAAACTATTTTTATTTGTCTTTCTTCTAAATTTTCTAAAAAAGAGTCTGCCTTATTTCCCAATAAAGTATAGATTCTGAAAAGTCCAGGTCTTATTTAAATTTGGTTTTTCTGTCTATCGTGACCTTTATTTATCGAACGATTTGAAATAACTGATTCATTTATAGTGTCTGACAAATTTGTCTTAGCAAGAATTGGTGTAATTGTTTATGTTTTTTATTATTTTCTTTCGATTCTAGGTTTATCTTGAGATGCCTAGGTGGTTACAACAGCCTATTATTGTTTCTTCTCTTTTTTTTTAGTGTTACAAGAACCCATAACGAATAATTATTATTGAATTTATTTATTTATTATCAAATAAACTAAAGTCTGCGTTTTTTAAGTCGTAATTTGCTTAATCTAATTTTAGTACTAATTGTTTTCTTTTAAAAAAAGATACAACTCGTTTTTCTTCAAGTACTTGTTTAGAATCACTAGAATAAAAACTTTAGTGAACTCTACTCATCTAAATCTAATTGAAAATCAATTTCAAAAGAAAAATCAATTTTTGAGTAAAAACTCAAAAGACTCATTGATTAGAATTACTTAAAAATGATTGCTGCTTTCGCTGCTTTTTATGATCAAGAATACCAATTTATGGATAGTATTGAGAATATATATATATAATAAACAAGCGTAATTCATTTCAAAATTTACATCATTTCCTTGAATTCATTGATTGTTATCTAAAGTATATATACAAATTAATACCTATCCATTAAATGATATTTTCTCCAACTCATTTACTAATTAATTTTAATCAATATAAATTTTTCTATTGACTGACTTTGCACTCAATAAACCATTTTAATTTTTTAGTAAATTATATGTAGTTTCTAAATACTCCTCTGTCAATAATTTATCTCTATTGCTTAGGGCAATCAAAAAGTCATTCTCAGATATTTTTTTTCCATTTTTTTATAATTCATTTTTAGTATTAGCCTCTTTAGAATCAATTTAGAATTCCACCTTATTTTCATTAGAATTTTTGCAAATTTATTCCAGTTGATTAACTTGTAAATAATTATGATTATTTTCATCTAATATTGAAAATAATTGTTTGATAATCTTGCCTTCCTAAGTTTAAAATTTTGAGATCATAAAAGTTAAGATAACTTTTTGAAAATAATTAAGAGAGGGGCAATTTGAAATCTTGTCTAAAAACTCTTAAATAAGATCTTTATTATTTATTATGCTAAGAAACTTCTTTTCAGCTAATTATTATACTGAAATTCTCTTTGAATGGTCTAATTGCAACAACGATTTTAATAATTTCTTCATTTTTTCATCACTCTCATCTTGCAATTTCGTTAAAGGATTCCAAACAGGTTGATTATTAGTTATTTTTATCTTTTCTGGCAATTTCTCAGTTAGTAATTGATGAAAAATAATGCCAACTGCAAATACATCAGATTTTATGGTTGGATGTTCCAAAGGAGGCTAATATCTCTTATATGTAATTTATTCATCTAAATCTTTGGATGGTTCTAAAGTTCTATGTTTTTCATATATCGGCTTAATATCTGTTAGTTTAACATAATAACTTTTTTCATCAACTAAGGAAAATGAATCAATAGATAATTGTCCATGATATTAGTGCTGAGTGTCCAATTAGGTGAGAATTTATATTAATTATGACATAATGAATAGTACTTTAGACCTTTCTAAGTTTAACAATTTCGATAATTTGCTTCCTTTGCAATATTCTTATACCAAGTATAATGTTTTATTTTCATTAAATATCTCAATAAATTGACATATGCAATTATTATCCTAAAATAATATTTTCAATTACAATTTAATTTAATTTTATTGAATTGATAAATTACTAATCTAAATTGTTGTTTGGATCCAAGCAATAAACTAATACTAATTCAGCAGTTTTATTATGCTGACATACAAGTGTATTTTCATCCTCTAATGGTTTATTATTAAGTTTTACAATTTTTTGTTATTACAGAGTATGCTTTAAAAAATCCAGTTTTAAATTCGAGCGACTTCTAAACTTCAGGTATTACATGAAAACTATGCCTGAAACTTTAAGGAGTTGGAGGATCCAGTTCTTCCTTTACAAAATTATGAATCTGGAATGCCATTATCGAAGGAATGGCAGTTTTGGTTGGTTTTGTCAGTTGGGTCTCTGACTATTTAACGTTGGCTATAAATANAAATACTCCTCTGTCAATAATTTATCTCTATTGCTTAGGGCAATCAAAAAGTCATTCTCAGATATTTTTTTTCCATTTTTTTATAATTCATTTTTAGTATTAGCCTCTTTAGAATCAATTTAGAATTCCACCTTATTTTCATTAGAATTTTTGCAAATTTATTCCAGTTGATTAACTTGTAAATAATTATGATTATTTTCATCTAATATTGAAAATAATTGTTTGATAATCTTGCCTTCCTAAGTTTAAAATTTTGAGATCATAAAAGTTAAGATAACTTTTTGAAAATAATTAAGAGAGGGGCAATTTGAAATCTTGTCTAAAAACTCTTAAATAAGATCTTTATTATTTATTATGCTAAGAAACTTCTTTTCAGCTAATTATTATACTGAAATTCTCTTTGAATGGTCTAATTGCAACAACGATTTTAATAATTTCTTCATTTTTTCATCACTCTCATCTTGCAATTTCGTTAAAGGATTCCAAACAGGTTGATTATTAGTTATTTTTATCTTTTCTGGCAATTTCTCAGTTAGTAATTGATGAAAAATAATGCCAACTGCAAATACATCAGATTTTATGGTTGGATGTTCCAAAGGAGGCTAATATCTCTTATATGTAATTTATTCATCTAAATCTTTGGATGGTTCTAAAGTTCTATGTTTTTCATATATCGGCTTAATATCTGTTAGTTTAACATAATAACTTTTTTCATCAACTAAGGAAAATGAATCAATAGATAATTGTCCATGATATTAGTGCTGAGTGTCCAATTAGGTGAGAATTTATATTAATTATGACATAATGAATAGTACTTTAGACCTTTCTAAGTTTAACAATTTCGATAATTTGCTTCCTTTGCAATATTCTTATACCAAGTATAATGTTTTATTTTCATTAAATATCTCAATAAATTGACATATGCAATTATTATCCTAAAATAATATTTTCAATTACAATTTAATTTAATTTTATTGAATTGATAAATTACTAATCTAAATTGTTGTTTGGATCCAAGCAATAAACTAATACTAATTCAGCAGTTTTATTATGCTGACATACAAGTGTATTTTCATCCTCTAATGGTTTATTATTAAGTTTTACAATTTTTTGTTATTACAGAGTATGCTTTAAAAAATCCAGTTTTAAATTCGAGCGACTTCTAAACTTCAGGTATTACATGAAAACTATGCCTGAAACTTTAAGGAGTTGGAGGATCCAGTTCTTCCTTTACAAAATTATGAATCTGGAATGCCATTATCGAAGGAATGGCAGTTTTGGTTGGTTTTGTCAGTTGGGTCTCTGACTATTTAACGTTGGCTATAAATATTCCTAGACTATATTACTATGATCAGGTTGAGAAGCTGTCATCTGAGATTATTAAATGGGCTTTTAATTTTTATTAGACGAGCACAATCCCATGTGTTAAAATTTGGTAACTAAAAGAATAATTTATTAAAATTAGTATTTATATAGTATATGAATACAAATTAGTGTTCGAATAAACTCTTTTAAATATGTATAATAAAACTACAATTTAATTAATTCTTGCATCATCAATAAGAGGGCTCCTTGTTTTTTTGTTTAACAGGAATTTCATCAAGTCTAAATTTCTTTGAGACTTTTGCACTGGTGCCTATATTTTTATTTTTCAATTATTAATTCAATTTCCAAGATGATAATCAATATCTAATTTATTTAGTTGTAGTTCTAATATCATTTAATGAAATTCAGTCACTCTATTCAGCAACAACATATCAGAAATTCAATCTATATAATATTATGCTGAAGTCTTTGTCTTCCATATATATACTTTTATATTGATTTATTAGTTTAACTCATATGAAAGGTTATCTCCCTCTTACATTTCTCTTATAAAATTATTTACTCTAAATTTACACTTGTATTATGTGGAAGAAAACTATTGAAACATTTCGCTTGCTTAATATTATCTAAATTTTCAATGCATTATTAAGGAGAGGCTGAATTGACCAATTAAGTTAGAAATTCATCTTGGTATATATATATTGATTTAAATTATATTAAAACCATATCTTACACATATCTAATAATCATTCATCTAATTAACAAATTGCTACTTCATAACACAACTCATAGTTCTTCATCATTCTCTCTTTGTGTTTAATCCAAACTAAGAAAATCATAGATTAGAAGTACTTCGATATTCCTCTTTAGTTTTTGAGCATTATATTAATGAGATCAAAGCTAACAAAATTTCTGCTATCACAAATAGTATCAACACAACCAAAAATTACATTGCCATCAATGATCCAATATCATCAGTGCCACCTCCAAAAATCAAATTACAAGTATCTTTAATTGCTGTATAATTTAACACAATTAATAAGGATATAATTCCTCTACAGAGAACACAAACGGTTGACATGATCATAAAGTAGGTCATAATTTTACCAGATTTCTGGTCTATTGTAATGAATGCATTACTTATGAAACACTAAAGAAACCCAACAAACAAGTGAAAATTCTCAAAAGATGAACGACTATTAAAGCATTCAATAAATTCATTAAGGTAAAGTCTTGATCATTTAATGGGACTCTAGTATCTTCATAAAATATTAACGATTTCTAGGCTTCAATGTTAATAGGACCAATCAAATTATAAATGGTTAACACCTAATTACTTTATGCTTTAGATTACTAAATTGACAGTATTTACATTTAAAAATATGTATTATCTTCTCTCAAACCTAAATTCTCCTTTAATTAGTCTTGTCATAACTTTTTCATTTGGAATCTTGGATTCTATTTCCTCATTCTAAATTAAAGGTTCTTCCATATAATTAAATTAATAAATGAAAGTATAAAATATTTATAATAATAATCAAACAAGTTCCATCATAGTCCTGGAGAACACTTTGAAGGTGATTCTCTTTGATTTAGTGATTGAAGCAAACATGTCATCAGCTTATTTTTGATTAACTGAAAAACATTGCATAAATCTCTTTTTTCGAATTGATCCTTTACCATTTGAGAGTAATTTGAAAATAACCTTTAAATTAGGAGTAGTGATCAAAGCTTGTCTATCTACAATACACCTAATAAATTCATGGCAATCGATGGAACCGTTGTGATCTGTATCAATGGCTTTAAATATTGATTCAACTTGTTTTTAGGCTTATTCCTTTGATTTTAGTTATTAATACAATAGATCACATATTTCTATTTTGCTCAATTTAGCATCTCCATTTTTATCATATTTATTGAACATCTAATAGATTTCATTCTATTAGTTTTAACAAAATTGACTGACTAAAAATTATAAAAACAATGATTATATAATGTTGGCTTGTTTAAAATTCATCAACATATTTGAAGATTACTTGCTCATTTCTTTTGTCTGAGAGATCAATCTTCTATACATAGGGGATTTGATAATGGAATTAAGATCTGATCTTTCTGATGGATTATATTGGAGTAGTGTGTTTAAGAAACCCTTGGATTTTGAGGATATTTTATCAAATTATAGATCAGTAAATGAAACTATTCCTTTTCTTATTTCTAGTCTTAATTTATATGGTTGAGTGGATACATATGGTAAATTACCAGTTAAAAGCTTAAAAAATATGATTCCTATGGACCAGACATCTCTGGCTAATGAATAATCCTGGTTATCATCAATTATTTCTGGAGCAAAATACTGCATTTGTTCGAATGTTATTTATGGTTTTATAAATATTGGTTTTAAGTCTGTAAGTTTGATATAGTAATTTTCTGACTCATCTATTCTTTAGAAGCTATTGTATGTCAAATGACCATGATTGAATCCCTTTGTGTGTAGATAATTCAAGGATTCTATCATCTGAAACAACATTTTCAGAGCAATCTATTCAGCTATTCCTTAACCTTGTTTAAAATTTAAGCCATGTAAGCCTCCTCCACTGCAATAGTCATGAATTATGTGAATTGATTCGTCATCCTAATAAATCTCATGCGTTTAAGAGATATTGGGATGTGACTATAATTCTTTATATTAAAAATTACTAAAGGGCTTGCAATAAGATTATCTACGTATTATTTAGCATTTTAATCATAGACTCTGAGGGTCTCCATTAATCTGAACCTCCCAGTCAGGTTATTCTACATTATTTATATATTTTCCTTTGATCCTTTACCTGGAACTTAAGCCAAATCATCATTGTTGTTATTAGAAACAAAGGAGTACACTTTTGAAAATTTACAAGTTTAAATCAGGATGAAATTTTGGATATTCATCGATTGATCAATTTACTTAACCACTTTCTTTTTTCCTTTTTCATATATATAATCTAGAGTTTGGTTTGACTGATTCTTTGATAGTTGAACGGACATTTCATTATTCTTTTTAATTTTTTAATTGATTTCTCTGTTAGCTTATTTCAGTTTCTATGTACAAGATCCCATTTGATTAATTAATTTAATGAAACCTCATAATAATGATAATACAAGAATGATATAGATTTATAATTTATGCTAGAGCTTTCGTTTTATATAGACAAGAATTATCAAAATAAATTATTATAATAATATTAAATATTATATTTCAATGCTGATCAGTAGAATGATAATTAAATTAATATCTCTTGACCAAATTTTATAAATATTTCCCATTCCTAATTCTTAAAATTCAAGTAATACTAAATTATAATCAGCTATTTTTAAATTAATCACATTAATTTAATATAATTCTGATCCTTCAATCTCTTAATTGTGTTGAATAGAAACTTAATTTTATAAAATGAAATTCAATTTTATAATTACAATTAAAATTCCTTAACTGAATAATAATATTTTTAAACTTTTCCGTTGATTAGGCTAGTAATATCAATGATGTTTAATAACTTCTTAACTTTTTTGTTCTGAACCTAAATGCACATCGGGATTAAATAAATAATGCAAAAGATTTATTTCGATACAATAATCAAAAGAAAATTGAATAAATAATTTTTTCTGATTTAAAATTAATAGTTATATAATTAATTCATGGGATCATGCCATGCAGTTCCAAAATCAAATCAAACAAATAATTCTAAAAATGAAAACGCAAAGTCAAGAAGAAAAATACCTTCAGCTTCAGCTCCAGTTTCACCAAAGGCGATCCCTCAAAAATCAACTTTCTCACAAAAAAAATTAACACAGTCATCTAACTGTCCTTAATAACTGCTTAAATTACATAAAGTTGCAATTTCCTAACACTATTCTGTTATCTATGAAAAAGCCCCTAGCAAAAACCGTATTTTTTTAATTCTAAGTTAAGTTAATGCTAATTAATCCTTTGTGTAGAACAATCTGAATGGGAAAATAAGGATAGTGGAAACATTGCCAAAATCAGTTCCTGAACATACAGAATATATCAATAAATTGTTAGCTCATAATTTGGTATTTTCAATAATTTAATTTCCAGAACCATCCCAATCTCATCAAAATATTCGATATCTATGAAGATATGGATACTTATAAAATAATATTTGAAAATTACACAGGGGGAATCCTTTATATGAAAAATGATGGAATTGGAATGTTGGAGGAAACTGCAGGTACCATAATTAAATAAATAATTGATGTCGTTCATTATTTGCATCAACATAAATTGATTCATGGAAATCTGTAACTCAGCAGTTTCGCATATAATGATCAAAAAGATTAAAATACCATTAAATTAATAGATATCAAAAGTATTTTCGTAAAAGAACCAATTACGATTACTAATGCCCAATACACATCACCTGAGGGATTTAGAGAATAGGAAGTCAAAGCAAAACCAAGAGATGTTTGGTCAATTGGTGTTATTGCTCATTTTTTATTAACAGGTTTTCTACCGTTCAAAGGAGCAACTGTTCCAAAAATATATGCTGATGTAAGAAGAGGTATTCTGGACATGTCATCTATACAATTCGATAAAATATCCTCTGAATCCAAAGAGTTCTTGTCAAATATTCTAGTGGTTAGTCCAGCCAATAGAATGGATTTATTATCTTTAACTAAAACAAATTGGATGATCAAACAAAAAAAGAGATTCGAAAACAAAATCAAAATTGACTTGTAGAATATGAGAAAACTAAAAAAAATGAGTTTGCTCCAATATTGTATCCTCTAATATATGGTTAATTAATATCTAAGCGAACAATCATCTAGTCTCTTTTAAACATTTAATGATATTGATGTCAATAAGGATGGTAAAATCACTAAATATGAATTAATGAATGCATACTAAAAACTGTATGAAAATTATGAAGATGCGTTCCAAGTAGTGAGTGAAATCTTTTCAAATGTCGATCAAGATGAAAATGGTGAAATAGAAATATAAGAATACATTCTCGCATTAACAGACAGGAAATCATTATTAACAGAGGATAACCTTAAGGATACTTTCCGAATATTATCTAATCGTAAAGGCAACATAACTATTTAAAGTCTAATATTATAAATCAATGTAAAAGAAGAACTAATTGAAGCAGAATTCGCTAAACTATAAAAAAAGAATGTATATTGCACGTTTATATTATTAGATTTCATTTTAAGATTTTAAACTGCATATGGCTGAACTTATATGAATGACTTTAATTGTATATTTTATTTATTTTAAAATGCAAGTAAGAACCATTGACAATTAAATTGTTACTATCAACATTGAGGCATTTCTCAAATATAGTGAGCTTTTTCGATTCATTTATGGTACTATTTATCAATTATCTGTCAGAGTGTGAATAAACAAACGATGTGATAGATATGGAAATTTAAAGTGGCATCTTGCTCAAGATTGATCATTTTTTAACTCAAATGTTGCCAGAAAACCCAACTGTTATTCCAAAACCAATTCCAAGTACTGATTTAGATTCCTTTCTTAATCCTATAGAATCAAATTTCATTAAATCCTTACAAATATACAACATCGAAAGATAGTTGATAAGGAAAGCTGCTGATTATTTAGGAATTGATATGCTCATTAATTTAATGTAAGTATCCTTTGCTATTCTATTTATTGGTTTAACTCCTCAATAGTTTATTGAAAAATACTAATTGAAAGTTAACTACACATAGGAATTATAAAATAATGTTGATTAAATATTTGATAAAATCATCATACATTGAAATTTATTTACCACATACCTATTATTATTAATATTATTAATGCTATTTCTTATTCGGCATGGAGAAAGGGCAGATGATAGTACAAATGCTGAAAAGTAACGAATCATATTGCCATTTGATCCACATTTATCTTTGAATGGAGAAGCCTAAGCCAAAAAGACTGGAAAATATATCAGAAATATTTTGAAATTAGTAACCATATTCATATAACTATAAGCAATCAATCGAGAATATCATTCTGGTTACATCACCCTATTTGAGATGTGTCTAAACTATTATTGGAATTGCAAGTTAGTTAGAACAACAGATTGAAATATATATTGCAAAAGGATTAGGAGAATGTTTTAGACAGGACTGGTTTGAAAAAGACATATTGTCAGAATTGCATTATTATAATTCCTCTTAATTTTATGAGCATGTCTTTAAATAATATCCTTTGCTGGATGTACCCTATTAGGAGGTGATTCAAAAATATCCTGAATCTATTTAAGAATTCTTTGGGAGATTCTCAGAAAATTATAAACGCATGAGAGAGCATTTCTCAAATAAAAACATCTTAGTAGTAACTCACGGTTATGGTGTTCATGCAGTAAATATGTTGGAAAAATAAATTATATCAAATAATGCTGACTATTGCAGTGTTAATGTCATATCCTATTAAAAAGAAAATGCAGACTACTTGCTGCTTAATAGTACAGCTCATTTAAAAAAATCTAAATTGTGAATTAATCAATATAAGTTTGGTTTACATTTATAATAGTTATTTTATAACATTATTAAAATTATTATATTTTGTTACAATAATAGTTCCATTATTTTAAGATTATATAGATAACACAATAAAATTCAATTAATATGAATATAAATAAGCAAAACTTATTTAGTTATCTAAATTGTTTGACTATCTCTTTCAATTACGTATTGGATTTTTCGTTACTTTTTACTTGAACAATCTATCATTAAAATTAATTACTTGTATGATAAAAGTTCTACCAGTACAATAAAATATAGTAGCAATTTTTCATCCATTTCAGTTTTTCAATAATAAAAGGATTTTCATAATAGTTACTTTTTTAGGTATGTCTACCTCATTATTCTGGGTCTATTTTTGCAAGGCATCCCATTCATCCTAATTCAATTATTATCATGAGGGCGGCTTTAGCTATCCTGATTTCATATATTGTAGACTTACTAATAATCAATGATACCATTAGGATTTAAAAATAACTGTATATCTAAGTTTTTCTTAGAGTTTTTCTTAAAATACTGGTTTGCATATAGCTTTTTATCCTTTCTTAAATTTATCAATGCCTCAATCATTTTTTGTAACTAAAATTCAATAACCTCATCAATTAATTTCTATTTATAAATTTCTTCTTACGAAGTTGTAAATCAACTTACTATTCTTTTTTTCATTATTTTTCTCAATAGAATGAAGTAAGAGTGCAGAGATTGAATGTTATAATTAATGAATCTTCTTGAATCTTTTTCTATATATTTATTATTCATTTAATATTTTCGGTATCTACCAACTATTTGGCAGTTTTCAATAATTTAATTAGATGAAAGTGAAGGAACAAAAATTGCTGCCATTATAAAATTAAATTATAAATTATGATTATAGAAATTAAATAATTTTTAAATGGCGAAAATGATGATATTCCTAACAAAATTTACGAGATATCTCAAACCGAGGAAGGGTTTAAATTCTGGAAGAATGTCATATTTAAATTCAGAAAATTGAATACCTCCTAAATTGAGAAAGTTTATCATCTCTTTGAAACATCCTATATTAAAAATTTCCCTGAGATTTCAAGCGAAGAAAAACTAACCGAATATTTGTAGCTCTGTAGATTGTGTTCAAATTTCACTGAAGGTAAATACATTAAATTTGAAGAAATTTATACCAAATTGCTCGAATAATAAAAAGATTTTATTTATGACAAACTACTTGTATTAGGAGAATATGAGCTCATTCATCAAGGACTAACGATAGAATAAATTAGTTAAGTTAAGCCATTATATTTAAAGAAATTTCTGAAATATATTCTCCTTAATAAATTGGATGAATACATAAAATATTTATCATTTATCAAATAAAATCCATAATAATTGTTAAAGCTGGCTCTAAATGCTAAGGTCAAACAAAATACAGAATAAATATTGTACAACATTTCTAAGGAAACAACCATCCATAAAGAGTTATTTGATAGTTTAATACTTAATTGGAGCAACAAGAATTTTATTAAGCATGCATCATTTAAAACCTAATTATATTGCAGCAACCTAATAGTGTTGTTTATTAATGATGGGTATAATAATGATTTAATACATGACGGGATTTAGAAGCGATTAAATTCGTAGGCCAATATTCCAAGAAAATGTGGAATTTTAGTATGGAAAGCCTTTGTGAAATCAATAAATCTTCAAGTAGAAGATGGTTTTGATGAACTGAATGATGATGAAGTCGATGAAGTCTGGAATGAAAAAAAAAAAGAAGAAATTATTAAAAAAGAAAATGAAACTTAAATCATTTAGCCTGCCTAGGATTTTCATGTAATCTAAGATCATAATTATTTTAGGATTTTGAAATAGAAAATGATGAAAATGAACAACCTCTTCTTGTAAAGAATCTTTATGATTGTATTCTTGCATTAAGAAGTGAAGATTAAACCAGAATTGAACAAACTTTGAAACACCTTCCATATCTCATTAGAAATAGCTTAGATCTTCATATCCATGGATAAACTCTGTGTGACATTTTAATCCTAAATAGAGATTGGAAAAACAGTCAAGAAGAAATGAGGATTAAAGCTCTGGTGGCTTTGTCGATAATGCGATCTTAAATAACTGATCATTTAATTGAAGTGTATTTTAGTGAGGAAATTTCAATAATGCAAAGAATCTACATATTGAAGATTATTAGAGAATCAGCAATTGAACTGTCATCTAATCCCAAAAAGTATCAATTAGAAAATTACAACAATTTTGAAAAATCCTAAAATGATTCTTTTTATTTTAAATAAATTAGCACTACATACAAAACTGAAGAATAATCAGCTATTAAAATTAGACCAGCTCCATAATCTAGAAGGTGGGGACACACTAAAAGAGCTTATGATGGGCTTTAAATTGTCTCTCCATACATTAATAGATTTCATTAATTGACAGAACATTTTTATTTCCCCTTGTTGATTTATTCCTAATCCAAACATAAGTTACTGTTGGCCAGAGAACCATTATTAATGTTAAATTTCTTAGAAGTACTGTTGAGGATGTTGGATTGTGGTCAAAATGCCTTACATATTTCGAAAATGGTGTCTGAGGCTTTTGACTTTTTGTTGATTTTTGATAAAAATAAAAACATTGAAATCATATTGATGAAGTTAAGAATCATACTCAAAATTACTATTCTCCTAAAAGGATAATTTGATGACAGATTAGAGAAGATATTGTCATCTTTGAAGTATGACGATCCTTAGGTTAAATAATTATATGATTTGATATTATAAAATTTAGGATTTTGATATCATAACATTCATCAAATATTTCACTAATTTAATTAAACTTGAACCTATCTTTCTAAGCATTAGGAACAATAGAAATATTTTTGTTCTAAGTTTTGCTGAATTATTACGAAAAATGAACACTATTTGTTGCAACAGGTTTTCAATTAATATTTTTGTTATATATTTAATCTAAGTGTATTGAGCTAATTATTAATTAATTTTTCTTTTAAAATTATTACTTCTCTATCTTTATCTTTATCTTTAAACAATACTTATAATTTGATTATACTTTAGCAAAGACATTTGTAAGCGTAACAATCAGGTTATTTAGATTGATTTTTCAAAAACTCTTTCAAACAATCTGAACAAAAGAAATGCTAACAATTTAATTAGATATATTATTTTTGAACATCCTTTCCGCAATAAGTGCATTTTACCACTTAAGTTTATGCATATGATATATTGTCAGCACAACTCTAATAATTTGTAATTGTTATTTAAGAATTAAAACTATTGAAGCTTTAATTAGTTTATCTTATTTGATTCTAGCGTTAGGACTCATTATTAATTAAATTAATTTGCTGGTAATTATTAAAATTTTAGAATTCTTATGGTGGATAGATAGGTGTTTAATTATAATTATTCTGGTTTACATGGTTTGGCATTTATAAAATTTTGATTTTTTTATTTTAAGTCTATTGACTTTAAATAATGGAATTTTGGGATGTCTCTTTTTTCTCTTAAAAGTTTTGCTAATTATATTATAAATTATATTTTTATTGTTAATAGAAATTTTGGTTTTGATCTATATGTTAAATAATTGGGGTGGATCTTTTAGGACTATCCTAAAATCTAATTTAAGATTGCATATAATTTGTTTGATTTCCATAATTATTCAAATTTTGATTTGCTTATTACTAATAATTTCCTAAATATTGATTTGCTCGATTCTAAAAATTAAATAAACTTGGATTTGCTTCATTCTAATAATAAACCTATTATTGATTTTGATATTCAGGATAATTTTGATTACAATAATCATCAAAATTTTGTTTTTCTTGAGATTTGTACATTACACTCCTAGAGATGCTTTTCTATGATTAAGAAGGAAAATTTTGAGATTCTGTTAGTTTTTGAGTAAATTATTTGTGGGAATTAATTGTTAAAACATGGTTTGGGCTTTAATTTTAGTTATAATTTTATTATTGTTGTGTTTAATTTTCATCACTAAATATACTTTAAATCTAATTACCTTAAAGATTGTGAATTTTTCATACTCTCACATTCCTTAACATCCATTTTCACATCATTTTAAATATTGGTTTGATCATTATCATTTATTTCATTATTTTTCTGAGTATTTTATTTTTCTATTGAGTCCTCTTGATTTGAATCATAACCCTTCCCTTCGTTTTCATTCCGACATAAATTAGTAATTGCTTTAAATTGGTTGATTAATTTATCCATGTCTATCAATTAATTTAAATAATATATTAATTCAATTATAAAATTTCATTCAACCTAAACTCCTAATTAATCATTGATTTCATTTTATTATTTTGTAAAGAGGACGAATATGTTCTCAAGAGAACTATAAATCATATTAACAAATACCTTTTTGATATTGAAAACTCTTCAATTATTTTTTTCTATTTTAATTAGTTAAGCAGTTTAAAAGTGGAATGAAAACTAATAATTTTAATATTGATTGTTAAATAGTTTCTTCTGACCTCCTTTATTTAATTGATGTTATTCAGTTATTTTCTTAGCATATCTAAAATCTCTGTATCTTGATATGATTCATTATGCAAGATTGATATATAATACCCATCTGAATATTTCCTTAATAGAATAATATGTAAATATACTCTTTTAAATAATTTGGTTCTCCATAACATATAAATTGCCCGCCGATCAAAATTCCAAGAGTATCGCTCAAATTCTCCGCTTCCTCAATTGTGTGGGTGGTTATGACAACAGAACAGTTTCTTATGGACACATTTTATTTCAAGGTTTTGAATAATGTTCTCCTGGAAATGGGGTCGACTCCTGTGGTAGGTTCATCAAAGAAAGTAATGTCACTGCCTCCAATCAAAGCCAAAGCCACACAAAGTTTTCTTTTGTTTCCTCCACTGAGTTGTCCAGCTCTGGTGTTCCTAAAACTGTAAAGTTCTGCATTCTGCAAGAAATATTTAACCGCTTCTTGTTGATTCTCACCAGACAACCCCCTCAATTTACTGAACACATACAAATGTTCCTTCACAGTCAGGTTTTCCCAAATGCAATCATATTATGGGCAGATCCCCACATGCAATTAATCAGCATATTATATTTTTACTGTTCCATATGTACTCTGACTTATGTTGGTTAACACATTAATCAAAGTAGATTTGCCAGCTCCATTTGGCCCTATTATTCCCATTATTTCTCCTTACTTTAACCCAAAAGTGATATTATTCAAGGCAAATTGCTATTAATTTGAATATTTCTTAAAGATCTGTTGAGCTTGTATAATGTCATCGGTGCCATTGAAAACTCTTTACTATTCTTAATAAACATCATCCTCCAAATGGACATCCGTATTGTCGGGATTCATTTTGTACTGTCTCTTCATTTTTCTCCTCTCAAGATAATAGATGAGCAAGGAATATTGAAAGAATTAGTAAATGAGCATAATCACATACCAATAGCTTTCGTAAGTAATTAAATGCAAACCTCCCAATTCAGCCTTAAGTCCTTTGGTCAAACGAGGCATGCAAGCATAAGCAAAATAATAATTGTAAAATGGATAGATAAGCTAAATAGTTAATATAATTAATTACCATAAAGAGAACCTGAAATGTATAAACCAAAACTTAAAAGAAGTCAATGGAATCCACATGATATATAAAATTGGTTAATCCCAAGAGGACCATTGGTAAACAAAATCCATAAAAGAAAGAGTAAAACACGAAGAGCTTCATTGCTTTTGCCACGTTATCAAACAAAAAACTACACAAATAGATGCATGTGATATAGCTTAATCCAAAACATAAATAAATAAGGACTGTTTGCCACCAGAAGGATGTAATAGCTTCCAAACTCAAAATTGCACCCATAACCAAAAAGAAGATTATGATGATGGAGTACACAATAAAATCAAATAGGAATGTGCCCAGCCAGTATCCTAGGATCCTACAACCTGAACAAATCATAACCTCCTTCAATTAACATTCTTTTTCCAGTACAGGTAAGGTCACATACAGAGTAGAATTAAATGTGAAACCTATCACTCCCACACAGGAGAGTATTGAAATTTTAAGAAACAATTAAGCTTCATCATTCCTTGATAATCTACCTGAGAACTAAACGAATTTGGCTACTAATAACCCCAACAAAATAGTAAGAAGAGGCATGAAAAAGGCTAAGATATTGGTATTAGTTCTAATGGTCGTATAGAATCGACGTTGGAACATGGCCAAACATTGACTCCATAGGCTAAATACTGGTTTATCTCTGACACTCATTGGTACATTTTCGATGAATTATTGATACCCTTCTTCAGCATTTTCAATGAGATTCAAGCTCATGGACTTTTTAGAATTAGAATTACTTAATTCTAATTGTTCTTGTTCTCCAATTTTCACAAAGGCTTCTTCTAAAGTATTTAATCTCAAATCTATTTCTATTCCTTAACTCTCTAATTTTTCACAGATGGTTTCTAGTTTATCCTGATGTTCAAAAGATATCTAAAAAGTTAATTAAGATTTATGACAAGATTCAGGTATGATCTTGCCCTAAGATAGAATTTCAGAGACATCTTGATATTTAATTGATTCTTTTCTTAAATTTAAGGTGTAACCCTCTCCAAAGGTTTTCTTAATGAAATCACATGAACCTTCTGCCAACAACTCACCTCTTTACATGATTCCTATCCTATCAGCTAATATTTCTGCCTCGTCTAAATGATGGGTAGTTAAAATGATTGTTCTCTCTTCTTGTTTTATCTTTTATAATATATTCCAAATCGATCTTCTTGAGAAAGCATCCATCCCTGATGTTGGTTCATCCAAAAATATGATTTTAGAATTTCCTATTAAAGAAATTGCCAAACTCAATTTCCTTTAACTGCCTTTGGATAAAGTCTTAACTATCTAATTCATCTCATGTTTTAATTCAGTTTTTTCAAGGATCTCATCAATCTCGCTATTCTCGGACTACTTGATTTCAGCAAAGAAACATAAATGCTCTCTTAGATATAAATTGTAGATAAATACCTAACTGTTAAGTATTCATATAAACAATCCTACTGAATGCATAGCCCTATGTGCTTTCTAATTTCAGTTAATTGAGTATCAAAATTCATGTCATACATCATAATCCTTCCTTTGCTCTTATTTATCAACCCAGTCAACATTGAAATTGTTGTAGTCTTGCCAGCACCGTTATGTCCAAGCAGACAAAAGATTTATTTCTAATAGAGTCTGAGGGTGAGATTGTTAACTACTATTTTGTTGTTAAAGGACTTAGTAAGGTTGTCTACATAAATGGAAGGCTCTAAATGCTCTTGCAAGTTTTCATAATACTGAGCTGAAGTAGCATCTTTTGATTTTTCAGACAGGAGACAGTCTCCATATTTTTAACTTTCTTTGTACTTTATTCCCAATAGGAATAATGGATGTTGAGATATTCCATATTCATTTGGGATTACTTGATCAAAATAAAGTGCCAGGCAGAAATATAAAAACATTGTAACTATTAACTGGTAACCTGAGGCCTATAAATCGTAGGTCTCATTTATAAGAATTACTGGAAATATGTTCATAGGCTACTTCAGAATGGGGTCAAACCATGCTACAGTAGCACCAATCCTATTTACTCCAACTTATAAGGCAGTTATGTATTCAAAGCCTATGTTACATTGAGGACTCATTAGTCCTACTAAGATATAGAATAAAAGTGACCTAATAATATTATAAAATATATATACGTAGCTGCATATTCTATAAAAGTCAAGAATATAAAAAAACTAAAGCCAACACAGAAGAATGTGGCCACTTCACCTGCAATTCTTGACTCGTTCATCAATGAAGCAAACAGAAAGGATTGATTAATTGACTATTTTATGATTGAGAGTATACAGCATATCCATAAACTATGTAGGGCCACATTAACTAAGCAAATGAGTTAATGTAATAAAAATCCCAATCTAAGGAGACTGAAAAGTTGAAAATGATTTGGAATAGGAAGAAGAACATCAGAGCTATAGTCATTCTCAAATACCCAGTCAAGAGCCATCCAATTTTATATGCGGATTGACTCATTCCCATTATCTATAGATTTATATACTGTCGTTTACTCCTTGCAATTCTTTGTATTTTTTACTCTTCTCCTCTACCAAATGGACCATGATGGATCTGGAAGTGGGTAAAACAGCGAAGCTATACAAAAGAGGTAGGATCTAATTTAATGAACTCAATTGTTCTATATTCTACATCATGGCAATACCTTTGAGTGACAACATGCAAGCCACAAATATTGGAATCAAAATGTCTTGGAGAAGTTCACCATTTCTGAAACTGATTTTAAAATTCTTAATAATCATGGCCTTAATCTATTTACTACTCATTTATTTTTATTAATTATTTTAACGAATAATATGAAAACAGCTATTTCTAGTATTTCCTGCATCTCAAATAATTGCAGAGCAACATGTAAATCTGAATAATCCATTACTCCCCTGAGAGTACCTTGCAAGTATATGTGATTTCCTACTTTTAAGTGGTGGTTCTCAATAAAATTGTCTATCCAAAAAATCTTATCATTGTGAAAATCTAATAGAATCTGTCTTAATTGAGTATAAATAATTGTGCTCATGGGTTATTCGTGAAATCACACAAAAATTAGATTAAAATCAGACAATCTCTAAAATCAATACGCAATTGTTCTAATTTGAAAGATTTCTCTCTAAGAAATTGGATAGTTATGTATAAGAAGTATCAGTTCTCAAGATCATTCATTCAGAGAATTAAAACAAAATAAAATAATTAAATATTACAAATGAGGATCTCAAAGAAAAATTGCAATAAGTCTCAAACAATCTTAGTGATTCCCTCCAAACATATACACCTCTAAAGAAGAAACAAAACTATTCCATCGAATTAATAACCAAACAACCCCTGAGAAATAAAAGTTATTCATTATAAGTTCCAGGACATGTTAAAGAGAATATCGGTGTAGTTTTGACAAAGAAGGTTTCACTTAAACCTAAATTTAAAATATGACTTTATTTTTATTTCAACCTTTTTTATTTATATTTATACATTTAATTAACTATTTTAACATACATCTATGAAGAATACATAACTGTGAAATAATAAATTGAATCTATATATTGATATATGTCAATTAAATGTCTTTCTCACATCTTCCACTTCTTTAAGGAAAACATTCAATGATTTCTCCCAATTACCGAATTTCTTATTAATAATCTCAATTTTATCCAGTGTTAATACTCTTGGAACAACATAAGAAATTGTTATTGTTTATTTTACCTATCAAACGTTAATACTATAATTTTACTTAATTAATTCTTCCTTTGACCAAGCCTTTACTGATTGTTCTCATCACTAATCTTTCGATGTCACTTAAGGGTAACTCTGACACTTAGGCCAATTCCTCAAAAGTGCAAACCCTGTTATTTTTAGGCAAAGAGAAAGCCAATTCAAGAAATGCCATTATTCTTATCTTTTCATTCAATATTAGGAAATTTGGAATGACTGCCTTTCTCTCCTCATTCCATTGGAAATTCCTCAATTCTCCCACGCTTCCCCTATTGAAGATGTCCAACAATTGATAGACCCAATTGTATTGGGAACTTTCTTTTAAGCTAACTAATACTGGTTATTGCAACAATTCACTAAAGTTATAGATGTTTGGTGAAATCAAAACAGCTAGTGCCATTTCATAGGAGAGTTGCACCTTTTGTTCTTGTAACATGTCCTAATCGTTAGTGTATGCTAGATATTGTAGGGCATTAACATAAAATTCTTCATAGACATTCTTGATTTTGTAGAAATTGTATGCCAAATAGTAGAGCATTGAATAAACAAGTGGATCAACTTCTTACAATTTTTCACTTGCCTATTTGTATTATTTCAATAATTCATCCACTTCTTATAATTTCCCCTATTAGAGTTTGAAGAAGGCGATCAAAATGTCAATGACTAATTGGGGTTGTTCATCTAATTTAAATTATTTGAGGAAATCAATTCTGCTCTAAAAATCTCCGTATTATTCTGCAGCCTTAATCAGAAAACGCACTAATTTCATCTCGTCAATCTCTTGATAAAACTTCTTAACAAATCCCTCAAAAAGATCCTTCAAATGAGTTCCTTGATTGACTTGAGGATCCTTGATGTAGATCAACAAATAATCGCTGAGTTGTTTCCACAATTTTGATTCATGGTGGACCCTCATACTATCGATGATGGTCAAGAGATGGGGAAATACACTTTAGTGTTAATTCAAAATACTCATTTATTGTAATATATTTAATAATAATATTTGAAAATAAAATCAGATTGGGATTGCTAAATTTTTTTATACTTATTATATATTATGTAATATTGTGGCTTGATGAGAATTCGAATATAATCTTATTACAAATTGAAGACCTTCTTTACATTCTTTTAAGACAGTACTCTTAGCAATAGCTCCAAGTACATCCCATAATTTAATAACAACATCCGAATTCATAGTATTATGCATTTTAGTTAATAATTCGATCAGTATATCGATATTTCTAATTTAGCACACTTACTTTGTATATAATAAATAGAATTAGCCAGGACACTTAAATTAAAGTAGGTTTGTGATTGACTTAAGAACAAATTTGGGATTGAACAAACTCGGGAACAATATTAGGTTGATGCAATCACAATCAAGGATCAGTTTGGATAAATAGATGTCCACATCAGTTTCCCCTTGAATCGATTGCATTAGACCGATTAATTCTTCAACATCATTGTAATAGAAGCATTGAATAATCCTAATAATCAGGGACAACCTTGTATTCTGCTTATTGTGTATCTAATTTAGTTGTTTTCTCAATGTGTTGTTAATTACTTGATTCTCAATCAATTTGTTGTTATACTCTGACATATATTAGTCATGATAAATCTATTGCTGATTCCATAATTTTGATTAAGGCACCTACTTAATACTGTATTGATTAATTTGGACTATCTAGGTGATTAAATTCTTAATGAATTAGTTCTGTTATTCAGTAAGTTGCCTCTTGATGGACCCCCATTCTTTCAGCTTACTTATACTGAACACAGTTTTTATCTACAAAATTGAAACGGTTAGTTTTAGAAATAATTGCATTACATTAATTAAATAATGATCCTGATCACTAATTTTAAAATTTGGAAGCAGAGTGATAATTTCATAATACAAATCTAAGATGACATTGTTATCATTATTCATGCAATTCTAAATAAAATTAGTGATGATGTGATTGTTATTTTGTGATTTAAAAATAAAATCATTAAAGCCAGGGATTGTTTTAATAATGGGGATTAATTGAAAATGTTAATAGGGCATTTGATTGTTTTCTTGTGCTGTTAGTATTTGAGCAAATCTGTAATCCTCATTGATACAACCTAGATCCCAGACAGTGCATAAATTACTAATCATTCTTTATAAGTATTGATTGCTGTCATTAAAGGGAGATTGGCTGGGACTCTAAATTTTGATTGGTGATGCCTTTGGTTATGCAATTTTGGTTGAATGCATTTCTTCTTCTAAAGATGAGTTCATCCATTTCTTAATGAGTTTTTATTCTAGATCTGCTATGATTTGATCTTTCTATTGTAACTATTGGGTTAGATTGTTGATCACTTATTTGTTTTTGGCTTCATGTTAGAATAGATCAAAGTTTTCAGTTGCCTTCTATTTTAATTGTTAAATTTATTTTTCCAATTCCTTTTGTTTGATTGTGAATTGTTGCAATTTCAAGTTTACCAATTCATTTATTCTATTTTCAGCTGATTATGTAATTTCTGAAGCCATCTTATGAAATTTGGATTAATATTACTATTACTATTACTAAGTTGTAGTGGAGACTTCCTATTCATGTGAGATAGATTAATTATGAGGAGTATTGTGATTTACTGTGGGTGCATCTTGAATGTCTCTGAGAGCAGTCAGTAACAATCCCAGCAATCCCAAATGACGCGTGTGTATTTGTAGTTTATTCAACGATAAGAGTTGTCCATCTTCAGAAATCAAGTCTTTTATGAGTGTTTTCAATTTGATGTTCAACTTCTCATTTAAATGATGATCCTCTATGATTTCCGGATACTCATCAAATAAGGCTTTAATAAAATAAGTAACAGGCACCTTATCCCAAGAATCACAGATCAATTTAGTATTTGTTTATCTGGAACTATTTGTATGCATATGTTCATGTAGGAAGTGCTTTTTAAGAAATTGATTCACTTCTTTGTTTGTGATAATATAATCAATGTATTATGCATCTTAAAACATTGATTGAGATCGATGAGTAATGAGAATGCTCTCTTAGAAATAGATTGAAATTGATACTATTGATCGGAGACTATGTGGATTAAGCACTTGGTGATCTCATGTCCGATTAGTTGGTTTGAACTTGCAAAGGTTTTGATTCTTTTCTGCGAATAACTTCAGGATATTTGAATTTGTGATCATTTTCTTTGGTACTTAAGGGACTTCGCTATTGAGTGTTATGTTGTGTTTTGCCCTTGAGAATACTATTGTCAGAGTGCTCTGTTATAGTGATTAATGATTACTTCTCTGAAATGCTTTGTTCATGACTAACTGTTAAAATAATTAAAATGAAAATTTTATGAAATTGCCAATTCCAAATCTGCACACTTCATTTTTTATGGTTTAGATATTATTCTGAGCAAATCAATTTATTATAATGAATTGGAAATAACATCAAATAGTTAAACTCAAGAATGGCAGCCCCAAAGCTAACGTAACCTAAATTTAGAAGATTTCATTGAGTACAAATTATAATTCAAATTATTATTAATAATAATAATGCTGAGAAATGCAGTTTAATCTGACAGGAGAAATTAGGGGTCGGATGATTAGTTTGGAATATAAAAAAAAAATGTGTTAAATAGTCCGGAGGTTACTCCCATTCGAACTTAATAGAGAGGAGAGAGCAGAAACAGTTAATTGATTCCTTCTTTGTAAAAAATTACAAGGAATACGGGTTCAAGATTATCTGTAGTGAGTAGAAATGATAAAAGAAAATCAACCATCAATAGCAATATGTCGAATAAAAAGAGAGATAAACTCCTTAGAGAATATTAGGACCTGTTTTAAGATGAATCATTTTCATCGGATAGTCGATCATCCAGTAAATCGAGAATCAGCAAACAATTAAAGGCGTTTGCAGATCCGAAAAAGGTTGACAAGGAAATAGATGAAGAAATGGAGTTCATACACAAGACTTTAAATTAACGTATGTCAACCATAAGGTATTGAAATTATTTATATAAGTAAACAATAAAAAGAAATATCAATATTGAAAGGAAGTTAGAAGAGTTAACTCAAGTAGACCACCAAAAGCTTTAGGAGCATGAAATAAATGTCTCAAAATCTCCATAGTTTGGCTTAAATTAAATAGTCAACGCGATTTAGAAAAGAAAATTCTATTTCATCCTCCAAGTTTCTCGGATCCTCTGAAAATCAAGAGATTTAGAGTTTAGTTAAGATATTGGACAAAGTGGGGGTGCCTGGTTAGGAGTAAGCTCAATACACCTAAATTATTGAAGAGTTAGAGAAGCAATGCGTTGATTTGAATCCCAATGGGGCACCAAGAATAAAACAAAAGGTAAGAAAAACCTTCATCACCCTATTTAATCAATACTATGGAAATGAAAATCCTAAAAAACAAGATGGAGATCAAGCTAGCATGTATTCCATCGCTCAAAACGAGTCAGTGTTTTTTGGCAATAAGGCTCATGAATCCTAAATTGTCAAGAATCAATCCAATATCAACGTGACATCCATCATGGAAAATGTATTCACTAAAAAGTCCAATCAAAAACCAATTAGCGAAAAAATGAAAAGGTTGATGGAGGATTTCTAATTGGAATTTAATGATAATTCCCATTCAATTCCATAGTCGTAAACATCATCTGAAGTTATTGAAGATGAAGATGATGAGGATGAGCAAAATTATGAACAATCCCATATGAACACCTAGACTATCAGAGATCCTACTGCATAATAGGATCGTCACATTAAAAAATACCAGAAAAAATACAAGAGAGACCCAATCTATGATCCATACCCTTTGATTTGGGAAAGCAAGTAAGATTTTGAATGGATTCTCAAGGATTATAAGTTATATTGGGATGAGTATCCTTTAAGTAAAATCAGAAGGATTATTGTTCTCATTGTAAGGATAATCAATATCAGTCTTTATAAAATTATTAGCCATCGTTTATTCACCATTTTTGTACTTGGGTCAATTATATTCAATATTGTATTTTTTGTCTAAAGTCAAGATGAAGGCTTAAGTCAAGATGTCTAAGATGATCTCAGGAGTAAAAAGAAAAGTAAAGAAGATTATATATTTTAGTTATACTCATTTTATTCATAGTAGAAAATGTATTAAAACTTATTGGTTTAGGATTCTTTAAATACATTTGGGATTTATAAAACATATTTGATGTCATCATACTTGTACTATTCATATTACATTTCAATTATCCTGATATTATGGTTGTCGATTTCTCAACGGCAAGATTATTTCGACTGCTTACTGTTATGAGTATTTTCAGTAAGAGATTAAGAATAATGCTTATTGCTGTTAAACACTCAATCAAATTCTTACTCGAAGCCCTACTTATCGTTATCATATTCTCATACTTTTTTGCCCTCTTTGGTTAGCATCTATTTAAGGGTTTGTTTCAATATCATTGTTACATTGCCGAAGAGGGGATTCAGACAAAGGAAGAGTGCGGCTATAATTTACCATGTAAGGAACATGAATTGATATGTGCCAAATCCTTATCTAATCCCAATGTGCCTACCAATTTTGACGACATCTTCTACTCTTATGAATAGGTCGTCAGAGTCATGATTTTCAATGAGTGGACAGAACCGCTGTATTTATCGATGCTCTCATTTCATGATTTCACAGTGATATACTATATACTGATTATTTTCATTATTGGCATCTTCGGAGCCAATCTCATTATCGCTGTCCTCAAGATCTACTATTCACAAACATTGGAAGAGTATGAGTTCGAAGAAATTAAAGAAAACTCTGAGGATGAAGATCCCATCTTGAATCTTAGAATCATCAAAAATTACTAAATAGATCAAGATCTAATGGACAATAAGAAACAATTTACACGTACCAGAGTTTAAGATGAATAACCCACTTACTTAAAGACCAATAATTATGGCATCCAACCCAAGGTACTCAATTATAAACATAAATATTTATCTGCTCGTTAAACTAGAGAACAAGAGGAAATTAAAAATAGAAAGAGGGGAATCAAACCCAAGACCAGCAACATTCATAATTTAATTGAAAACTTTACCATAAGCAACTTAATACTATCAGATTAGAGTAAGGAGTAATTTATGTAGAAACTATATTCAAATGAAGGTTTGGAGAAAGATTATTTCAAATTATTTTATATTTAAACCTTTAAGCAAAATCCCTTGTATTCTTGGAGGAGTGTGATCAATAAGAATTTCGTTTTTAATAGTACATCAGAGAACGATATCTTCAGTGCATTTAAGTAAAATTAACAATTACAGAGAAAGAGGGAAAGAGAATTTGAATTTATAAGGAAATTTGCTTTAAGACATTACTATGTCATTAAAAAGTTGGAATTTTCATTTGTCAAACAACAAAACCATCTCAGCGAAACTCGAAGGGACAACTCAGAAACCAAAGATTTGTCTTAGAGAAAAATAAGATTTCCCATAAAATAGAAACCCAAGAAGCCCTAAGTTCCAATATAAGAAGAATTCAAAAAGGATTTTATAAATCAATAAATCAGTTTTAGGTAGAATGATGAATCTCCATCTTAATGTTTGAATCCTGAATAAATTTTTATTAATAACGATGTTGACAGAAAATCAATTAGAAAAACGACTACTGTAATTACCAAGAAAAAGAAGACAATAAAATTAAACGATGAAGAATGCGATTATGAGGAGATCAAACATAGAATCAATAGATAGATTCCTGATTCATAAGAATAGCCTCCTGATTTTGAAGATGTTTATGTGTAATTCAGAATGGATGAATGCAGATAATAAATTATATATAGGCATAATTGGTCAGGGAATGAAGTCATATATCCAAACAATAGCGTTTAGTTCAAGAAGAAATTGTTTAAACTACTAAATAATTAAGATACCGATATTTGGTTGGCGAATTTTAGTGGCTTTTTGATTTTAATATAAAAGTATGCTATGATAATTTTGAAGAATAAATATGCTAAAGTGTTTTTTGACTCAGTAGTTCTAACTAATATTCTATTGTTAAGTTTGATTGGTTATGTAGATGAGAAAAAGATAAAGAAAATAAATGATTTGTTTATTTTGATTTTGATAGCTGAGCTGGTGTTGAAATTATTATAATTTGGAATAATCCGATTTTGCTCTTTAACTACTAATATAATTGATACAGTTATTCTAACTTGTGCTTTCATTACCTCAGTAGAAGTGATGTGGAATTTGGAAAAGGAGAATTTATATCTTGATTTGTTGAGTTCATTCCAAACGTTCTTGGTGTACAGAATAATTAAATATAATTCCTTTGCTGTTAAGATTGCGAAGATAACCAAGAAATCACTGCCATCCTTTTGTAATTTGATATTGTTGATGGTTACTTTGATGTTCATATTTGCCTTTATAGGAATGAATTTATATAAAAATAAATTTCCATTGGACACAGATCTTGGATTATCCTAATCTTTCGATGACATTCAGGCTGCCTTTTTAACTGTCTTTATAAGAGCAGCTAATGACGATTGGATAGGAATGATGATTATGGGATCTCAGTATAGTTATGAAATACCAACAATGTTTTATGGAGTTATTTCAGTCTATGTATTAAATCTTATGACCATTGGATCGATTTTGGCAATTATTTTGGATGCTTTTTCAACATTCTCTAATCATGATGAAGACTAGCATAAGGATGATCAATATTAAATTGACACTGAAATATCGGAGGATTTAAGGAATTTGGATACTAATGAAGTCACATTAAACAGTTCCGAAAGTCCCGAAAAAGATGAATAACAATAGCCTCTATAAAGTGAATAAAAGGAAAAGGTGGTGATGGAAGATCAAATAGTGAGTACAAAGATACTATAGAGTACAAAGTTGACCAGGTTTTATTATTAAACTAAGCCGGGAGAGGATAATAAATAATTATTTTAATTAGTGGAGACTATTAAGAAATTGGTGGATAAATTATTCTAAGATTTTTAATTTTTTTCAAATAATGAGAGTCAGTTATCTTTGTTTATATTTAGCCAAGAAAATTATTTTAGGAAATTCTGCTATCGATTTATTCATTATTCAATTTACATTCATTTTATTTAGATGATATTTTTTATATCATTAATAAACATGGGTTTTTATACCTACTATGACAATGATCATGAGCATGGCAATTATCAATATTAGGTTATATCTGAGGATATTGAATTAGCAATAAATGTTATTTTATTGATTGATTCAATATTGAAAATAATCTCACTTGGGTTTACTCAGGAGAAAGGAGCATTTACAAGTGAATTTTGGAGATTAATAGATTTCATATATTAGTTATGCTATTTTGCAAATTGTATTCTCCACTATTCAGCCTTTAGGTATGTGAAGATATTGAAATACACAAGACCATTTAGATTTTTGTATTTGTTCGAAGAGTTAAAGTATATTAATAGTGCAATATCAAAATCTATAGTAGATTTGATAAACATTCTATTTGTTCAATTGATGGTTTGGTTGATTTTTGCAATATTTGGAGTAATAATATACAAGGATAAGATGGGATATTGTGAACATCCTTTAAACTTTGGAGTCAACAAGGAAGAATGCATTAAGGAAGGTAACCCTTGGGTTATTCATCTCTATAATTTTGACAATCTAGGGAATGCCATGTTGACTTTATTCAGAATAACTGCATGTGATGAATGGGTATATATTTGTTAGGTGTGTTTGAATTCAAGAAGTGAGGATTTGGGTCCAATTCTTTATGGGAATAGATGGATAACTTTTATTTATTTTATTCTATTCATTCTAGTGGGAGTGTTATTCTTCATGGGATTTTTTGCAGGAATTCTATTTATCAATTTCCAAACTTATAAACTAATTTTGCAGAAGTAAATCCTAACCAAAGACCAGCAATTATTCGCAGATGTTACAAAGATGATTCTAACGGAGGTGCCCAATTATAGTAATCCTCCGAATACGTTTCTGAGACGACTGGCATCAGACATAGTTAAATAGCCATCCTATGAAAGATTAATTCTATTGACCATATTCTTTAATACAGGTATAATTTTGAATGTGATATGACTAGCAATTCTTACTTTCTTTTATGATTCTGCAACCATTGAAATGTAATAGAAATTAGAGTACATTTATCAATTGCTAACGTGTTTCTTGATTTTGGATACGTATTTAAAGATTCTCGCTTTTGGATTGCGAAGGTATTGGGGATTTAGCTGGAGAAAGATCGAATTCTTTTTGAGTTTTATTGCCCTAATAGACTTAATCATGTATTTAAGTTATGATTGGACGAAGTATTATTATTATTACACAATAAATGATCACTATTTCATTTTAGTGAGATTAGCATTTGCACTGAGAAACCTGAGAACTCTTCTGATCATCTAATAATTCAGAGGGTTGACAAGATTATTAAGAATTTTGAATTACTCAGCGTCCTTCTTATTCCAGATTCTTTGTTTTTTGATCTCCATACTCTTGTTTTATGGCTATATAGGCTGTGAATTCTTCGGTAAGGTCGAGAAGGGAGAATACATAAACGAGTATATGAATTTTTCAAATATTGGAAAGGCTCTAATTGTATTATTTAAGGCATGTACTAAAAACAATTGGGTAAGAGTGATGATTGATGTATCAGACAGGAATAAGCATTGTTAAGACCATGAATCAGAAGAATGTGGACCCAGTTGGATATTTGCAAGTACTTACTTTTATACATTTCTCCTAATATCTAGCTTTGTAGCTTTTAATTTATTCATAACAGCATTGGTTGATCAATTCGAGAGTACTTAATATTTAGTATTATTAAGAGTTTTTCCATTCTCAAAATAGTGTCTTATAAACATATATCGAAAACATTGATCCCTTCAGAACAGTTTGGTGTAAGTACTCCTCTGAAACCAAAGGGAAACAAATGCACTCCAAACATTTAGCTAACTTTTTACTAGAACTAGGACCTCCTCTAGGGTCAGCCATCGGAGACAACATTTGGGATGCAGCCAAAAGTGCCTCCAATTTCAAGATTCGAGCCGATTAGAATGGGTACATCCACTTTTAAGAGGTTCTCTATGAAACCATTCGATTTGTGTATAGAAACTAAATCTTCAGAACAGGAACACCTGAAAGCATCCAGGCTATTAAACAAATCGACAAAGACATACGTTTCAGATTACATTACAAAAGAATAGTATTGAATTTAGTTATATTTCCAAGGATATCCTCGATAGAAGGGAACATATATATGACTAAATGCACATCAAAGGGAACTTCAATATTCTCTAGGAGTATCTCTTTTTGTTGATGATATACCGAACTCTAAAAACTTATGCCATCAAAACAATTGCCAAGATATAGAATAATATCCTTTCTCCTAATAGTCTCAAAAAGAAGTATTTTGTCTATGATAGCGAAGACGAGAGTGAATTAAATGATACTAACTAATAGATTGAGGGTTGTCAGCATTAAGTGTCTTTGGAATAGGAGAATAATGAATAGTCCATACAATTGGAAGCCACTAAATACATTACAGTCAAAGGATAGAGAAAACTTAAGTTTTAGGATGAAACCGATGACAGTCCCAATCAATGTCATGTGATCTACCTTCCTCAATCTACTAATCGTGAATACAGTCAGAATTAATCTGTTAGAGGCAAGTCTGCCTTAAAAAAATAAACCTAGCAGGCTTTTAACTTTATGGATTTTGAAGCAGCTGAATAGAAGAATTTGCAAAATCCCATGCTGGATTCTTCAAACATCAACGAAAACAGTAAAAGCTATATGACTGATTCTCTTATCGATTTTGAATAGCAAATTAATGGTTTTCATGTTATAACTAAACAAAAGCCACATCACTCCAGATTTAGTGTTTCTTCTTACGAGGAAAGTGTTGGCACTGAATCACACAATTTCTACAAAGCAAAAAAAGCAAAATAGAGGGAAGGAAGAAATTTTGTAGTTTGAAATTTAATTTATATATATATTTAATTAAAACCCATAAAACTATAAAATTTAATTTAATATTTAAGAAAATTACAATTATTATGAAACTCAATCATCACCGAGCTCAACCTATAACGTGCTAATTTTTCGCCTTTTACTAAAGATTACCGTGGGTTGGGCTCAAACCGGTGACTTACATAAATTTTTAGAGGTCGAAAGACCCCCCCACTTTTGTACATCATTAAACAAACGAAATTTAATATATTTTACCCCTTATTCAATTCCAATTACTACAAATAATCTTGATTCAAATCATATTATATATATTTTTTATATATATCATAATAATTCCAAATTCATTTCATCTTAAGACGATAAATATAGGTAAGAGTCTTGTCTAGGTTCTTATTTTTTATGCACCAATGTCAATTGCAGAGGAGGGAATTCTTAATTACAATTGTATTTAATTGCTGTTAACATTGTGGTCGAACTCTTAGAACTCATAAGTGATTAGATTTTTGATTTGGGAATGTAATGGCAAGGATTGGGTTCACCTTTGATCTCTAAGATAACATGTAAATTTCTATTAGTGTGATTCTGGAGTTAAATCTATTTAACAGTATCAGCAATTCTTGGGTTAGTCACTGTGGCCTTGTCATCACTATCGGCACTCCAGGCTTTCGATTGAATGAAATTTGCAGCCTAACAATTAGGATCCACAGAATAATTATGAATTTATGTCCCTTTGACATATTATGCTGGCAAGGCCTCGTTAGTGGTTCCATTTGGCAAATTGTCACAAACATGAGTTTTGTATATTTTCTCCTTTAATAAGTTTAAATGTCATAAATTACTTCCATAGTAAGAACTTTGTGTTGATTGCCCTCTTCAATTTACTGTTTGATTTCATCGAATCCTTCAGATCCTTCATCTATTTGCATCTCCTCCTTGGTACAGGGATTGTACAAGAAATAAGTTCTTCTGACTCTGGTCACCTCAATAGATTTGCCAATTATGTAATCGAATTGAGGCTAAAATTCATTGCGAATTTAAGACAGCTTATTGCAATACTAATCCAAATAACTCTTAGTTTCTTCAGTTTCTTGTTTTCGAGGAAATGCAGAATAGAATCTTTTGGTATCTACGATGTAGGCTTCAATGAAGGCTTTGAAGATCTCCTCCATGTATTTCTATAAAATTAATGATAATATGTACATATTGATAATTAACACAAGGCAGTTTGGAGATGTAATCAAAGCAGGTCTCACATTCAAGACTAATCATCAATAATAATTTGAGGATGAGTAAACATTGATTATCCAAATTCTTAGTTGTTCTATTAGAACAGAACTGATCAAAGAGACTATTTTACCATCCCAATGGACTCGAAAATGTCCAATAATCTTCCTCTAGACTTGTTAATCCATAAAGACCGAATTGTGGATACTCAACGAATTAACTATCATACACTTTAGCTGATTCCTTCTGTTTCGACGAAGGGATTCCCACTAACCATTCTAATCGCTCAATCTGAAGATTGTCCTTAATCAATAAGAAAGGTTTGGCTATTTAGAGGTAGTTTTTGAATTCATCAGAATCACCACTTCCAAGTCCTCTCATAATGCAACCAGTTATTATTTCTGAGAAATATCTGTTATTGTATGCGAATTTCAGGATGATTGGTGTCAGTTCCTCAATTTTAGCACTCTTCAGAGCCTTGTCATAGAACTTAGGCGAATAGAGCAATTTCTTCTCTTGAAGAGTGAGTTGATGATTTTATTAAAGGAGAGTGCTGATAATTTGCATAGGAATCTAACAGTTGATAGGGAAGTAAGCATTTCCCATTTAAGTTTTCTTTTCATACAATTACAATGGACTGCTCTTGTCAAGAATGAAATCAATCATATACAGAATCATATCCTTTTCCAAACAATATTGCATTTAGAGTTTGCCTTCCTATAGAAAGTCTAACCAGAATTGGAAATACTAATCAAAGCGAGTCCAATTCTTGGGTACTTGATCTTAGAGCATTAAGAACAATTAATCCAAACCTTCTGCTATTTTCTCTGTGATTTCCCCTTGAATTTGAATTGCTTGATTGAATAATGTAGACAACAATTTGCCGAAGTATTTACGAGTTCTGGATTCTGGACAAACGAGTAGTAGATCCTAAACCTTAGTTTATTTGCCAAAGTATATCAAATCAAGATAATTGCTATTTGGATATTATTGGATTAATTATATGATCTTTGTATTAAAGTGTTCTGAAATTGAGTTATCATAAGAACGAGCCAATAGATCATAGTTGAATCGAATGAGAATTTCTATTATCACATTTGCATTGTCACTATTCACAAAATCACTCAAGTCTAAAATGAACTTCATAAATTCTGTATTGAAAAGATTCCTCTCTAATAAAAACTATTAGTTATCGCTATTCACTTTTTTATGATATTAAGCTGGTATATATTATTTGAACGAATTGTAATCCACTAATAACTCATTATTGGATTAAATAGTGTAATTGTCAAATTTGGACAATGACTTCTGCAATTCTTCTTAGGAGTTGAATTCCAATTTGATTTTGTCCTTTTCGACCTTCTCATAGATTAACATATAAGCACTTTAGGAGTTCTCTCTGAAACCATTGCCCCAAACGTCATTGTCATTGTATTCTAAATTCGATTAGCCTCCAAAACATTCATTCTCCATTTGTTTCAATTTAAATTCCTTTATCTTATGATCATTGAATTCCAACCATTAATCTTGATTTTTTATATCAATATAACTAAAATAATGTCCGACATCTGCAGTTCCCAAGTGAACTACGATACCAACCAATTTATATTGTGTACATTGATCTTAATTAATTGTGTATTGAGCTAAATCCAAATTGATGGGGAATTCCAAACGAGAATTGATTTTTTCATTCATAAATGTATCCAAATTGAACACAATTCTTTGCAAGTGCACTATCAAAACATTTGGCAATTAAGCTAGCAATTACCTCTTACTCACATCAACCTTCTGATTGCAACTTTCACATTTGAAATCTGAGATGATTTCCCCCTAAACAAACTTATCAAAACATTCCTAAAGATTTTTGAGGTTCTTTATAGGAACTGATAAATTATAAAAGATTTCATCCTTGTTTTTTATGGATTTGCAATTCTAACATTCAATTTATGTACAAGTTTTGCCTCCAAAAACTCCATCCAAGATATTCTTATACACAGTGTTCTTTAGGAGATTCTCCAATTTATCAAATATCATATTCAAAAACTCTTATGCGTCCTATTAAATAAAGATGTTGACAGGTTCGCCTGCATAATCCTTGAATGCTGCACAGAACTCCTAAGGATTATAATCAACGCGATCAGATAACTCTAAATAACTGAACATCTATTGTAATTGATGAAGGACGTTGTCATCAAATTGAAATCCTGTTTTGCTTTACTACATGTCGGGTTCTTGGCCATCATCAGCTTGCAAGATACCATATCTAAAAGGCAGAGTCATGTAAAACTGTTGGAGCATGGCATTCATATAGCAGATGCATCTCAGGTTTCTAATGCCGGAATAACCAAAGGAACTTCTCATATCACTTGCTGGAATATAATTCCATCTGTTTATAACAGGAATCTTCTAACTCAACTATTGAAGATTCAATAGAATGTTCTCACAGTTACTCTATTGATTAGACAGTTGATAGAGCAACTTGAATGCAGCTTGTCTACTCTCAGTAGATTTGCACTTTATTTCCTTCTCATCTGAGAGACTAAACAAACAATCGTTGAATATGATGTCATGAATTGGTTGTTTAATGAATTTGTACAATTTTGTTAACAAATTCAATAGGCCAATAAGGACTTTATCAACAGTTGTGGACTTTTATCTAGTCTCTACACTTTTATGATTAATCAGACCATCAAGCACTTATTGTGTCAATTGTTGATAATCAATGAACTGTGAAGAGTCTTCACTCTCAAAGGCACTGTCAATCAATTGACTTAATAATTCGTAATATTAGGATGAATTAGCTTGTTGATTTTACATGGAAATCAATTGTTACAATATAATTTTGGTAGGTTGATTGTTTCGTTTCTGACTTTCATGACAAAGCACCAGTATTGCTCTACTAAATAAATTACGAACACTGTCAGATTTGTCAGTGAAGATTCCACTAAAGAAGATATTAATGAATTCCACATTCTCTATGCTATTTGTTAGTAATTCTTAATTATGTAATAAGATTACAATGATTACAATAACACTATGTTCAATGATCTATCGATCCTCCTATTCTAATTCATTACTCTTAAGTAACTCTTAAATTAAGTTTATTAAGACACTAATGAATTTCTCGATCTTCTCAGTTATACTATCACCAAGACGACTCTCCTTCAACTTTTACACCAACAATTTAAACTCCTCCGGATCCTCAGATTATCTAATATCCAGTAACACTTGATCCAAAGGTTTGATGATTTGAATGCCCCTTGATGCCCTATACAAATTAGGTACATTAGTAGCGCAAGCAGCAATCACATAGTTTTAGAATGTTTTTAAGAGGAATGACAAGATTTCCTTTTCAATTTGAGGCAAAGTACTCACACTCCTGCCTTAATATTATTTAAAGAATTGTAACAACTTATCGAATCCACCAAGTTACAAGAACTTGCTCATCCATTTATCCTTCAACACCAGAATCTCTTGATCATCAATCAATGCTTATAAATTATTTGAGTCATATTGATTCATCAGGAACTCAATGATATATAGACTGTACAACAATCTGTAATGACTGCTAACTAGGATTTGATCCCAGTCGGTAGGCTATTAAATGTTCTCAAAGGTGAGCATCTACTTGATCAATTAAGGGGAGGGAGGCAACCTTCTCAATAAATACCAAGTCTTCTCTTAAACTTCATTACTAGAATTCTGTAAAAGTTCAAAGAGCAAATCCAAATACCTTTGATTCTACACAATTTATCCTCTGGGCAATAACTACGCATTCACTTAGGGCAGAGGTACTCTATCTCCTCTGATTAGATCATTTCTATAATGCAAGGTTTGGAGATTGAGCCAGACTGTTGATTTCTTGGTCCTTGCAGAATCAGTGTAGAAGTCTAAGAAATCACTCAAAGTGAGAATAGAATCTTTATCTTTGTCATATTATTCGAATGTTCTTTAGATATTGGCATCATCAATGCTACAAGGATTGCCTGTACAACCAGTAACAAATCTGGTGCAATCTTCTTTACTCATTTTACCATCAGTGGAATATTCACTAAAGATCTCTCCAAATACTTATTTTGCTGCCTCTGATAAAATATCTCCATCCAAAAGATTAGCCTCTTGTATCTCCTTAACTTACTTTCTGAAGACCATGATGATTTCCCCTTTTTTTAATCTTAAATCTTTGATCATTTTGCCATTTTCAGTAAACTTAATTTCACCCTTCAGACTGTTCAAGCCAATGGAATCCCATTGTTATTTAATGACTTTGCTTATTGCCAATCTCAACTCAATAATAGTTTGGTTGTCGTTTATCTTAATAGTAAACTTCTTTTAATTTCCATGTTCATATGATATTTAGATTTATAATTCTTCTCCTTAGGATAGAGCATTCAAACTCTTGAGATTGCCTACTCCATTCACCTCACTTTAATCTATGAATCCCTCCAACACTAATAGACATCTATGTAATTTTTGATTGTTGCTTCTATTCTCTTGTAATTTATTGAATAACACGTCTAATGTACTTTCAAATGAAAGATAGTAATCTATTGCTGATTAAGACACCTTCTCATTCTCTGTTTCCAGAATCATTTACCACAACACATCTAAACCAAAGCCGTTGTCATCTTATTTGTTTATTGCTGTCATAACTGTCTTAAAACAATTAAATCCCTCTTCAGTCAGCTGAATCAGGTCGTTTGTCATTTTCTCATAGAAAAAGGATTTCAGATCTTAAAGAGGTACCATTGAAGTCAATTGAGATTGTCCATCTTAAGTAGACAATGCACTGAACCACTTATAAACTAGATCCTTCTCTTGTTGACTTGATGATTGACAAACCAATTATTCCCATATACTTGAGATGATATTAAATGTCAATCTATATTCATAAGTACTTATATTTTAATAGAAGAATTGGATGAATTGCATTCGAATTTTGATTTCATCCAAATAATCCTTTTACTTCTTCAATTCAGGAATAGATTTGATGATCTCCTCAACTATTTTGAATTTGCTTTCCAAGTCTGTCAATGCCACATTTCTAGTGTATTATTCCCAAGCCTCAGGTTAAATGTTCAATTTCTCTATCAATTTGATCAACACTTTCAAACCAACATTAACTTGTTCTCCATTCACAATACTCTCTCCTATCATACTGATCTAGGCTCCTTTGTGAGGTCTCATCTCATATTGTGTGACTTAATCAATGTAATACGAAATGTATTGTTCCAACATTGTCTGATTCAATTACCCACCCTTCAACACTGTCCAATAGTAATTACAACACTTCTAGATGTATTCATCTTTATATCTATAATTCATCTTAATGATGTCAAGTAACAATTCCAAATCATCTTTTGTGACATCTTTGGGATCCTTACTACAAACAGCATCAGTCAAGAAATCTAACCACTCCTTCTCTAATGAATTTGAAACATCTTTAAATAATTTAAAGATGGCTAATTTGTGCTCATATTCAGCTTTCTCCAAACTATACCAAATATCTTTAAAACTGTTAATACTGATCATTTTTTCTTCTATCAAAAACTTAAAGAATTCAGCACTTCTCTATACTAAATGAGAATTCCCAGATCCAACATAGAGACTCTCAAATATCTTTTTTTCATTTAGCCACTCTAATATCATTTGAATCGCAGCCTGTTTCTACCATTCCTACATTCCATATTGATTGTATTGATCCTTTGTCTTCTTTATCAACTCTTAAATTGCCTTCAAGCCTTGGATCTTTCTCTCTAAGAAATCACTGGTAAAACATTTATATGCAATATCCAAATCCAATCTGTCAATCATTTCTTATCTTTTTTGCAATGCGAACACTCTCTTCAACAAATTGCTCAATGATTGTAGAATATCAGTTATTTTCTGAGATGAAAAGTTTCTCAGATTGTTATCGGCTGATTATAAAATATTATTTTAGACTGCCTCAAATAATTATGGAATATAAGTTAGAACTAATTCTCTGTTCAACATTTCTTAGAAATTATTCAATAATACCATGTAACTATGCAGGAAATCAATAGTGCATTTATTGAGAATTTAATCCATTATATATTAAAATAATCCAGCTCGACCAAATTCATTGATCATTTCACAAATAACAATTGATCTTCTAGCCTACTTGGTCTAAAATCTAGGGATAGCATAATCAGTGTTGGGATAGAGGAAATCATTGCAATCATGGATGATTTCCTCTTGACAATGAGGATTAGATGGCTGTCCCCTTGAAAATGCATTTCTTTTCTGAATTCTTGGACTCACTGCTTTGATCCTCTCATCGTATTATTGATTCCAACCAAAGTATCTCCTGTTTTATGAGTCATACTAATTGCCCTTCTCATCATAGACTCTAAATCCAACCACATATTCCTTGTCCTCTTGATTGAAAGCAGTTACAATAGTAGCATTCTACCATACACGATTATCGAAACAATCGATTATATCGCCTGCAGTAAGAGAATGTCTCCATTCCCATTCATCATCTGTCACTTTACTCTTATATGGTGCCAAATCCATCGAATATCGAGCAATCTTCCTCTTCTCTTCATTTTCATAGCATTTGACCCACACATATTTCTCATTAATCTTCACGATATTTGCTCTGCACCACCCGATCACATTACCTTTTTCATCCTCATATAATGCATCGACATCTTAACCTTCCTCAAGATTTGCGCAAAATTCCTATTAAGTGAATTCCAGATGTGAAAACTAAAAATCTTTTCGATTTGATTACCTGGTCTTCATCCATCTAGACTAACTCATGACATTTGTAGAAATGCTTGTCTGGATCTATGGTTAGACGAAGTGTCTCCCAAGCTTTCAATTGATCCCGATTATTTAAACACACCTTCACTATGTGCATCAAGATTTTATTCGCAGACTATCCATAATAAGATGATACTTACTTTCCAATACATTGTGTATTGTCTGAATTCGATTACGTTCTTTGCACATTGATACAATAAATCCAATCCCACAGGGTGTTAGATTTGTTGCCACACAATCTCCAAATCTTATTAAGACCTATTGCTACTACATTCAACTTACTCTTATTAACACTACCCAATTCTCTTAATGGCTTCCTTTAACTCTTCTGTGTTCATTTAATTAAATATCACCGATTATAATACATAATACACACAAATAAATAGGTGTGTATCATTAGAAATCTAATCAAAAATCAAAGACATTTAAACAAACAAAATCATAATCATCTAAGTATATTCTAGATCCTGAAGAATTCTTGTTTTATTTAATTTTTAATCTTCATTTCATACATTACTTACATGATCATTATTAATTTAATTTCATATCAAATAACCATTTAAATTATTCACTTCTCTAGAAATACTCTCAATTCCCACCCTCCTCTCTTTGCTTTTTAACGCTCTCCTCCTTTTCCGCTTACCAACACCATAGTTTTCTTAAATAAACTGATGATATAGAACATAAAATATTAATTTAAATATGGGAATCTGTTCAGCTAAACATTAACAGAACCTAAAAATCACAGAACAGAATGAACAATAAGCGAAATAATCCCCTCCAAATGATGAGTCACTAGATATTCAAAGACTTGTTAAATCTGAAAAAACCATTAAATACATAAAACCAACGGCCTCCTCTCCAAAGTAAATATTGTCTAAGTTTGCTGCCACACCCTCTACTCGACAGCCTAAACGCATGTTTTGGGCTGATTAGATAGTTGAAAATTCAGGTTTGGGGGGAACCCTCAAAACTTGGATATCAATAAAACATACCCAATTTTCAAAATACTACACGATGCTAAACAAAGATCAATTCAATTATAGATTAAAATAGAATGACCAAATTGTTGTCGTCCAACATAATCTCAGTGGAAGAATAATGGTGGCTGAGATGATTAGAAAAACAGAACAAGGAGATTAACTCATTGAATCCATTATTTAAACCTAACTAGTAATTAGTTTATCCTAATATAGAACCATCCTAATTTAATAAGAATTTTCGAAATATTTTAGGATAGTAATAATTATCAAATAATACATGATTTCTGCAACGGGGCAATATTATCCTAAAACCTGCACAATTCAGTCTATACCCAACAATAAGCAGCCCTGATTTTGAAATAAATCATAGAAGTCGTCAAACACCTCCATCAAAAAGAAGTAAATCATGGTGGATTAACGTTGGCCTCCTTCCAAAGGTGTAATTAATCCAATTCGAACTATATTAAATTAGTCGATTTTAAACCTATTTACTTAAAATCCTACATTTCAGAAAAACAAATCTATCAATACATGCCCCCCGAAGCTATCAAATTTCCTGAAATTTACACTCGAGAAAGGGATGTTTGGAGTATAGGAATTCTCCTTTTCTAAATGTTGTCAGGCCAATTCCCATTCAAAGGTAACAACAAAGAAGAGGTATTTGAGGAAATACGAAAATATTCACTACAAGAGAATCTTGAAACCAAATGTTTACCAGCTGAATCAGTGAATTTTATTAAGGGATTCCTCTAAATTAATCCTTCAAAAAGAATTAAATTAACTGAAGCCTTAAATGATCATTGGCTAAAACACTTTATCGAAAATCAGCATGAAGAATAGAAATAAATAGTCTAGCAATTAGAAAATAATCATGCCTTGAATTTTCTTTAGTGTTGCTTCTTGTAGTTTATGATTTCCACCTTTTCAGCTGATCAAGAGCAATTCTTTTATCAACTTTTTGGATAATTTGATGTGAATCATGATGGCAGGATTAGCAAATAAGATCTCACCATTGCCTATATCAAGCATTTCAGTAGTCCTCAAGAGGTTAAGGAACATGTCGATAAAGTCTTCAAGGGGATTGATATTAACAAAAACGGGGAAATAGATTTTTAAGAATTTTTGATTGGAGTAATAAATAAAGAGACATTAATTACCGAAGATAATTTAAAGGAAGCTTTCAAAGTGCTTTCAGATGTGGAAGGATTCATTTCGCTATCCAAAATGTGCTCTTTGTATCATAATAAAAAATAATAGCTGAAATAATAATTTTCAGCCTATGAAAATAATTAAGTAAGAATAATAGTCACTTATTTTAGATTAATTTCAAGCAGTTTCAACAATTGATGTTTGATGCGCTCTGAAAATTCTATCTGTATTCTGATATTTATTATATACTATTGAAATTAATTATTTAATCATATGGAGAAATTAAGACATTTTAGAGAGAGTAATATAGATTCAGAATTTAATGGTTACAATGAATGTGAAAAAATTGTCCTGAATAATATGAAAGAGAATTTCAGTGATTTATGTCTCAGCATTTAATAATTCTTAGACACTGATAAATAGAGATACATATCTCAATTTTCTATGGCCAAAGTATTATTTATTTGATTTACTTTAGTTATGCTTCAGACTTACTCAAATTATGAATGAAGAATTCCTATTTAATCATTTCTAAAATATCGTTCTGCCTTCAATAATCAACTACATATATAATAATTAGATGTATTCTAAAGAATTAGAACCAAAAGCCTAATAATTTATTCAATCGTCTGTTATTTTATGTAAAGAATTGCTAAGTTTTTGGGCTCATGTCTATCCTCAAACACCAGATTTCTCGACTTCTAAATTTTTGAGTGAGTACTAAATATTCAAAAAATAACAAAAAGAAAATAAGATTGATAAAACAAAAAAGAGTCAATATATTTACATAAAAGAACAATTTAAGATTCATTTGGTCTATAAGGCTATTAAGGATAAATGGAAGAGATAAAATTTAGTCTCAGAATTTAATATTTCTGATGAGGAAAGAAGTCCTTAACTTTCTTCTCGTGATAACTTAAATCCCCCTTTGTAAGATTAAAATAAAGAGTAGCTTTAATAAGAGTTGGATGATCTTATAAAATAAATTAATGAGAAGAAAAAAGAGTTGGATTAGAAGAAAAAAGAGTTGGAAGATGTAGAGATAAACATTCAGAAGAAAACAGAGGAATTTTAACATTTACCCAATTCAATATCGAATCAATCAAAATCAACCGAGGCTGAATAATTTCGTAGTTCTGGAACATCAAACTCTTCTATATATAATAAATAAATTTTTGATTCTACTTTTAACTTTGATGATGAAAAATTTCCCATAAAAAAATAATTTGAAGATATACCCTTAGTTTCCATTGATACATCATACCCACAAAAGAAGAGAAGACTATTAGATGGTAGAGGTGTCTTTCACGTTCATGAAAATTTCTTACTTGCTAGATAATAAATATTAAACGAAAATACCATGGACTTGGTTATCTATTTGAAATGCATTGAAAACCCTATGAAAGATTTATTATTTTAGGTTTTATGCTAAGGCAAATGTAATAATTTTAATATCTTAGTATAAAAATAAAATACCTTAGGTGGAGATAAGTAGAATCTGTTGCCAGGAGAACAGATCAAATTTGAAATTAGAGACATTGATAAATCTTTACTTATTGATAACGATATTGAAATTAAGTTAAATATTGATTGGAAATAAAGTTTCCCAGAAACAATTTGTTTTTATTTGAAACTCACAAATATTGTTAGTTATAATTATGCTATAGAGGCTGATTTGGTGAAGGAATATCAAAATATCCCTAAAGTCTTAATTTCCAAAGAGTTTATTTTTGACTCCGAAGTATTTCCAAACGGATTGGAAGACATATAAAAATGCATTCAATATTCTATAAATTATAAACAAAAGAATTAACTATTGTTTTCTGGAAGTTTAAATAACAACGCTTTTATTTGCAGAGTAATAATTTTCTAAATATTTAAGATTACTTTAAATTAAGAAGGGTAAGCTTAGGTGATCATAAAGAAACTATAGAATGAAGAACTGGCAAAAAGATTAATAATAGCTTACATTGAAGCATTACAAAAAATTGATTGATTATATGATATAAAATTAAAATAATCAATTTCTTTTTTTGTTAATCCATCCAGGAGAATTGTTGATATTATAATTATAAGTTATGTTGTTATACACAATGTTTAAGTTCCTATCCTAATCTTCCAAAGTATTTCTACATTCTCCAATATTATAGTTGTATTGCTATTACAATTGTTGTTTTTATCCTTTTTGCATGTTGAGAATTTCTTTTGATTAGTAAACTTCCTATTCATCTCCTGAATATTCATCAGTAGGATAAAAGTTTTATCTCAGCTAAGTAGATTTCTTCTTAACTTAATAAACTGGGATTTGTTGTTAAAACATTTATTGTTATTGTTATTATTATTGTTATTATTCTTTACGTTTTAATTTTATGACTGTGTTTTAATCATCTTCATTAAGGTCAGGATTGAATGATTTTTTCTTTGCTCTGACTCTGAGATTCATAGATTTTTTATCCCCTTCAATTGAATTGTTTAGATCATTTTCAGGTATTTCGTAATTATAATTTTAGGCCATCTTATTTTATAGAAAGTTATCGAATTAACCTTCTTAATATCCAATGATCACATTCTTCTACAAGAATCCTAGTTGTGAATTTACATCTTTCTTCGGCATTGATTTAGATTCCTAAGAAGGCTAATTTATAGTATGATAATCTACTGTATTTTTTTCTCCTGTCTTAATGGGTGCAGGCTTAACAAAGTTATTGACTCTCTCAACAGAAATGTTATTATTTCCTTTTTATTACGTTTTTCTATTTAAATAATATAATATATATACCTTTCATTTGATTTATCTGCTCTTTTATTGCTTGCTAAATTGTCTTTTTGTTGTGATAATACTTATTACTATTGTTGTTATTGCAACTATAATTATTACTATTGATTGATTTGTAAATTCTGTTTGGCAGCTAACTTATTCGCAGATTGAATTCTATCTTTGGGAATTTGTTCCTTGTCTCTTAATTCTTTTAAAAACTAATAATATTAATCATCTCTCATGCCATCAAAGTAGGGATGTTCTAAAGCTTCGAATGCTGTCATCCTCTTACTAGGATCCATTTTCAATAATCCTTTAATAAAAGAGATGGCTTTTAAAGAGAGTTTCGATTAAAACTTCTTTTCGATAGTGTCTGGTTTGGTGATTTCATGAAATTTCATACCCACATAGCGAGGATTCTTAAGAAAAGCTTCCTTTTACTCGCTAGTCAAAGGACCCAGCAACTAAGAAATATCACACTAATTTAAACTTTACAAATCAAATATAATTGATCCATTTCAGTTTAGCCTTGAAATAAGGGTTACCCATCAGTTAATTCAGCCATTATGCATCCAATAGCCCAAATATCCACTCCCTTTCCATATTCATCTCCCAATAACAATTCTGGTGCCCTATACCATCTAGTAGCAACATAATCAGTCAACTATCCCTATTTTTATGGAATGAGTCTTGCAAAACCAAAATCACAAACTTTCAACACCATCTAGTCGCTAACCAAAAGGTTTTCAGGTTTGATGTCTCGATGTAATATTTCAAGAGAATGACAATAAGCAATAGCTAAACATAATTGATAAATAAATCTTCTTGCCAATTCAGGCTAAAATGGAAATTGAATATTACATCTAAGCCATTTGGTTTTTCTTCAAGTAATTCTAATAAGTTTTTTTCTACATACTCTAATACCACATAAAGTTTGCCTTTTCTAGATATGATGGAATATACGATACCTTCTAAATGCCTCTTTGATTTTAACGATATTGTCGTGATTTAACATCTTCAAAAGTTTAACTTCCCTCAGGATTGTTTTTTTAATGCTTTCATCTTCTTCAGATCCAATATATTATTTGATGGCTACGATCTAAATTATTAATTTTCTCTACTTCTCCTGTCTCCTTGTTTTACCCTTTGAGTACCACACCATAAGAACCCTTACCTATGATGCCAAGAACTTCGTACTTTTACATAAAAATAAATTATATATTTTTGAATAATAATTCTTATCAACCGACAAGGGAGTCTGTGTTAAATCTATTATTCTAATTATGCTGTCCTCTTTAAGTTTAGACAATACTATTGCTCTTGAATTTATCCTTGGAAAGGAATCCTGGGACCCAGGTCTTATTTGATCCTAAGAATTCATCTTCCAAAGTCGGATGTAGTATTTTCCTTACTCCTGTTTGACTCATCCACTTAATTTCAAACTCTTAAATTTCATAGTCCTCCTTCTCTATGGTATTAGGTGTTTTTGGATTTGAATTTTTTTTTGAATTCAATCTCTTACTGTTATTAGCAGTTGCAATAACACGTTAGAAAGGCAATGGTTTTTTTTGAGCCTCATCTTGCAAATCCTTCATTTAAAAATCATCATCTCCACCAACATTGATCTAACTCTGTTATCTTAAGAATTGAGCCTTCTTGACTTGAAATGATTTCCGTCTCACCACTTTATAATTCTTCTCTTAGATATTATTTTGCTATACAAAACTATATTAATAAAGTAATACTCTGGTAATCTATCCTTTTTCACTGAGAATCCAACATGAAATATCTTGTCTCTCTCAGTCTCTTATATGGCAGTGTTCAATAATTTCCGATATTCAAGCATGAAATTCTTTTATTATCTTTTCAACAGATCTTCAGGATTCAAATTGCCCATCTTCTTTTTCTACTGAAATATTATCTCAATGTTGTCCAATCCTTTATTTCCCGAAAAGTACTTCTCATTAGTAATACTAATAAGATTATAACTGTTATTGAATCTAATCAATTTCACTGCATTGTCAATAAAATTCTACAATATTTTAACTGTATCTTTTTGCTTTGGTTCCAATTCAAACATAGTCGCTATAATATTGTCACTCTCAATGATTAATGGTCCTCTCAGGTTGTGCTCTGCTAATGAATTGAATTTCTAATTAATTCACTTCAATAAAATACTTTCTCTGGATTTGTGAAGGTGATTGCGTGAATGTCCCATTAATTGTAACACGAAATTGCGAATTCCATGGCGACACCTCTAAACAACCAATGATGCAAGAACTGCTTTTTTATTTAACAGATCATTTCATTTTGATTTGACAACATATTCTATTTAGGTTTATAAGTTGGTGATTTCACAATATACTTACCAATCGACTGATATTCCATAGCATCCCTCCTATTGTGCAAACCAATGTTAGCTTTTGGCAACCACTCATCGGTCACTTTGCTATACAGATATAGATCTCCTGTGGTTGAATCCAAGAAGTACTCATTCGGACCATTTTTCAATGCCTGTAGAGTGTATTTCGGAAAATCCACTAATTTACAACCTTCCCCATGATTGTTAGTTATGGAAGCATGCTTTAGAATAGAATTATTTTTAGTTACCAAAGAGAAATTTGTTGAACAAAGATAAGCTATAGCCTAAGCACCAAATGAAGTTGAGAATAATAACTTTTTGGTCTTCAAACACATTCTGATCAAGGTTATTATCTCAATCTTATTTGTATTTATACCTTTCTCATATTTGGATTCCAAGGTTTTGAGTTCGGAGAAGCTATAATGAACACAATATCAATTGAATTAAATTTCAATCCATACTCCATTCTGATCAAACTTGTCTCCGGTTCATAAAGGAAATCATCCAAAGAATGTCGATCTCGAAAATGATACTCGCATTCAGTATCTGCTACTTCCCTCTATTTCGATATCATCTAAATCTAATATAATTATATACACTCTAAATGCTGTTCCTAAAATATTCAAATACTTTAGCACAAGATGCAGAAGCATTGAACCCATTTACTATCAGAAACCTCATTATTTTATTTTATATATTTCCAATATAAATGAGACAACAACAACCATATTTCATAAGACCTTCTAATCTTTCGTCTCGCCACTCCACAAATAAGATAAGCTTTCTCAATAAAGAAGATACCCCTTCGAACAGTTAAGGAGTTCGAAGGAAAACTCCCATTCTAGCTCATGCATTAAACTCACCTACACATTTCAAAGATATGTAATTCTATTATACATATGGAGGCATCGTATCAATCCTGTTAAACGTATTCCAACTCTAAATTCACCATTACATGACGGATCCTTATCAAAATATCAAATTATAAGTGATGTTTCAGTTTACAAACTACCAACTACTAGAAGAATCAAATCCGATGATTAATTTTCCAATATAATACCCATTAAAAAACAGTAGAGTTAACACATCAATAATATTAAGTTGCGAACTGATAGAAGAAAAAATTTTACTCCATTAATTAAAATGAAAACAGAACCTAATGAAATTGCTCAACATTCCGTTTCTAAATAAGATGAGTCTCAAGATATATTATTTCGACTTCATAAGCAATCAATCCCATCAGAACCCAGGGATAAATTTGCTTCTATTTTGGGAGACAGAATTGTTAGCAGCATAAAAAAAATAGATAAAAAGACTGAAAACTTTATTGAACTAGATCAAGATAGTTAATTTTTTCTAGAAACTAAAGAAAATAAGAAAAATAAAGAAATCCCTGTTTTGAATCAATAAACTAAAGAGAGAATTTTAGATTTGCTTTGTTTGTCTACATAAGATTTAAAAAAGAAATTCGCTGACTAAAGTAGAGTTGGGAATTCTAAAATTAATACAAGGCAGTCTAATAAGTTAATCATTCCAAAAAATGGCAAATCTAAATTTCCATTAGATTTTTTTAATGCTCTCTTACCAAATTCTATTCTTAATTGATTTTTTCTTTATCTAATATTATATTTTTGTAATTTGCATATTATTTTAGCTGTTACGTCAATCGTTCTAATTTTAGTTGTTTTCTATTTGATTTATATATTATTAAATTTATATTACAAAATAAAATTGTTGGTTTCCTCCAAATTATTTATCATATTTATATGTGAATATAATTAATCATTAGCTTTTGCCATCACCTAATATGAATGCATATCCATTTAATATTTGTTCAAGAATCTGTCTTTTTGTGGTGAATTTGGATTCAAAAGTTAGATAAATGCAGATTTTATCGTTTGGTAAAATTTCAAACTAAAATATATTAAAATACTTTTATACTTTTATTAAAAATGAAATGTCTAAAACATATCCTAGACCTCCTAATTTTATTTCATCTATTCCCATCTCAAAATCATTAATTTTGTTGCTGTTTAAAATTATTGTTTTCGGCACTTACTTTTGGAAGAAACTAATATCTTTTATCACTCCTTTATTTAAATTAAGCAATGGTGTTCTAATTTAATTAGATATCTATTATTTCCATTTATTCTTAAATTCACTCACCTTGATTTCTCTATAAATTATCTATTAGCAAATGTGATTTGGAATGTAAATTTAGAATGGATGGGTCTCAAAGTGGGAAATTTGCAATGTCAAAATTTAATAAGGAATCTTATTCGATCCAATCAATATCTCTATTAATTCGTTAGAATCTTCATCTAAAGTTTTTGAAAATTCTAAGGGGGAAGCCCAAAATTGCTAGAATTCTATAATAAGTTATCATTATAATTTTTACTTTCAACTTCCAAAAATTACACTGTAAAATCTTGTTTCACTCCCTAGCTATTTGATACATACAAACCATAGGTAAAATAGGTTTTATTCTGAGCAACTTAAGTTTAATACAATAATCCAAACTGTATCCCATAATCTTCATACAAAATGCCTTAAGATCCTAAGCATCGCTATTTGAAAAAGGTCACATTATCTCTGTTCAAATGAGAAATGTCATCAAAATTTTAATTCTATTGAATCACCTTACCTTTTCTTGATTTCTGTGGTTTGTTATTAAAGTAATCTTCAGGACTGCTATAAGGGAATATTAGGTCTAAACTTTCAGGGTTAAGATTTTTTTGCTTTTAAGGTACTTATTCGGGATAGAATTTTCTATTTTTTGGAAAATGCTTGAACACAGCAATGGGACACTGAATTTACACAATCGGATTATTTTCAAGGCCTGCATTCACTTCCTTTATAGAATGATTTGCATTTGCCTTAACTTCAGAAATCTCTATTTGTTAATTATTTTATTATTGTTAAATCGACTCTAGTTCAGAAACTTAAGATTTAGTGTGATTCTTTGAAGGAATCTTTAATTATAACTAAGCCTATTTTTAGATTGCCTCAATAGTTGCCAACTGATTCTATTATGCCTATTATTGTAATTCAAAGACATCTTTTTATAATTTCTACCTATCCTATGTGAGATCATCTATTCTTTATTTATAATATTCATCTTTTTCTTTCAAAGCAATTTTATGATCTTCCTTTAACTTATCAATCTCATCTAATTTCTATTGCAATTTCTATTGTAAAAGAGTTGAACTTCTATTGTCCATGTTCTTCTGTATAAATTGATCAATTTATTATTAAGCAGCTTCTAGATTTCTCTTAAGTTGTTAATTTTCTTTTTAAGCAGCTTAATAACTTTATTATAATTATTTGTATTCTGCTTCTTTATCACTAAGTTATAATTAATTTGAGTTTAACTATTGTTTGGTATTTAAATTTTCCTTTCTAGCCTCAAATACTTATTACAAAAGTTCATCATTAGACTTTTTTTAACTTTCCTATAGGATTAAATAATCCTTTTAGCTTTTTTCCAATTAGGTCTTATAAAGATTTAATTAATTAGTCAGAGTCTCTGAAAAGGTTTATTAATCATTAAGTTTGATTTTGCTTAAATCAATTTCTTTTTACAGACTTTTTTACAGAATTTCTTTATCTAATTTTAAGGTCTCTATTTCTCTTTTGTGTTAGGCTATCAGTTACTCATATTGAAATTATTTATCTTAAATTTCACTATGATTGGTTGATTAAGCCTTGATTTATTCAATCTATCTCAAAAGTGCTTATTTTTCTGAAAATAACTGCTGTCTTTCTATTTTATAATTATTTAGCTCTAAATCATTTTAATCTTTTTGCTATTATTTCAACCTTTCAGAATTCAGTTTATATTCATTAAATTGTTGTTGAATTAATTGGAGTTGATTCTAATTTAATATCTTTTCTTATTAAAGTTAATCAAATTTTGTTTGCAGACTTTTTAAATCTTCTTATATCCTATTACCACCTCCATTTAATGAATATACATCTTCCTTCAACTTTTTATTTCTGTTTTCTTCATCTTCTAATTGTTTTTGTAATTATCCCTTATCTCTTTGTAAATTTTCCACTTGTTGCTGTAAGATTTCCAATTATTTCTTATCAAACTAGTTCATTTATTGGTGATTCTCTTATATCAAATCAGGAGCTCCACTTAAATCCCCTTTTATTTTTTGGTGTTATGGCTGAGGATTCAATCCCAAACTAGAATGACTGATTGGTTTTGAGGTTTTCATTTGAATTTTAGATTGATCATTTGGATATAAAAATGATTTAGTGTTAAATACCTAACCTACTTAAGAGTTTGTCTAAAATTTGGAAGCTCCAACTAATTCTTGAACTTTTTCGCTGTCACCGTTATCCAATACTATTTGTTATTATTATTGTTTTTGCTACATCTCTTCATAATGAATTTTCTTTTATTCTTCTTCATATTCTCTCTACTTTTTGAATTCTTCCTCTTATTATTTCTACTTTTTTTACTGCTCTTCCTACTCCTAGATTTATTTCTATCTCTTTTAATCCTCTAATTCTTAATTTCTTTTTTTCTCCGCCTGCTCTTCTTCCTATTTTTTTTTTAGCTCTAGCTCTCGTTTCTTATTCTCTTCATCTTAAATTCTTTACTTTTCCTAATTTTGTTCCTCATTCTTTTTTATACGATCTTGCTCTTCTTTTCGTCTTCTTTCATATTCTATACGATCTTGCTCTTCTTTTCGTTTTCTTTCTTATTCTATGCGATCTTACTCTTCTTTTCGTTTTCTTTCTTATTCTATACGATCTTACTCTTCCATTAATTTTTTTAATCTCTCTACTTCCAATCTTTGTTTTTCATTCTCTATCTCTTATTATCTCTTTTATTCCGCTTATTATTATTATTATTATTATTATTATTATTATTATTATTATTATTATTATTATTATTATTATTATTATTATTATTATTATTATTATTATTAATATAATTATTATTAATTTGCCAAATTTGCTAATCTTTATATCTCCTTCTCATCTTTTATTTATTGTTATACTATCTCGATTTAATCTTTAATATATTTTTCCTTCTCATAATCAGGTTTATTCTTCATGTATTTATTTCTAAACTCTTAATAAGTTCTATCATTAAGCAAACCAAATTCCTTTTCCAAGGTTTATAAATTATCCATCTCCAACATGACTTCCCCTGCCAAGTCCTCTTCATCATAGTCTATTAGTTCATTAACCAATATATCCATTACCTAGGTTTTAGCAAATGCTTCATCCCTTAATAATTGAAAACTTTAGGGAACGTAATTTAAATTTTTAGAACATATAATTTCAACTTCATCTATCAATTATTTACACCTTTCAATAACAGTGTTTGCTTTCTGAATTGCGCCATCTTTTGGATTACCTGGAGTAGCTTAGCCTGGAGTTTAACTTTGATTATTTCCATGTTATTAAGTTTAGGGCTGATTAGAAGATGCTTATTTCATTGGTTAAATAGCGCCAGAGTTAAGAAACTGTTAATTAATTCTAGCATCTGATTTTAGAAGATCTACTGTGTGAGGATATTCAGGACTTGTATGCTAGTTAACAAATTCTTGTTTGAAGTAAGACCAGGTATTAATTGTATACCCTTTATTTTCTAAATCCAGATATAATTGAATAAATTTAGTTGGACCTCCTTAAGGATATTAAGGAAAAAACAGAGCCCATGCCTTTATACATTCCATAGCTAGCCTAACCAAGGAAGTTCCATATTATCTGGTTTCTTTTTCTAGAATAACTATTTTTGAGTACCCATTTTATCTCCAAATAAATTGCTTCCCCTATTTTGGTCATTCGCAGGATCCCCGAACTCTGCATAATATTTTAAAGAGTTTAAGGCTATAGCTTCATATTGATTTATAAATCTCATATTAGAAATCTCAATTAGCTCCTTACTCAACTATAAGAATAGAATCATAATTTATACTCTCAAAGCTAATAACTTGGTTAATGGAGGATATAGATTTCGATTTGTATCCCAGGTTAGAACTTCTTTGATTGTGTTGCAAATTGTTTCAAATACATGTTCCTAATTGTCTTATACAGCTAATTTAATTGGGCGAGCATTCTTGTAATCCTCTTATGTTAATAAGCATGACTTAATAAACTCAGGTGTGATTTATTGCATGAGATTAACTGTCTATACGATGTTTAAATTTTATTAATTAATTAATACTTATTCTTATAATCATCCAACTTAAATAGCCATTCTTATTGAATAACTATTCTATCTCCCTCAAAAATAGATAAAATATTGTTTAATAATAAAACTCGAACACTTATATAATCACAATAACTATTTCATCAAAAATTCAAACTCTGAATAACCCACACTCTAAAAATGAAACAATATAGTACTTATGGATTTGAAAAGTTTTCTTAAAACAATTTATCTAGTTTGGATGTGCAAACACTAAAATGAAATCGGAGTTTTTGAGTCGTCAATTTACCATTACTAGAAGCAACCATCTTAAATGTTGTTTTCAGATTTTCCTCTGTCAATAACCCAGGTTTATCAGTTATAGCTACTAAGAATTCCCCAAAATCAATAGTGCCACTTTTATCAACATCAGCTATCTTGAAAATATTCTCAATGAATGCTTTTGCATCTGCTTTAGAAGCAAATCTGTTAGAATACACTTTTAGAATCTCTTCCTTTGTTAATTGACCATCATGATTTTCATCCAAATTCACGAATTCTGTATATAGTTATTGTTAATCAGCAGAACAAATGTTTTTAATCATAAAAGTCAAAAACAACTGTTAAAGTTCTGATATTTTTACCTTATTTTGTTAAAGTTAATTTAAGATACTTTGATCATTTTACTTAACTCTAATTTTAAACCAATGATCATTCATAAAGCCTAAAATTGAAATTCTCTATTTAATAGGCACCAAAACTCTCTATATCAGTTGTCTACATAATTTAGATACTCTATCGAATTAAAAATTATTGTATTGGGCAGCCATCTTTTTAATTTGTGATTTCACTGATTCAATTGTATTTCCTTCGAATGGAGGGTATCCACATATCATCTAATATGACATCACTCCCAAACACCAAACATCTCTTTAATGATTGAATACATTTTAGTCTTTACTAATACAAGCTTCAGGTGGAAGACTAAAAACATTTTATTCATTTAATGCTGGCTTTACAAATAGACCTCTAATATCACTAAGTTTAATTTGAAAATTATTTGATGTATCAACTCTAGAAAAGCTATTCAAATTAAGGAAACCGTGAGTCAATCCATTCTGTTCCAAATATCTTAGTGATTCTGCTGCTTAATAGATGATGGATGCTATTTCTGCTTCAGTAAAGGGAATTATAGATTTATCGACATAGTAATTGGAGAGTTGGCCTCCACTGCAATAATCCATTATCAAAGAAAAGACTTCCTCATCAATAAACAATTCATGTACATTCACAATTCGAGGGTTATCCTATATAATTATAATGTTTTAATTATTACTAGGGGATAACATTTCAATTGAGTGATAAATTCTTCATTTTCTTAATTTCTTTCATATTGTTCCACTACTCTAATTTTACCAGTTAGATTATGCTGAACCAACTTCTAATTTGATGACACTTATTTATTTAAACAAATAATCATACATTTCATGTTTCCTTAAGTGATTTCACTGTAAAATCTGGAGTAGGAGAACTTATAAACCTTTAGTTAAGACAGATTCTTTTTAGTATCGTCATAAGGTTCGCTAATAAATTCTTAGGGAGGAGAAAAGCTTGGAAGAATCATTGAAGGGTTGTTATTAGTGAGTACTTGATCAGTTTTTTTGATTAAAATTGGTTGTTGCAAATTTTTACTTGATTTCAATTTAGATTAAGATTGGCAAGGACCCATTTATATAATTAATTATAGATTTAGTTTGAAAAAAAAAATACTAAAAATAGTTAATTTCATTTGATAAAACTGAATATTTGTATCATTTTATCGAAAATAATTCTGTAAAAAGAAATTAATTAATAAAATATATATCTAACAGTTTAAGTGAATGAGTCTTTTATTTATTTATTTTGCAAAGTAATTTATTTATTTTTAATCCTCCTCTTATGCAGGATTATAGACTAGTTTTATCACCCTTTTTATTTAAATTAGGATTTCTGTTAATAAATTAATTTTAAGGGATTCTCATCGTATTTTATAAGAGATTAATAATGATCATAATATGAACTTATTATTTTTGTAAAATTTGGTATAAAATATATTCAATAAAATAAATATATTAATTTGTAAAACCCAATTAAAATGAACATTAAAGCAAATCATCAAGGGCTTAAACGCAAAATTGATATTTTCATTATTTATGAATTTTTTTATAGGTGTTTAATTCAGTTTTCATTTCATTTACCACCAGAGCCAAAGCTTCAGGATTAACTCCATTTTCTATCATACTAACCAATACAGCTAATTATTATCTATCCAATCCGCAATTTAAAATCTAAGACATTTCATGTATGACTATTAGCAATAACCATTTTCATTTACTTTCAAGCGTTTCTTAAGCCTCCTCCTTTTCTTACGATAATGAGACCTTCAATTAACTTTTAAAATTTGAACTATTGTTTTGATTTGCTGACATACAAAATTTAAAAAATATTTTTAATTTTAAACTCATTGAATAAATATTAAAAGTCCATTCCCAAGGAGAATATTGTATTAAATCCCCTACATATCTATTGTATATTCTCAATTAACCATATAGCCTCAACTAAATTCCTGATTCAATTCCATAGTATATAATTACCCATATCCCAATCTATAAGCATAATCACATTAAGCTGCAAAGCCTATTATAGACATCGAAATTTTGAAATCAATTGTTTTGCTTTGGTAATTTTAAAGAAAACTTAAATGTAAACCATTTGCTGCAAAACACTGTATTCTCTGGAGCATTCAGACCTTTAGGACATTAATTATATCAATCCTATATGGTACTATAAAGTATTTCTAAACTATTCTACTTTTAAGCGCTCAATGTTACTTGTAATCCGACGCTATTTAGATTTACTATTGATTATATTCTCTCACTGCAGTTTATTTGAGAATGTTACTTTAAACTATTTTCCAATTTTACAAAATTTTACTAATAATTATTACTCGATCCAACAGGTAATTCATTCCTTGCATCTAAAGGTTTTAATCAGCATCCTATATTGATCATTAGCTTAAAAACCGATGTTGTTTGTGATTGATTATTTGTTGAAATTCCAAACTCTATCTTGAAACCTAAAGCTGTAATCATGCCCTTTCACCCAGGAATGAGTATGGCATTTTCTCTGAACATAATATCAACCTAATATTCTCCCATTTTATTTTTGTTCGTATTAAACTAAGCCATAAAAAGATCGTGTTTGAAATAGAATCTCTATAGGTCATGGCAATTAATTCTAAAAATCTGCAATCAAAGTTTTCTATCTATTTATCAACAACTTTTTTAATTTCCTTTTCTTTTTTAATCCTTTCTCATTTATCAATCTATATTTCATTAACACTTAATTTTCTCATCATTCTTCTTAATAATATGAACTTAGGAGTTTCTTTTTGAAATTTTAACGTCTTGGAATAGTTATTTGAAGAAAGAATTTATTAAAGATCTTGCTTAAATTGCTATGACTTGTACTTAAACTAAAGATGTAATGGTGTTTCGCCTTTAGTAATTAATAGTTTTGAGTTGATTCAATCATCCTAAATGTTTTAAAAAATTCATAACTTTGTTTGGTATCAACTAAATTTAAACTGATTCAACCTTCATTTAATGATTCTTCTTGCCAATTCTTAAATTCATTGACATATATAAATTATTTTTTATAACTTTATTCCTATTTATTTGCATTAAATTCTGATTAATTAAATAAAACACTAATTAAAACAGGTTATTATTTCAGAAGTTCCAAAATAAAGATTAATGATATTGATAACATTAAATCTATAGATCTAGGGGTAACAACTTTGAGGATTTAATAAGAAATAATCATTTAAGATAAATAACGAAAAATTTTATATATATAAGATTCATTCTATAAGTAATCTCATAATCGATTCAAACTATTACCAATTGAGCTAAAATTAGATTATCAATATTACAGTATTTAAATCATCTGTTATTTAAGAAAACTCAGATTTGATGTCTGCGGTTTCACATTACAAATGTCTTTTAAGTCCCTTTAATTATATTTCTTGTTTATTGTAAGAGAAGATTTAGAAGCAGGTTTCAATATTTTATTAGGTTAATAAAGTAGATCTGGATAAAGCTAAGGACATAAATTATGTAGAATCTATTCCTCCTTCTTAAGGGTCAACTTCTAACTATTAAAATATTTCGTTTATTTTATTTTCTACATCCTCTGTTGATTTATAGTTCGAAAAGAGTTTAATAAGTTCTTGTTTACTCAATAATCCATCCATATTTGTATCACCTTCTGAAAATAGTTTTTGGATTGCAATATATTCTTCCCAATTAAATTCCTATCCAAAATATCCTAACAATAATTATTGAATTGTGCAACAAGGTTTATTTGAAAGAAAATTAGTAAAGAGAATTTCTTATTGAGAGATCTTCTTAATTCTATGAATTTTTAAAAATTGATGTTTTAAGAGAGTTTCAAAATCAACACGATGTTCAGGATTCTTTGCCAATGTTGCTTCTAAGAAATCCTTAAAGATCAAATCCTTCTTTTTTGAGAAATTGAATTTGTGATCTTTGATTATGCTTATTAAAAATGATTGTGTCGTATTATGAGAAAAGTCATAGGGCAACTAACCTTTCTTTAGAGTATAGCCTAATAATCCTACCATCCAAATATCTCTTTCTTTCGTAAAGAGATTCTGATGATATAAACATTCTGGAGGCAATAATTTAATTATTTCCAAATTATTTTCTTCCCTAATTATGATTCCCTTTACATTTACTAATTTTACTATCAACCCTCCGTTGCTACCTTAAATATACTCAAAGGATTTAAGGGTTAGGTTTCCATGAACCAAGTTTTTTGAATGAAGATATTGCATTACAGAGATAATTTATTCATAAATTTGAGATACCAAACTTTTTGAAACTTTGGCTTAGCCTATAATTAAATCTGACAAATGATTCCCATGAAAATGCTCAGAGACCACTTAATAATTCATTCTATCCTGAAATATTTCAACAATCCTGAGTATATTGGGATGATCCTAGAGAGCATTTATTACAATAATATACTAAAGCTACTTTTTATAGCCATGAGATGTATTTCTCATTATCTGGATTAGACTTCTAAAAATTTTCCATCTGCACTAGCTTCCCTGTCTTGTTATTTTGCAAAATCGAAATTTACTAAAAGCATATGACTTATACATACATAATTTGCAGAATGCTAACCAATTAGAGTATATTTTTTAGAAGCACTCATAGTTTCAAGAAGTGGACTTGCAGTGCATGAGTGCAATCCAGAGACATTGTTTTAGATTTTTAAGACCGATATTGGATTTCTTTGTCTAGATGAAACCATATTTCCTTCGGTCGTTGTTGAATAATTGGAATCTCCGAAGATTTTCTTTTCTTAATGAGAAAAGTTAGATCTTCTTAATGTAGCATCTGATGTTGCATATATATCTGCCTTAATTTTTTCCTCTACTTAATGTCCATTAAGTAAGACAACTTTTGGGTTTTACTTTTTTTTTGTCTAGCAAACTCCCATATTTTAATAATATTACTATTTTTATTAAAACAAAGAAATTTTAAAGGGGCATATCTTAATCTAATGAGAAACCGTAATTGTAATTGTAAATAAGAGCATTACAATGAATTATTATAAACTGAGAAAAACGTTTATTTGTATAAAAGTATATAAATAATTCTAAAATAAAGTATATTATATTAATTATTGTAAATTTTATTATACTTTATTTTATTTTAGAAATAATGAGACTAAATATCAGATCATCAATTCTAAGATTTTAGAGAATTGCTGGAAATTTAACTAGAATAAAAATTAAATAATACTGAATTTTGATTTTCTGTTAAACGAGTTAGCTCAACTTTGATCTCGTCAATATCTGAGTTTAAATACTTTTTCAATCCTTTTAGGTTTATTTCTGAAGAATTGAGTGAAAATATCTCAAAACAAATCTCAATGTTTGAAGTTGACAATACATCCTTCCTCGTTGCTGTAAGAGCTAAAAACAAATTGGAATTGATCTCATCTTCTAATTCAAGCTCCTTATATAAATTATCGATTCTCTCTTCTATGTTTTCGATAGTCATATATTTATTAAATAATTTAACCAATTCTGCCTTAGACATCAATCCATCCATATCTACATCTCCTTCTAAAAAGAGCTTTTGAATCTATAAGTACTCTTCCCAATTAAATTCTTAAACAAAAAAACCAAGAATCAATTATTATAAAAGACAACTAGGTTTTGCTTCCAAAAGATTATTAAGCAAGATCTCTTATTCGCTTTTCTGTTTTTGTTAATATCTAGTTATGAATGGTAAATTTAGTAATTATTCTATTTTAATTCTTTTTAATGGATTCTTATTCAAAGAACTAGAAAGAAATTCTTTAAATGCTTGATCCTTTTTATGTTCAAATTTAAACGTGTTGTTCTTAACTAGCATCCTTATTTTTTCCTAAGTCAATTGTTGAGGTAATTGATAAGGGAGACCCCCTTTTTTTAAGGTCAATCCTATTAATGCAATTGCCCAGGCATCTCTGGCTTCAGTCTATTAAGGATGATAGATACACTCTGGAGAAGTGTACTTAAGTACTTCCATGTCATCTTCAACTTTAATGATAGCCCCCTTTAAATTTGATAATTTAACAATAATTCCATCTAATTTCTTTTAATAAGAAAATGAATTAATTGTAATAGCTCCGTGATAAATTTATTGTTCATGCAAATAATGAATTGCCTGCAACATTTGATTTACGACTTAGGACACTTAGGGCTTAGACAATTTTGAACCATCAGCTATTAATTCTGATAAATCGTTATCCTCAAAGTGTTCAGAAACAACCTAATAATATTTATTATCTTAAAAGATCTCTGATACTCTGATAATGTTGGGGTGATCCTAAAATATGAATCAATTATACTATCTTGTTTCTCATCAGCCATTCTATGTAATTCGTACACTCTGGATCATCTTTTCGAAAAGTCTCTAATTGCATAATTTTGCCAGTCTTATTGTTTGAGATTATGGATATAGACTATATTAGATATGAGATACTTACATGATTCCCTTGTTTTTTTCTAATCAGTGAATATTTTTTGAATGCACATCCAGGTAAAAGTATATGATTCGAACTGCTTGTTGTAGCAGTATAGTTATTTGAACCTTGTTTCTTCAAGGTGATTCTTCTTTTTGCTCTCTGGGTCAAAATTATCCCTTCGGAAAGAGGAGAAGTCTTGTTGTTCTCACTAATTTTGGTTGGATCTATTTAAAGATTCATTCTTCTTCTGGGAATGTCTTCAGAAATCTCAGTAACTTCAGTCTTGAATTTGATTTGAGTTTAGGAAGTCTGTGTATTTTATCTCTTGGAATTTCTGACTTTGGTTTGACAAACACCCATATTATAATTAATTATTACTCCCAAATAACTGAGGTACGAAGATTTAAATTATCAAACATGGAATTTAAATTCAGATTATTATTTAATTTATCAAATGTATTTATATTGAAACTAGGTCAAATCTAAAATTAAGATTTAAGCGAAGATAAGATATTTTACATATATATAGATATTAATTAATAATTCAAACAAGCAATTGAACTAGCTTTTGGAATTATTTAAGAGTTAACTAAAATAAGATTCATTTATACAGTCTTTTCTTCGTTAGTTATACGATTGAATTCATCAATCAGTTCTTCTGAATCAGAATTTAAATGTCTTCTTAAACCCCTGAGATTGATCGCCTTTTTACCATTTGAGAAAATCTAGAAACATATCTCTATATTGCTTTAGGTAAGCAATATATCTCTGCTAGCAGCCAAAGATTGGAATTACTGACAATTAAATCCATTCTCCTTGTCAACGCCATAGTTTAACAAGATTTTTTCAGCCAACTCATCTGAATTAGGCTCATTGAGATACTACTTGTACAGATTCGACAACTCCTACTTACTTAAATACCCATCCATGTCTTAATCTCCCTCTGAAAACAATTTTTAGATTTAAAGGTACTCTTCCCAGTAAAATTCTTATAAAAAATAACAAAGTATCATCTCTTATAGAACACAACAAGGCTTAGCAATCTTTGTATTATTCAGTACTATTTCTTGAGGAACAAGTTTTTAAACAGTATTCTCTACCAAGAATTCATCCTTTTATAATTAACTCAAAGTTATTCTATTTTTTGAGTGGAGCACTAAAATTTTCTTCATAAAATTAATTAATAACTAATCGGTATCATCATATTGAATTGTTGTACGCTTTATTAACAATGAGGCTTAAGCGTGATCAAATTATTAAGGGAACTAATATGGGAAAACCCCATATGTAAGAGAGTAACAAATGATTCCTATAGCCCAAACATCTCTGGCTATAGCGTAATTACGAGGTTGACTTAGGTATTCTGGTGGTGTGAACTTTACAAGATCCAAAGGCTCGGGCTCTTTAATTATAACTTTTTTTATATCCACTAATTTGATTAGAATTTCCTTTTTTGTTTTCTTAAATTAAAAGGAATCAAGAGTCAAATGTCCGTGTATTAGATTTAGAGAATGTAAATAAGAAATGATTGAGATTATCTGTGCCATTATTGAAGATATTTAATTTGTGGGAAGCCTATTTTCTTCAGATACTAGATCTGTTAATGATTTCCCATCAAAAAATTCATAAATAACTTAATAAGAGTTTTAATCTTGATAAATTTCAAGTATCCGATTGAGATTAGGATGCTCCTATGTTATTAATGCTTCATATATACCAATTAAACTTTTGAAAGCCAAGTTATGTACTCTTGTGTTTCTTCATCTTCTTTTAAAAAATTCTCCATTTCCACTATTATTCCAGTCTTATTATTCGACAATATTTGTTTCATCTATGTAATCACAATCAATTTACATCATGCATTTGAAGTTTCTTGATTAATGAATATTTTTTAGATGCACTCATTTCAATGATTGGAATTTGACCAAGTTATGGAGAATTCGAGATTAATCCAGCTAATTTTACTAAGCCTACCCTGGTTTTTTGGGTTCTTGACAGAAGATACCCAGCTGATTTAGGTGAATTAATTTCATCGAGACTATTTATTTACAAAAGTCCTGGATGTTTGAAACCTGTTTCTTATGTTGCACTAAACTCAGTCTTCACTCTTTCTCCTTATCTAGTGGCTTTCTTTTTTTGGCCTGCTGGATTTTATTTAACCTTAGTTTAACAAACACCCATTTTAATGTTATTTATTTTAATTTGATACCTAAAACGATTAAATATAATTGAAAAGGTCATTTATATGATTATATAAAAAAAAGCTAAAAAGATTTATATGAAAACAACAAATATCAGTCATTATTGTTATTTAAATAATTAAGTATATATGTTAAGAAATCTTTTTCATTCTCATTTAGATTAAGTGATATTTCAATAAACATTTAAAATAATTGTTGGTTTTCAAAATTGGATAAGGGTTCTAAATGTTTAGGTACATTCATACACAAAATGAACACTCATTTCTATGAGAATTATCAAAATTTGACTGAAAATTTTTGAAATAAATTTTGATATTTGCTTATTGAAAATCTTCAAATAATTACATTAGCAAAAGTGCCCTAAAAAATTTATAATTTAATTTTTGATTCATTTTTATAATATCCAAATTTTTGTAGCATCAACTTTTATGAATTCTTTCATTTTCTCAATTCAAATGCTTTTAAAATCATGATTTAATGTTAATTCATTTCCTTTGTAAAAATTGAATTTTCTATTAATATTACGAAGATGTCACTAATTATAATATAATAATTCCTTATTCAAAGACATTCCTAATCTCATGAAAGAATGATATCAAATTAGATGATAATTAAATATGAATGAAGTCATATTTCCAAGTTTTAGATTATAACTTAGATCCACAGAGATTTTTATTAGTAGTGACAGTACTCCTCGACTCACTATTGTACAATAGGAAACATAACTTAAACAGCAATGTATAATACAGGACATTGTTACAAAAATACAGCTGTTCTATTTTGATTAATAACATATCATGTACCAATAATATTTTTCACATATCATCATTCTTATGATTCATTTATCTAATATACTATTTGTATATTTAAAATTTGGCTGTGTCTTTGTGGGAATATAGAAAATTTATTGCAATTTCTTAAATATTTAAAGTGTTATTTTATATAATCTCATCTATAAAGATGTAATTATACTATTTAAACTATAAAAGCCTTAAAATTGAGAATACTTACAATCAATTGAGAAAACAAAACCAGTTGAGTTCTAAATATTTAATACTCAGTAATGTTATAAATATATTGCTATTAATAATATATTTATTTTAATGAAACGTAGTCCACCTAGCAAAGAAGATTTGTTAAAAGAGGAATATGTTTCCACTTTAACTTACTTCTTGCGTGATAGTAGCGTTTATGATTGTTTATCTATAAATAATCAAGTTTCTGTTGTTGATATGACATTGTCTATTTTTGATACTTTCAAGATATTTATTGATTCTCATGTTGATGAAGTATTATTTTGGAATCAGGAGATTGCAAACTATGACGGTGTGTTTACATCGACAGATCTTATTAAGACTGTTTTAAAATGTTATTACAATGTACTCTATGATATCCCGAATAGTAATTTAATATAATCTATTTTTAGATAGTTTGGACGACAAATAATATAGCAGCCATTATTGAAATGGAGAATGAAGATGAGTCTTATTCACCAATCCAGAGAACCACATATGGAAGATTAACGATAGATCAATTCAATTAATTATTAAAAGATTTTAAGACTATTTCCATCAAGACTTGGTTTAATAGTGTGGGGGAAAATTTGCATTAGAATTGTTTAGTAAAAGCTGAATTAGATGATAATTTGAATGATATCTGCTAGAAATTTATAACAGAAAATATTACTAGAATCATTGTCATAGAGAAAGAAACAAAAATGGTGGCAGGAATTATTCAACAGAAGGATATCCTTAGTTATCTTGTTAAGGGATTTAACTAATATTTTGCTCTAAAGAAACATTAAAATGGAGCAAGCACCTCTAATCACGAATAGCATGAATTGCAGATGGACTATTTCAAGGAGGAAGCTATGAAATTGAAATATACTTTGCCAGCAGATATTCCTGTTTATGAGTATCTATTTAAATTGTATTCTTAGTCTATTCTATAAATTAATTTATGTTTACAAAAGGAATACAATTGCGATTGTAGATAAAAACTAAAAGTATTTGGGGTTGATTGACAGAAGAGATTTTTTATTTATTTTGAAATATTAGATGTTTGATATAGTAATTGTTATAAATCCTATTAATTAGTTAGCGTCTACAGCAGAGAAGTTGTTGCAATTGATTAAAGCCGAAGATTCTAAATATTTGGCATTTCACATTAGAAATAAATAACAATTCACATTTAATCAAACAATAAAACAAGTAAATTCAGTATTAAAATGCGTAGGTTGTCGAAAATCTATTATTGTCTCCGAGGGGTAGCTTAGTGTGTCTAGATAGCGAAGAAAGGTTGGTGACTATATTTTAGATCTCAGACCTTTTCAAGGTATTCGTGACGGATAATGAGAATTAAGAAAATTGTGGATAATGAGATTATATTCATTTAAATTTAAAATTGATTGAGATACGTAAGTTTTAATTAGTTGAGTGACATTAAATGTAAAAATAGTAAAGTTTTAGATATTTAATTTTTAAATTAAATTAATGTAAGAACACACTTTAGTAATAAAGACAGAGAACGATTGGAAGGCCCTTGTTCTTTAAAATGCAAAGCCAGTCATTGTTGATTTCTATGCTGATTGGTATTTAGCAGTCTTTAACATTTTAGGTGTGGTCCATGCAAGGTTTTGAAACCCAAACTCCACGAACTCCTTGCATAAAATTAAGGAAAATGGGAATTAGCAATCGTGAATGTTGATATTGAAGAGTTATAAAAGATTTCATCTTAATATGCAGTATAGTGTTTAATTAATTATTTAGAGTCAAGGAATTCCAGCAGTTTATTTATTCCATAAGGGTGAATAAATTTCTACCTTTTTGGGTAACAGCGAAGCAAAAGCTAAGGATATGGCTGCAAAGGCAGCATCATTGTGAGAATCATTATATTTTATAGATAAAAATCTATATATATTTTGTTAAGGTTTATTCAATACAAGCTACAACATTTATTATTTGTTTTCTTGGCATTTTTATAGAAGTCTAAACTGACACTACTCATATCCTTTGATTTCGCCATTAGGGATTCCAAAGTCTCTCCTCTTTTTAAAAGCTAAGTATAGGAACGTGAGTTACGTCGTCAAGAGATTAATGCACAATCATAGTGACCTCATTGAGAGTGTTCTCAATTTTAAGCAATTTATCAACTTCTTTGGGATCTTGGTAAAGTTTTATGAATTCTTCAAATTTTGGTATATTTATGTTTTGATCAGCTGTAAAATGGTGAAATATGATGAATACCGACTATGGTGTCTAAGAACATTGAGTTATATTGACGATAGTATTCTTAATACATGTTTTGAATAACCATGAAAGCAACTTTTTCAGGATATTAGTCATCTGCAATAACAAGAGCTGCTAGATTATTTTTATCAATGCATATATATGACACAGCATGAGCCTCTTGGTTTGTGACAGCACTCCTAGTGCCAGGTTTGGCTCGTCTAGTATTTTATATTATATAGAATACGCTGCACAAGTTCTAGCTCCAAAATTGAGAGTTTCTTTAAAGAAAGGACGCTAAAACCAACTAGAAAATATATTATTCAAATGTTGTACTTCACAAACGAAAGCTCGAAGTTTTAGGATATAAAAATCGGATTTTCAGGATGGTATTTCAGGAGGTACATTGCTATAATTCTCATTTTACACGTATCTATTATTTAAAATATTAAAAATGCAATAAGAACAACCAAGAGAAATGGCTTAAGTGGTTTCAATTGCCGAGAATGCACAATTCTTCAGATTGATTTAAAATTCCAGAACAAAGGTTTTCCAAGGGACTGTGAAGCTCGCCCAATTCCAGGATTCAAAAACTCATTTCATTACTATTGAGAGATTCTGTCAGAATATTGTCCCTGGCACTCCTTTTGTATACATATCATGTGAGTCTGGTTTGACTCTTATTTTCCCTCACATAGACCAAGGTAATTGGTGAAAACTACAATATGTTTTAGGTTTAAATGGAATCTTTATTCCACAAAGTGATTTATTGAATGTATTCCACACAGCCTTAAACACAGTTGTCTCCATGGTCCCATTTGATTAGGCCATGTAAATACAACAGTTTAAAGACACTATTGAACTACATTGTAAAGACATTGCTACTAACCCTTTGAATAATCCCAATGATGCTGCTGCTTATATAGTTAAGGGTGGAGAGTAAATTTAATGATTTAATTCCTCTAGCTATCTAAAGAAAGGATTCATGTTCTTGGGAACAATGATGGCCACAGGAATAAACAAAGGAACTCAATATTTGAATGACAAAATTCAGCCAGGTTAAGAAGTGTAAGTTGACCCAAACACAAAGACTAAACTATAGGCTACTAAAGAAAAAGTCAGTGAAGTCTTCGATGTAACAGGACAATATCTTGGATAATTGTTTAAGCCAGTGGCATAGAAAACCAAGGAGCTAACAAATGAACTAGGCCAAAAAATTGATAATTCAGACAGCCATAGTAAATATAATAGAAATCATAATCCTAGTTTTGAAATAGAGTAAACAATTGACATCAGCTACTTGGGATGCAGCAGGAACAGCTCTCTCAGGATTAGGCACAGCCTTATGCTAAGTAGGAAGTTCTATTGGAAATGGAACAAAATAAATAGTTCAAAAGAAATACGGAACTGAAGTTGTTAATACTTATTTAGGTGGTGATTAGTAGTAACAGTAAGTACAATAAGAACAACAACAACAATAATAATAGTTGGATCAATATCAACCATTGATTGAAGAGTAACCAGCCCCTTCTTCATGAAAAATATCATATAATTATTATCATTAGTAAAATTGCATTAGTATTTTCTCAACAAATCTTCCCATCAATTAAGAGGGGAAGTTAGTGGAAGCCTAATAAACCATTTTGTTTATTTCTATTAAAATCACGTTTTTTTTCAAATATCTATTTAACGAAAGGTGAGCTTTCTACTTAATCTTTTTTGGATATTGCAATGCTTCCTGAGTTTTGCAGAGACTTCCTTTTGTATGCGATAAGGACAGAAACCTTTTAACTAAGTTAGTGTATGCCAGAAACAGTAATTATAATTGAGAATTCAGGAAGGGCATAAAGAATATTGTTAGCTGAATCTTTTTGTGCATATTTTATTTATTCCTGATTCCCATAATATAATGACAATTATCTATTATGTTCTGGATGGGATAAAAGACTAAGATTAGAATGCAGATGGCTATAAACATGGCAGCCAAAAAAATTCCAAGGGCGATCTCCAGAAATTGGATTGCTTCTGTCTAAAGTTTATCCAGCATCTCCTCTGTTGATTTAAGCTTATACTCAGTATAATCTGTAGTGTCATGGAATCTTTATTAAATTGAAGTTAAATACTTACATCATAAAGAGATAATTGAATTTCTTGATCTCATGAATTGTAATCACCAAATCCTTATCATACACACTGTTGTAACGACAAAGCAAACTAGAGTTCTTTGGATAAGATGAGCAATTGCTTTATTTTGTATCTTTTATTGAACTCCAGTCATCCAAAGTAAATCCTGTAAGAGAAGTATTAAAGATATAAATAGGAAGGAGCGATAGACTTACATTGTAGCTGTGATAAATGAGTAAACCCTTAGCATTGGCCAATAGGACCATATGAACATTCTGATCGGTTTTAACTACAAATTTATTCAAATCTGTCCCCAGATCCGATGCCATCACTCCTTTTAATTTAAGATCTCTATCAAGCAAGGGCATAACTAGAGTGACTTCAATTTTGTCTTTGGTAAATTCTATAAGAATAACTGATAATTAGTTACAAAGAAAGGGATCGGTAAATTAATAATCGTAATCACTGAAATTCGATTGATTATACACGCTTATTCCTTTCAAAAACCAGGGTCTCTTTGGAATGTTCAATCCATAAATAGCATTTTGGAAATTAGTGCAAGGATATGAAAAGTAAACTTAAGGCTCATCTAAGGTTCCTACATAAAATAAAGATTTTATGTTTAATTTAGTGGCAGCCAAAATCTGACCAATAGGATACATGGTTTCTTAGATCTTTAAATTAATTAATGTAACTTTGCTCATTGGGTAAGTTATGTTGGTTTTATTTGTGTAGCACATAAATGAGTGTGTTTTTTACAGTGATCCAGGTGGTTAATCAACAAGTATTTAGGGCATTTTCTTTGTACCTGCATAATCCATGTGAGCTCTATAATCCAAAGTAATGTTAACTTCTTTTTCAAGGTTCCTGTAAGATTACGTATAAATTTGATGAAGTACTTGCAATTAGTGGATATCTAATCTATTTTTTAAATTTTTACTTATATTAAATATCCCATTTAGAATACCATCGTAGCTTCTCAAATGACTTTGTAATGTATGTTTTGCATTATTATTATATATCTCAAAAGAGGATTGTTCTAAAAGAGGCACAATTATAGCCATATTGACTGAATAAATGCCTAAAACCACTCCAAGCATTAGGATAAAAATAATCGAGAATTAAAGCAATGCTTGATTTCTCATTCTCAGCTTCCAAAACCAGTTATCTGAATAAATAGGGATTTCTTTCAACTCATTCAGTAGAACATTTTACTAACTTCCTTTCATCATTTATTTATATAATTATTATATATAAATATCGCTCAAGAAATAATTGATTAATAAGGTTAAAGGGATGAATCGTGACGAATTTAAAATATATATATATACATTTTTACTTCTTTTCATCTGATATTGAAATTACTATTTATCACATAATGGACAATTTGATAATCAAAGTTTTATTTAGCTACACAGAATATATAAATCGGTTTTATAAATAACTCATATTGTTTTTTTTATACAATTTTTATGCAATATAATACATCATTATTCAGTATCTTAAACTGCAATGACTTCTACTTCAACCAAACCTCCTTTGGGTAATTATTTGACTGCAATGCAAACTCTGGCTGGGTAATCGCCATCGAAGAATTTTGCATAGGCCTCATTGACCTTTGCAAAGTCAGCCATATCAACCAGATAAACGATGCATTTGACAACATTCTTGAAGCTAGACTTGGCTGCTTCTAACAAGATTCCCACATTCTTCATTGCTTGAGTAGCCTATTCTGCTACGTCTTCAGAAATGAGATTTCCTGTCTATTATATGTAGATTTATTGCAATTACTTCAGGGACAATACCCAATTGACCTGACAAATAGACTAGATGGGCTGTTGGAGCAACAATCTTAGCGGCTGAATAGGGACCGATGGCTTTGAATTTATCTGTGTGAACTGTGGTGACTTATTGCTGCATTAATTGGTATTAAAATTTTTTCAAAAATTTTATTAAAGATTTGAAATCATGGTAATACATCTCTTAATATACAATAGGGAAAACAACCAACATAGGGTTAAAAGAAAACCAAGGATTAGATATCTAAAGCTGCATCACAAAGAAGTAAATAAACAAAGAAGGTATTACATCCATTTTGATTATGCACTATAGAAATGGACCAAGGGAAGAGCAAAGGATAAGTTGAACAATGCCGTATTTTTAGATTAAGCATCCTACAAATAAATTGAGACCCAATTACCTAAAATGGGTGCATTGATCACAGTCTCAACAGTATCAGATAAATTCAAAGTAAACGGGTAATTATTGCTTCCCTAACCTTAATTATAGTTCTTTGGCCAGAAGATGCATCAGACACTTCGCAAAATCAGGTTTATTGGTTCCAGCCGGTGATTAAAACTCTAAATAATACATCTTCACTGTTAATGCCTAAGTCGTAGCTGCCCAAAAGGCTGCTGCCGCTGCTGCTGCTGCAGATAAGCCATAAGCCTAAAAGAAAGCTCCAGCTAAGAAATGAGTTTATAATTTAAGTACATTACAAATAATCATTTATGTATTTATAAAAAGAAATTATTACAAATAAATGTAAACATGTCAACTTTGCTTAAAAAACACTGCGTTGATTTAATTGATTTGCTCTCATCATATCTGTCTCAAATGCACAAATAAAACTAAGTAATTATAATAAAGGTATTTCTTTATCGTATATCTATCAAAAAGCCAATTATAAAACAAATATTGGATTCAATGTTCACGATGTTAAAAGAAAACATTTAGTTACGACTTCTCGAATCTTCTAATTGAATCTCATGAATTGAGTTTGCTCACTGATAGAAGCCAACACCAATTTTAATTGAATGAAGTAACATTTTATTTTAATATCAACCTTTCAACACTTTAGAGTTAACTTATCATCGAACCACAAATCTTCTAACGTCGCAGATCCATGAATGCCATTGATTTATTCACCAAAAATACATCCCCAATTAGAAAAGAAAAATCAAAAAATCCAACCTAAAAATTAAAACAATCTATCATTAATGTTAATAAATAAAATGTTCTTAAATCAAGCACCCAACTCAAAAATACCTCAAACAAAAAGCCATCTCACAAGAGATGCCAAACTGGAATTGTAGAAAATAAACAAGGTATTTAAAAACATAAAATATCTTAGTCTTAAATAGTATGTTAAACTTCAAAAAATTAACAAAACAGAAAACTAGTCCTATCCAAAAATGCAATTCCATATTCGATTATCTATTGAGTCTATCATATCAACACACTAAAACATCAGATAGAAAACAGTTCAGTCTCGCCAATTCCTCGAAAGCTGACAACAAAAAAAATATTAAAAGCAGATGTCACAGCCAAATTTCAATCAAATAAAAAATTAAAAATTGATTCATATCAATCCAAAAATTAATCTCATATATTATAACTTTTAATTTAGAAAAACATACATTCACTTTTAATAACTATTTTAACTTATTGTCCTCACTCTATTCTTTATTTCAAATATAATTGTCCATTCTCTAAAGTTATCTTGCCTAAGAATATATTTAGATTGATACTTTACAAAGTAATATTTTTGTATTAGAAATATTCTAATGATTACTTAAGGGTTTAGTTAAGTAGGATAAATTAATATGATAAATGATGCATAATTAAATCCATAAAATGATAAATTTTTTGTCCTCAACATCAGTGTAACATCTTTTCTTTCAAATGATTATTTAGTATTATCATACCTAAAATTCCAAGAGTAATAACAAAAATATTGAATAAATTCTCATAAAAATATGATAATCTCATAATAAATCTTATAAATTCAGTTAGTGAAATGTATTGTTGGAATTGTTTATGAGATGAAATTAAGTCAAATTCGAAATAAATCTTGCTTTTTTCACTTAAAAATAGAAAAATTATTATTATAATCTGATTTAAAGAAATTAATATATTCTAATAAAAGTGATATCATCAAAGTGAATATTAATTTAATTGCTCTATTCCCCATTAATTATAATCAAATATTTTATTACAACAAATTCTTATTGCTCCTTTAAATGTATATAGATCTGATTAAAGAGTGAATGAGTATTCTGCTTTATGATTTCAGGAGTGTAACAAAACAAACTATTTTTGGTTTTCGTAACTTACAGTTGAATTAATGTGCTCTTGAATGATTAGATAAACTGATCGAACATAAGGAAATTGGTGATAATGCGTGTATGTGAAATGAACTAGAGTGGGGAATTGATTAGATAAGGTGGAAGGGATGTGAATATTAAAGTTAATATTAAATATAAATTAAATATGACTGATCAGCCACAAGCACCAGCAGATGTGGACATCTTTCAACAGACAATGGATAAGAAGTATAATTTGTATGTTTATTGGCTTAGTTCTCATCGGGCATCTATATTTGAAATAGTTTTAGAGAGTACAGTATTTTAGGTAATAATAAACATATTGACTCTGTATGCTCTTTTTGGAGATGATATAAGGGTAGCTGCTTTTCGGTTAAGTGCAGATATAGTTTTTGATGCTTTGAACATTACATGTTTGGTAAACACAGTTTTATTATGGAGTTTAGATAATGTTTTCAACAGAAATCATACTGTCAGTCATAGTTAAAGAGGGGTACTTTCTGTCCTTCTTCTTCTGGCTCGACTCCATTTCAACAATCTCCTTATTGCTTGATATCAATCTTTTCAATTAGGCTGTTGGATTGAGTGGAGCAGGAGGCTAAGCTAAAAATACAGCTGGACTGGCAAGAGCAGGAAGAGCATCGAGAGTGGGAACCAAAGCAGGTAGAGTAGTTAGACTGGTGAGATTGATAAGATTGGTGAAAATCTATAAATCTGCGAATAAGGAAGATGATGATAAGGTTTAGAAATTGATTGCCCAAAGAAGATAGAAAAGGAAAGCGAATACAATCGAGCCCCAAATCTAAGACAGGGCTGATTAAGGCAATCCAGTATAAGGTGAGGAGGTTGAAACTAAAGAATCAAAGGTTTCAAAGATGTTATCAGATTCAACAACTAAAAAGGTTATCATCGTTGTTTTAGCTTTACTGTTTCTGATTCCATTATTTTCTGTCGATTATTATGTGTCTCCACCAACTAGCATGTTGATGTAATCTTAATAATTTGTAAAACTGGCTGAATCAGAAGCATCCACATATGATGATGTTAAGAGTGCATACAGTTAAATTATCATCGATCACAGTGGCATCGACAATTACATAGTGTTATTTACTAGTCCCTTGAACAATTATAAGGATTTTCCCATTTATGAGAATGATGACTATCCAAATCTGAGAACCGACGAATAGGATGTTGGAGCATATACTTTGGATTATGACACTCTCTTAAAAACAACTAATCTCCCTGATGCTGCCATTGCAGCTTTTGAGTATTTAAATAAATGATATTCTTTTAGCAAGGACAACCCTGATGTAGTGGGTATCTTGAGTACAAGATAAGCAGCTGTGATGACAAGTATCTTATCAATAATCAGAACTATCTTTGTGAGTATAGTCTTGACTTTTGGAGCTATGATGTTTTCAAAGGATTCTAATGATTTGGCATTGAGACCCTTGGAAAGAATGATTGAAAAGATTAATAAGATAGCCAATGATCCATAAATTGTTACAGAAATGGCTGTGATACAGAATGAAAATTCAAATGAAACCGTTAAGATTGAAAACACAATTGTTAAAATTGGAACATTGCTTGCCTTAGGATTTGGTGATGCTGGTACTGAAATTATAAGAATAAATATGAAAAAGTAAGGAGATGTAGATCCCATGTTACCAGGAATCAAGAAAGTAGCCATCTATGGTTTTTGTGATATCAGAAACTTCACTGATGCAACTGAAGTACTTTAAGAGGATGTCATGGTGTTTGTTAATAATATCGGAGACATCGTACACACGATGGTCGATAGATACATGGGAGCAGCAAACAAGAATATTGGTGATGCATTTTTGTTGGTATGGAAGACTAGACCAGAGACCTACTCCTTTGAAGAAGACAACGTAATCTGGCACGATAAATAGTAAGTCAATATTATATCGATAGATATATCTCAACCCTATCTGATTGTGCCTTGATTTCGTTTATGAAAATTCAATGCAAAATCAATAGAGAACCAAAGATTCTAGCTTATAGATAGGATAAAAGATTGTAAGCAAGAATGGACAATTACAAAGTCAAGATAGGATTTGGACTCCACATGGGATGGGGAATCGAAGGAGCCATTGGATCCAACTACAAAATCGATGCTTCATATTTAAGTCCTAATGTTAACATGGCATCAAGACTAGAAGCAGCCACTAAACAATATGGTGTCCCCATTTTGATTTCTGAATCACTCTATGAGCATTTTTCACCTGAATTCCAAGAGTATATCAGACACATCGACAGAGTTTGCGTCAAAGGATCCAATATTCCTGTCAGTCTTTATACTATTGATATGAATGTGGACAATCTACCTCCTAGTAATGATCCATCGGTGAAATACAAGGAGTTCACTAAGGAGGAGTTGAAGATGATTTTAAGATAAAAGAAATTGGAAATTAAAGAATAGGTTGAGAATGGAGAATTTAAGGTTATGGAACATCTGGCTGAAAATAAAGATCTCAAATATTTATTGGCTGGATTTAAAAAAGATTTTATGGTAATTAGTTTGTATATGGAGATTAGGAAGTGTTTGGTAAAGCCTTTTAAGCCTACTTGGATGGAGATTGGAAAACTGCTCGTGCCATGTTCCAAGAGGCTCTCAAACTCAAACCGAATGATGGCCCAACTGAAGCTGTCTTGCACAGTATGGAGGAAACCAATTATCAGAAGCCCAGTGATTGGAAAGGATATAGGGAATTAACAGAGAAATGATTAATTATAAATAATGAATAAGTTTACACTGAAGTTCTTTAACTCTTAATTGGAACTCTAATATCAGAATGAAAAAGTCGGAAGACTCAGAAAACCTGTATTTTATGTATTCATGACACTTGGTCTGATACTGAATGTTTCGAAGGTGCTAATCGATTTAGGCAAGTTGTAACTATCCTATCAATACATTAATTATATATTGATTGCTCTGGCTGTGGTTTTGATCCTCATAAGTGTGAAATGGCCTCTTTACATCAGATACACACTGATGATTGCCAACATTTCAAGCTCTTTACTGTAGTTAAACTTTCCCGAAAATACTAAATCATAAATGTATTATAGCTATGGAAGTAATTTTATGGAATTTTAAGCCTGTGCTTATTTCGTCTCAGACTTTTTGGATAGTGTGGTCTAAGTCATCTGTCACACCATCATTAAACTCATCATTACAATATAAACCACCCAGCATATCGATCCACAAGATGTTCTCATGGGCATAGGAGCTGCTATAATGATAGTAATTGTTATATACATCTGCGATGCCAATGCGCGCAAAGAGTTCTTGTCCAAAATCTGTGAGAATCTCTTGGATAAATAATTATCTGAATTGATTAAACTTCCATTTTTCGAAGTCACTTACTGCTAAAGGCTATTATAGTTCAATTTTCTAAATGGCAAAGACTTACTTCACTTTCCAAACTACGATGAGGAACTGTGTGATGGGTGCAATGTTAGGAACTTTTTAAGATAATACAAAATTGAAGGACAAGAATTATAGGAGTTCTTAATGAAAAACTAAGAGGGTACAATAAAAATTAATATTTCAAAACAAAAATTCAATCTGAGAGTTGTCAACTTGGGCATAGATCACATAAACAAGATCGTTATTTTGGACAGTCAGCAATCCAAAAATATCTCTCTTAATTAATCTATAAAAAAACCAATCAAAATTTATATCCAGCAAACTTCACAGAAAAATAACCAGCTTTTCTTTAATTGGGGTATCATCTCGTTGTTGCTTATCAATGACAACAAAATCTAAGAATTATCGTTATTTAAGATCTTAAGTCGATTCAATTCCAAATTTTCTAAATAATCCAAAATCAAATTTCACTTGAAGGGAGATGAAACACTCACTATTTCCAGTTACTCTAATTTAATCAGGATTTATTTAATACAAATATACTAAATAATTACACATTTCTATGAATCTCAAGAATCAAAAAACCATAAACCAATAACCAAGCCTAAAATTTTTCTAATCACCATGATAATCTACAAAGAGGGCGATTCAATTATCCTGCAATTGCCACTTACAATTAACCCTTTGTTTTTCATTAGCAAATACTCAAATAATTTTTTCATTAGATAAATCGAACAAAAGATTCTAAACTCTCCATTAACAAGTGATTTGAAAATCTATTTTAATACAAGCCTTCCTTTCAAATGAGTTTGAATTACATATGAAATTTATCTATATTTTTGTAACAAATTTAATTGTTAAAAGGTTATTTAATAATTTGTTTAAAAAATTCCCGCTTTTATGGCAAATAGAACCTACTTTAATCTAGATCAGAAAAGACTTTTTAAGCCTCAAATTCAATAGGAGAAGAAGCAAGAAGTTGTTACGAAAAAGAAAGTTGAATCCATTAGCATAAGTGAAGAACCATAAAAATAATTATGGGATATGGATTTAAAGGATTGTGTCACTAAATATAAGGATACTATTGGAAGTAAGAAGAGAAAGGAATAACTCATTTTTAAGCCTGGAGGTAGTTTTATCAAGGAAAAAAGCGAGACTGAAAAACAAAAAACAGAAAAGGAACTAAATAAAGAGATTAATCAAGTGATAAGATAAACAACTAAGGAGTTTTTCGAAGAAATATAGTTGGAGAAAAAACAAAAAGAAAACGAAAAAAACAAGCTTAATGTATAAAATCAGAAGGAAGAACAACGTGATAACCAAGATCAAGATTAGAAGCAGAATTAAGAAGGAAATTAAATAAATGAAGAAAAAATACAATCATAAAAGGAGAATATCGAAAATAATACTGTGAATGAGGATTAAGGACTATTAAAGAAAAAAGTAGGCAAATATTAAAAAAGCCAGAATGGCAATTTTGTTAGATTGGACCTTAAAAAAAAATATCAAGATAGATTTAGAGGTGCCATTTATATGAATCAAAGAAAATATAAAAGAAATGGTACTTTGAAAAACCCGAATCCCTCTTAACGAGAGCAAACTCAAATTGATTTTTAACAACTTAACAATTAAGGACGCGCTGAATCTTGTATTTAAATTAATAAGCTTTAGACAACATATTCATATAATCTGTTTCCTCAGGATTATTGGTTGAGATTTTTGATGATGAAGAAAACTTAAAAGAGAAGGAGAAACATGATGATCTAATTAAAGAATTAGTTCAAAAAGTCAATGATGATTTAGACAATAAAGAAAACTACTTAAATTTGCTTGAGTTAGTGTTTGGTTTTACTGAATTCCGTGAAGGTCAATTTGAAGCAATCTAAAGTATTTTAAAGAAAGAATCGATCTTATTGGTTTAAAAGACAGGACATGGCAAATCATTGGTCTATTAATATTTATCCTTGTTCCTCCAAGATAGTATAGGGATTATATTTTCCCCCTTAATTTCCTTGATGATTGATCAAGTGTCTAAATTGCCTGATTAGATTAAAGGCATAGCATATCACTCTATGCTTACCTCGTTTTAAAAAAGTCGATTAATCGAGTTCATAAAAGGTAGATAGGTTCAATTAGTGTATTGTACCCCTGAAATCTTTTAAAGTGACTTAGGCTATTCCTTAGAGTACTTTGGTAAGATTTCATTTATCTGTATTGACGAGGCTCATTGTGTATCTGAGCTCTCTCATTCCTTTAGACATACTTATGTGATATTGAATTCTATGATTTAGAATTTTTTGAAGAATGATATGCCTCCTTTTTTAGCATTAACTGCTACTGCTACACATTTAACTGTAGAGTCAGTCCTAAAAAAATTCAATATTAATAAATCCATTATATCGATCAACACTGAAAGAAAAAACATTGAAATAAGTGTGAGTAGGGATAGAGATGTCAACGCAACTTTGATTAAGCTATTGCAGAGCTAAAAATATAAGAATTTATCTTCCATCCTTATTTATTGTCGAAGCAAATACATGGTTGATATGGTATCAAATTATTTGAGAAATTGCAATTTGAAATGTCTTGGCTTTCATGGAGGATTGCCTGAATAAGAAAAAATGGATATTCAAAACAAGTTTATTAGAAATTAAATTTAGATAATTGTTGCCACATCTATATTTGCAATGGGAATTGATAAATCAGACATCAGAGCAATTATTCATTTAAATTTGCCCAAAAGTATTGAATCTTACATTCAAGAGATTGGTAGAGCAGGTAGAGATGGTTAAACTGCATATGCTCATTTATTCTTAAGAGAAAACGATTTCCATTTAGAAAGATCATTTATTTTATCAGATTATCCTGATTTTATTGTAATGAAGAATCTATTAGAAAAAATGAAATAAAAGTAGGAAGAAAACAAAATTACATATTTCATATCAAAGTTTGCAGAAGAAAATTTTGACTTAAGAAAGGATACAATTTATTCCCTTATGCAAATTTTAGAAAGGTGTTCAGATGATTGTATCAAAGTTTATCCAATTTGTCATGAGAAGATCGTCTTAAAATTCTTTAAAGCTTTAACTGATGAATAGAAGGAGAAATCAACATTTTTGAATGAGCTATCAAAAATTGGAAGAATGATTTCTGGCAGTCTCCATGTTAATGTAATTAAAGCTAGCAATATTTTATCCATGCAACCCTTAGAAGTCATCAGATAAGCTCGAAATCTCTTTACTGAATTATCCATTGCCACAGAAACATAGGAGGAGATCCTACCTTTTCAAATAATGAAGGATTTTGATGTGAATATATTAGAAAAGGCGAATGAGATCTTACAATTACACAAGTCTGTAGCCTTGGATAAATTAAACTTAATGTATATCTTATCGTATGAAAACTCAGTACCTAATTTTGACTTATTATCTTAAAATCTAATCCCAACCAGAAACTTTTACTTTGATCAATATTTTAGATCTTAAAATCCAGTTGATGACATTTTGAGAATTTTATACGATGATAACAAATAAAATATTAATGAATATTTGCCATTTGACGAATTGGATGATGATAAACATAGATAAATATAATAGGCAATTAAACGATTTCTGCATGAAGAAACAGTTAATAAAAATAATAGTGAAACTCATAAAATAATGTAATCATACTTAAAGAACCCAAAAATATTGTCTCGTTTATTTTGTGGTATCCAATCCATCAAATACTCATATAAAGAATACAAAACCTCGTCTATTTGGAGTAAGAGCGGAAGATTAAAATACGAGGATGTACATAAATCTGTCCTTAACATTTGCTTATAAATATTAGAGTAAAGTTGAGATAAAATTAAATTTTAATAATTTTTATATCTACATATTTAATTTATAAATATTATAAGTCTTAAATCTATTCATTTGCAAGATTATAATCAAAATTGTAATTTATATACTTTCAATTCAAAACCACTTAGGTTCTTTAATTTCATACCTATGAGTAGTTTTGAGGTTTATTCATAAGAAGTAAATTCTTATAGGAAACTATCTTCAAGTTTTAATTATTTATGAGATATTTCTGGCATTAAGTTGCTGATATTTAATGTAGGAGGCTAGGTTTACATTCTAACAATTGTGATCTTATCTTCAAAATGGAGTTACTCCTTCTTGAAATAGCTAGTGAGCATAATATTCCTAAGTATTTGAAAATTATTTTTTGATAAAAATTAAATCGTCCTAAAATTAAATACACAAAGAATAAATTGGTTTTTGAGCAACATCATTCTACCAGGTATTTTTGAAAACTACTTTGATAATTTATTTTTTAGATAGGCATGATAATTAAACCATAGTTCTAATGTTTATTGTTTTTCATTCAATAAATAATATTAATTGCTCGAGAATGGTGTAAACAAGGAAAAAGGAAATCCGAATCGAAGTTATTCTATCTTCTATTCACTTTATATGTTATAAACATGTAAATGCAGATTATCCTTAATGAATAATGTGTAATCTAACAACCAAAGCTCATATTTAATTGATTATATGTTAATTTGTATTGATTTGACAGTTAGATCCTATAAGTTAAGTAAATTCAAATGATCAGAATAAGAATTATAGTAAAAATAAGAGGAATTATGTGAAAAGTCTATTGTATCAAGCTTTATGTTAGTTTTGGAGACATTAAAAGTGATAATCAATTTAAATGATTGTAAACAATATATTCTAAATTAAAAGGTTTCATTATCCTATTGAGAATTAGTGAAAATGGCAATATAATTGGAGTCATTCGATAACTAGGAATGTTATGAATAAATTTACATTAAATCCTGCGATATCTTAGTTGTTGTAATCGATTATAAACTCACATGGTAGAGTCTGAGTTTGATTATTATTTAAATAATTCATATATTTTAGTTTAATTGAAAGGAATGTTTTACAATTATAATATAAATTTATGAAACAAGTTTGCAATTTATACTAATAGGGGAGGTGTGAAAAAGGGAAGAAGTGCAAATACAAACATATGGAGTAGAAGGCTGAAAAACCAATTGAATAAGAGCAGAAATAAGTAAAGATGTAAATGGTGGGCCCAAAAGTGCACCATATAAAAATATTTAAATGGGCTGATTTATCAAAGTTGGCAGACGCATAGGAAATATTTCAGCATAATTAAGAGTTATTGGGAGGAGATTTCTTTAAGATTGCAAAAGAAATTAAGACTGATATGGAAAGGGACTTTTTGCAATTTTTTCGAAAATTTTAACAGAGCATGAAATTCTTGCCATAACCTTAATGCAAATTATTAGATTATTTAAGAAACTAAAATGAATTTCAAGTCATCTTTAGATTAGCGCCGTCGATTGATCGGAAAGAATTAGAATTTAAGGAATAAGTCAAAGAAAGATATTTTGAAATTCTCATATAAATAGATAAGAATTATCCGAAATCATCAGTTATCATTTTGAATTAATCTCTATCTGAATAATTTAAGGAGATACTGTAAAATAGGATAAGCGATCAAATCTTTGAAAAAAAAGGATTGTTTCAAGGGTTGAGATATATCGAAACTCATTTTGACGAGATTGTTTTAGGCTTATGATATTTTATGCTTTTATAATTAAAAATAATTAATTATGATTAAATATAATAGTGAAAATCATTTTAAGTTTCATAATGTTAAAGTGTTTGATAAGGAGAGGATGATTTTGTATTTTAAGAGAATGCCAATAGAGCAAGATGAGAGTGACAATTTGTACAATGGATTAAATTAATTAATCATGAAGGAGAGAATAGAATAGACAAAGTAAAAGGTGGAAGAGGGTAAGTAAGTGACAAGCAGTGTGAAAATGGATTAGGGAGAATTGCCCAAGAATAGAACATTGATAATAATGAACTTTGATTCTCCTTTTGATCGTAAATTTATAGCAAAAGTATTTAAACTATGTGGGATAATTCGAAGAGTGTATGTTGGATCAATGAAAGTGGCTGAGAACGGAAAAAAAAAACTATTACATGTTGGTTTGGTGGTATTTAAGAATGAGTATGATTTGACCAAATGTTTCGATATTGAATATTTCCAATAAAGAATCAATAATAAATTTAAGAGTGCTCCCATTTCAACTAATTATGAAAAGAAGCTCTTGTAGAATTATGAAGTTGTAGATGAGAAGAAGAATTAAATAATAGAGGAGGCATAATAAGAAGGATATCAAATAGCGATGAACAAATATGGTGATTTCGAAACTAATATAGAGAAACCAAAGTTTGAGAAGAGAAATTGGGTTGGAAGAAACAAAAACAAAACAAAGAAGAATGTAGAAATGGAAGAAATAGAATAAGTAATTTAAGGATTGGATGATAATTTACCACATTAGAAGAAGAAGGACATATTGAAATTGCAAAAACAATAGCTTCAGCAATAATTTCAATAAGATATTGAAAATTTAAGGTAGAAATAAAAGAAGGTAAAGGAATGAAAAACAAATCGTATAATAATTTTGTACATAATATTTCATTATTATTCTTATTATTTTTATACTAATGGCAAGTCTATATCTCCTAGACAACCCTCATGCTTCAATAGCTTTTATGTTATCATATCAGCTTATTCGTTCCAATTTAAATCTTTGAGAACATAAATATATATGATTGTCAAATACAAGTTGCAAAATCCAAAACCTAACCAAATACCAATTAATTCTAAATCGAACACATATGCTAAAACTAACACAACTGGGATTCCAATTATGTAGTATGATATCATGGTCTGATTGGATACAATTGTGGATTTGTTAACTCCCTTTAGAGCTCCAGACAATGCTCCTTGAATTCCATCAAAACACACACTTCCAATAAGAAAATAAGGGAGAGTCTCTAACATAATTTATTATATCTGGGGATCGGAGGAATATATGCGACTCCACTGATCCTGAAAAATAGTGAGTCCAATGACCAATGATATGAGTACTGCTCCTTGGACACACATACCACTTATGATATACTATTTAGCCAAAGCGATTTTATGTTGACCTCTATTAAGATCGAAAATGTACTTAAACTGTTTCCAACATATGACATTAATGTTACTGATAAGCTAATTGGGAATTTGAAATAGATTGAACTTGTATTTGCAAATGCAAGTTGGGCATTAGCTTAATTCACTCCCAAAGAGTAGGCCACGAATGACAGTATGTAGAAAACTATGAAGTCAGCATAAATGTGTAGGATCAATGGGATAGACTCTTTAACAAACATAATGTAGGTTTCTTTATACTAAAATATTTGGCATGAGAATTGGAAGTTGGCAAGCAAGTCATAAACTTCCTGATGCTTGTAGACATATCTTATCAACATAAATAGTGTAAACAACTTGAAGATAATTTAAAGATTTTCTTACTTCACTTAGAATGATGGACAAACACAAACCAATATACCCTAGGTCGCAGATGAGGAATAGGAATACACAGGCAAGTAGGTGGAATAGGAGAGTGGATGCATAAATGAATGGAAAAGGCTGAAAAATCCTGCATCCAACAAGATATTATTTTAAACATTCAATTTGGAGAAGCAAAAATGCGGCTATAAACAAAGGGATGATCATTTGCCTTAGTTGCTTGTTTATTTTAATTAATATACCATGCATATTGTGTAATTATGTCAGTGTCCTCTTGTACAATGAATTGAACCAGGTATTGAGTGTTGTAAATGAATAGAAAAAAAGGTACGGATACAAATAATATGGAATAAATGGTGAAGTTTAAGTAAATCTGGGTGAGTTTGTGCTTATTCTATCCCAAGGCATGTGAAACCTGATTATTGAGTCCTTGATTGATGCCTATATAGTGTGTGAATGCAAACCTAAGCCCAAGGGAACGAACAATAACTAAATTAACATCCATGCTATCCCATAGGAGGCTGTCTAATATTTGTCAGTGTATTGTCCCATGAAATGCAGATTGAGCATTGACATCAGATCGATACAAATGTAACCGCTCACAATCTGGAACATGCTCGTTGATACATTATAAGTAATTGATCTCCAATCATTAGTAATCAATAAATTATCATTATACATTTTATAAAAATGAATTAACACTTTGATACAGAAGACTCTATAAATTCCGATGAAGCCATCAAATCAATCGAATGTAAATATCTCACTCCCAACTTCCATCCCAGTCTCGATGATAAAGGCACCTCAGTTCATAAAAGGATGAATGCAATAAATTCGATGAGGTGTAAATTTAAAGAGTCTTTGGTCTCTAAAGATGAAATATTCACCCAATCGTCTCCCTTCAAATCAACGAATGTTATTTCGAGTCAAAATGGACAACCGCAAAGTGAATTACCATCCTCCCCTCTCAAAGCAGAAGATTTGACTAAGCAGGACAAAGTGCATCTGGCTGAATCCCGTAAAAGACACAATACCAAAAATTCTATTGAATAATTTTAAGAAAAGCAAATACAACAAAATCAAAGGAAGTGTCAACCGCATTCATAACCTAAATAGGTATAAACTCGTAAGCCTAAAAAACAAATTTATGTAACATAGATTGTAAATGATCATTGTGAAATTACAAGTTTTCCATTCCCCAAACCCCAAAGATTGTCAAGGATTATTTAAAATAACGATGGCCACCAATCTTAGAGAGGAAGCTCTACATCTACTCCTAGAGGGATCCTCAAATCTGGCTCGTTTGAAGTATTGAGAATCGGTAGTAGACCAAGCACTCAAAGTCTGAACAGTCCCATGATGAGACCCAGCAGTAAAAGGGTTTCCTTTGAATTTACAAGCGAATAATTAAGGAAAATGAAAAACACCTGTGCGAGTTCAGATCATAATAAATATTAGAGATTGAAAACTAAATTCAAGAAATGACACCTCCTTTATATTTTCTGTCTATCTTAATCACTTACACACAATAACTACAACTTATAAAATATTGATTAAAAAATAATTAAATTTAAATTTGAATAATAATGTCAACAGATAACACAGAATTGTTATCAAAGTTTCTTAATGAGTATAACTAATTGAAGAAATAGAACCAAGAATACCAAATGAAAGAAAACACAACATTTTAAACGTTGTCTAATGAAAACTCCCTATTGTCTCAAGAATTAAATCGCATCAAAAAAGAAAACCAAAGATTAATTGACAATAATGCATTCTTAACTGATCAACTCAATCAATTAAAACTCCTATACTCAGAAACTAAACAAGAACTGCAAGAATCCTTTAATTTTATTCAAAACATGAACAAAACTATGAAGACAGGAACCTTTGAAAATGAAGACAAAGAACTAAACAAATTGATGGAGATCTTTTCAGTCAACTCTGTAGATTAATTAATAATAACTGCAGAAAAGATTAAGACTGTGATGCTGGGAGTTTCTCATTTAGAACAGTTTTGCAGATCAATTTGTGAAATCATTTATGATTAACATGAAGAACATTACAATTTGGATTAAGTGTTCCCTATTATCCAAAAATGGAAATGCGATTCCAAATATGTAGATTGTTTTTTATTCTTCAAAAATCAACTAGAATAAACATTGCAATTGAAACACTCCACTGATCAATAAATCATAGATGCAATCAAACAACTATAATAAAACACTTAGAATCATGATCTACAAGCAATCAAATCGCTTTTTAAAATAGATACTAATGACAATTTTATGTTCAAAATCAATCAAATCTTCGTACTTCTTCAAGACATCCAACAATTCACCAAAATTGCCAAACGACTACTAGATTTAGATGAAAACATGAAAAACGAAGCATGTATGGTCTACATTTTAAAATTGTTGGAGAAAATGAAATAAAGCCAATTCAATGATCCAGATCTAATTATTAAAATAATGAAAATCATCAAGGTGGATCATCCATAATTAATAACATCCAAATTGGAGTAATTGATAAATTGATTATTATATATTAAATATGATTAAAATTTTAAGAAGTCTTCGCTAAATAAATCATAAATAATCTTATGGCCTATTTGGATGGTTCAAAAAAAAGGAGGATAAGGTCGATGATTCAGCTTATGATCCTGAGACTTGGAAACAATTGCAACCTGCCTTCAATAAAGTAAAGGAGGAAAATTAAAATAAACCAAAACTATTGCCAATCAAAAAGAAATAATATTCTGATAAATTAACTGTTGTAATGGAATTAGATGAAGTCCTTGTATATTCCTTTGTTCCAGACCCAAAAGATATGTTCATGAATGCACCCTTGAGACAATATGATTTTTACATTGATCTGCCCGAATTCGATAATTTTGTTCATGTGTATAAGAGGGAATAGTTGGATGAATTTTTAGAATACTTCCTCAATCAAACTGAACCAGTTATTTGGTCAAAAGGGTCAAGGATTTATGTTGAAAGAGTCCTAGAAAAACTATGTCCATAATTTCCTAAAGATCACATCTTTTGCCAGGAACAATGCAATCTAGTTGAGGAAGATGACTTAGAAGACTATTTTAAAGATATCGATCTTTTAGGCAGAGACAGAAAGAAAGTAGTCTACGTCGATGCCAAACCATTAAGTTTTTGGACTACAGGAGATAACTGTATTCTCTTTGTTTGATTTATGATAGCAATTCCTGTTAGAATGTTTGTGGCAGATAACACAGACACTAAAGATGACTTATAAAAATTGATGAACATACTTGAGAGGTTGAAGTAGGAAAATGATGTGAGAGATTACTTGAAGAAGATCTATAAAGTAGAAGAAACACTTAGAGAAACTAAATTTATTGAGTGATATTGTGATTTATAATAAATCAATCATTTAAATTTATCTTTATCCTTTTTCTTTGCCTCGTCCTTCTCTTCAATGTTAATCAAAATACGCAAACAACTTGGTGTCGATGAATTCTCAGTAACATACAGAATATTTGATTTTTGGCTTTACAATAAAAACGAAATATGAACCTTGAAAATGTTAATCCTGATATTTCAGGGCATTGTGGAATGGAAACATTCTCCACATTCACTCCGTTTGCATTAAATATGCTTATCTATCCTTCCTCAGAAACATGTCCAAATTCAAATCTGGCAACATATAGATGTTCTGATTATGATACTGCACAAGCAATTGGACCAAATCTACCGTTTAATTATATATAGGTGCTAATTGAATTAATATAGATTCTGTACCTATAATAAAAGATGCCTGCATCAGTCTAAACAAAACGCAATACTCTATTTTTTCCTGTCTCACACAAGTACAATAATTGTTAATTATTGCTCAAGCATATGCCGCTTGGATAAGATAAACATTATAATGCTAAGGGCTTAACAATTTAAGCATCCATGTCTATAGCAAATAGAGATCCCTTGCAATTTTCTATTGAAGTTTCACCAAATGGTCCAGAATCAGTAAAGAATAACAAATCTAATTACACTAAAAATTACTATTTTTGGTTGACAATAACAGTGAATTAGGTCCCAATAATGGTTATCCTTCATAATCTTTCAAATATTCAACAATTTGTTCTTAACTGTTCTCATCAATATATCTCTTTAAAATTGCCTAGTGAGCCATATCAGCCACATATATAAATTTGTTAGGCTTGTCAATCACAATTGAGTATGGCTATCCAGATATATGAAACTCAGCCTACATTCAATGTATGTACAATACCTTAAATTATCCATCTTTGAATTTCAGAATGTCTCCATTTTGTGAAACCATATATATGGCTCCATCAATCTCCAAAGGGAAATAGAGGGGACTTGCCAATTCACAAATCTTCTCATAAGGCACAGCACTCATTTCTGATTTATATTATATATATATTAATTAATATATTGTATTCATATATTTAGGAAACAATAAAAATAAAAAAAGAATCACCCATGGCAGGGATTGAACCTGCAGCCTACAGCTTAGAAGGCTGTCGCGCTACCAATTGCGCCACATGGGCAATGTTAATAAGTCTCTCTCTTATAAACTATTTATAACATTTGGATCGACTAATATTTACTAATCTTAAACTATTAATTAAAATAATAAAAGTTTAACATTATCCCGTAAACTTAAATTATATTTATAAATTTATAATTTTGAGATCAACCTTTTATACACAATAATTCATTTGTAATCAAGAAAAAATGGGACATCCAATTCACATGTATGTACAAGACTAATTTCTGTTTTACTTAAAAAGATATCCAAAAATAAGATTTGGTATTTCAAGAGGTTGGGATGGATCAAGTTTTAAATCTTTTCTACATCAAATTAACTTATTAATCTTATCTAATAACAATTTTCCTCAGTTTAATTGCAAGTCACCAACAGCTTATTACTCTTTACGTTGTCTGCGATAATCCAGAATATCAAAGCAAATAATTTTGGATGAGTAAAAATTGTATGTTTTAAGCTAAGATTAGTCTATACTCTAATATCCAAATTGCTACAATAATTCAACAGTTTTCTAATTAGGCCTAGAACTTAGATCTCCTTGTAATTCTCATATATGTTGATATTTTCATTCAATATTAGGATTAGGGCCTTCCTCTGAATTTTCAAATATTAGTAATTTGAATTAGCATAGTGTTTCAATCTCTTTGCTAATCTAATTATAAGATTCATCAATTATAGATTTCGATTTAATAACAGATGTTTCTATAATAGGCTCACTTTGTTAAATTCTTTGAATGTTAGTAGAGCTTTTAATGAATTAGTTTAAAATAATGTTGATGTAACCAAAAAAGACTTTTTTTAATATCTGATTATAAACTCACTATTACTATTGGCTGAATGATCTTAATTGTAATTGTAGATTAACTAAAACAAGTAACTCTTCAGAGGAACGCTATCAACATAACTATTGTTCATGAAATCATTAGACTCTTGTGAATTCGAAAACAAGGACTCACATTTATTCGAAGTAGACATTTGACAACTTAAGTTATCTTCCTAAAATTAGACTATCATATATGGAAACTCTATGGATAGCTTCTTTAACAATTCTTCGAAACTGGAATCAACGAATGATAATAAATACTAGGACCTCATTCCTTTGTGAAATTAGTAATTAAAATAGTTGATGTAGAATATAAGTAATACAGATGATACTATGGCCGACACTTGAATCTAAGTACTGTACACTATTGCCCAAGCTATTCTAAATATACTTAAATTCACCAAAGTGATTATGCCATCAAGATACTCCCCTATTAAGACCAACAAGTAGGTTGCTCCCATTTGATTAACTCCCTGCAACATAGCCATCTAAGAGTCCTTTTTGGCCTCTTGTGCAAACAAATATATATTCATTATGTGATTTACCAAAATTAAGGCCAATCGGATATATTATGGATAGAATCTGACGAATATCAATTAAACTAAGAAGTAGCCGAGCAGAATAGAACTACAAAGTAACGAGTAATTATTTCCTTCCATTCCTGCTTAAACACATTTTATTATGAATATGACGCAAAGCCCAAGAGTCACAATGCAAAAGGTAGTCCACCTTCTAACCTTTAATAGTTATCTTTAATATTTTTGTTCGATTTAAGCATCCTTAAATGCTAAAGTATATTTATTCATTAATAATAATTATTATATATATATATCATTCAAATAAATTAAGACTCCTCATTAATCGCCTACTAATTATATTTTAGAGATTCGAAAGGTATAATTTAAAAATTAGGTAGTTATGATTTAATATTACTTCGTTAGTTTCAGTGCATTTTCATTTATACAATTTTGATTTTGATAATCCTAATACCTCCTTATTAAGGAAAAAGTACTAAAGGACTTCTAAGTTTAATCTCAAATTAGAAATAACCAACCGAAAAAGTAAGAAAGGTAACAATAAAATTAATTTTAATAAATTCAATATTCCAATAATTTTTGAATTTGTTCCTAACTAATAATTGCAATTTATTTGATTCTTCTTTTTTGCAAAATATTTTATTAAATTTTATCATGTTTTTACAATCTTCCAAAAAAATAGTAGAATTTACTAAATATTACTTAAAATTTAAAACCTATTTTTTCTATCCAAAAAACCTACAAAATATAACTCAAAATTTTAATTATAAATGAAAAATTTTAATAATGTTTATAAAAAGAACTTCAAAATCGGTTCTATTAATTTCAATTAAAATAACTTTAAATTTATTCAATATTCAATTCTGGGATATGAAAAATTCGATTTATTAAATAAGAGAAAATCAAAACACGAATTTAATTTACTTCATAAGTTTAAACCAATTTTTATCAAAAGTAAACTTTATAAAAAGAAAATATTAGGTGAAAATACTGTTGAGATTTTAAATCATACGAAACTTGTTATCCTTAAACTATAAGTAGAATACAATTTTAAAGCAACCCAATAACTTCAATTAAACTGTAATCAGAATATAAATGTTGGAATATTTAATATTAGTTGAATCAGTAATCAGATTTTGGATAATCTAAACTATGATTTAATAAACTAAACCAAATAGTGCATATTTTATTTGAAAACATTAATCCAAAGTACAAGATAGAAATCCTTATTCGTACACTTGTTATAATTAGGATCCAATAATGAAATTTAAGCTAAATAATGTCGAAACATTCAATATAAATACGTTAATTAATGGCAGTGTTGATAATAAATTTCTCGAATAGTTGATGGTATATAGTTTATCCAATAATGGATATAAATAAACACTAGAAATTGTAAAGGAAGGAACAATAAACCTGAATGGAGAACATAAGAATAGGGATATTTATTATTAGTTTGTATAATGTTTCTTAGAAAAGATGAGGTGAAGTTAACCATTCAGATCGATAATAATTAATACTAGCAGACGAAATTATGATACATAACTTTTGAAATAAACAATCATTCTTTTTTGTAATTGAGTCCATAAAATTCTGAATCAAATTTTTTGACTGCCTGTGTGTTTGTATTCGGATTTTGATCGTCTTCGATTTCTAAACCTTAATAAAGAGAAGATTACTTTCATCTAGAATTTATGGGTTGAAATTGGATAAATCTGTGGCTGATTATAAATCAGGTATTATTGGAGCTTAAATCTAATGGTATGATATAATAAATACTTCTTTTGAAAGCAGTCTTTAGAAATCCATCTTTTTAAACCAAGGGTGCTTTTTGATTTCTTCTGCATCACCTTTGTTTCCCAATCTTTCATTAGGTTTCTTCTTTAGTAAAGCTGTCAACAAATTCTTACAATCAAAAGAGAGATTCAAAGTTGATGGGAATTTCAATTCAGATTCTACTATGTTTCTAAACATTTAATTTCTGTTTTCTGAAAAGAATGGAGTTCTTCCACACAACATTTCAAATCTTAAATATTTCAATGTATATACATAAGAATGCCTAGACACCACCAATCAGCAGTGAAGGCATGTCCTTATTGAGTAATTACCTCTGGGGCTAAATATTCAGGAGTTCCAACAATAGATTAGGCGACTTGACCTTTAGATAAGAACTTAGCCAATCCATAATCTGTCAAAGCAACATAGCCTTTTTCATCCATCAAAATGTTTTCTGGTTTCAAATCTCTATAAATAATTCCTTGTTTATGGAGATATTCCAGAGCCAACAATACTTAGGATGAATAGAATAATGCATAATCTTCATTGAATTTATTCACTTTTTATAGATGAGTGTATAATTCTCCTCCTCTATTGGATACATTACTATTCATACATCATAAATTTCATAACAAAATAAACACACTCTTAGGTGATAAATGCATACTCCAAAGAAACAAGGAATGGATGCTACGTTTATTCCAAGATTTTTCTCTCTGTTTTCAGATACTCAATATGATCTCTTGAGATAATGTCCTCCTTACGTAAACTCTTTATAGCAAATATTTCTTTTGTGTCTTTCTTCTCACATAACATTNGATAGAAATCCTTATTCGTACACTTGTTATAATTAGGATCCAATAATGAAATTTAAGCTAAATAATGTCGAAACATTCAATATAAATACGTTAATTAATGGCAGTGTTGATAATAAATTTCTCGAATAGTTGATGGTATATAGTTTATCCAATAATGGATATAAATAAACACTAGAAATTGTAAAGGAAGGAACAATAAACCTGAATGGAGAACATAAGAATAGGGATATTTATTATTAGTTTGTATAATGTTTCTTAGAAAAGATGAGGTGAAGTTAACCATTCAGATCGATAATAATTAATACTAGCAGACGAAATTATGATACATAACTTTTGAAATAAACAATCATTCTTTTTTGTAATTGAGTCCATAAAATTCTGAATCAAATTTTTTGACTGCCTGTGTGTTTGTATTCGGATTTTGATCGTCTTCGATTTCTAAACCTTAATAAAGAGAAGATTACTTTCATCTAGAATTTATGGGTTGAAATTGGATAAATCTGTGGCTGATTATAAATCAGGTATTATTGGAGCTTAAATCTAATGGTATGATATAATAAATACTTCTTTTGAAAGCAGTCTTTAGAAATCCATCTTTTTAAACCAAGGGTGCTTTTTGATTTCTTCTGCATCACCTTTGTTTCCCAATCTTTCATTAGGTTTCTTCTTTAGTAAAGCTGTCAACAAATTCTTACAATCAAAAGAGAGATTCAAAGTTGATGGGAATTTCAATTCAGATTCTACTATGTTTCTAAACATTTAATTTCTGTTTTCTGAAAAGAATGGAGTTCTTCCACACAACATTTCAAATCTTAAATATTTCAATGTATATACATAAGAATGCCTAGACACCACCAATCAGCAGTGAAGGCATGTCCTTATTGAGTAATTACCTCTGGGGCTAAATATTCAGGAGTTCCAACAATAGATTAGGCGACTTGACCTTTAGATAAGAACTTAGCCAATCCATAATCTGTCAAAGCAACATAGCCTTTTTCATCCATCAAAATGTTTTCTGGTTTCAAATCTCTATAAATAATTCCTTGTTTATGGAGATATTCCAGAGCCAACAATACTTAGGATGAATAGAATAATGCATAATCTTCATTGAATTTATTCACTTTTTATAGATGAGTGTATAATTCTCCTCCTCTATTGGATACATTACTATTCATACATCATAAATTTCATAACAAAATAAACACACTCTTAGGTGATAAATGCATACTCCAAAGAAACAAGGAATGGATGCTACGTTTATTCCAAGATTTTTCTCTCTGTTTTCAGATACTCAATATGATCTCTTGAGATAATGTCCTCCTTACGTAAACTCTTTATAGCAAATATTTCTTTTGTGTCTTTCTTCTCACATAACATTACTTTTCCAAATGCACCTCTTCCCAACATCTTAATCAATGTAAAATCTTCAATACTAATCTCCTAAGTATTAGACTTTTAATAGATTGTTTGCACATTCCCTCTGGCTGCTTACATAGCAATTTTCACATCATCCACAGTCATTTCTGCTCCTTATTTTGGTAGCTATCTACGAATGTTCTTCTTAATATCATAGTTGGTTGTTGTATATTGACTCAAATTCATTTCCTCTATGAAATGACATCGTATTTTTTTTAGATTATGCTTTACGTACACTTCACACAATGTTTGTATAATCAATGATAATCTAAACAATAATAGCAGCTTATTACTAATCATCCACTTGATATCGTTGATCGTATTCTACTGGTATATGCAATATGAATTCCTTTACTATTTTAGAAATCGTGATTGAGGTTATTGCAGATAATGGTATTTTTCTCTTTATCCTTGATCTGCATATTAATTTCAATTCTCTTACTTATTAACCAAACTTTAAAAAAAACTCTTCACGGCACTTCCTTCAGAAGGTGAAATGTTATACACATTTTTATTTGTTATGGCCTATAATATTAAGCGATAATGATGTACAATGACTCTTGGTAACTTTTTGTTTTGCCCTGTAAATTTTATCACTTTCATTGTAAGTACTATTGTTTCACCTCCTTCCAGTTACTCACGTAACTTTTTGTCATTCATTACCTACTCATAATCCATTTTAATAATATATTTTATAAGATTAACAAGTCTCCATTCTTTCTTTCATTTTACCCCCTCCAATTTCATACACATTAAAAAAAATAGCCAGTTGGGGGAATTGAACACCCGACCCTTTGCTTACGAGGCAAATGCTCTAACCACTGAGCTAAACCGGCATCATTGAATTCCACCATTCCCACTTATATAAATCTCTATTCTCCGTTAATCATGCATATTCAATACATCTCTACTTTTATTTGCCATTTCTATTATCTGCCTTTTATTTGCAATTAGCCTACCTTAACTTGTACAATAGACTCTGAATGCACACAAACGATCGTCTCTTTCCTTCCATCCCATGTTACAGTTTGAATAAAATGAATAAATCCATTTAATCCACAAAGTTCCAATAAAAACAAAAAGAATACAACTATCAAATATGATAAGATAGACATAATATTGAGAGTTGAGTTATTTAATTTATATTCTACTTTAATGCTAAACATATAATTTAATATTTAATAAATAATGATTAGAATTAATAATATTCTTAAAATCTTGATTCATCTCATTATATTAAATAATTTTTTAAAGCACATTATTTCAATTAAATCAATGGGGAAACCTAAAATATTAATAAAAAATTTGTATGAAATTTTACAGGTAACCTTAATACACCTAACACCTAGTCAGAAAAATTTGATTGCATTAGATGGACAGATAATGGAAGGGCTTTTATTATTGTTGATCCCGAAGAATTTTAGAAGTCAATTATGCCTGAATATTTTTATTCAACGCAAATAAAGTCACTCTATCGATAACTAAATTCCTATGGGTTTAAGATGAGGAGTTTAAAAAATAATTAAAAAATGTTTTCACATAAATGGTTTATCTAGGGAAATATGTATTCCGTACCTATATATTTTAAAGATCCTCTCTCTATAAGGTAGAAAGGCAGAGAACACGCAGCATAGCCCATCTAGACAAAGAGAAGGATTCTATAGTTATTATGAGGGAAGAAATGAAACAGTTAAAAGAAGAATTAGAAACCTTATAAAGTCAATAAAATTCTATACTAAAACAAATTAGAATTCATTCCATTATACAGACTTATATCTGCAAAAACATAAAAAAGATTTGCGATGAACAAAAGAAGATCAATATGGAAAGAGAATAAGAAACAAAACTTGTAGTATATTTCACATCAATGTTCGAAATATTCAAAGGCTTTCAATTTGAAATAGCATCTAATATAATCCTGTAATTAAAAGACATTGGAGGACCTTAAACTCCTTCCTTTTCTCCAATGATATTTCCATATATGTGATTAGTAACAAAGAATTATAATAAATCAATCTATTATTATTTATCTTTGCTTAATCTATATGATAAATTTTAGTTTAATATAAAACATTAAGTAACCTTGTTTCTTCTAAAAATATAGATGAAACCCTTGTTTTGATTTTATCTATTCTAATTTACAAGAATAGAAATATCTTGAATTTATTTCGATGACAAACAAATTCTTAATGAAATCTTAATTGTTATTTCATTAAATTTTAGTCAAAAAGATATAATTTTAAGTTCATCATTCTCAAGGTATTATTACAGTGGAATAAGATACATTAAATTGGTAATCTATTATTTTTTAATTTCATTATTGCAATTCTACGACTTCATATAATAAAATTTAAACCATTAAATAATAATAAACCCCAATTTCATAATTATTTGATTATGAAAAATTTGAATTAAATTAAATAATTGCAAATAAGCTAACCAATAAGTTTGTTTAAAAAATATAAAATGTTATATATTAATATATATTATTATAATTTCTTTGATATAATTGAAATGCAGGATTAAAGATATTAATGCTTGGTTGAAAAATACCATTTTTAATTGGAATAGTTCAATTTCAATAAGGCTTTTGTAAAAAGGTGTTTAGTATCAAAGGATTAAAGATTTGTTGCAATAAGTGTTAGGGGATGTTACGAGAATGTATCGAAACAAAATTACCATTACTATTATCAAATTTGGAGTTTGGAGGAACGAAAGTGCATTAAAACTTATCAGATAATACTATGTTCTCCTATATCCTAATTCATGTGCGGCTTTTCTGAGTGTTCTAAGTATTTTGTGAGTTTTAATTGCAATTGTGAAATGACAATCGTTCATTTAGAAAAATAAAAGGAAAGCTTTACCGTGAGTTTGCCTGGACACTAAGTAATAGATAAATTAATGATTCACTCAGGTTTTGTGTTTATTATTGTAGAGAAGGTGATCTAAATTCACAGTTTAGTAAATGGCGCACTTAAATAAAAAATAGAGCTTTAATTTCAATAGGAGAATTTTACACCCCTGAGTGCATTCAGATTTCTAATTTCAAACAAAGAAAAAAAATCAATTTAAATGTGGAGATGGATGGATTAGAGAATAAAATTATTAAAAGAAATGTTCCCTAAAAATAGTTATGATGAATTGTTAAATTTTAAGAATAAGGTGATTATTGGATAATAATAGACGTGCATCCATTTGCTTTCTCCAATCAAATTACATATCATTAGGAGTATTACCATAGAATATTAATTCCATAATATTCTTATTGATGATAATATCTCCATACTTAATATCTATAGAAGTTTTTGTCCAAAATAGAAAAAAGTCGTTTATGTTAATTGTTTTCCCAAGATTCAAACTTTTGAGTCCAATCACCTTGACGATGTTGATTATACTTTTGAGAATTTATACTTTTATTCAGGAATTATGGTTGGATGGGATTATGATAATCCAAATAAAGTAGGATTCATGATATATAAATTTTCAAAATGATAAATCTTTGAATTAACTTTTTATAATCTCTAAATATAAAAACATAATTGATATATCAAAATAAAGCTTTTGGAGGAGTCTTATTAACTAAATCTACTATAAATTTCATATGATTTGTCACATTTTATAAGGGCAATACTGCTTTCTTACTATTATTGTTAGAATTGACGGTTGTACTTGCCATTGATTTGGTTGGCTTATGATATGATACTTTTTAGTTCTATCGAAGTGGTGTAGTGGCCTATGTAGAAATTCGTTATTCAGTTCTTTGCGGTGTTCTTGATGTCGATTTCCCTATGATTCGAGGTGTGTACTGCTATTTCAGATTTGGAGAGATAGAGCGCTCAGGTGTTTTGCTTTGACATGCTAATTTAATGGAATTTGAATTTATCTAGGGACAGAAGGGTGTCTTTTTCAATTCCTCAATCAAGTGATGCTATCCTTTTATTTATTTATGAATTTGACTCTTTTGGCATCTTTGAAGCAATGAGGAATTCTAATCAGAAATAATTCGTTGTGATTTCTAATTAATTTTTGGTTTGAATGTCAGGCCTTTCGATTCTTCCTACTGCTTTTCTTATTGCATTAAATGGATTTGTTCATTCTTTCTCTCAATCCAATAGTCGACTTCTTCTAGAAATTGATCAACTGTTCGATGTTCTCTATCCTTATGGATATTTGGTCGAAATGAATATTTGCTGCATTCCTATTCTTCATTCAACTCTTTCTATCTCTTATACTCTGCAATTTTCTCTTGTTTTTCCTTCATCAAATGTTGGGCACGTTAATAAATAGGGATATGATTCATCTTATTAATTATAATTATACTCAGTTAACGAATATATTGTTATTTGTAAAATAAACTTAATTATCATATAAAACAAAGAAATAATTTATACGCATATTTCAATCTGACTTCAAAGTGACTTATTTCAATTGTTTTTTAATGATTTGTGATATTTACACCATTTGTAGAGATGAAGTTATCGAATTTAGAAAAAGAGTGTTGTAAAAAAGATAATAATAAGGTTAATTGCATAATAACAAAATTTATTATTAATATATGAATTAGTTTTATAATTATTCTAGTTAATTAATATTAAAATCTGTTAAAAATATAGTTGTTAATAATGAAATCCGATTCTTTGGCAGTAAGTGCTTATATTACTATTAGGGGAGAATTACCAAATAAAGAACCCAATAGGTAGAGGGGCTGGTAGTTTTGTGTGCAAGATTGTAAACCGACTAACGAAAGTGGAAATGGCTGCTAAGATCATTTAGAAAACATCTTCGAACTCACACAAAATATAGAATGAAGTAATGATTCATTCTGAATTGCATCATAAAAACATTGTTAATTTGATTGATGTTTTTGAGGATGCCGACAACAGTTATCTCATAATGGAATTATGTGATTAAGACATTTATTAATTAATTAAGAAAGGGTAATTTAATGAATAATAAATACGTTTTTATGGTAAACAATTGGCAGAAGGTCTGCAATATTTGCATTCTCACAACATCATTCATAGAGATATTAAATTAGGAAATATTCTAATCTAGAATGACATTCTGAAAATTGCTGATTTTGGATTGGCTGTAAAATTAACAGATGATGAAGAAGAAAGAAACACTCTCTGTGGTACTCCAAATTATATCAGTCCAGAAATCTTAAATTAATAACCATATGGGAAAAAGGTTGATTTGTGGAGTATGGGTTGTTGTCTATTTGCAATGGCAACTGGTCGTGGCCCATTTGAAGAAAAAAATGCAGCCTTGGGTGATGTTTTGAGGAAGGTTAAATAAGGGGATTTTGAACTACCTGCCAATTCTACTGAAACCTTTAAGGACTTAATAATGAACTTGTTGAATCTTGATGCTGATTAGAGATATTCCATTGAAAAAATAATAAAACATCCCTTTTTTGTAGATCCTATCCCTCCAAGAATTCAAAGCAGAAACCAATCCAGTTCTTAGATCAAATAACTTTTGGATTTGAGTCCATTTGTTAAATAATAGCATAGATCCACTTGTTCTATGATTGGATTAGATAAATAATAAGTAGTAGCACAGTTTGTGCAGAAATAGCAGTTGTTGGGTGGAAAGAAACTGCTCTTTGGATTGACAACCAATGGCAAGATTGCACTTAAACAAAATTATCATCTTGATAATGTGCCTAGATTCTTTTTACCATAGGAATCACATTCTAATAATACAAGTTGCAATCATCACAATAAAGAAAACATCAATAAAGAAAATATCAATAAAGAGAATATTAGAGAGAATAGTGTTAAAATTAATAAATAGAATTCGTCAACCTTGTGTATTTTCAATGAATCTCCAATAAAGTTAGGCGATTTAAAATCCTGTAAATTATAAACAAAAAATGGATTATTGCAAATTCATGAGGATGGTCGATTCGAGATGGATGTCAGTAATAAAGATTTGAATTTTATTATCTAAAATAATGGATAAGAAGTAATTTGTTTATTTTAATATATTAATTAGATAGTAGTTTAAAAAAAGGGTTAGAAGGCCAAATAATATTAGTTAAATGAGTTACCTCAGAAATTATAGAAATTCTATACTTATTCTAAATAAGTGTGTAATGCAATTCGAGAAAAAAATCAGAAATAGAAACTTAATAATGAACACGGCAATTTTGCCTTAAAAAATACAAAATTAGGTTAATGCTATGAAGGATATATTGCATAATCAAAAATTAAAGTACAATTATTTTTAAATTCTAGATACAACATATCCTAAATTCAGACACAATTAAGTTATAATTTCACAATGGGAATACTAAAATTGTGAACATTCATGACTTCTAGTTGCTCTCAACTTAAGCAAAGATGGATCCTAATGAAGTGTACTCAATTAAAATTGCACTTAAGTACTTACCTTTATGTTAGTAATGATAGTTAAAATTTATTATATTTAAATGATACTAGTCTCTAGATTGTTATTTTACTGTTGCAATTATATCCTGAATTTATGTGTGGCAATAATGACATGAGTCTATTTTCTAATTTTGAGTTTATACTAATATATTAATCAAATTAAAGTTATGTGTTTAAATTTTAGAATAGAAAAGTTTAAGTTTTATATTCTTTATCTTTTAAATTAAATCCCAGGAATTAAAAGTGATATTTGTGCACTTTGGTTTGAAATTTATAAGGTTGTCATTCTATAGTCTGTTTTTAGCGGTTTTCTATTAAATTCATTTCAAAAAGTTGACTTATTTAAATGGATTACTCTTTTGTATTCTATGTTTAATTAAAATCTGAAATGCTTATGCGACTTTTGATTTTGAATAGTTAAGTACTCTTATGGCAACTCAAATTAAAATTAATGAGCAACTTTTTAGAGCATACAAAAATTATTAGGATAAAGAATTTGAAATATCATTAGTCATAATAATTATTCAACCAAATATTCAACAAACATTCGAGCATTCTGGAGTAATGTTGTTCGTGATGTGATTTGAGATATGAGATCATCTTTTTCTGCACTCAACATATTACTAACATTTTTCTGTTGCTCACACAAGGTTTCCAATTATTCCTATGGAACATTTAAATGTTTGTAATTTCTAAATTAATGATATAGTACTATCCTAAAATTTCCCATCGAAAGCGCAAATATTTATAATATCGATTTTTCACCATAGCCAATGTTTTTCCGTGAAAGTGCCTATGAATCTTCTAAAATTTAGGTCCATTGTTAAGTACTAACTATAAAATACGTTTATCTTCTTCTAGTGAAAACTTTTGGCCAGATTTCTTATTACTTATACCATCAGAGCCCCTTCTTTTCTTTCGATGATAATCATATTCGTTTTTCTTTTTTTGCTTTTTTTGGATTCCGATTTTATTAGGCGAACCATTTTGAGATGATACTTCTGCATTCTCCTCCATCTTCACTTCTTTCTACTATTTTAATTAATTACAATTCTTTATTAAATTTTTAGTTTTGTGCTCCTATTAAATTAACTTTATTCATACCTTCCCAAAAGAAAAATCAAATCTATCACAAAAACATTTCAAATCTACATTATTTTATTTAAATATGAATTATCTTAGCTAATATATAAAAAATTAGAAATTTATAAAAACGATAAATTTATAGTGTAATAATATTGATCTCTAAAGTATCATCAACACGCAAATTGCTGATTATTTTTATGCAAAATCTCTTAACCAATCCTCTATAACATGGTTATCAAAAAATTAAGATATCAGTGTTAGAATGGAGGATTTTATAATTGTTGATCCCATTATTAGGACATGCTTATACTCCTCATTGTATGTTAATAATAATTTTAGATCCAATAAGAAAACTGAAATCTAATACGGTTATGAACTATATCATCTAATTTTAGCATAATATTATGAAAAATTTTGATTTTAAATTCTTTTTATTAAAATATTGAATAATTCAAATATATGTAAATTAATTGTGATTTCAAAATAAAATGCATTATTAGAATTTTACATAAATAGCAAATTTACTATGTTTAATTAATTAATCAACTACATTATTATGTTGTTAACAATATTCATGAAAATTCATTATTATTTTCAGTGCTTATAACCCATAAACTTTTTCAACCTCCTTGGATGCAAAATTGGCAGCTCTTGAGAACAAATTACCTTTTGATTCTCCCCAAATTGTATAATCCTCCTATGTACCCTATTAATTACTTGAAGAATTACACTCTAAATTAGGTTACCTATCTTTTCCTTTATCAGTCTTTCCTTATATTAACTCATTAGGTTTTTTTACTACCAATAATTTATTTTCCTCTCTTCAGATAATTATCAAATATCTTCATATCCATTCAATCAAAAAGTCCTTATTATTTTATAAAATAATAATCAAACACTCTTCAAACAATTCATCAAATTTTCAGGGCTTTCTACTTATTGATTAACCCCCATAATTTATTCTATATAAATTATAGAAATGAAAACAAGTGCTTTTTTGACTACAGGAAACCTTCAAGAATTTGTGTCCAGTATCCTTATCGGGTCTTAAAATTGATCTTCAAACCATGTTGTCACTTGTGGTTCCAAATAATTGAGTGAGGTAGATTTGCTGAAATTAGGCAAAACATATTATTTCTATATATATAATTTAAATAGTCCTTTAAACAGTAAATTTGGAAGTGTAGAATGGCTTAATTAATCATAATACGAGATTTATTCATCTGTGATTTGCTCTCATTGAATAATAAATTAATTATAAAATTGAAACTAACCATATCTATTGCTTAGACATAAAACATAGGAATTTCATAACAAAATTAGGGAAACCTGTGTTCATCCTGAGTGTAATCAGCAGTAAAGAATCAGAGTCCATAAATGCTTGTAATTCATAAAATCAAAGTTTTATGTATTGTATTGTATTGATATAAATTATTATTTTAATAGAAATAGATGATGAATCAAAATTCTTAAATGCTTCTAAAATTATAAGAATTCCAGTCAGGATTTTCAAATAGTATTACAAAATTACAAGACTAAGCTAAAAACTACAATAATTGCTACAATTTAGCAAATAAGGAAATAAAGGATTATTATAATACATTACAAAAATAAGCAAACAAAATTGATTAATATCAACTACAAAATAACAAGGGAAAGTGTGACAATTCTTTGGAAGCTTTGTAAAAGCATTATAATGGATTAAACGAATAATTGAATAATTTTAATTAAGAAGTGTTGCTTTACTAATTCTTGCAAGTTGAATTTGATAACTATCGCTTATCAATGGAATTGTAATAGCAAGCGCAAAGTGAATTAAAACCCTTTTAGCATTACCCTTTGCTATAACAATCTTCTGTGAATTTTGGGCTTGTGAATGAATTGACCAGAGAATTGTAATCAATACTTGCATACCAGTATTAATAATTTAAGCAAAATGATCAAATTAACGAATTCATTCGTGATCTAACATCTTTTATTTAATAGTAAATTGAGATTCGAGATGAAGAATAGAGGAAAATCTAATAATAATTTGAAGAGAGTCAAAGGTAATAATTGGAGATTAAAAAACAAAAGGAGGAGCTTGAATTGCAAAATGGAATTGATACTGATTAAAATGAAAATGATGAAAATCTTTCAGAACCAGAAGACTTAGTATAATTATGTTAAGAATGCGGATAAACAATTAAGTGTAATCATTTCTTAACAAAGTGTTTGCACTACTATCACGAAGAATGCATACTTCAAAAAGTAAAGGCAAATTATCAATAAACAAGCATTTATTGTTCTTGCAATACTTTGATTAGTTCAAGAATGATCAAGGGTGTGTTGGACCACTCTAGGGATGATCAAAGTTAAATCAATTTTGAGATCTTCTTACAATTTCAAATCAAATTATTATTAAAGAAAGGTAATTACAATTATGCAGAATGTAAATGTGGTTTCCTTTACATATCCGAAAAGTCCGAAAAATTAGATAGGTGTGAAAATTGTGAAAGAGACTATTGAATTTTATTATGTTAAATTTAATAGTATTTAATCTTATGATTCAATTTAAATTCATCTTATGATTTTATAAAATGTATGAAGCAGTGTTCTTATCAAAAATTGAAATGAGACAAAGTTGTATGTACTATCTTAAAAACTAGATGAACTTCCTTGATAATATGAGTCTTGAACATATGATCGATGAATGTGTTTCAATTGATTAAATTAAGTGCATGAATGGCACAGCTTCATTGAGATAAAAAGTCTTAATTTCAATTCATGGGGTTTGTCTTTGGATCAGGATTTATAGAATCAAGTACTATTTTTCAGAATATTAATAAAACTTTAATATTTTAATGGATAATTAGTACAATCCATTTTATAACAATTCTTTGGAAGCAAATAGAAAGACTAATTTCTTAGCATCAAATGGAAAAAGAGTTGTCTAAGAACAAAAGGAACAAGTATGCATATACAATATTGAATCCTTTAGATATTGCTAAAGGAAGAGAAGCAGAAGTAAGAGAAGGCTCAATAAATTCAGTATGAAAGGAAACTGCTGAATCAGGAGCCGGTGCCTGTTTATTTGTAAAGGGATGATCGGTAATAAAAGATAACTGCTTCTGAGAGGAAAGAAATTATAAGGAATTTAGAGAATGAAGCCAATAAAAATTCAGATGGAGGATTCTTTGCCAAGGTTTTTTAGTAAAAGGACAACAAAGACTAATAGAAACTGCAATAAAAATAGGCTTACATTGAAGAAATATAAAAATAAATTGATGAGAAGAAAAGAAAGAAGGAAGAGGAGAGATAGAAAAAGATGGAAGAGGATCGACAATATGAAGAGAGAATCATAAAGGAAAGAGAGGGAATGAATTAAAATTCAGTGATAAAGGATGAGGATAAAAAATAAATAATCAAAACAGTAAAAAATAGGCATCTGTTGTAATAGTACGATGAATCTAAAATGATATTTAATGAGTTTGATGAATAATAGACTAATTTGACAAATAATAATATTGTTCCTAACTATTTGAAAGAAAACATAAAGGATGTGGATGATAAATTCGAATAGGATTTAAAGAATAAGACTAATCCACATACACCGTTCACAAAGTTGTAATCCCAAAGAACCCTATAGGATTAGAATCCCATCAATATTACCTATAATCATCCGAATACAGCTGGAAATGCACAAAACAATAGGTCATTCAGAAACAACTCTCAACACAATAACTATTAGTAAACCAATTAGCAATTACAAATGCAATATGAATAATAATAGATGTAGCAGCAATATCTACTTTAATAGCAATATTTTCTATAACAACAATAGTAGTATTAGAATTTCTAATAACCCTAACAGTATCACTAATTTGAACAAAAACCTATAATTCCTTAATTAATGGAGAGATTCCAAAGAGAATTTGAAGATTTAAAAATGATGAATAGAATTAAGAGTAAAGAATAAGAAGAAGGGATTGATAAATTGAGAGAACAGATAGAGATGCAATCTTAAATGTGGAATGATGATCTAAGAAAGTTAAGAGCTGAAGTTCAAATAAGTGCAGAATAAAAGAATAAAGCATTTTATGAGTTAGAACATTTGAAGGGATAACTAAAGAGATAGGAATTATTCGAAGAAGCATAATATAATAATACACATTAACAAGCTAAATAGAGTGATGGTTGGCGTAAACAGGACAAGAAATTGGTTACTGAGAATGAGTATTAAAGAAGTTAAAACCAAAGTAGACAATAGAAGTTTGAGGAAAATTTTAATTTTTATAATTCATTTGAATAAGAGGAATGAATTATGTTATTTACTAAGTAAATATTATAATTTAATGTCCTATAATATTAATCAAAATCAATATGACCATTCAGCAAACTTGACCATACAACCCGATTCATCCAGCAATTTAAATAGGGCTAATTTTGTGGATTCCAAGAATCAACCCTTCTAAATATATAACTCAAACACTTCACTAAGGAATTAAAAAAATTGTATATGTTATATAATATCTTATAGAGGAATTCAATTATTCTTAGTAGCTAAATAACCATCAACAATCATCTCGGATACAAACTGGGTAATCAGACAATCAAGGTGGTAATCATTTGTAAAGCCAATTTATTAATAGCAGGTATGAAATCAATATACTCTAATAAAGACCCTTTCTAGATACTTAGAAGCTATAAGTATAATAAAGATCGAATCTTCAAAATTCTAACTCTCATATAATGACTACTGAAAATTGGACAGAAAGCGATTATGCTAAGCAATTCGAAGATTGGAGAGCCTTAATCTAATAATACAATGACTTTATAAGCTAATTAGAGAATGATAGAACCTAAATTTCAGTGTCCGATGTCATTTTGCAAGAAATATTGAACATCAAAACGAATATCTTAAACAATTCTTTTGTAACCAAAGTATCCGAGTTTGAAGATATCATTAAACCATATGCATATTAAATGGCTACGAAAAGTGAAGAATTATAGAAATCATTAGAGATACTTAAATAAACTAATTAAACGCCCATAAATAAATATGCTACTGTATAAACTGAACCAGCATAATCTAAGTTGAATACCCAAAATTTCAATCAGTAACTGAACAATATTAAGTTGGAGATACAAAATCAAATCAATTTGATTAATACTATACTTTAATAGATAGGAGCATAAAAGAGTTATATTGAACCATAAGAAAATTATCAATAGAAATTAGAAAATGCACACAACTCTTTATTGCAATATGTCAGAGAAAGAATGACCTCATCAGTTAATCAATTGTTGTTTATTCATGAAAGGGAAGTATTCAATTTAGAGAGATAAATTCATTCCTAGATCCAAGAAGCTGACACTCTCAGTATTACAGTTCTAACAGAGAAACTTATAATGATTGAAGCCTAATTGGAAAAGTTCTAAGAAAAGAAATTAGAATTAAGGGACTTTAAGGAAAGATTAAACCAACTCATAACAAGAAATATTGATATATTTTCTGAGTATTTTGACGATGTGATCACTTTACACAAATAATTTAAAATGTATTATCAAGAAATTAAGTAAATCTAATAGATTCCCAATTAGCCGATCTTATAGAATATGCAAATCAAAATCAAGTAATAATTATATCTTGCAGCAAATAAGGTTTGGTTGGAAATCAAAAAATTATATTTCAATGGAAACAAGATTAAAGAGTTTAATGAGGAAGAGAAGTTTCAAAAGTTTAGTTCATAAAATATTGTAGCATAAGTTCAATGCATCAGATCATTTATGAAACAATTACAAACAGATTATATTAGAAAAGGAAATTAAGTTCCTTTATCGGAATCTAAAAAATTAAAACAATTAATTTATAAGGCAGAATGTGAGTATAGTGAGACAAATTAATTCAGATTGCAAATATCTGAATTAGAACAATAAGAGTTTATTGGATATCGAAATTACATAATCTCTTAATTAAAACCTAAATTTGTTATTGATTTTAGTGAATTATATGCCAAAGACTTTTATGATATCATTCATTTCTAATATGCTGACATCAATATTTTAGAATCCATTAAGAAATTGCTCTAATTTAAATTTCCAACTTTTGATTGGAATGAAAATATTGAAGATGAAAAGTAGAGAATTGAAATAGTAGTATAAAGATATTAGGAAGTAACTGGCAAACTCTAGAATTTAGGGGAATAATATCCAAGTGAGACCAAATTTATTAAACAATTAAGTAATTGGAAGGCAGAATTGTTTAAATGCATTAACATTTTGAAACAGTACCTGCTTATAAAGGAAACATTATAAGGTCAATTAATAACACTTTTGAAATGGCCTCAAATTACTTCGAATCTCTAAAAAATCAATGAATTTAGTGTGCATTGTGAGTAAATTAGTAGACAAGCAAATTAGTATTTCTAAGCCATTGAATAGTTACAATAATTGCAATTAATTTAAAACTTAGAATCCTTATTTAAATAATAGATTCCAAAAGTAAAAGAGTATTTAATTGAATAATGCAATTTTCTTACTTAAAGAGAGTTCTCTCCAATAATTAATGAATAAATCTAGATAGTCTATTAATTCTTATATGTATGTTTGGAATGCTTAAATTACGATATTGATGAGGTGTTTTGTACAACTACTACGTATTAAGAATTCGAGAATACTTTGGCTGGCTCAATTAAATTACAAGAATTAAAGAATGTCATGGATGGCAATATTCATAATTCTGCTTTGAGATATAAACTATTTGAAATTATTGATAAATTCATGAAAAATAAGATTGTTCTTGACTTTTAAAACTTATTCGAATTAAAATTGTAATAGAGCAGACAATCTACAAATGATTTCAATCCAAGAGAGCTAGCAAAAAGAACAGACTTAAAATTTCCTATCAATAGACCTGATATTTATGATAATTAATATTGCAAATAGAATATGGATAATATAAATTAAATAATAGACTAGCCAGATCTAAGAGCAATATTCTAATCATTTAGAGAATTGTTAAATAATATTACTGCTGTTATCTATTAGGATAATTCAGTGACAGATATCAATGTTAATCAAATAACTATTATTGAATTAGCCTGCATTTTTGCATAATAGTTGCATGTTCAAAACGAATTAACCAATATTCAACCTCTAATCAGATTTCATTAACAATTGTGTAAATTTCCAAATACAAAACGATTTCAAAATCAACTCATTAACTTAGGAATTGTATTCCCAATTGAATATAGTAAATATTTAGAAGCATGTCGAAGAAGAGTTTAGAAGTTGGCTCAAAATATTTGTATAGAGTTCGAATCCTCAGATTTTGATGAAATTTCATAAGCCAAATTGAGTTTAAACAACAATGAATACTTATTGAAATAAATTGATTTTCCGATACTATATATGGATGCGAAGTCATTGCTTTTGGAGTATCAGCCATTAACCTTTAATTGTAGTCTAAATGTTAAAATAAATGGGAAATTCTTAAAGTAAGGTTAGACTATTCAAATATGATGTATTATTTATTATATATCATTTTTTAAAACATCCCTCACCCGAATTATTCAAATCCATATGGTAACAAGAATCATTACTGCATACTTAATTTCATTATCACTAACTGTGGAGTTCTATCGAATACCAAAGTTTGCATTTACAAGTCTTTCAAAGCTCCTGATGAATTATTTATTCAATTCTAACCTAATACATTGAAATCTCAAGGTTGAATCTGAATCAAAATTAGTTACAAAATTGTAGAAACTCATAAAAGTTCATTGAAATATGGGCAGGATTACATAAATTCTTATATCAAAACATCAATTCGTTTAGTTTTAACCAAATTGTTACCATATATATGTACTTGTTACATTAATAATTTAAATTAGAATAATTCAACTTTATTATAAACAACAACATTATCATTAGTATAATAGATGTTAAAACTGAGTATAACTTTATATAGCGGTATATTTAATTAACAAGAATTATAATATTCTTAGTTGAGTTATTTTCATAACAATAATAGAGATTTATACAAATTTGAGTTGAATCTATAATTTTTTGAAGAATTTTATTTATAATATTTGAGAAATTAATCTATTCAGTTACTAAAGATATTATAAAATAGTTGATTATCATAAAATAATACTAAGAAAGATTAGGTATTTGTAAAATTAAACATAGGCTCATATATTTCTGAATGAATACGTGTATCAACTTAAGCTAAATTTCTAAATTATAATAAAAATTAGTTGAATAACCTGAGTACTTAATTTAAAACTAATTCTTAATGTTTTATTAATCCCATTCAAGATTTTGTTATCTATTACATCAAATCAGAACATTTATAGAAATAAATCGTTATAATTTAAGATTATTTCTGCTTGATTCAATTAAGGAATTTACCTTGCAAGTAAATTGAGTCAAAATGATATATTAGTTCAATTAAATAGATCTTTCTTTTGACCAAGTCCTTTTGATTCTTTCAAGTATTACTTCAATATAAAATTTAGCAAATTAAATATAATTTACCTTATTATGATTAATTTGAGCATTTGATAACGGCCATACAAATATGCTTTAAATATTACTCTTTTAATTAATGGATCAATTTAGATGTAGATGGGATAATACAATTCTATAAGGATTGGATTTTCAAATTTTGTTTAATCATAATGTTTCATATTTAAATATTGTATTAAATATAATAATAAAAATGACTTAATCTTCCTTAAGATAAAAATATTATACACTGCCAATACAATAAACCTCTATAGAATAATATTCTAAGTCATCTATTAAGGATTCAGATTAAATTCTAAAGTAATTAACCGTGCCTTTGAAAATATAATTAAATGCTTATAAGCCAATTGCTAAAAATTTATTTTCTAAATCACTTTATAAATAACAATATACAGATTGTAAAAGTGAAAGGGTCAGACCCATAATTTAAGACTAAAATATGTACATTTTAAATACTTTGGAATTGGATGATGAGAGCGTGTACAGAAGATCGTATAGATCTCGAACATTTGATGAGAAAACTGAACCAATCAAGCCTTTCGATGTAAATATTTCATTCACTTTGCCTATGAGAGGGGCTAAAAGTGTGTATTAATGCAATTTTACCCAGAAGGAAGTTTCGGGTCAGCCAAACAAAATCATTAAACCTCAATCTAAACGGATGGTTTACAGCATTTGGGATAAGAGCATGAAAACTCAATATCAGCACCATCACACGGGAGAGAAGGGGGAGTTGACATTAAAAATCACTCCGAAATAGAATTAGCTTTTCATAATGAATTATGAAAAAACTCCCTAATCGCAATATAGATACGATTATCGAATGAGAGTTGTAGGAAATTCAGGTTAAATGAATTCAAATAAATTTTGATTATAAGATATATGTAAATTTTGATGACGTGATAAAGTTATGAGGGGAAGAGTTTGTAATCAGATTATGATAGAAACTGAATAAAATATGATCACATAGCTGTTTTCTCCCATTTCTCAAAATCTTTGAATCTTACGGTAAAATCAGTATTATTTCTTCTGGCTGATGAGAAACTCTACGGAGATTATTATAAAAATTAATTATACTGTGATAAAAGATTTGGCATCTTCACCAGCATTCTCAAAGAGTTAGCAAAAGTCCTCAAATTCTAACTGAGTGAGTTGGAAATCTCCTAGAAAAGATTCTAAATCAATCTTCAACTCGAATTCCTTTTGGATGATATCGATAATAGTTTATTTTTACACATAACCAGATCTATCAGGTTATCCTCCTAATGCAACAAATGCATCAACTAAGAATAATTGAAATTTTCAAATACTGTATTCCTAAGTAATTGTTTCCTCATCCTCTAATTGTTATTAGTAATTCTTCAATTTACAATATAGATCACATATTTGTTTAACATCGAGTACTTTACCATCATAAGTTTTTAATTCCTCCTTGAATTTAGCAATCATTTTTTCATTTGTCAGCAACTTCAAATCTACCTTATCAAACAACAATCAACAACCTCTCATAATATCATCAACTTCATTTTTGCTAACGTAACCAGTTCCCTTAGGATCATATCTTTTAGCTTAAGTCATAAGTTCTGTGATTTCCAATTGATTGAGATTGAATGCACTTTTTATTTATTGTATAATATCAGATTCAAGTAACAGAGTTTTCCTTTTCATTAAATTATTATATATAATTAAAATTTAGATATAATAGGTAAACAATCCGTGGTTAATGGATTTGCAATTAATACTCAAATTTTCAGTTTGAAGTTTTATTTTTTTTCAGATATACAATTATATGATAATTAAGAAATAACATACTCAAGATTATTTATATTGATAATCATAAGTTTCTTCAAAGTTCTTCTTAAACATGGCTTGGATGTGTTCTACAAACAATTCAAAAGTCGGAAATTTATCTGGTTTGATTATTTCGTCCACTTTTATTGACAGCTAAGTTGGCCTATTTTTAATACATGTAATTGATGTATACCCTAAACTTGCATGAAACTTTTTCTCATTAAAGGCTTTCTCGATACCCAAAACAATGATTATTTAGGTATCTATTTTACGATCGTATGCATATTGAAGCATCCCAGTCTTCATCCTTCCTACTTTGTCACTCTCGTGCATTCTATGGCCTTCTGGGTAGACCAATAGGTTGGGCCTTGAGGCCTTATCAAATTTGTTATCAATCCATTTAAAGAAGCTTTTTAATAATATTATATATATATTACTTATTTAGATCGTTGCCTCCCCTCCTAAAAAACCAGACTGATTGTGTGAACAATTGTTGGAATATAGCCAACATTGGAAATGCTACTGCTACCATCCATCTTGCCAAGAAGTTTGCACTGTATTAAGAAACCACGTCATGGATAAAGAAATCCCCTTGTGTCCTGTGATTGAATAGTAGTATTGTCTTCATTCAATAATAAACGATTACTCTCTTATTGGTTTGCACTTGTTTAGAATTTGGCACATATCTGAATTACAGTCGTAATGTTTTGACGGCTAGTCGAGACCAAAACTCCTGTGCTCTTTTGGGTTAGAGGGTCAAAAACGAATAGATTGGGCCAACAACTGATAATATGAAGAAGATGTAAATCACAATCCCAAAAAATTTAATCATTATTTCTTTTTAAAACCATATAATTATTGATTTATGTTTGCTAATTAATAATCTAGAATGCCTCTTTTACAATTAAAACAAAATTGTTCTATAATTGACCAAATTTCCCGAGGAAATACATTCCGATATGAATTTCCCGTTTCTTACGGTCATAGATAAATGAATATTTTGGATGACCTGTAATAAATTCAATCCTATTATAACCCTTCTAAAATATTCGAATATTCAATATTTTTATTTTCAAATAAATGCTAGAACCTTCTAAAGAATTTTAAGAAAAGGCAAAGGGAAGATAAAAATTTTAGCATCAAGGAAGAACAATATATGAGTGGGATTAAACATTGGATGATATCAATATATACATAGAGCCGCCAAAGGCAGTTTTGAAAAAGTACGAGGATTAAGTGAGATAACAATTGAAACCAGGAGAGCAAATGCCCAAGTTGGACATATAAATAAAGGCCGATCGTTTGAAGGTCGGAATTAAGGGCAATCCTCCATTTATCGATGAGCCATTAGTTAAATAATGCGATTCCAGTGAGTCGTACTGGTTAGTGGAGGATGAGGAACTTCACATAATACTGCAGAAGGCATACAAGGGAGAGTTGTGGCCAAGTGTGTTTGTTGGTCATGGGAAGGTGGATCCGATGACGGAGTAGGAATTGTAGAAGAAGATGCTATTGGAGAGGTTTTAGGAGGAACATCCTGGATTTGATTTTTCAGGGGCATAGGTAAATGGGATGGTGCCCGATGCGAGGACGTTTATGGGAGGGATAAAACACAATTGAATTAAAATTTATTATGAATATATTATAAGAGTATCAATTGCAGGAGTGTTTGGGGAATGGATCTTATGGGATAGTGCATAGTGGTGTGAATGTGGAGAGCGGGAAACGAGTGGCAATCAAGATGTTGAGAGAGACCTTTGAGTCAATGGAGGAGTGTTTGAAATTGAGAGAAGTGAAGGCGTTGATGAAAATGAAGGAGCATCCGAACATCATAAAATTGCTCGACAGTATGCATAAGTGCATGTGTTAGTGCGATACGAGAACAAGCGTCTGTACTTGATCTATGAATATGTGGAGAACAATGTGTACTAGCTCTATACGTAGGATAAATTGGATGAGGAGCGAATAAAGCACATCGTATTGCAATGTGCGAATGCTTTGCTCCACATCCATCACATGGGATACTTCCATAGGTATAATGGATTAAAGTAAAAGTAAGGGATATAAAGCCAGAGAACATCTTGATTCAGAATGAATGTGTGAAATTGATAGACTTTGGCCTTTCGAGGGAAGTCAAGCCGCCCTTTACAGATTATGTGTCAACCCGTTGGTACAGAGTAATGAATAAAGAGATTAAAAAGGCCCCTGAGATTCTGTTGCACTCGACAAGTTACGATGCCTAGATCGATATCTTCGCTTTGGGATGTGTGACATGCGAATTGTTTTTGGGAAGACCCTTATTCGTTGGAGCCTCTGAATTAGAGCAGTTTGATCGAATGCTGCAAATATTGGGGTAAGAGAGATATGTCAAAATCTTTTTTAGAACATTCAATAATTAAGATTGGAGTGAAGGAGTCAAATTGGTGAATCAATTGGGATTGAAATTGACACACTACCCATAGAAGTTGTTGCATGTGATCAAAGCATCTCCCATGGCCTTAGATTTGATATAAGGCATGCTTAAGTGGAATCCAAAACAACGATTTACAGCTAAACAAATCACCGAACACTTACTGTTTAAGCAGTAATAGACAACACCAGAATTTGCACCAAGAAAACTACAGGACATTGGATAATAACAACAGGAGTTGAAGAAGTTTACAAATTAAAAACAATAATACTAATCGAAGAAGTGATTTTATATTATTTTGATTTATGAGATAAGTGTTTGGTACATCGAGATTTCAGAACCAACAATTCAATCCATCACAAAGTGGAGCCAAATTAGACTCCAATATGAAAATGCAATCTAATTACAAGAATGTGGAATAATATACATTAACAAAGATTAATGAAGAAAGACCACAGACACATCAAACATTTGGTCATCGTTATCAACAGCAGGATTTCGAATTCCTAAACTTGTACGAATCGACAAAACAACTTGTATCAATTTAAATACAATATTGCGAACCTCATGAATTGGCGGCCGATTTGATTTTAAGATATAATTTAGTTGGAGATTCCACTTTGATAGAGGAATAGAAATTGGAAGATTCCAAAATTGTTCAATTCAAAAACTCATGCTAAATTCCGAGTGAAATGAAGATGGAATTTGACTAATGAATATAATTCATAATATATATATATTTCATAAATTTGCTGCAATACTAAGTTTATTACATGTGTCTTCCAATAAACTGAGCAAGTGTTCTTCAGATTGCTCTCTTGTTCTCTTCTCCTAATCCAATTCAACTTTCACTCTATTGACTATGTCTTTCAACATCTCAAATATGGATTATTCACTTTCATCTCTATTTCTCTTCTCCACATTAATCAGATTACTCAACTTAACCAATTCGTCTGTAATTGATTTCATTACCTTAAAATATGACCTTACTTTATTACATTTTAATCTGCTTCATCTCTCTCATTGGCCTCCTCTCTGATGGCCTCCTAAATCTTTGGCAAATCATTTTAAAGACCCTAATGAATGCCCTCTATGGCATCCACTCTTTAGGCTGTCTCCTTTTGTACCTCAGTCCTTAGGAGTGCAGTTTTATCCTCTGTCAATCTAAGAACCTTAGCCTCTCCCTCCTTCTTGGTTTGTTGTTCATTCTCGATGGCATTCTCAAACTTCTTGGTCAATGCTTGGACATCTCTGTTCTTGGCTTCATTGGCTTGTTCCTTAGCCAATCTGTCATCTTCCACTTACTTCGATAATTTGCCTAACTGTTAACGAACATTTAAAATAATGTGGGTACTTGATCTCGTAATCCATTTAGTTTTGTAAAGATTTGTTCCTGAAACTCATTGAATGCATCTTCTGCCTATTGAATTCGTTGTTCGGCCTATTCCAATTTTTGGAATCTCTCATTCTCGACTCCAATTTGGATGGTTGACAATTTCTCAGAAATCTTTTGAATTCTTCCTGAACTTGGGGATGGTTACACATCTAAAAGTGGGGTATACTCACAATTATACATGCAGATTATTTGACTCTCGACATCGGATATATATATATTTTAATTATTAATTTTATTTGTCATAAAAAAGTATATAAAATTATGTCAAAATAATTAAGACGACTTGACAGCGAGAGCGATCTTGAAGAACCAGAATCACAGGTCTATTAAGAAAGTAAAACCCACATTAATCCATTTAGTGAAGCAATTGCAAACCACGAAAGGTATCTCCCAAATGATCACTGAGATCATCCATGAAGAAGAGCTTGATGAAGTGGAAGACAAACACAAATACATGAAGAATTTGGTTGGTCGCAAACTCAGTCAATTAGACAGTCCAACTGAATCTGTCAAATCTGCACATTCATCCAAACCATTCTAAAGTCCCAGAAAGACTCTTAAAAGAGACACCGTATTTTTCGAAAAGTCTGACTTCGACATTCTCAGCATCCGAGAATACGATTATATCGAAGTATCTCCTCCTCATTGAAAACTAGATTAAAAAGTGCGAAAAATGTGCCATTCATGAGCAAAGTGAAAATGAAGGACGAGCCTCTGCGAAGAAGATTGTCTCCCTACTCAAAAAACGATAAGATTACAACCCCGATCTCCAAAGTGATTGGAATGGATTGGAAGAAGTTACCACCTATTCAGCTGATACTCAAGAACCCATTGTTGATTACAGATGCCACATTGAACTACTGCCTCAAATGGAAAAAGTGGAAATCCATGTCTCCGATGGAGTCTATGCAGTGCAATAAGATGGACATTGGCTTACCAAGATGCACTCCATCAAGGAGTTCATTAAGGATCTCCTAACCTTTGTTGAAATAGCCAATGACAAGATGATTTCCAGTTGGTGCTATTCACGCAACAAGTATTTGGAGTAGAAGTTCAAAATGCATTGTCTGTTTAATAGTGACAGAGAAAGTGAGGATCAAAAGCGAATAAAGAATAGGGACTTTTATAGTGTGCTAAAAATAGACACTCACGTTCATCATAGTCAAAGTATGAATGGCAAGTAATTACTTGAATTTATGAAGAAGAAATTCAGACAATGTCCTGAAGAAGTTGTCTATTTGGATGATGGTAAAGAAATGACATTGAAAGACATTCAAAAGCGATTCAAATTCAAAACAGAAGAATTAAATATCGATCTCTTGGATGTTTAAGCAGATAAATCACTCTATAAGAGATTCGACAGATTCACTAGCAAGTACAGTCCTCTTGGATAGCCACTTTTAAGAAGCATCTTTTTGAAGACTGATAATTATATCAAAGGAAAATACATTGCTGAAATTACTTAGGATATGATTAAAAATATGGACAGACACACTTATGCTGAATGGAGAATCACCATTTATGGGAAATCTAGTAGTGAATGGAGAAAGAAGGCTCAATGGCTAATTAAAAATAAATTACAACATCCAAATATTAGGTGGATCATCTAATTGCCTAGACTCTATTCAGTGTATAGAAAAAGCGGAGAACTCAACTCATTTCAAGATATGATTGATAATATTTTTAGACCATTGTTTGAAGTCACTATCAATCCTGAAGTCGATCCAGACTTGTATCAAGCACTCTTTAGCATATCTGCTTTTGATTGTGTTGATGATGAGAATTAGCATGAGAACTTCTTTCTATAACACCTAAGGATCCAACCTATTCATTGGACTAAAGACTCCAATCCACATTATGCTTATTGGATCTATTATATCTATGCCAATCTATCCAGTTTGAATCAGTTGAGACAACAAAGAGGGTTGAATACACTTGATTTAAGACCGCATTGTGGTCTCAATGGAAATATTGATCACTTGGCTTGTGCATATTTACTGGCTAAAGGAATCAATCATGGCATTATTTTAGAATAATCACCTGTTCTAAAGTACTTGTATTACCTCAAATAAATTGGTATTTCCATGTCTCCAATCGCCAATAACAAATTGACATGTAAATATGCTGATTCACCTTTTAACAGCTATTTCAGACAAGGACTCAATGTTTGTTTGTCCACTGACGATCCCCTTATGTTACACATAACTGATTAACCTCTTCTTGAAGAATATGCAATTGCTCAACAGATCTTTGATTTATACAATGTAGACATGGCCGAATTGGCACGTAACTCTGTTCGATGCTCTAGTTTCGAATCTATCATCAAAGAATTTTATGTTGGAACTCATTATGAGAAAATGTACAAAACTACAAGTAATCTATCATCCTTATCCCCTAGACAACCCAGAAAGAAACAATGTACCCTAAAGCAGATTCCTATTTAGGTAAGAAACACTTAAAGAGGAATATCAATACTTGCAAGAACTCAGCAAGTCTTAATGATATTTAAAAATATTTAATATATAATGAATTATTATAAATTTGCTTATGTCTGTAAGTATATGTTCGACATATCCTATATATTCTTTTCTAGATTACTTGAAGGGGATTGTAATTACAATGAGTATTGCATTTATGAAAGATAATTAAAGTTTTCAAAGACTAAAAAGTTAATAAATAATATATATAAATTGTATTTCAAAGTATTGAAGATTTATTGTTTTAAGTAATTATCCAAAAGTCTTTCTTTCTTTAAGGCAAGATATTACGATACCTCCTCTAAACTATATCTGGCATTTTAATTTCATCATAGATAGATTATTTTTAGGGTTTCTCAATCGAAATTACAATCGTCTTATTAATAGACTCCTTTTTAGATGTCACTCTAGAAACAGCTACGTCAGTTTTGCTGATTGTGGCATACCTAACCTTTACTCTCTTCTAACTAGCTGAATTATAGATTTGAGCATATCTCGTATGAGTCTTATCTAGAACACTCATTTCGATTTGACTCAATTCTTTATTTTGTTAACTCTTCATTACAGGCAACCCAATCAAAAATTCGCTATTATGAGCTAATGTCTCATTTGCTCTTTCAATTCTCTCATTCCTATTAAGCAATTGCGTCCTAATATATTGATTGATATATGTTTTTGCTTCTTGACTTGGTTAATCAGAAATGACTTTTTAATAGAAATCCTCATTGCTGATTTTGTAGCAACTACCTTACTTTAAACATTTAACAGTGAAATATCTTTGCTTATTCAACAAACACTCAAGGTCACCAAATAATTAATAGATTCCTATTTCACTTATGGTAATGTTTTTGTATTTATTACCAACAACCATTTTCTTCTACAATTAAAATATGCCGTCTCTCACCAAATATATTGCAGAGGATGGGTCTCCTTCATAATAGACCAATTGATTTTTATCAAATGTTTCTATTTAACAGTTTTTGAGCAACTTGCCTATCATTGCCTTTGATAATTGCCCAAATAATTGAGATTGTCTAAAGAATTCAAGTTACTCATTTGTGTCTTTTAACTTGGCTTTCCTTCTGATATATTCAAAATCAAATTTGCTGATTGTTCCCAATTTTGTTTTTGTAATACTTTTTATAGTCTATATATATGGTAGATTTATCAAAGCTTCTGATCCAAAGTATGATTTTTTTATATTAATTTCTCCTTCAATGAGTAAATAAAAAAAATGACCGCTTTCTCCAGTTCTAATGATTTCCTATCCTTCCTCATATTCTGCTTAATGAATTTTCTCTAAGTATTCAGTCGAACAATTTATTCCTCCCAATTAGTTTAATTTTTTAATTCCCTGGTGAGCCAAACTAATCTCCGATAAGTGTTTGGGATCCACTTCTTATTGAGATTATTTCAAAATTTCTTGCATTATTAATAAAAAGAAAAAATTTCATATATAATATGGGAACCTCCTTAATTAATTACTGTGGTTTAGCAATAATTATGCCTGTTATATTCTATTAAAGATAATAAATAATAATAAAATTTTTGTCGATATCATTTCAATTCAAAAAATTGTTATAAGATACTTGTCTATTATAATATGGATGATCAATATGCTAAACTAATTGAATTCTTGTTGAATTAAAGATAACCTTTGGCAGAATTTTATTAATTTAAATTATCCAATTTCATTCAACTTCCTTAAAATAGATTTTTATTTATTATTCCTATATCTATTGATATTATTATTATTATTTACTCTGTCATACTTGTGTTTTATTTATGTCATACACTTAATTAGACAGTAGAGTCTATGCTTTTTTAGCACTATAAGTAAATTATTTAAATAATTTAGAGGATGGGCAAGACTCATCAATAACAAGAAAGGTAAATCCATATTAACTAAAAATTCCTTAAGCATGAGTGGTTAATAAATTGTACAGAGATATTTCTGTTTTGTAATTATGATATTATTCAGAGAGTTTCAATGTAAAATATAATTAATTTACTCACTATTATCAAATTATTTTAGTAACTATAGAATTTATTAATTTAAACTCTCATTTTTTGACAATTTTAAATTTTAAATTGCGATATAAACTATTCATAATATTATTAAATTAAAATAAAATTTCATTGATTTATTTGTAGCCAACCTCGCAAATCTATTTATTAGCTTCAATTGTTTCATGGAGGACAAGCTAAAAGCTCGAAATAAATCAGAATATGAAGGAGTTAATTATGTTGTTATGAATTTTTACCTCGTTTGAAGAGAATATAGAATATGATATACCAAATCTTATTGAGGGAATACTCATTTAGGGACGACTGGGTTGAGATTTTACTGTTTATAACTGACACAGAAATGAGATAGTTAAGAGTTATTATTTTAAAATCTGGAACATGGGAGTAATTTATTATAAAAATTAAAAATGAGCTCAACCAAATTTACCATGCAGAGTTATGTTAGATCTTGCACTTTAATATCAACGAATTAAAATCCGATTCGCTTAATGCTAAATCCCAACACAAAATTTAGCGATGTGGCTAAGTTGATTCAAATAGTTTGGAGATAAAATGCTTAGTAATTACGACTATTTTTGATTGATGGAACTGAAATCGAAGAAAAAGATTTGATTTCCATTAAAAAAGGCACGACTCTGTATGCTCAATTGAAAAATGATGAGAGTGACTTGAGCAATTTGAAGTTCGAGTATGATATTGTCAAAAGAGTCGGAGAAGGAGGATAAGGGATCATATTTTTGGGAAAGCACAAAGAAACTAAAGAATTGGTGGCCATTAAGAAGATAAGCTCATCAACTTGGTAGGACTAAGACATGGAGATACTGGAATAAGAATCTCTAATCCTAAAATAGTTAGATCATAAAAATATTGTAAAACTATACGAGAAATTCACATATCCTAATTAGAAGGAAGTTATTATGGTGATGGAGTACTTGTAAGGAGGGTCGTTATTGACTCAAGCTAATTGTAATTATCACATTTAACTTCTAGCTAAATTAACAGAAGGTGAAGCTAAACACTTCTCTCGCTAAGTAGTGGAGGCTATTGCTTATTGTCATGAAAGAAAAATCATCCATTGTGATTTAAAATTAGAAAATATAATGTTATCATCCCTTTCTTGTAAAGATGTAATAAGTATTAAATATTTATTTAGATAAAAATAATTGATTTCGGAGTTTCGAATTATGCTGGATAACCTTTGGTTACAGAAAATGTGGTTGGTACTCTGTCCTATTTGGCTCCAGAAGTATTGTCGAGTTCATATAAATTTATTCAACCTGGACAGGATGTGTGGGCTGTAGGTTGTATAATATATGGCTTGGTCTTTGGGAAGCTGCCCTTTGATGGTAACAGTCCCTCAGAAACATACAGAAATATAATTTAATGCAATTACTAGATTACTAAGAAATCAGTGTCAAAAGAATTAATACATTTATTGAGTATTATATTTGTGGTGAATCCAAAAGAGAGAGCAAATATTTTCGATGTTCTATCTCATAATTGGTTTAGAGAGCAATTAAAAATATTCAAATTGAATTTTAGTGGAATCAATGTTCGTATAGGAAGGTCTTCTAGTGTTGCAAAAATGTATTCGTCGCGGAAATCGTATGATGAAGACTAAGGTTTGGTCATAAGTTAAAGGAAGATTGTTTTCAGTAGAAGATCGGTAACTAGATTAGATAAAGTGCCATTTGGTGCAAAAATTAAATGATTTGTTTATAATTTCTTAATTATTTGTTATGAGTATGAAGATATATATTAATTAGTTAAATCATTCTATTTCTTCTTCTAACATTCTTATATCATTTAATTACTGGAGATTTTTGTAAATTAAGAATTGGCAAGCTAATAGAGTTATCATTAATATTTACAATTTTCAGATGCTATGATATCCACCTTTGGACTCAATCTCACTTAGATTTTATAGAATAGTTGATTATTGATCAATTTTTATTTGAATTCTTCCGATTTATCAAATATAATGCTGATTGTTATTAATGAGAATTCACAATTGTCTTTTGTGTCTGCCAAATGAACAAATATAGTTTTCCCACTTTAATTAAGTCTAACAAAAGTTTAAAAAAGAATAACCAAGAAGATGTTCAGTAGTTACTAATTGCTAAATCCATAAATATCCTCAAAACTATTGCTGGAAAATTCAACTTATATCTGTTTATAAGCCATGCTGTATATGTGTATCAAATCTTTAACCATTTCAGTAATGTTGATCTATTGGATCTTCTCCTCAATATCTTGGAAACTGTTGCATTAGGTGTATTTGCCAATAAAATACATGCAATGAATTTTTAATTTATAAATATTATCAATTGTATTTTTAGAGTTGATAGCATTTTACATCAAATTCAATTGTTTCTTGAGAAAATTAATAGTCAAATTCTAATGTTAATTTATTCCTTGAATAAGAGCATCCTTCAATTTAGAAAGTTAACGAATTTTCTATTCGTGTTAATCAAACACTATTAAGAACACCTACTAACCCAAATAGAAGTCAGATAATCGAATCACTGTCTTTTTTGACTCGGATTCCTAATCAAATCTTTAAATTCGCAAAGTATGCAAGAAAATCTTTTTATAATCACTGCAACTTCTTGTCCTATTCAATATATACTATTCAAGATTGTCATTGCCCATTTTGTAAGATCTCAAAAAGGATCTCAGATTTTCTGAGGGGGCCTTTTCATTATCCCAAAATATCTTCTACATATCATTCTATAACTTAAGATCAAAATTTATTCTCTCGTCATCAAAAGTAAACATCAAAAATGGATTCTATATTATTACTGGCAAGGTTTATTCTAATTAAATTTATTGAGTTTACCCCATTATTTATCAGAAAATTATAATTAAAAATGAGCTCTCTAATTTTAATCGTTTTAATAGATAAATAACAATATACACAGAGTAGTGATTATTATTTATATGAAATCCTAAACTATGAAAAGATCATTGACTAATCCCGAAATCAGTATTCGAGATGCAAGAAAAACCACCAATTAAATTGGGGCTTCCTAAATGCTGGAAAAGTAGAACATCGTCATGTTGAATATCATTACATTTTATCCGTTTATGTAAATGCATTAAGGGTATTTATAATAATTTGCACAAACCTATAGTATACACAAAAGATTGTTTGTAAATGAATAGATGCTCTTTACCTTTTCCGGCGATCCTTTAAAAGAAACACCCACTAGAAATATACTGTAACAAGCGAAACAGATTTCCCAATACATAACTTCGTTATTTCCTAACACAATCGAAGTTATCAATCTGACTAATGCGAACAATAGAAGTAATATCGACAGAATCTTTCTCATCCCAACATTTTTTATTAATCGATCTAATTAATAAGCTTGTTCAATTCCAGGTAAAGCAAATTATAAAGTTAACTTCTTTTTCATATATATATATATAAATTAATTTTCGAGTGTTATCACATCTGAATCAATATTTTGGAATTAATTTATATATATAAATGCCAACAATTTAAATATCAAAACACAATAACTAAATAAAATCAAATAATTTCTTCTTGAATCTTGCGAATTTATTCTAAAGCTTCTTGGTTTTAATACAGAAACAGTTTTAGAGCTTTAATATAAAGAGATTACTTACTGTTATTTATAATATGAATCTCGAGATTAGGACAAAGCCTTCTTTGTATTTTCTTAAACAAGGGATTCTATTCCAATTCAAACTTTAACTATGAGTAGCATTCAGTTTAGAATTATATAAATATTAATTGATTATTCTTGTAATCAACACCAAATTATATGATATTTTTCAGATCTATCGATTTTAGCCTAATTATCATCTAATAAATGATTAAAATAAACGTCTGCAGCAATTCCTCATTGCTCTTTATGTAAATGTCCTAAAATTCTAAAGAAACCAACTCAAAATTTTAAGTGTTATAAGCATTGCAAAATAAATGAGTCATTTATTTCAATAATTTACTCACATTAATATCTTTGAGACGAAAATCAACTTCTGCAAAGCTGTTAACCTAATTAAACTGCCCAAGAAAATACATGCAATGGAGTTTTAACTTGGAAATCTATTGTTGAACATTTTAACTCAATTTCAAGTTTGATAATTAAAATAATTATTTTTTTAAAAAACTCACAGTAATAGATTAATTTGAGTTTAAACATTCCATCAACTATTCTTGTATCCTTTCAAATTGTTATTATTCCAAATTCTACCCATTAAAAGTAATCAGGTAGTATTTCTCACCCAAAAAGCATTCAGTGTAATTGATATTTAAGTGATCCTTTAAATCTAAACCTGTAACATTAAAGCTCTTTGTAAAGAAATAATCAAATTCCTCCTTAAACTTAGGAATCCTTTACAAGATAAATTACTCCAAGGAATTCTATTCAAAATAGTATTTCCTTAAGAAAATCCTTAAGTTTTTGGTAGGGGCATTTGAATCATCCCAAATAATCGAAGTTATTTTATTGCTGAATTTCAAATTAAATTACTAGGATTTTTCATCAAAATTTATCAACAAGAATTAATTTTATATTAAAAATGGTAGAAAGCGAACTATTGTATAATCAATTTATTTACATAACTGATTGTCAAAGCAATGTTAACGAAAACCTTTCTTCAACATCTTATGGTTATAATAGCCATATAAGATAATTGCAAAATCCCCTATCAATTAGTAAATCAAAGAATATATATTAAATCCATCTTTGACTATCGAAATCCAAATTTTAATTCCTAAGCCAGCGATAACTTGGATCAAAACCATGTTAAAATCGATAAAACCATAAACTATAAGATTAAATATCATCAGCAATTGTGAGTTATCATAAATCTCTTAAAAATTCTTTGTTTCATAAACTTGAATCTACATTAAACTAAATATAACACAAGTTATTTAAATAGCTATTTTCTTTATGAAGAGTTTCCCTTTTATCGATATGGCTATTGATAATATAGTTTGTATAACAAAACCCCCTCCACCTATAAAATAGTAATTTTTATCTCCAAAAAGAGTTGATAATAATCTTGTTATTGAATAAATAAACATCAACATGAAGATGAGTCGTTGATATTGTTTCGAGCCTTGATAGACAAATTCTCCAAATGAAGTTTAGAGGCTTTGATCTAATGGAAGATTAATTGATTTATTCATAAAGATTATTAATATTATGCCTTTGTCTTTAATCTTTTTTATATTATTTTATGAGAGAAGAGGGAATTTTACTATAATGATTCTTGAAATTTTTTTGTATTGCTAGAGACATTTAAATCAAATGAGCGATAGACAATCACTATTCATATTTTTATACTTTTTATAAAAATAAAATCGTATTATATAATTAAAGTACATTGTAGACAATGAAAAAAAAGTGGATTTCTTTTAAAATAGTCTAATTATGGAATATTTTCAATTTTGCACTTCAGAATCTACAGCCAAACCATAGTAATTATTATATCTAAGACTTTCTTCACCATTTATTGACATATTTATCAAATATATTAATAAAAAGTTGAAATAAATGTAATAAAAGACACCTAATATTTTTGTAAGATCTGTCGATCCCTTTCAACATTTTAAGTGTTAAGAATTGTTTAATTGCATCATTTGATGAGGAACAGGCTTCAAATTGTATGGAACATATGAATAAATGCATCAAAAAACAAATCACTATTATTGGTGATTAATAAAAATAGTGAAATAAAATATATAGATTAATAAAAAATTTTAAAAATATAGACCATTCAGCAAATCGAGCGGTTTGATAAATTCAATTTGATAATGAATAACATTAATTCTTATATCTACTATTAACTACTCCTATGGAATACTCTAAATTGCCTGTCTTCTTATTAAAATTGAAATCTATGTTAGAAGTACTTTTTTAGAGTGAATTGATAGGATTAATGTAATCAGCACATCATCAGTTGGAATGAATAAGGAAATAAAGTCATCATCCATTAGATTGATGAGTTTAGGTCTTCAATTTTGCCACTCTACTTTAAGAGTACTAACTATTCCAGTTTCTAAAAGTAACATTATTATGTTGATTACAGATAATTAAATAATTATGGATTCAAGAATATCAGATAGTCTGCAAGACAATGCGAATTTTATAATGAGTATTGGACTCATGATTACAAAAGAATTCATTAAATAATGAGGAAGAGACATATTCAAGAGGATGTCAATTCAACATCAACTTTTATGTCATCTCTGTTGTTGTTAATATCAAATTAGAAATAGTTGATGGCTAATATAGAAATGATACATCAGTAATAATCTATGATAAGTTAAAACATATATCATCTCCACACAGAATCGATGAAATAATAAGAACTAATTATTAACTTGGCTGATGAAATTTGATTTAGAATTCATTCATTTTTATTAATTGCTATTAACCTTTTATAATTATTATTTGGTTTCCTTCCAATACATTAAAGTATGATGTTATAAATAAATTGATATTCATTTTTTAGTCCACAAAAGCTAAGCTGAAAACATGATGTACAAAACAAAGACAAAAATTCTTAAACTGCATATATAATTTATTAAATGAAAGATCCTTCTAAATTCATCAAGTATGCGAGTAACTTTGAAATAATTCGAATGTCATAAAGTGGATTTGCTATTTGGAATGTTGAATAAATGAAAAATAGGTTTCATGAGATACTAAACAAAAAATTGATTTAAAATAATACTTAGAGAAGATACCAAAGGTTATTTTATTATTCCACTATCATATAAAAAAAGGAGAACTGAATAAAACCTTTGATAAAAAGAAAACCAAAAATAAGTTGAATTAATTGAATAAAGAGTTAATGCATATTAAAAGTTAGACAAAACATACTAAAATATACATGCAGATTTCAGTTAAATCAATGTTAAAACTAAAACAATATTATGGGAATCTTATAATGTAATATTATGATATGCAATTACTTAACTGCTTATAAGAGTGTGTTATTTAAGAAAATAATTTTATTTCTGAATAATATTGATAAATAGAGATAAGATAATGGCAATTTTATTCTATCAAATTAAATTAATATTTTAATCAACCTAACAGAATACCCTCATCAACAACATTACTTTTCTTAATTTTCTAATTTGTATTAATATAAAAGTACTTTTGCATAATTTTTTAACTTTTTGTGTAAGTTTAGAAAAATTTGGTGTTTTTCATTATCAGTAACTGTTAAATCCGAGCGAATAATTTCATCCATTCCCGAAATGTAAGTCTATTCCTCAAAAGTTTTTTTACAACAGGTTTTACACCCAAAATTGAACAATAAATTTAATAGGATTACTTATGTAATAACTGAAAACCAAAAATGAAAGAAACCAAAAGCCACTAAATAAAAATATACCAGTAGATAAATATTGAACGCAATATAAAAACTTTGTATCGCTTTTTCATAACTATCTTTAACAACTGGAGTTGAATAATTTATAAATTAATATTTATCTACCCAATATAATAGTATTAGTGAAAGCATTGTTAAGGGAATAATCGGGGGATATTGAAATCCAAATATTGTGGCTGAAAAAATCTTAGACAATTTGATCCTTTTTTAATAAAAATTAAATTCTCTTGATTAAAATAATAGATTTGCTTCTCTTTAAGTTTTATTATTAGATCTTTTAATTTTCAACTTCAACAATTTAATTTTTTTCCATAAATATTTATAATCAAAAATTGAGATAATTGATGGAACGATAATATTCAAGTAGGAGTATGTTATCAAATAATCCATGAATCCTTCATTTTGCATTATACTATCACTGGTAGGAATTAGATAGTTTGAATACATATTCCAAGATTACAAGTCTGCTCTATATATTTATCCTGTTATAATTATCAACATCTAAATATCAATCAATGCTTACAAAATCTAAATTAACTTGGCCCAATCTAGAATGAAATTGTCTTCCTAAAAGTTCATAGAGGGCTTGTGTAATCATTGAAAACAATGTGAAGCAAATATTTAAAATTTATTTAATTATTTCCTATTATTCTCCATTGAAATGAGAATTCATGAATTCAAATCTTATTTTTAATATGATAAATTGTGACATAAAAAAAGTTAACTGATTATGGCTATAATAAATAAGGTGATAAAGTATTAACAGTAAGTACCCTTTATTTAACAATCAGAATAATATATTTACTTTTACTCATCACAAAGTTACATTAAATTTTTTTTTATTTGTTTACAATATACATAGCATTATTTTTTGCTTTTCTCAATTTCGATTTTATCATAGAACACTTCTTTTACTATCATTTTTTTCTTTTACTGAAATATTATTAAAATATTTACTCTTCTCGTTTTTCTCTCAAATATAGCATGCTCATTATTATTTTAAAGAATTATTACCTTAAAAATTAAAAATTTAGTGAGCTTTTAATAAAATAGACTTAAAAGCAAGGGAAAATCAGTGAAAATTAGATTTGATCATCCTTAAGGAAATTTTAATTTTTCAAATAAAATTTTCTCGTATGACTTTAAATTTTTTGTATAAAACAAAAATATTTCTTCATTATGGACTCGCAAAAAATCAAGAATTTATTCATTAGTTATCTTATCAGGAAAATTAAGTCCTGAAAAATAGAAATCCATAATTCCGAAAAGGAATATCATATTTTTAGAGAATTACATACAAAATTCACGTCTAAGGTAATAAATATGAGTTATTGCTGACAACACAATAATAGTAATATATAGATAATCAGTGAGACACTCTAATTCAGAAGCTAAGTTCCAAATAGAAAACCTTTTGAATGAGTTTTAATCACAATTTGGATGTATTTCACATATGTTTCCTTATTGATTTCGAAACATAGAAAAAGGGACAACAATAATACTAATTATTAATAACTCTTGTATACCAAATAGGAAGAAATGATAGTATCATCCATTTAATAGTTTCAAAGTAATCAGATGCTATCTCACAATTTTCTGATTTTCTTAAATCACTACATATTGAATATTTAATATGATCTTGATAATAATCACAGCAAAGACATTAAGGGGAATTGCTTACAGGTTCTTAGTAGGCTTTAAAAGAATTCTTACTTTAATTATTAGAAGTACTCCATGTAATTCAGCTTTCTTCAAATCAGCTGGAATCTTATAGTAATTATAAATCATCTCAGGTAATATTTCTGACTAAAACAATGTTATCTAATCACTCTCCATATCTTTTCGATAAAATTTATTTAATTATAATTATTAAGAAAAATATGTTCTTAATTCTTTAACTTCATTCTAATTTAGATATTTGAATTATTTTCAAAATTAACAATTTTTAAGGTATATTTGAATTTAAAATACATATGGAGAACAACTTATCATACTGATTGACAATTGAATTTTTGTTCAAAATGATGAATGATAAAAAAAGTATTTAAGATGAAAAGATTTAAGTATTGCAAATGTGTTAAATAAACCATTAACCCTGTGAATGGAAAAGCAATATTTCGGCAATGGATTAGATAAATTAATATTTATTTTGCCTTTAATTATTATTCAAATTATTCATGTACAAACTAAAATTTAACATCATCTAGTCATGGTAAGATCACTCCATGACCATTTTACTTGAATAATCAAATGAAAGATGAAGCAAAAATGGAAATCAAGGTTGAAATACTATTATTTTTATGTAATTTTAACCTTCTGAATTGGATAAAAATCTTAAAAAAAAGTTGAATTTTTCACTCTATCTCCTATTTCTTTATTGGTTTTTATATTGATTGTTTCTTTGATTCTAAATTTTTGATAAGGAAGAATCAAAAAGTTTAAATGAAAAATAAAATAGACTATAATTAATAGCATAAAATACTTAATATAAGGTAAAATTATTTAGTTCATTGTATTTTTGAGAGTAATTATGTTTAGTTTATAAATGTAAAGGAATTTTACAGTGGAAATTTTATCTTGAAAATACAATATTTTGAGATACCAGTTTTAAAAAATACTAATATAATTTATTTTCTTCCTTTGTATATATAATAAATGTGTTGATGTTATGGATAGCAATATTTAAGTAATCTAACTAATAAAATCCTGGTACAGAAGAGGTCTTAAACTAAATGGAGTGATTTTGATATAAAATGAAGGACATTTTCGATGAGGATTGTCAAAGAAAGTTTTCATTGAATTACTGATACAATTTAGTTTGTTATAATTATACAGTATTGAGAAAAGAGAAAAAAAATACTCAAATTTGACTGAGGTTAATACTTCTACGTTAGATGATGGAATTAGTTTGTATGTTTAACTTAAATTTCTTTATTTTTTTGGATTGTTTATTTGAAACTTGTGAGTTTTGAATTTTGAGATGCTTGAAGAGCTATTTGAGCTCTACTTCTTGTTCAATTTAGAGATATTCCGTCATTTCACTATCAAAAGATTCTTGTTTGGATTACATTTGTTCTCTGAATATTTGGTATTTATTTATATTTTTAAATAAATAAAATCCTAATTAATTTTATATAGTCATAAATTGAACTGGATTTAACGATTATATTGTATTTCAAAAATCATGTATCCATACATCATAATTAGTTGCTAATATTAATAATTCATATAAATTTCAGTTTTCAACTTTATTATGATTATAGTTTTTTATCCTTAGCTTACTAAATTCTTATGGGAATCAAACCCAATTAGTTTAGATCTGCAAGTCTCATTGAAATTCAGTATTTGTAAGTCTTATGAATTGAGATGATTGATGATTGGATTAGTGTGGTATGATTCAAATATATATATTATTTAATTTAGAAACAAAAATAAATTGATATTAATGTAGTATTAATAGTTCTCAGAAAGCGAACAATAGCAATCTACATTAAATTTAGGATTATTTTATTTATTTTACAATTCAGGTAGTGGGAGTGTTAAGGCTAATTAGTTTTGTGTATTGGATGTATTATTTGATTAATAATTTAGTGTGCTGATATCACTTTAATTGTTGATGGTAAAGAAGTGCAAATCTCTTTCTTCAGCATTCAAAATGTGGCTTCCAGAAATTAGGGTTATAGCAAATTGAAGGATGATTTAAGTTCAAGTACCTTATTTGTATAATTCAGATAATAAATAAATCCCAATCGTCATAGCAGGAGGAGATGGTTCCATGATGTGGGTGATAGAGTAAATGATCTAACAAAAAATTGATATCAATCAAATAGTTATTATTCCATTACCTTGTGGAACAGGAAATGATTTTTCAAATGCATTAGGTAGTGTTAACATAATGTATTCAAGGGTGGGATACTGATATACCAGGAAACATGCTAGAAAACGACTATCGAATTCTAAAGCAATATATAAGATTTTGGTAGAAAGGCCATCAATGCTTTTTTGACATTTGGGATATTACTATCTAAACTCAATAGGATGGATACTTTTAAGAGATAAAGAAGAATGAGAAGGGCTATACCAAATAAAGTGTCAAAGACCTTGATGGGATGAATACTAACATTTTGGAAAAGAAAATGTCCAACTACTTTAGTATTGGAGTGGATGCAAGGATTGGATATGGGTTTGATAAGAATAGAACAACCAATAGACATCTCAATAAAATTTGCTATTGTTTATAAGGCATATAAAAGATGTTCTTGAAAAACCCAAGATTAAATCAAGTTGTGGAATTTGTTGAACACTTTGTATTTATTTATTGAACCTTAATATCTTAGAATCATAAGGAATAGAAAACCCTATTCAAAACTGTGAATTGCCAAGATAAAAATGCTTTAACTGTTCCTGGAAATCCTGCAACTTTAGTATGTTTGAACATCAATTCATATGCTGCTGGGATTACAGATATTTGGAAAAATGGAAAAACTCCACCAGAATTTTTGCAAAAGAACAAATTATATTCTGAAAAAACCTCATTCTCTGATGGATTATTAGAATTTATATCATTCGATTCTATTGCAGGAATTGGATCTGAAAGGTTAAATCTCATTTATGAATCTTAAATAGAGTATTGGCTGGCAATGCAACAAGATTGGCTTAAACTAATGGACCTTTGCTTATTAAATTTTAAGAATCAAATTAAAACAACACTGTAAATAGTTACATCTAAATTGATGGTCAATATTTTTCTATCATCAATCCTTTGAGTGTGGAAATTTAACCATGTCGACAATTACCTCAAGGCAAAATAAGAATTTTAATGAAGGATTGAAGATTATACAAAATATTTGTAATCAGAATAATCAAATTAAAGTCATGATTTACTGAATGGACTAACAAGATAAGATCGTTGTTTCATGTTGAATGAGTTTCCAGCTTTTGTAGACTCTTTGTCTCTAGTAGATTAATGCTAGCATTTCACTTTGCTGAACTCTAAGTGAATACTAGGCTAATGACTATGAGATGTCTTAGAAACCTTCCTTATTTAACTACATCTTAGATTTTCTCTTTTTTACAACATTTTTTCAATATTACAGGTTGTGATATCTTTATCTAACATTTCCTATTGATATTCTAGAACCTCGTGTGCAAATTAATTGAGACAATTATCAAAATGCTCATCCAAACTTTAAGGAGAAGAAAAATGCTTCCTTAATTTTATGGATTCAGTGCTTTAAGGAATCTAAGCAATTTCAGGTATTTCAAACATTTTTTACATCTAATTCTTACTTGAATAATTAAACAAGTATTTAGTTCTATTAAAATCTTCAGCAAATGCTATAGTTTTCTATGAAACAATAAGTTTCGGTTAATTTTTTCTTAAACTCATGGAGAAGTCATTATTTTAATCAATAATTTTTAACATCTACCCACTCTACTCTTCAATATTATCATAAATTTAAATATTGTGTTATAACTCTTTATGGTGTTGACTCTAACTCTCCTTTTTTTGTTTATAAAGTTCCCCCAATAGTTTTTCCTTAACTTTGCAATCATCAGTTCGGAGTTAATTGAAAACTTGTAGTCTATTGAATAAACCATGATCAGCTAATTGCTTATTTTGGCTTATCTCGTTAAACAACTCAATATATTTCATTCCCTTGGTCTTAAGATACTTAATAGGTTGATTTCTTTTGCTTATTAGATCTAATTTGGCATTAGTAATTTTTTCTTTAAAATTGGGATCACTGCTACTGAAACTGTATTTTTAGTTTAGTTCTCTGTAGAACTGTTGGAGATGGGCTATTTTGTTTTTAAAGTCATTTTTTAATCTCATTTCATTTTTTTCAATTTCTCTTTATATAACATCATTATCCTAATCTAATTGCAATTGATGGATGTCAGCCACAGTGTCTTTATTTTCATAATACATTTCAAGTCCAATATTCTACCAGCCGTGTATTCTTTTCTGAATTGATATGTTTAACAATTACTTCTTTGTTCTCTTTTGGTCGCAATATTCTACACGTACTGGGGCCATCTTGTTTAATGGTGGTGTCCCATTTGCAAATTCTTCTTTGTGTAAATCTTAAAGCAGTATCCTTATCACATCTCTTCATCTTTAATGAAAATTACATTTTTGATTAGATGTAGAAATGTGGCAGCTTTGGTTGGAGACACATAGATATCTCTTCTTTAGACACCACCTAACTTTTAACAATACTTGAAATATGGTATCTCACTTAGTAAATTCAATTCATACCTCCTCTTTCTACACTTATTACATAATAAATAAAATATAATAAAATTGGAAATAAGAATTAATTTATAATATTAACACTGTTTTAATTACAAATTCAATTTCATTCAATAGTTTGCCTTTCTTTTTCCAGTTCCAAGAGTCTCTCAAACATTTTGAATCTCAAAAATCCATAATCAATGTATTCGAAATTCAAGGAATTCTTCTCATGAGCAAGAAGAACACTCCACCAAACCCAATTCAAATTGGATATCATTTGCAATCTTCTGATTCTTCTCTTCAAATATGATACAGATTAAAACAATTCATTAATCTATTATTCATTCATTCTTTGAATCAGAATTTATTTAATCAAACTGATAAAGGTGTTTAATTCATCTTTATTTTTATTAGTCTTTTAAGTAATTAGACCAACTATTGAGTTGATCTCATTATCCTAACAAACCTAATGAAGCAGATAACATAAAGCTAAATAGTGAGCTTAGATGGGGGCAGTATCAAAGTTTTCATCAACCAACTAATAGAAGGGCTCTTCTTCATATTAATAGTTGATGGCGGATTCATTCAGAAAATTAGCTATATCATATGAGGGATAATTGTAAGAACAATACTCATAATCAATAAATACTATTTCTTTGTCCTTTTTTGTGGTACTAAATATGTTTAATTAATTTAAATCATTATGACAAAATTTTAACTACAAATTATTATTAAATATAGTTACCTCTTCGTTATTCTCCTTCTGAATCATCTCCTCCAAATATTTGAATTCCTCGTTGTTGTTCAAGAATTACTCAATGTTTTCTAGTTGTTTGAGCTCCACATCTGTGTACAAGTCTCTTTTCTCAATCTTCCTCAGAACATTATGTTTCATATTCTTTGATAGGGTTTTGTTAAGAATCAGAGAAGTGCCATCATTGGGAATCGGTATTTCCATCTAATGAAACTTTTATAGGACTCCCATCGATTTGAATTGAAATAAAGGTGAGCCCATCTTCTCATTGGTTGGATGCACTCCATTCGTAACGAATTCCTCCATTCTCCAGATATCACCGCATTGCAATTGTCTGGGTCCCAACTCCAAATCAGATATAGTTTTGAAGATGATTCGCTCTTATTTGGAATCCACAAATCCTTCTGCATTTCCAAATCTATTATTAAATGCTGTTATACTCTCTAAACACTATAGTTCTGGGCATGACCTCTACTTGGGTCTCGACCTTGTAGGTGATATTGGTCAACCCAGCCAGTCTTGTTATTTAGATTTCTGATGGATTGATTGTTTGCCAGGAAGTGAATTGCTCTGCAATAATATGTTTAATTGCATATTCAGTGAGATGAGTGCTTCTTGAGTTCATTATATAAATTATGTGTTTTGAAAATCAATATTTTCCAGGTATACAAAGGCACAATATTGTTGTAATGTTCAGACGCGATTAATCCAAATTTGACGTGGAATTTATATTGCTCAAATATATACAATTATATTTGAGTAAACAATTTTAAATTTTTATAATAATTCTTATATTTCTAAATGTTGGTGAGAACTCTCAATGCATAAGTTCTAAGTTCTACGTCCTCAAATCTTACTAATTTTGAAGGATTTAAGATTTATGGAGAATATTTAGTACAAATAAAGGAAAATGAAGTATTATAAAACTAGATGCTCGGATTAATGTATCGTCTTAGACTAGATTGCTAGGATATTTTATAAGGATGGAATATACAGAGAATATAGATGAATTCAATAAAGAACAAGGAATTATAGATTGATATGACAACAGAAAAGAGGAAATGCTAAATTTAAAATTTTATAAGGAAATAATATTGAGACACAAAGTAAAATGAAGAAATAAAGGTTAGTTACATTGGATGAGTCAATAATAAAATGGAAGAAGTTTTATGCTTGAAACAAAAAGAGTATATTTATTGAATGATAATTACAAAATGAGTACATGGATTATAATTTTAAATTCCAAGAAATCAGAGAAAGAGTCGGGTAATGAATTAATTCAATAGAGAAAGTGACTAATACAGAATAAGCTAGATTGGAATCATCGCTTAAATATAAGGAATGATAAATTTAGATGCATTAATAGTATCAAAACATATTATTATCATCATCCATACATTCATCCTAGTTAAGAAAATAATTATATAATTTAATTAAATACTTTAATTACAAGAAAAAATATTAAAACTTATTTAATTAAATTATTTTAAATGTCATTTTCAATGATGTAATATTATATGCTAAAATTATTCATGATAATCATTCTGTAATTGGCAGGTGTTGAATCCGACAGGGCAGATATTCTGGAATTTAGAACAGACAACCTAGGTCTATTGATTCAAGTATTTTTGCAAACAAAAACTAGAAAATATATTCATTTTAAATAGGATGTAATATTTTTAATTCATCCTATAAAAATTGGAAAATACTTTATTCATCTATACTTTAACTAAATAAATAATTGTAGGTGGTCAATTTCAAGATAATGATTAATCCTAATTATTAATTTTTATTTTTTTATAAAACTCAATATCTTCCTAATGCATCCATTTACATAATTTCCTCCATTCTTATAATGTATTGAAAAACTGTTATATTAGACTCTCAAACTTACAATTATCCTTGGCCATTTATGGAGCAATTCAACCAATTTCGAAATTATTTCTACATCAATAATAATAACCTGTTGTTAAACTATCATTAAGCTTAGCCAGCCAACCTGCTTTTTGAAGGTTCTTAACAGCCTACATCAATGATCAAACAGGAAAATTCTGTGATATAGGTACAATGCGTCCTATAATAGTCTAACTTTGAACCAGTAGAAATTGTGAAAAACCTTGAAAACCATAAATCTCCCTTACCCTTGAAAAAAAGGCCCAATATTTCTTTCTCCAATAATAAGCGCAAAGGGAAAAAATCAACAAAAAGAAAGTTATATAACATAGGTAATATTCCTAATTTGATTCCTTAGGTCATTGGACCACAAAGGAGCATAATTTGTATTTAAGCTTTATCTAAACGAACAAGGACATAATGTTGAATTCAGACCTCAAGAAATAGAACAAAATATTTAAATAGATGTCAAATTTTATAAAGACACGATCCCCCAGTCAATGCAGATCTCATCACCAGAAGTTTGACCCGAATGACCAAGCCTCAAACAATACTTCTAATTTCACCGAATGCCAAGAGGTTGAGAATCACGAATGACATAATACAGAATAAAACAATTTAATATTTTTTTAAAATTAAAATATCTGAATGACTTGTTAAACACACATTTCATTATATAAAATTAAGCGAGCTTTGTTTGGCATATGAGTAAGATAACAACTAGTCTATGAAATGATATTTTGATTCATATTTTATTAAAATAATATTTAAAAATTTATACAATAATTTATAATGGCAGACAGCTTTAATTCGAGTGGATAATTTTATAATTTTGTAGGAACAGCAGGCACAGCGGATTTTTTACCAGGATCAGGGCAGGAACAATAGTAATGACACTTAAATACTAATTAGATTGAGTTTCGGAAGGAATTATTTGGCATACAACGATTAGCAAGCAGGGAGTTTTCAGAACAATTTCCATCAATCTTAATTGATAGATTCCGAAGTTAAAAATAGTCTGGATTAATTTTTTGAAATGAAAATAGAAGATGTCAGATTGGACAATTTATTAATTCAGGAGGAGTCTTCGAATTAGTCCAAATAGAAATAATCCATACACTCAGATATAAATAGTAGGTCCCAATATTCTGGTGATCAGGATTTTCGATTAGGTTGTAATCGTCTCTATTATATGTAGAATCAGCGGAATAAATTAATAGTAAGTTTAAGCCTGAAGTTAAGATGCTCATTCCTTAAAATTAGGGAAAGAGCATATATCGAGACAAGATTGATTCTTTATTAGAAAAGCGAACATCAAACAATAACTCAGTATCTCCTTCAATAACTCCAAGATCTTCAAAGAGTCAATAGAAATTGGAGAGAAAGCGATCCCAAAACTTGTAGAATGAAACTTCAAATGAAATGACAGATCCCACGCAATTAAAATTAGCAAAAAATAGGGAGTCTGCAAAAAACTCAAGAGAAAGAAAAAAAATATATTAATAATTGCTAGAAAAGCAGGTGTAAGAATTGCAATAGGAGAACGAGAAATTGAAGGACATATGCAAGAATTAGGCCTAATCAATGGAAATAGTGAACAAAAAGACATAAAAAGTATAGAATTGATTAACTCCATAGTTTTAATTGTTCTTAGAATAGCAACAACAGATGTTTGAGAAATTGGAGTTGTGTTTAATAAAGAAGGCTAGTTTCGATGAAATTGGAATAATAATGGACGCATTGAGATATAGAATATAATCGAATTCTTAGGAGAGGAATGATACTGCAAGAGTTTATTTTGATAGCATTGCGGAAATAATGTTGCCAATGTAGGTCAAGTATTTGTTGTATGCTTGTCAAAATTCGAAAGATATGTTTGCGAATACTGACCAGTATGATATTTGTTATTATTTCAATAGAGATTACAGCGAATGGTTGAAGGAAGGGTTTGAAAGTACGAGTGTCAAATTTGAGAATTTCACCAAACTGAAGAAATTTTAGTCGAAGGTTTAATAATTAAAATAAACTATTTCTAAGTAATAAATAAATTCACTAGTAAAGTTCTTTAGATAAAATTAAAAACGAAATCAAGTCCATTTAAGACCAAGCCTCTAAATTGGATTAGGTTTGGGACTCGCTGAAATCCATACTGAATCCTCTGTAATTGGGGACTTTGATGTGTTCTCTTTATCATGTAATAATGTTAGCAATGATTAGAATCTTTATCGGAATGAACTATAGACGAGCACATTGTTTGCCTAATTAAAGAACTCACAAGCGGAAGAGGATGACTTTTCATTCAAGATAGAGGAGGAAATAAATTATGGAACTAACAAAATGGTTAAAAGGTGTTGAGAATTATAAAACTTATATATTTATTATTATATTGTTTCAGTGAATTTTGAGAATGGGCGATTAAAAAGTAGTTTCTATATTCGATTTTGGGAAAACTGGGAACAAATTTTGGTAACCTTGTGATAAATCTGTCTTGGATGTACATATAATGAATAATAATAAATAAGAGTTAATCTTTTTTGGTTGAACAAGAATTCTTGACAGCCGGAAAGTTAAATGTCAAACCAATCTTCATTGTGTTGGGCTTAGAATACATTTACAAGGTTACTGTTGATAGTTTGAAGTGTGCTCCACTGGCTACGATGCATTTGAGCATCATTGATCCTGGGGCTGATCATATAGTTTAATTAAATTCTGATGAGCAATAATTCGGATTCAAGTTGACATATCAAACAAAATCATTGGATATCTTTCTATCTGACAAATTGTTGTATGATCAATGGAAGCAGCATTTCAAAAGATTTTGTTTGTTGGAGAATTTTCATGATGCATTCGTAGTTTCAAAGTTAATAGGAAAAGGAAGCTTTGCCAAAGTCTATTTGGCAACGAGAAAGGAGAATAACTAATAATATGCTATCAAAGCATTTAGTAAGTCCTTTATGCAATAACAACATAAAGGAATCGAAAGTTTATTAAATGAAATGTAAGTGATGAGAAGATTAAATCATTAAAATATAGTCAAGTTGCATGAAGTACATGAAACCGCAAATTCCGTTTACTTTGTAGTTGACATTGTAAGTGGAGGCGAATTGCTGCAGAGAGTCAGAGAAACAGGTTTTCATTTTAACTAATTATTAGGTTTCCTACCTGCTGAAACACTCTAGAAATTGGCCTATAATTTACTATCAGCATTAAATCATTTGCATCAATTCCAAATTGCACACAGAGACTTAAAACCTGAAAATTTGTTACTACGCTCAAATGAAAATAATCATGACATTATATTGGCAGATTTTGGATTGGCAGCAAAACTAACGGATGAAAATATCCTATTCAAAAGATGTGGAACTCCAGGATTTGTGGCACCTGAAATTCTAGAATACATTGAAGGATAATAATTCTACGATGAAAAATGCGATGTTTTTAGTGCTGGAGTAATACTTTATCTCTTGATAGTAATTATTATATAATAATGTAGACTGGAGGATAGCCATTCACTGGAAAAGATTAGAAGGCTATTCTAAAAGCCAATAAGGATTGTTAAATTGATTTTGAAGACTCACTTTTTAAGTCAGCTCCAATTTAAATGCAGGATCTTATTAGATCAATGTTACAAAAGAAGCCATCTTATAGATTGAGTTCAAGTGAAGTAACAATATCCTTAATTATAGTGTCTAAGACATCCATATTTCAAAGAATTAGTGAAACAATAGTAAATTTAGTAGGAGAAGTATTAAAGCAATCTTTCAGAATATAATTAATAATTCAAGAACAATGTAAGGACGGGTTCCATAGATATATCTTTGGAATAACGATAACCAGCATTTACTGGGAATCTGAACTCAATAGAATCAATTTCCTGTGTTTCAAATGGATCTTTTGCCAAATTAGAAATGAAAGCTCCTTCAGTTGTTGGTGCCTCCAAATTTAGTTAGTACAGTTCTCGTTTAAATAGATAGGGTTCCAGAGATATATCAGGTAATGTTTATATCCAATTTTAGATATTCCCAATACCTAATTGCAAAAGACAGAATCTAAAAAACACATTGACTTACACAGAATAGCAATTCAAAATTCACATAGAAAATAAATAATAGATTAATTTGAAGATTAACCTGTTTACTAAGAAAACTCAGAGGTGTCTGATATGGTCAGGTTATACAATTCTACAAGATAAATTAGAATTCCTGAAAATTTATCTTAATTCTCACAAACAAACAAATAAGCATCTACTCCAACTAACAAGAATTCTTGAATTTTATTATTATCAATTACAATAAGTATATCATTATTATTTTTATCTTAAATATTTTTCTATTACTTCCAAAAATAGCATTCGTATTCCTTCACCAGTCCTTGCAGATGTCTCATAAAATACGAAATCCTGTTGTTTAGCATAAATCTAAGCTTCATTTTTAAAGACTGCTCTCTCTTAATTCAAATCACTTTTGTTTCCTGCCAACCCAATACTCAAATCTAAATTACTTACATTATCTCAAATATACTAGTACATCTCTCTAATAACTCCTTCTCCCAATAATATATCTATTCAAATGACTATCTGCTTGTAATGTTATACACTAATATCGCTGCATTTGCATCTCTATAACACAATTGAGCCAAAGAGCGATACCTCTCACTTCCTGCTGTATCCCAGATATGCAATTTTAATACTGAACCCTTAATCACAATCTAAGCACTCTAATAAGCTACGCCCAAGGTAGTTTATTCTTTTTCTGATTGCTATATCAATTAGATATAATACAGTATCAAAACAAAACCTCTGAATGAGACTTGTTTTACCAACTCCACTATCTCCTAAAACTACTATTTTAATATTTTTCTATTCTTATTTCAATTATAGTTATTAACCCTTAATATTTGTTTTATTATCTTCACAACACATTTATATTTAATTATGTAAATTTATACAAAATTTGTTGTCAGCTCTGAAACAGATGAGTTAATACTAATTTAAAGAAAAAATATTATTATTTAGATATGGTATATAATCTTTATCGATATAATAATATTATTCATTGAGTCATTAATGTTGTTCATACTTTCTCAATTCCCAAAATTCTAAGTATGTCATTTGACAAAAATTGTTATTTCGTTATGAATCTTTGAATCATCTAAATAAATTCACTTATTTTAGGCAATTATTCTGATATCATCATTGCTATGTTTGCTTATTCAGATAAGAGATTCACATATTTCTATAATTTTAAGGATTGTTCATACAATTCCTCCACATTTATTTTAGATTTGTCTCTTCTCAAGTTCTCCACAGTGGATTTTAAATTTGTATATAATGCTTGAGCTTTGGATAACTTTTTTTCTGCTACCAACAATTCTTTTAAACTTAAGAATAACTGTTTCACTCCAGTTAATATCAATTAGACTTCATTTAATTTTTAGTCCAAATTAATGATTTTATCTTGAATCATAGCTTACATGACTACAATCACCTTTGGTATTAATTTCTGAGCTCCCTTAAATTAACCAATAGGCTTGTATGTGTCATCTGGTTCTTGAGCTTCAAGTATGATTATTTCTATCATCTTAATCTTTCCTAATTCTTCCTTTGTCTTCAAGACTTGAGCTTAGTTGTTATTCAAAATATCTTGTATTTAGACTCCAAGTTATATATTGTAATTATCATATTTCTAAGGCAATATCATTCTCTTCAAAATCTTCTATGCTTTCTCATTCTAATGTTGTATGGCTTCACATCTTAATTATAAATTATCCAACTCAAATAACTTATCTAATATTCGACTTTCAAATTGACCCAAAAAATTAAAATAAATATCGAGATTTACTTAGTAACTAATTTGATTAATTAATAATAATATCTTACCCACTCTACATTTTGGTCACATCCTCTATCCATTAATAAACAATAATACTCAAATGTGCACTAACATTATCAGCAAAGTCTGTATTAATTTCGCCTAAGAAGTTCAATAATTTTTGTAGTTATTCATCATTCAACACATAATTTTCTTACTCTTATCCTCCATGTATTTACAACAATTATATCCTGTACTTTTTCAATTTATGATACAAGGCATTTGAGACATCAATTAAATTCATATTCAATAATCCAATCAAGTATCCATTAATACATAATTTCTATTAACAATACGCTTTCCATCTGGTCTTTTGTTGATAATACTTCTCACTATGATGGATTATTGTATTTAATGATTTGAATGATGGGTAACTCAACAATAGAATGTCCCTAAGTGACTTCAAGTAATTTGTGAATTGATCTCTGGGGAAATCATCAAATTTTTCAATGGAAAACAATTGCATAGTCTCCTTTATAATCGCCATTATTTTTTATTCGTTTTATTGCATTTATTAAATGAATTTTAATCTCTCCTTAAGCAAAATCTCCACTATTTCCATCCCCAACTTTATTTTCTCAGTCTTTACTTTTATGGCATAATCAGCTGCTTAAACTCTTTCATCTGTTTTGATTTTGTCGATGTCATGCCTATAAATTCAGCCCACATCTATACTTATGCAACGTAATCTAATGAAATTTTGTGATTTTATCATATAAATCAGTTTCTGCCTTTTAAGCAATCCCAGCATTGCTCAATATAACTGAACCAGGATGAGATGTAGGAGTTATTTAATTTTATGATTTATTCATTGTCAATTTGATATAATAAATAATACAATATATATATTTCATTTTACTCGTCATATCAAAATCCCATTTTGTGAGTATTCAATACCAATGATATATAATTTTTAAAATACTCTCCCTTATCTAAAGCATTTAATAACTACTGTTAAAAACATAAATTCTAAAAGAATACGTTTTATTTTATAAGTTTCCTTTATATAATTGTATGTATTTTTTCATAATATTCAAAATACAAAATTATATCACTTCTTTTTTCTACTATCCTGGCAATCACTGAGTATAAATACTACTTCTAATTGTCATATATTTTAACATTCCAGAATGAAATAACTCAATTATATACATTATTTAATTAAGTATAACTATAAAAATATAAGTAATAGCTCTAATTTTTATGATCATTCTAAGTTAAGATTAGTAAATATCATAGCACAATGCAACTCTCTTTTATTCGGGAAATAATCTTTAAGAATCAACTTTTGTTGTTAGATAATAGTATTTTTCTAATTTTCTGGATTGGGTCATCGAAGTGCTTAAATTTAGTTATTCTCAAAGGAATATAACTTAGATTACTACTTAATTCAACAATAAAAATAAAATATTAACATTTCATATTTATTTAGAATCAGTCTCAATCATACGATGAAACTAATCGAAATTGAAATTCCATGCTTCTGCTATTTTTGCAATTTCTAATATTCTTGTATCATTAGTTGATTCGGCTGATTTGACTTGTACATTCATAGCAATGTTGTCCTATCAATTACATAAATCATTACTATAGCATAGGCTAAGAATATATCCTTGACTGTTATATTGTTAACATCGTCAGTAATCAGTCTAATCTTTATTGTATTGAATAGGTTCTCCCACTCAGGATGATCTACTTTAAATAATATATTACGATTGATTTATTCACTGAATATGGCCACCTGAGTCATAAACGAGAATGCTTCTTTGAAATTAGAAAACTTAACTTCCTTATACAGTGAATGGTCATCTTGCTATTGATGATAGATGATAATTGAATACTAATTTCCAAGTGGCTCCTAATTGATGCATCTTCAATAATTATTTGATATCCTCCATTTTCAAAGCAGTTGGTTTTTCCCCTTTGAAAATTGAGAAATCTTTCACCTTGAATGACAACTTTGGAAATGATGTTGTAATTTTGCCTGAACAGAATCTGAACAACTAAATCATTTTCTATGATATATTTTATTTATCATATTTTCAATTTAAGGCTTACGATAAATACGTATTATAAATAAATTTAAATAAAGTTCAATATAAGTGCTTAAAATTATTAAATGTCATAGCACTACTAATAAACCTTATGAATGGATCAAAGATTCACTTTATTTAATTGAAAATATTTCGAACAACACTATATTGCTTTTAAAAACCGATATATTAAATACGTAACGATACAAGAGCCTTAATATGCCAATAATACGTAAAAAATTGGAAAGAATATTAATTTAGAATACATTATTTCATTTTTCATACATACTTTATTTTAATTCAATTATGCAACAAGAGCATCAATTAAATTATTATGAGGGGTAGATAAAAGTAGTAAAAAACTGATTTTATGGATTTTTATCGAGTTTTATACTTATTTTAGTCATTTCAGTTACAAAAATGTGTGAGGTTCAAATTAAAGACTTAGTCCAGGAATTTCTAAATTCCTTAGTAATTAGAGGAAAACTGAAGGTAATTTGAGAGTTGGCCCAAACATCTACTTCCTTACATCAATTAATTAAAATAAGGATATCATTAAGGAGTTTTAGTTCTAAAACAGCTAATTTTATATTTAATATTTGTATTAAGTATTATATGGGTGTAATAATTTAGATAACAGTTTATTTGTAAATACATTCAATAATTTCCTTTGTTCTGAATTTCAAAGAAAATATATAATGACGATCTAAAATTATATATATATTTAAAAACTAATAAATGTAGTAGATAAGTGATATTAATTTATTTTTAAAGCATTATTTATAAAACTAATATATTATTACATTTGCATGATTAGAGGGAGAGCAGATATCTAGAGTATGGAGTCAAGCAAAGAAATACATGTTAGATAAACTACAACAACTAATTTACTACCGACTATAGTTATTGATCATCATGACGAGCAGCATGAACATTTGTAGCCTTCTCTATAAGTGATTGAGGAATCCGTAGATGCGTTGCCTTAAAAAGAGGATCATAAATTCTATCCTAATTACCTCGGATAACGGAATTACTGGATTTCAAAATTATTCTTTCTTCATTATACCTAGTATGCTTTATATTTGAAGAAACATTTGCTGGATAAAAATTTAAAGATTATTCAATAACATTTACCATAGTTGTCTCCCAAAGACGATTTATAAAAATCAGTAGACACATCATTAAAAAAAATCAATTAATTTAGCCAAATCACAACCTGCCAATTGGTGAATTTGATTTTCTTTGGTGAGCTCAAAGGGGTCACATTCAAATGTATCATAGCGTTTTTTATCGAATCCTTGTCTAAAAATGGTATCTCATTTATACTTAGCAATATAATGACATGCGTTTCATCTAATGATATCGAGGGTGCCCATTTGTTTGCCATAGTCCTGGTCACTTTAAATTTGCTTTGCACCTTGAGCAGACATCATGCAGCTAATTAATCAATAATATTTTCATCAAAAGCAAGACTGACATTAATAAATCTGGTTTACATTAAATTGATTGAATTAAATTAGTACTCATTTAAATAAGCAAATATCGGTAAAATATTAAATATCTTATCTGGCGATATCAACACCTTAGAATAAGTATTGAGTATGATCTTTCCAAGCAGTGTAGTGATAATATCATTATTATTGGCCTGTTACATTTTGTGGGATCGATTCAACGGTTTTATTGGAATTTTAGTTGTGGCTATAATATTTATAGCATACCCTATTTAAATTTTTTTGTAATCATTTAATTCTCAGACTCTTAAACTTCAGAAGTAACACTAGGATAAGAGGTTCAAAATAACTAACGAATTAATTGAGGGAATCCGTTTAATAAAAATGTACGCTTGGGAATAAGCATTCAAGAAAATGATCTTGACAGCAAGGAGAGAAGAATTCATTTGTCTCTTAAAAGTTGTTATCAGATCAGGAATCGATAGGTTATTTACTTTAATTTCTTAAATTTGGGCGAGTTTGTTATTTTTTATTATTCTACATTATGGAGGTTATAGAGATTAAATGAGTGTGGCAGAAATGATATCAACTCTTTAATTGTTGTCATTCCTCAAACTAAATTGTGTTTACATGGTTTCATATGGAATTTAATCTGTTATTTAGATAAAGGTTTCTTTTGAAAGAATAGCGAAAACGTTGAATTTGTAGAATTTTGAGATGAAACAACTACAACAAAATTAAAAGAAGGATGAATGCAAATCAGATGATTGCAATCTAGCTATTGTATAATTTTAGAACTTCTCAGCTTATTGGACTCACTCTGTTACTAAGAACGACAAACCAGTTTTGAAAAATATAACTATGGATATCTTGGAAGGCGAAACATGGGCTATAATTGGCAAAGTAGGTTCTGGAAAATCAACATTCTTACATTCTTTGTTGTCAGAAATACCTGCTTATGAAGGCACTCTCCTTATTAGTGGTAAAGATCCTAAAAATAGTGACTTATCAATTGCTTATGTAGAATAGGAACCTTACATATTTCCTGACACCATCAGAAAAAACATCCTATTTGGAAGACCGTACAATAGGATTTTATATGAGAAGGTAACTCAAGCAACGGAATTAGATGTGGATTTTACTTTGATGAAATTCTCTGATCACACTGAAATTGGAGAAAGGGGTATTACCCTTTCAGGGGGATAGAAAGCAAGGATATCTTTAGCAAGGGCTCTTTATTCATTAGCAGATATATATTTATTTGATGATCCCTTGTCTGCTGTTGATGCTCATGTAGCAGAGATTATATTTTAGATAGCCATCAAATCATTTATTTTTAATGAGCAGCCTCTTCTTAAACCTCAAAAATAAAGACCTGTAGTTGTTATTGCAACACACTAAATTTAGTATGCAGTGAAATGTGACAAAATTGCAATATTAAACGATGGTGAAATAATTGCTCAAGGGCCTTACGAAAAAATTAAGGAATCACTCTATATGATCAATAAAGGATTAGCATTACAATTAAATATTTAACCGAATGATAATAAACATCAAGAGGACCTCAGATCATCAGTCAGAAGACGAACCGGCGCAAGATCAACCTACGTTAGAAATCTTACAATCCAAGAATAAAATTCATCATAAGTGATGGATCTTTCAACCTTCATTCGATATTTCAAATATTGGCACTGCCTTGAATTGATTCTCATATTAGTGTTAGAGGCAGGATCTGAAATAATAATTATTTTCTATTAAAGAATTATTTCATTATTTTCAGAATATTAAACATAGGATGAAATTAATTTGGCCTACACCTAATTGGGCATTCTCACAACTGTTTTACTCTTTTGCAACTTTATTAAATACATTATTAATATATTTTAAGTTCAAAACACCACTTAACGCATCCATAAAGAAATGCTTGACTCAATAAGCATAGCTCCAATATCTTATTTTGATACCAATCCTTCAGGAAGAATTATCAATAGATTTTCTAATGATCTATCCTTATGTGATGCTCAAACCAATCAAGTTTGCTTAGACATTTTAGAATTGATTGGAAACTTTCTATTTGCTTTAGTGACTTTGGCAATTTTGTAGCCTTTCTTCTTAATCATGATAATGGCTTTATTGCTTATTGATATCTACATCTACAGTTTCTACAACAAAATTATAAGCTAATTGAAAGAAAACGAGCTGATTCAAAGAAGCCCACTATTTGATTTCATTAAGAAAACATTAGGCGGAGCTGTTTAAGTCAGGGTGTATGGACAAAGGGAGTGGTTTATAAAACAGTTTTATGAACTATCAAACAATTGCAATCTAAATTCTTTGACTTACTATTATTAGGCTAGATGTTTTGGATTTAATATTGATATGATTGGATTTTTTGCATAAACTGTGGGTCTCTTTATTTTCTTGAATTTGAATAATGATGATATTGCCATATTCTCTTAAGGAGTATTACTATTAGCTACATATAATGATGGCTTGCAATTGGGATTAAGGCAGATGATCAACTTCGCCACCCAAATGAATTCATACAATAGAATGTTTGAAATCATTGACATCCCACCTGAAGCACCACACATTAAAGAAGATGACGAAAAGCTCAATAAATTCCCTTTAAATGGGGACATTGCTTTCGAAAATGTTTATATGAGATACAGAGCCAATTCTGATTTGATTTTAAAGGGCATATCTTTTAAAATTAAAAGTGGGTAGAAAATAGGTTGTGTTGGAAGGACAGGTGCTGGTAAAAGCTCAATATTATAAGCCATATTTAGAATGTCTGAAATAGAAGATGAAGAAGATTCCTCCATTTCAATATCAGGCGTGGACATTAGAAACTTAGGATTAAAAAAGCTACGAAGCAATATTGGAATTATTCCTTAATGTCCGTTCTTATTTACAGGAACAGTAAAAAGCAATCTCGATCCTTTCGAAGAAAACAATGACGAAAGTATTATGAAAGCTTTAGAAATTACTGGTCTTATCGAACATATTAAATAATTTCCAAAAGGAATTCTAACTGATATATCAGATGTCAATTCTGTTTTCTCTGTTGGATAAAAACAACTAATATGTTTGACTCGTATTCTATTATCAAAAAAGAAGATCGTTGTTTTAGATGAAGCAACTGCTAATTTAGATCTAAAGACAGATGACTTTATTTAAGAAACATTAAAAAAATAGCTGAAAGATTGCACGTTGATAACCATAGCTCATAGATTGAATACAATTGCAGATTATGATAGAGTCATGGTCATTTATGATGGGAGGGTTATTGAATATGAAAAACCATTCAACCTCTTAGCAAAATCAACTAATTCAACATTCATAGATAAAAATTCAGAATTTTCAAAACTTGTAAAGAACACTGGAAATTAGAATGCATAAGCTATTTTTGACATTGCTAAAAAACGGCTGATTTAAATAGAACATTGATCTTATTATTTAATGATATTAAATTGTTATGTTATAAAGGATTTTATTAAAACTGTTTTGATCATTAAATTCATTATGATATTTTTATTCGTATTTTGTATTGATAACAAATACTCTTTAAAATTATAGTAATTTTGATTTCACCTCTCCAAAATCTGGTCATCTAGTAACATCATCAAAGAGGTTGTTGATTAAATTGTATCTTACGCTTTCATAAATCAAAAAATAAGTAAATTTTTTCGTCGAACTTCCAATTTTAATTGCATAAATGATATATTAACTATATAATTTAGTCTCAATTTTATGTTTAGATAGCTGCAGTTTCTAAATATTTCAGATGCTTTAAAATTGTTTTAAACTCCTAAAAAGCCTATCAAGTCAAATCATAATGAGAATTAGCGGATAAGCATTTTCAATAATTTATAACTAATTGAACTCTTTTTAATAACAACAATTCTTTATTCATAATAAGAGACTGGCTTGACTGACTTATACGAAAAAATACGTATAATAGAAATTATTGGTCTGAAAACAATAAAGACATCTTAGTAGAGATATAAGAATAATATCTTGAAAAATATTAATTGATTAGATTTGTTATTTTATGCAATAATTTGACTATAGAGAATATAAGTATAATAATTGTGGAATTTCAATGTTATTCACTAAAATTAGAGGTAGTTTAAGTTAGATTAACCATTATGAGGAGGAATTACAAAAATTAAAGGAATAATTTGAAATTTTTACATATTTTATAATTAATACTTTTTAAGTGTTTGTTAAAATTAATTTTAAGAGTTATAAATAAACTGATAAAATGTTTTATCAATTTTTGTTATTCTTGTTTGAACAACAACGTTAGCTTGCATAACTTTGATCTTCAGGCTGATTTTACTATATATCAGGAATAATTAAGTAATATCGATAAATTGCATTTAAAAATAAACTGACCATTCTAAATAATGCATTCTTGTATCAGAATAGAAATCAAATAAGTTCCAATAAAAGATTTGTCAATTGTTTGAATAAAAAATAACAAGAAAATAGATAACAGGCTTAAAGCTAATATTTATTTTAAAAAAAATTCTCCAAAATGAAAGATTTCTCGAATCAACCTATTTGTAAATAATACAATCCTGCTCAGCATATTTTATTTCTTTCATCCTACTACTTCATATTCGTTATTCATAATATTAACTGTAATTAGAAGTCTTAAATTTTATTAGAGATCTTGAAATATTCAAACCTTAATAAATTAATGTAAAAATTAAAAATAATTAATAAGTACTACAACGAAATTGCAGAAATCTCGAAATCTTTTTATTCTTATTTTAGATTCCAAGACAACTAAAAAAGAAAGAAAGGTTTAGAATTTTTAGAAATCAAATTTTTTAAATAATTTGATAGAAGGATTGAAATGGTTTGGATTAGGAAAATAATAAGAAATCAGAAAAAACTCAACTTGTGCCTCTTTAAAGATAAAATATAGTAATATTTTAATTATTGATATATATATATGGGAATTAATACGTATTAATTAAAGGTATATATAAATATTGGTATCTTTTTTTATCAAATTATTGAGTTCATATAGTTTTAGATTGGTTTGATGATAAACGCTAGTATATTATTTTTCAAATCTCAATAATTAAGATTATTATTTACACCTAACGATGAGCCGCAGAGCATAAAAATAAGATGAATCTTGTGGAGAGATAAAAATTATCAAAACAGCATGGAATACTAAAGAAGATAATTTACTCAAAAAAGGAATCAGAAATTGTGGTATGAATTGGATAGCAATTGCTTAATACGTACCTAATAGAAATCCTAATTAATGTGCTTAAAGATGGAAGAGACTTTAAGGATAAAGGGTAATTTATTTAACTTAGATATTAGAGTAGAACAAATTAATTTTGGAAACCCGAAGAAGATTAATTACTATTATAGCTTATAACTCAATTAGGGAAATAGTGGTCGAAAATAGCTTAGATATTCAAAAACAGAAGCAGTAAACAATGCAGAAATCGATATATTAATTCTCTCGATCCAGAGCTAAAATAAAATAGCTTCACCTAAGAAGAAGACCAATTAATCTATTAAAAGTATTTAGAATTTGGTTCTAAGTGGTCATATATATCTAAATTCTTTGAGGGTAGATCGGTAACGTAAATAATTTATTTTAGGATAATTAAATCAAGAATAGGTTCTATAATAACATAAGGAGCTAGTACCTTTAGATTGAGAACCCTTATTATTCAAAATAAACTTATTATCAACCAAAAGAGTTACTAGATCAAGCTAGAGAAGAACATCTTAGAAATTATACAATTATTTAAAAGGAAAAAATAATGGAAGATTAGAATGACTATTAAATAAAGGAGGAAGATTTGTCAAAATATATAAATGAATAAAATTACTCAAATCCTGATTAAGAATTTTATTCCAATATAGATTTCGAATACATGAGTAGGAGCCAAGACAATATATTATGAATTATTTGTGTAAATTATTAATTCTAAAGAATTATATTTTCTACAAATGATACTCAAAAAGTTTCCATACTCACATTTCACAATAAAAAAAATTTTACCAAAATTTTCTTAATGATCAAATTCTTTCTATGATTCATTTTGAAGATGATGATAGGATAGTGAATTTAGGTTTATGCTAACTTTAAAATTCACAGTTTGTAGCAATTTCTTACTCTTTTTCCAAAACAGTTAGATTTTCATACTGTATAATTTTAAACAGTTTATAAGAATGTGTGAATCAAAGTTTTATTAATATTCTTGAACCCTTGATTGAATTATTCTCAATTCGTTAAAGTTAAATTTTAAAAATATGACATTATAAAATCAGTTGAGAAGATTTAAAAATAAGACTTATTTAGACAAAATAAGGTAAATCTTATGTATTTACAAATAACAAAAGGACTGAGATTTTAATTAGAATTTTAGCAAAAATATTAATATGAGTATTAAATTATCTATGATGGCATAGAAGTAGATATAATATAAATAATAAATATTAATAAAATATATATTTAGATAAATTATATAAAGACTGGTATTTTTGTTATTTTGAGTTAATTATTATTGAATAATACATTTTAAAGAGAATCAATTAATAATATTGGAAGTTAAGTGGCCCAACAATACTCTTATTTTTCAACTATCAAAAAAACACAATTTATATGAGATAACTATAGTATGTATTATTATTTATTAATCAATCATTGTCTTATAAACTCTACAATCACCTAAATCATCGTCATTTAATCTCCTTTGAGTGATTTAAATTAAACAAAGTATTTCCAGATTAAATATTCATTTTTAAGAATATGTAATTCATATTCAATACTTCACAATCTGAATTCTTTATTTTTTTTAGTTAAATATATATATAAACTCTCAGAATATAAACAATGATATTCTCTTGAATAAAAAGTATGAATATGATCTAAAACGAAAGCAATCCATACCAAACCCTTTAAACTAAATCTTATTGCTATTCGAGTTTTCGTTGCGTAATAAATATGTGTAGGTTTCTTTCGGATTTATTAATTATTAAAAACCGATCAAATTAAACTTCGAAATGTATTTCAGTTTTAGTAGAATGCATCAAATACTATTACTTCAATTTAGATAATCTAGAGCGATAATTTATCTCATCTCCTATAAAAATGAGTAAAATTACATTATTAGACATATATATTAAAAAATATTGTAATTTATAATTCATAAACAATAAATGAATTTTTCTTAATTACCTAATTTGATACCTTTGGAATATTAAAATATTAATCGAATTATTTATTTGCATTAAAAATAACCATGCTTTTAACAAAATTTGTAGATGAATGAAAGTTAGAAAATTATTGTTTAGGACAATCATTCTCCCATTTCATTTGAAACGATCAAAGAGAACAAACTATACTAAAAAAAATCTTACAACCATATCAATAATAATATAAATAGCAAATACAAATACAAATAATTGGTACTAGTTTTAGAGAAATAGATATACAACTTCAGAAAAAAACAAAAATTGTTTTTATATAATAAAGATAATTCGTTTTTTTCTTCTGATGGAATAAATCAAAATAGGGTTAGGTGCCTAATCAAGTTCTTTAACACTTGAGTTTTGTAACAGGACTCTAAAGCATAGATAGAATTATTATAAGGATTGAATAATTTACATCATCCTTATATTATAGAGTGTTCTAGCATTGCTTTATTGAATTATTTTTTCCAACCTCGAAGATGCTTTGAAAACATACTCTTTAACTAATTACTTGAATATATAAACTCTTAAACATAATACTTTTTTTAAATTAGTAAATTAAATTTGAAAGGAGATGAAATTTAATTTTATAAATAATTTCCTAAATTAGAAGTACATGAATAGTTGTACTTTGGTAAGTTTGATATACGTATAAGATTTAAACCAAAAGATTGTTTTTAAATAATGGTTATCTTTAAAAAACTTAATTATCTTATGGAACTCTACTGATCAAAAACATAAATTGCCTTAGTTTACTCATTAGCTTTAAAACCAATACTTGATCCTTGGTATTCTAGTTTCTTTCCAATAATAAAATTGGTGTGATTTTCGCTATATCTTATAATATGTTGATATTAAAAACGATTGCTTGTTGTAAACTTATTTTTCCAGAAATAAGCTTTTATTATTAATAGGTTAATGTGATTTTCGATGACAAAGTAAACATCATTCAGATGGTTGGACATTACTTTCATTTTATGCATCATATTTTTTGGCTTAAGGTTATCGAATCTCTAATGTATTCATTCACAATCCAATTTTCCACATTAAGTAAGAGACTTAAGGTAAAGATTTTCTAAATAATATTTATTATAACATAATTTAAAAAATTGATGCCGTCTAATCATAAAAATTACAAATCAACTTGCCATTTCTTAAATAACATAATTGAAGAAATCTGTTTCTAATGTTCTCCTTTTATACATTCTATTAAATTTAGATAACTAATGCTGATACGCTTCACAGTTCCCTTCTGATCTTTAAGTGCAATAGATGAATAATTTTAAAAATAAAAGGCTCTTGTAATTGAGAATTAAATTAGATATTTCTGATAGATATATGGGACAATTATTGATCAATTAGTTAAATCAATGCTTAGACAACTAATTATTCATTTGAAAATTAGAACAAATAAATTTATGGTTTGAGTTATTATTCTACTTTAATGGAAACTACTTAATTCATTTTTTTTCATTTAAAAATTCGAGTTGCAAGAATATGTTTTTTAATTTTATAAAATTTGACTCGAACTAAAATCTATTTTATATATCATCTCAAAATATGGAGTAACAAATTCAAATGCTGATACATTCAATCTAATTAATATAATAAAGAAGGCTTTAATGTAAAATCATACACTTAACATAGTTTTAAATATAAAGCAATCATATTGTTAAAGAGTTAAAGTGCTTTAATAATTTCTGAGAAAATACTTTGTAATTAATTACAACTTAATTGAGTAAAATTTATTAACTTATATAGTCATGAGCAGATAAATCCATCCTCAATTATTCAAGTATTCGATTCATAGTTTCGGCTTGCTGATTAGATTTAGTAAACTTTATAATTAAGTTTAATAATAAAATGCCCAAACCATCTCATTAGGTGGGTGATTTTTTTCTAATATTTAGGAATAAGTCATTTGGATAATAAAATATACAAGCCAAAAAAATTTCCAATCGGCAAAATAAAAAGAATCAAATAACTATGTTCAGAAAAATATTGTATGCTAAATAAACTAAATTTATTAGGTATAAGATAAAGGATAAATCCTTAAGTTGTACAATAAATAAATTAAGTCTAATAGTCAATTATTAAAGGTTAAGAATAGGATTATAACTTAGGTAAAATTACAATATTATAAACTAGATATTGAGAAGTACACAAAAAGTTCAGACTATTACAATTTTTAAGGTTTAAACAAAATTCATATTTTTTGTAGCAATAAGATTATAAAAAATGAATAGATATATAGAAGCATTAGATTACTTTGATAAAGCAATTCAACTAGAGCCATGGTTTCCAATATATTTATTTAACAAAGGTTATCAAAATAATAATCTATTTTAGCGAATACCTTATTTTTAATGAAAAGATTTGAAGAAGCCTTATAATATTACGAATAAGCAATTTAATAATTTGACGGCGAACCAAGTTACTTCATTAACAAAGGTAAACAGGAAACAATTAACCTTTATTAGCAAATACATTAAAGGAATTAAAAAGATATGAAGAAGCACTAGATTGTTTTGATAAAGCAATTGAGAAAAACCCAAAAGATTTAGTCTTTTTAAGTTGTAAAGGTATCAAAATATTATTTTTCTATTAGCAAATACATTATATGAATTGAATAGATATGAAGATGCTTTAAAATATTATGATTATGCAATTAAAATAGATCCTGAAGATTCGCTTTACTATTTCAATACAGGTATAGAAAATATTCTCTCATTTAGCAAATATCTTATAATAAATGAAAAGATATGAAGAAGCAATAGAATATTTTAACAAGGCAATTAATAAATAAAATGAAAAGGAGAAAGAAGATCCAAAATATATTAATTCAAAAGGTAGAAAATTTATTTAGACATGAGGAATTGCATTATATGAAATGAAAAAGTTTAAGGAAGCATTAAAATGTTTTGAAGAAGCAATTAAGCTTAACCCAGAAGATCCATAACTATATTCACATAAAGGTATACAGTTATAATTAAATTATCTTAGCGAGTGCCTTAAAGCAATTGCATAGATATGAAGAAGCATTAATATCTATAGATTTAGCCATTAAGTATAACCCAGAAGATTTAGAAAACATATGTTATAAAGGTTATATTGACCCTCTATTATTATTTAGCAAACATTTTACATGAGATGAAAAAATATGATGAAGCTTTAAAATGCTTTGATTATGCAATTTAGTAAAATCCAGAAGATCCAAGATATTATAATAGTAAAGGTAGAATTAAAAAAATAATCCTAAGGAACAACCTTAAGTGAAATGTAAAAATACGAGGAAGCAATAAAATGCTATGAGTATGCAATTCAGAAAAACCCAGAGGATCCAACTTATTTTTTTAACATAGGTGTAAAACCTGGCTATTCATTTTAGCAAATTCTTTAGCCAGTTTGAAAAAATTTCAAGATGCATTAGTTTATAATGATCATGCAATTTAAAAAAACCCTGAAGACGCGAGATTCCATATAAATAAAGGTAAAACAGAAGATATTTTAAGCAAATCTCTTAAAATCACTGAAAAGATATGATGAGGCATTGCAATCATACGATTATGCAATTCAGAAAAACCCAGAGGATTCAATTTATTTCTTTCATAAAGGTATAAAAGCTGGATTATTCTTTTTTAGCAATTATTTTAACTAAGCTGAAAAAATTTCAAGAGGCCTTAGAATATTATGATTATTCAATTTAAAGAAACCCTGAAGATGCGAGATTCCATATAAATAAAGGTAAAACATCAGATATTTTAAGCAAATATCTTAAAATAATTGAAAAAATACGATGAAGCATTAAAATCCTACGATTATGCAATCCAGATGAACCCAGAAGACTCAAATTATTTCTTTCTGAAAGGTATCAAACCTTAATTATTGATTAGCAACTGCATTAGTTGAGGCTAACAGATTTCAAGAAGCATTAGAAAATTTTGAATAGGCAATTTAAAAAAACCCAGAAGATTCATTTTATTATTTTAATAAAGGTATAAAAGAAATTAATTAATTCAGCATAAACTTTATGCTAAATGCATCAATATGATGAAGCATTAAAATAATTAGACTTTGCAATTTCGAAAAACTCAAACAATCCAGATTATTTAGCACAAAAAGGTACAAGGAAAATTTCATAGATTCTTAGCAATGACATTAGTGGAGATGAAAAGATACTTTGAAGCTTTAGAATATATTGATCAAGCAATTAAAAAATACCCACAGGAATCAATTGGTTACTTTAATAAAGGTATGAATTAATATATAAATATTGTTAGGAAATATTTTATAGTATTTGAAAAGATATGAAGAAGCTTTAAAATTCTACGATTAGGCAATTGAGAAAAATCCACGCAACTCCAAATATTTCAATCATAAAGGTCATACATCTCCATTATTTTTTAGCAATTGCCTTAGTCGAAATTGGAAGATATTAAGAAGCATTATAATATTTTGATAAAGCAATATATATTAATCCTGAAGACTCAGGATCATTTTTCAGCAAAGGTATTAATAGATAATATTAATTTTCAGCAAATACACTATTTGAAATGAGTAGATATGAAGAATCAATAAAGAATTATAATTGTGCCATTGAAAAAAACCCTAACAATCCAATTTATTATGTTAACAAAGGTATTTTAAATTAGTAGTATTTTCAGGAAATGCCTTAGTTTAAATGAAAAAATATGAAGAAGCTATACGATATTATAATATTGGGATTGAAAAAAATCCTGAGGATTCCGCAAATTATTATAACAAAGGTATAACAGATAAAATACCTTCTTAGCAAATGCTTTATATGAATTGAAAAGATATGAGGAAGCATTGAACCATTATGATTCTGCAATTATGAACACCCCAGAAGGATCAGGATACTTTGGCAACAAAGGTTGAAATTAATAATTATCATTATCTAGCGTTAACTTTAATTAAATTGAAAAGATTAGACGAAGCATTAATATAGTTTGATTTAGCAATTTAATTTGAGCCAGAAAATCCAAAACATTTTTTTGATAAAGGTATAAAAAATCCTCTTTCTTAGCCGAACTCTTAAAAGAAATGAACAAATTTTAGTAAGCATTATAATATTTTGACTATGCAATTTAGAGAAATCCAAATGAGCCAACATACTACTTTAAAAAAGGTATATATTCTTATTGTGAAGTAGGATAAACTTTATTTGAAATGAATAAATTTAAAGAGGCTTTAACATGTTTCGATTTTGCAATTCAAAAAAATCCAGATAATTCCCTATATTTCTTCCAAAAAGGTAGAAATGAAACAATTTTAATTTAGCGAATACCTTAAATTAATTGGATAGAAAAACAGAAGCATTGAAATATTTTGATCAGTCAATATAGAAAAATCCGAATGATCTTCAAGTTCTCAGTTGTAAAGGTATAAATAATCAATAAATTTATTAAAGCAATTACATTACTTGAATTGCAAAGATTTAAAGAAGCGTTCGAATGCTTTGAATAATTATTTTAGAAGGCTAAGTATGATCATTAATTTTCAAAAAGTCCAGGTATGAAACAATATTTAGCTTAGAATTTTTACAGTTTTAAGCACTTTATCCGAAATTGAAAGAATATTGCAAAATTTTCAAATAAGCCTGAGAACATTTCAGAAGTAATCACAATTATTAATGTATGAAAAATAACATGTTAAAATCATTAAATTTCTTCTCTATATTATTTCGTATTCATACTTGATTATCATTTTAAAGTAAAAGGGCAAAGTTTTGAATTCTCATCTGAGACTAATTTATTCAGAGTTTCAAAATCAAAATCTTATGTTTTATATTAGGTTTTATCTAGACCGGCTCTTGGTTTTGTTGTTTATGCCAAACAAAAGAGGTTTTAGATAACTTGTTTATTAACTTTTGATTAATTCTAAAAGGGAATTATAATATCTATTATTTGAACTTGAAACTTAAGTTGTATATTAAGGGCAAATATCTTATTAAGATAGTAACTATCCTCTAATGATTCGCTACTATTGGATGCATATTCAACTATCAATCGTTAAATTCAGACTAATTATTATTCAATATGACAAGGAGATATATATTTGAAAAAGTGCATTATTGATTAGGAAGCTTTGCGATAATTTAGTTTTGCTTCAAGTTAAATAAGAGATGTTTAGCTTTATTATATCCCGCTGTAATTTTCAAATATTATTAGCAAAAGTAGTGCAATCATATTCAGATATGGAGTATTAGGATTGCTAAAATTGTACGATCCATCATAAGATGCATTAAATTAAGAGGGAAAATTGAATGGATTCAAAAATCTTTTAATAATTATATTGGAAGTACAAATGGAGATGTATTAAGAGGTATCCGCCAACATTAACATATACTAGATTTAGATTATAAGATACTGGTTCGTGCATCGCAGAATTCATATTGAGACTCGAAAGTATCATCATAACCAGAATAAAAACTTGATGCCCAAGATTCACAAAAAAGATGTTCAAGTTAAGATAAACATTAAACTCTAGCATTTAGAATAACAACAAAATACACATTTTTGAAAGTCTTGATTGTATATTAGCTAAAGGATGGATCATAAACAATACAAATTGATAGTCATCAACGGATTATATATTATTGAATACATTTCTGAAGATTATATTGAGGTTACAATGATACTATCCTCACTTATTCTTCCATACTGTTGGGTCAGAGTTGCAGTTTCTGATATAAGCTTCAGATACATCTACAGGTTTGCAGTTTGAGCTCTGTTGGCAACATCAAAAGAACAGTTTTATATTTCGTTGGATTGGCTGATTTGCAAATGCACAACATAAATGATACTAAGAAAATGTACACAACTTTTTCCAGAATGAGTTTTCTCAAATAAAACCTCGCTTGTACACTTTATAAAGTACATCATGCATTTACTATATCGGAACAGGTTAAGCATAATTTAACACTTAGACTAGAAACCGGTTTTATTAAAATGAAATTATTTGGATCTAATGTAAAATGTATTCAATAGCCATCAAATCATAAATAAATTATGTAGTATCAGTGTAATGAATACTGCCTTAAGTAAATGTTATATGAGATGTAGGTATCAAATGAAATGCTGAACTTTACCACCAGTATACCGATTGGATCCACAAGGATTCTAAGTTGTCCAAGTTCAGATAATATTGACAAATATATATTAGAAATACAAGATGAAAAAATAGCACATAAGTACATAATAAACAATTGTTTTTGATCAAAATTAATGCAATCCACCAATATAAAAAATAATTATTCATATCTAGCTGTGGTTGTAGATTTCCTACAGGATGAATCACAAATAGATGAATTTTATGCTCCAGAATTGAAATCAGTAGTAGAAAGAAGATTTCTGGTATACTTCTCGAAGGTAGCAGGAGGGCCAATACCATAAAACCCTTTGTTGTTTAAACTAATCTAGATCAGTTGCATATTTTACCCAATTTTTTTTTTGTGCATTTTATTGATAAGCTGATCCTATATTGGTAAGAAATTTAGAGGCACCTCGAGGAATAAATAATGGCCATATAATCAAAGCCTCATTAATTATGAATTAGATTAAGATCTTTGTACAAGAATTGGCGGCAGTAGATCTTGAACAATTAACCGAAATTTTAGCACAGGTATCAATAACATTAAAAAAAGTCCATCTCTACAATAGAATTAGTTGCTTAATTTAAAATCCCTTAAGATTATCATATGTTTTTGCTATGAACAAGGTTGTCGAATTAAAACCCACATTTCCATCAACACTACATACATGGTGCATATTTGATCAAATTAACTTACGTGTTTGAAGTGCCTGCAATTATGTTGAAACTAAAGGATAACTCTAAAATGTAAAATAAATTTGACATTCAATTGTGTTGAGTTGTATTCTGATTCCTCATTTATTCTAGAAAAATAAGCAATTTAATTTATTTTTAGTGTGAAACATACTTTGCCTAACAGCTATGCAGTAGAACAGAATGAATTTGTTGATCTGATTCAAGGCTCATGAAGATGGTTCGTAAAGAAAGTTCTCAATGGAATTGTAGTTATCCATTTAATTTGCAATGCTCTGTTTGATTATATCCATTAACAGAACATCACTTACGGGACGGATTAAAGGGTGACCTCAAACTATGCTTTTAACATAAAGTGGTAACTTCAAGAATTTAAATATCAACGATGTTTTCATTGGAGCTTTAGAAAAAGTCTTCTAGAACATTATAGAGACAGAAATTTTATCAGGATCCAAGTGATAACGACTATAATATTTGGTAAGGATTGTAATATTTTGCCAACTCTTCCAAATTCAGTAACATTAAGGAAATGTTTTAACACAGGTATTGTCTCATTGAATTAGTAATCAACAAGTTATAGTGATTTATCTAATACAAGTGGACGACAAAAAAATAAAGATTAGATCCATTCGTATCATTCTGGGGTAAAGTTTGAAGTATTAGTAGATTGTTGATGTGTACTTTTATGACATTTTAAATTGGTCTACAAACATATTTTGCAGTGCTGATATACAGGAAATGAAATTCCAACAAATGGAATTCTAAAGTATTAAAGTGATCACTCTGGTTACAAAAGAGCGAAGTATAGATTCTATTCAGTAATTTAAATCTCATTGCACGATTGAAACCTCAAAAATATTATCATTTACTTCAATTGTAAAAGTTGGATGTAACATTATTTCCTAGAGATACGTTGAGCTATCCTATTAAGGTAGTTTCTAGTAAAGTTTTTTTGGAGATATAAGGTGAATGGAATAACCAGATTTACTGTAAGTATTGAGATTGGAATGCTAGAATTTATCATGTTTGTTGATGATAACATGTTTTATTGAAGTCATAATGGGCAGCTGTCTTGATTAGGAATTATGAACAGGTCTTGAACATTTGATGGATGTAAAATGAGATTTTGGCTAATTCTGCATGCATAATTAACCGCACTCAAGAGAATTCCATTTTTATTACCAGATGTACTTATTAAATCATTCATATAAGGCTTAAATAGCTGTTTTTTGTCTCATAAGAAAGTATGCAATTCTACCATTGATAAAGGCTAAGTAAGGATTTGCACATTTGGTGCATGAGTCTAGAAAACTGAATACAAACAGAAATAAGGACAAATATAATAATATATTGTGTAATACTTGAAGCATATTATTAAGAGACATGCTTCGTTCAATACAATCCAACGATATATGAAGAACAAATAGTCAATATCTTGCTAGTCTATATCATATAGAGAAAAAAATAAAAGAAAACATTATGTCGACCTCTTGTACAAGCCACGACATCATCTAACGTTGATCAAGTCCTGTGTAGTATTGGTGATAAAGAGTATTTTAATTGCATCATGACACTTACACAACCAGGCATTGAAAATTATTAAAATTCATTACAAACTTTGACAATGGAACTCTAAGAATTGTTGAAAAGCCTCAAAAAGTTGATAAATTAACCCATTCTAGTAAACATGAAAGAGAAGAAATTTTTGATCAAGTAGGATTGAGTAAAGAATTGTAGCTGAATTGATGAAAGTTGTAATTGGAAGACCTGCTTTGTAATAATTGCAAATGCAAAAGTGGCATATAATTATCAAGGTCGGCAATCTCTACAATAATATAAGACTTTAAGAGGATAATCATATGTTGTTAAGAAAAGTTGTTGCGTTTTGTTTCGTCATAATATTTGTATTAAATGGATCATAATAACTGCTGATTCACTTATTTAAAAATATAAGCAATTACACATGTATCGAACTGACATTACTATTTAAAGCAATGGTAGACATCGTCCATAACACCATAAAGTAATTAGTAATTTAATCCAATAATGATCCACATGATCAAGAACTTCGACTCAGAGAATTGTTTTATTATGAATTAGAGCATCTCTAGTTATATGGAGAATCTGATATAGATGATGAGATAAAAAATAACTCAATATAAGCCGGAATAATAAAGTTGCCCTTTCCATTGAAAATATTGAGTAAGTACAATAATCATTATAGAGCTAGCATAAAGTCATCCAGAGAAACCATCATAAAGGGCAGGTGTTTCAACTTGGTTAGATGGCAACTCTTTATAAATTATGTTGCAGTAGATGTTGCTGGTTACAAATCATATTTTAATGTACCTACAAAGTAAACACAAACAGCGTTATATATATATTAAGACAAGTCGGATATACAATGAGATTATGGTTAAGCACTTTTGATAGTGCTTTGTTTTGATAGCAGTAGAAATTTTTTTTTGATTTTTCTTTATGAAGACTTAGAGTTGAATACAATGAACTAAATGTCCAAAATTTTCATCATAAATATATAGCATTAGTAATGGTTGTAAACAAAAAGGCTAGAAAAAGCAGATGGGGCAGCACTTTTATTGGGAAAGTTTTGCAATACAGCAGCCAGCAAAGTTTAAATATATATGCTCAAGCATGAAGAATTAAAGGTTAGAATTCTTAGATATATGTGCAATTTATACAAGTGCGATCATGATGATAAGTAGAATCAAATGTACAGACGCTGATGTCAATTCTAATGATGCGTCAAGAACACTATCAGTACTTTTAACAAATTCTTTACAACTTTAAGAGAAAATACAAAATTGTTTGGAGAGACAATCTGTGCTATAGTTTAAATTGATGGTACAATATGATTGTTTTTCTAATGAAAGTTAATTACAGGCAAGCGAAAGAGGAAATACAACTCTTTAATTTTCTAGTATACACGAAAAACTTACAACATTATAAGAAGTAAATATCCCAAAAGTTTAGAGGAAAATTTCTCTAAAAAAGGATGTACTCCAGAGAGTGCTTATGACATATTGTTAATCCTTAAAGTTTAGTAAAATTTTTTCTAAACAATTCCAAAAGTCCTCTTCGACTCACATCATTATTTTTGTTACTGGATCTCATAATATTGAGACTCTTTTATATCAGTATATAACTATCCCTATAAATATTAATAATATCTTTATCGCAATATTGATATTGGTGCGAGAACTATATCTGGAACCAAATTTTTCTTGTACAAAATACATCTAGTGATCTCATCACTGTTTATGATTACTCTGTACTCTTATTATTCAAAAGTAAATGCTCCATTATAGACATTGTTATTTTGATGCCAATTATTTTACCCAGCTTAATTTCTGTAATTGCAGCAGAACATCTCTACCTATATTAATTCTTAAATTAGAGAGGTTATATTAATGCCTACTCTTGCATCTTTTAGTCTTAATCATAAAACTAAAACTTGGCAATATTCTATTAAAAAGGAATTGTAAAAACATTCACACTTGGTAGGCTTTGAATGAATGCCGGACAAAACAGCAAGACTGGCTAGCCAGATAGAAAAGCACCTGCGGCAGCCTTCCTTTTATCTTTAAGAGTATGATTCATCTTATGAGAATTACTAAAAATGTACTAGTGATAAATTTATACTTTTAGTTTTTTGTTTAACTATGAGATGTGCATACCACTGTTTAAATTAAACGCTTGATATATTATATTCAGTTACTTTGCTTATAAACGAGATTTCAAATTGTAACAATTTCTTCTTTTAAATCATATCCTGTTTATCTAGGGGTTCTGACTTGAGTTTCTCCTTTAAAGATGTCATCACCATGTGTGCTAAGACTTAAATGTGATAGATTTCTATTTATGAATCTCTCTTTCTAACTAGTTGGCAACACTATTCTTACTTCTCAAATGAATGATTGCGAAGATTACTTGAGTGCTAGCTCAGATAATAGAATTCAAATAGGCGACTTTAGAGAGTAGTATACAAGTTGTTATTGTAGTAGCTGTTTAATACGGTTAGTGTATGTTGAGGTTGCGTCAATTTGGATTCTTATATCAATTATATCCGACCTCCTAAATATTGGTATTATGATTTGATATAATTAAAGCTTTAACATTTGGTTGTCCTATATTAACTCTTTATGAATAGAGATATTGTATATCACTCTGCAATTCATCCTATTAATACTATAGTTGATCCTTGATAGATCAATTTATCTTCAATTTTCTCAAATTTGATTCTAGTCGGTTACTACTTATCACCGTCTTAAAGCCAATTATGATGGGATTTGCGGAAAACTATTATTTTTTCACAAGACACAGTTATGATTTTCATACAAAATTCTTGTTACTAATAATCGCAAATCATATAAGACCAGGTAAATAGATGGAGCTTATAAAGATTGACCAGCAACTTCTAATCCACACAATATAAATACTGGAACTGAACTTTTATGATGAATTCCATTAAATTGAACTAATCAATTTCTTGCAATTGATCTTTGTGGACAGGAATACTTTAGAGATATGCAATAAGCCTTACCTTAATTTTGGGCACAATTATTATAACCCATTCTTTTCAACATTTTATTTGATGGACATGTTGAAGACTTATGGGAAATTGCAGAATAATCTGAAAAAGGCTATTATTATAATTCAAAAGTAAAAATTAACAGAAAGTGCTAATATAGTAAACACTAGTTGCACTTACACTTTTGATACTCATCTATAGAGTTATAATCCAAGTTACTAGTTTTTTGAGTCACATCTATATAAAAATGCGATTAGACCATACAATTAACGTGTTTCTAGAGATAATTGTGAGAATCCATACGGTAATAACTTTTATCAAATAACAGTTTACGAATTTAAAAAATGTTTTAACTTAGGAGGGAATCAAGACTGCTAGAGTTGTATTTATAGTAAAATCTGTGGTATTAATATAAAGTAATGACAATATTAGCAGCGCAAGAGCAGTTGGATATTTTCTTTAAGTCTACTCATAGTATAATTCATCTACTTGGCTCTTATATTCTGCTAAAAAGTGCTATTACAGCCGCTGGAATTCTTCCTTATAATAATGAATGAAAAATAAAGTTTATGGAGATGATAAGAATCTGAAAGCCATCTAAAGAATTTAATGGAAATTTAGATTGTTTAAAAATTGCAGCAATCCTTATGTCATTCACCTAGCATTTTTTATATGTTTAAAGTATTTGAATTTGCAGTCAATTATCTTTCTATCCAATTAATAAACAATATTTGAGTTGAATCTGTTTAATAATCATGCCTAACTTCTTGTTTCATTTTTTGAGAGGGTTTTCTAAGCATAATTTTGATTATCTTTTCATTAAATCTTATGAACTGTAAATTTGGATTCAGTCGTTAGCACTGTATAGATGTATATTTATACTGAAAACTATTTGAAAAAATTGGAGTCTATCGACGAAAATGCTCCTGAGCTTTACTTTTTAATCTCTGAAGTTTGAAAATATGGCACGACTTAAAGTGTTAGCTAAGGTAGATACAGTGGCTAGCCCTACAACGCATGAGCTAAAACAGAGACTATATTATTTGTAAAGAATTTTAGGAAAGTACAAGAACATCGATCGCATCACTACTATTTCTGTTCTAAATAAAAATGAGTTTCTTTTTATCACAGTAGTTACTAAAATTTTCAAGTAACTAAAGGAAAACTGCATACTATAGATATTGTAAAATCTGATAATCAATAGGGCTGCTAGATATTCATAAAGTGCAGCCTGGCTAGTAGTTCATAGTTTATTATATCTTAAACATAGTTTTTAATATTTAAAGTGGCACAAAAGCATTTCTAGAAGTATGAAATTCAGATAACATGTAGCAGGAAATTAAAATTATTTATCAGAATTGCTAGTTTCCAATTTATTTGTAGTACAAATCCGCACAGTATACTTGTAAAAAAGTGACATTTGCAATAACGTTTTGTTAATCTATTGCTATTCTTTAAGATCTTAAACGCAAAGGTTCTCCTTTATCTTATATTGAACTTAAGGCATTTTAAGGCAGACATTAGAAACATCAACAAACAATAGCAGAATATTTATAAAATAAGTATAGAGTTCTGAGTTAGAGCAAAATATTTTTGGTAATAGAATTTATCAAAATATTCCTTAATAAATTACTAAAATAGCAATATAGTTAAAAACATATCTGAGTAGCTTAAGTTCGAATAGATAATTATTACAACCTAATTACTAAGAATCGTAAGCAACTTTTCCTTATTCCTAATGATTAAGTCTATTGCAGTGATTGACTAATATAAGAAACCTATCATTAAATTTAAAGATTAGCATTCAACAGTTTAAAGACTAAGGTTAAGGATATGATTTCTGTGTGTTGAACAAAGTGTTTCCTAGTGTGGTGATCATTCTTGAAAATGAAGCATCTGTCCATGCAAGCAGATGCAGTATGGAATAGAAATACTTTTGGGATAATGAATTTCCATTAAATTAATTCTTGTTAATATAGCATCCTGATGAAATCTACCATCTACTATACAGGATAGTATATTTAATAAAAGTGTAAACTCCTTTAAAACAAAAGATATTTTTTGATTACTTCTCTTACTTTAAAATGAGCAACACTCCTTGCAAGTTAAATACAAAGATGTTACTCCGCAATTTTGATATTAGTAATACAAAGATTAAATGTTGTGATGTAGGGTTTTGATTAATTTGAGCTTTTTTAAAAAATATATGAGAATGTTAAAAATTCAACATCGTGTATTTTGCAACAGTATTTTCCTAGGGCTCACAGAAATACTTTTGTACTGCTTAATAAAAATAATAGCCTCACAATGCTAGATGTACTTGTATGCTATTAGAGCATTATTACATTAGAATGTGTATTATTAAAATAAACATTACATCCATCTGCTCTGTGAGAAGTTGACATCATCCATGAACCATAATTATATTAGCCATTCATGCTTACAACATTAAAATGCCTTTTAGACAAGTAGATGTCATCACCACTATAATTAAAGAGTACTCAACTGTGTAATTTGTACATTTGTTTGATAATCACATAAAATGCATGGTGATATTATCAAGTAGTTATGCCATATTACGTTATGCAAGACTTGTAACATATCGCAGTACTTTAGCAACCTAAGCATGAATGAGGTGTTAGTCCTTCAGTTTAGATGGAATACATCTTCCAAAGTTGAACAAGTTTTGTCTAGAACTTCTTTTTGTACAAGGATTACAACAGATAAAATACCAAATTTGTAATAGTTGATATTTAGAACTAGGAATTGCCATTGCTTTTATCATCTCATATTAAATGGATAATAAGTTGAAAGGATAAGAATGGCATTCCTTGAGTAATTTTACTATGGATTTCTATATGCTTGCTCACAACTTGGAAGCTATAATCACAAATTGTGTCCATAGCTTATACACTTACTAACATTTTAAAAATTGTGTTTAGATGGATACTCATGTAAAAAATATTTCATATAAATGCTTAGATAATTTATGAACAAATTTTAAGAAATAAAACAATACTTACGAATAGTTTTAAGAAGTCAATATTGCCTTTGATACGGTTTGACATATAATTGGCAATGTTGTATTGCTATAATCTAACAATCATATTCATTAAACTTATCCTTTTGATATGACTAGCCTAATTAAACCCCACTACATGCTTCCAAATTATAACTTTAGTAATCTATAAATAATCATCTTATATAAGTAGAAATATTATGCATAAAGTATCACATTTCAAAGTAAGAGAAGATGCTTCTAACTAGTAGCAGTGAAGTAGAATATCCAAAGTCGAAAATTGCGAATGAGCGGCGATATTATCAGCGGACAATACGAACCAAAAGTGCAAAATCCACTTTAATTTTATAAATTCACAAAAAGTTTGATATCCATTCATTGAAAACAAATATAAATTCGACAGGGAATTAGAGCTGTAAACATCTACTGTTCGTTTTACAAACAAGCCTAGGGAATTAAGGTTGATCATTTTTACATGATGTTTAGCTGAGTTATATAAATGAAAACATTTAAGATATTGTTAGCCAAACTAAGTAACGTTCAATCCATCGTTTAGGGGCACTGCATTATTTGCATAATTTTACTTTAAAAATCAGAGCATTTAATTATTCACAAGGGAACAGCCACTACAGACTACTTCTTAGGATCAGCTCATTTCGGTGCCAATAAGGCTACTCAAGCCAAGTCTACAATAAAATAAAGTACAAACCATAGTCTATTTATCAGATGATTGATTGTCTATCAATTGTTGCTTGCTCATAAGTAAGTATCGAAATTTATAGAAAAAATGTCTTGCATTAAATTAAAAATTATTTCAATCAAAACATATCAATAAAGACACCATTAATGCTAATCGATCGAATGAAAATTATATTCTGGTTTTAAAAAGGATGGATAAGTAGCTTAATAAATTTGGATTGCGACTAGAGTATATTTTAAGACATTTTGGGGTAGATTTTAAAGGAGCTAAAAAAGAATGTAATATACATTTACAACAAACATATAATTGCCCTCGACCAGCATATGTTTACAACATAATTCCTTGCAAAGATTTAAATTCATGGGAGATTAAAAACTATCATTATTTAAACTCAAGAAGAGACTGAATATTTATTTCAAGACATGAGACAATAATTAATACTCCATAACTAGAAAATAATGTGCCCTTTATTGTTGATTTCACAACTATAGTAAATTATTCTTGGTGCTTCCTAATCAGTTGAATTTTTTAATTATGTAACCTGCTTATGGGTCTTCAATCATCTCCAAGAAAGTTTAACAAACTTTGCCTTCTAAGCCGTAATAGGATGAAATATTTTCTGTGCTAACTGATTTAGAAATTGAATATTTGATGACATAAACTGATTCAGACTTTTTATTACCTCAAAGCCTTAGAAATTATAAATCTTTAACTAAAATTAATCCAAAATTAAATGATTACAATTTTTTAATGTTAAAAAAAATTCTTAATCTAAAAATTAGCTTTTTGTTTTTTTTCATTCATAAAATAATAATAATGAACGAAAAGGTGTTTTTATCTTAAATAGTAACTATTGATAACATTTACCATCTAATTATTTCAAAAAAATAATATTAATGTAGAGATTTGAATTCAAATAGAAGGAATGGATATTTTTTATAATTTCAGAAAATTTTAAAACTTTATGATTTATCCTGATAATTAGAATGCTTTCCATTATTTTATTCACTTCTAATTTTAAGTTGGAAAAAAAAATGACATTCATATTCCTTTCTTATTAATTGCTTTGATTCTAAGATTCAATCATGACTAATAATATATTTCTTATTCTAAAAAATCCTTTTCTTTTAATTCCACAACTCCAAAGTTTTTTGAGATAAAGAATCCTTTCTTCTTTGATAATTAAAGCCTCATTTTTATTACAAACATAAGAATTAATATTGTATTTTGTACGCCTTCGTAAATTTTCAACCAAATAGAAGAAATGTATAAAGTATCCTAATTCTGAATTTTCATTGTTTTAATAATATATTGAAACCAAGTAACTTATATATTTTAATAATACTGTGGATAAAATTCAAATTCAATATGTAGTTCATTTTTTCAATATTTATTTAAAAAAATATATTTGAAATGCTAAATAATACTAAAATGGTTAATGAGGAGATGTATTCATGACATCTCATGAATGATAATGTCTTCCAATTGAATTTTTACCTTGGAAGGGTTAGTTTTAGGTGCTTGTTAAAGAAGGTGTTGTTAGATTCTTTGAGTTCCTTACAAAGGAAACAGCAGATCTTCAAAAGAAGCAATGGCATCATCAATTCTCATGTAGTATGTTGTAAGAAATTAATTTACTTCTCGGTGTTGATCTAAATCTTTTAGACAGATGTTAACTTTCTCTTGTTGTCTTATGAAAAAAATGATTTTCAATTAGAAGTGTATTTATATAATGAAGTGTGGTTGTTTAATTTAGGTGCAAAGGGAAAAAAGGGCAAATTTTAGGGGTGACTTATGTATGTAAAATAATGTTGATAGATAAGTAAAAATATAAAACTTTAATTGACTTGTCTCCTCGCATAAAAAGAGGTGTAAGACATTAGCAGATGACTACCCATGTCAACTTGCCTCACTTACCATAATTATGCCTAAAGAATAGGATTCTATCGTAGAAACCAGCACGTATCTAAATTGTGACATGTGACGCAGATACGAAAAATGCCTCTGTGTAGCTGGAAAGTTACTAAAATAGATTTTATCATCGTCTTTCAACTCCTATAGATAATCCTCCTAACTAAAAATCCTTACTTTCCAAAAAATTCAACTATTTTTTTTTTCTCTCCTACTATCATAAGTAAAAATTTTTATCATAACTTCTTAATTCCAAATTCCATCATTGTTTTTGATATGCAATTTAGTTTTCTAAATTGCAGATTCCTCTTTATTAAAAAAAACATCCTCCAGTCAATGACGGTTGTAAATTAAAATTTCTTTTAGAAATAATTACAAACCAAGAATGTAATACCTGATAAAGGAAAGAACTAAATATAATAAACCATTATAAATATCTAGCCTTTGTTTTTTTTTCTGCTGTCTTAATATTTTGCTTTTATTCTTATTTTCTTTATCTATTGGAAGCCTAAAACTTTATTGCCTAATCTATCTTTGAAAATTTAAATTGAAAGTAAATTTAAACAAACTTAAAAGAAAATTGCTCTAGATTCAGTTTTCTAACCCTAGAACTCACTTCAATTAAATAGCTATAAAAGAATTCTATAATCTAATAAAACATATCTCCAACATCCAAACCATTATAACTCCTGATGTTTATCACTAAATTCATTTCTGAAGTTTAAACAAGCATTATCTTTGCAATAGTAATATTCCCTTGAATTATTCTAATTAATAGATTTAATTTTCAAACATCAAATTCAATCTTGGATACCACGTTTATTTTCTAATGATAATTCATTTCTTTTCATGTTATTTAAACCAACTAGATTGAAGGAGATATTAGTAATATCATATATTTCCTTACAAATTTTGCAACAATTAGTTATGCATGAATTACATATGACGGTAAACATCCAAAAAGGAAGTTCACATTAATAACATGCGGATTTGTGGTTGTGGTGATATATTCACTAAATTAGTTTTATCATACTTAATGATTAGCAAGGATTTAGAGAACTGTTTGACTATCTAAAAATCCAAACAGTTTTAAATCTCTATATTAATATTATTTTCAAATGTCTTCTAATCTTACTTCAAGGAAATGATCAAAAGAATTTGGTTCCAATTTGGAAAGGGGCAAATATCCTGGTATTTTACAGAATAAGTGCAAGAAGCAAGTGTGAGAAGAGTGATTGCGGTTTAAAAATAAAACTCAGAATTATAGTATCACTTACTAAATGAGTTTGACATTACATGAAACACAGTTGAACATTAAGCAAAGTAGACTATTGAAGGTGCCATGACAATATCCAACACTCGATTGACATATTCAAGACAGAAGTCAGTGTTAGTATTTTTAGAAACCATTTAATGCATTTGAAATGTGAATCTCTGAATCATAAGGAAATTTTGTAACACCTTTTATTTAGGGGTTAGCTGCTAGTATTATATTTTAAGAAAGAACTATTGGTATTTTAGTATATGGATCCTAAACCTCTCCACCTTAACATCCTTTCAAGTATTATAAAAATTACAGATAGATGATGTTAAGCATATGTATGATAAGTATAAGTTGGTTAACAATTAGGAGCTGAGGTATATACATAAGTTAGTTTAATAAAGGATTGGCTGAAACTGATAAGCAGTTAAAGTAAATCGAGGAAAAAGAGATAAAATTTATTGCAACTACAATTTTGCTCCATAACTTGTAGGTTGGATCATAAGATATATGACCCCAATCATTACTATTTGATGTATGCAAAGCCTTCTAGTGAATCAAGCATTACACGCATGACAGAAATGATAAGTAGTAAGTCAATATTGTAGATTATCAGTGACAGTTCGACAATATTATAAATATCTATAAGATGAAGGTCATGCTCCATATAATTTAAATTCTGAAAAGAATAAGTACAGAATCAGTAAATAACTTACGTAAGGTAACTGGTATCCTATAATGCCTTTATCACATCTGGTTGCTTATCCAATACTCTCCTAAAAGAAGAGTTTCCTGCATTACAAGTTCATAGAGGAAGCCATCACAAAATTCTATTTAAATGTAAATTAGCAAAAGTGTAGGAGATTTTATCACAATATGGTGAATGTGATGTGAATCTGAAAAAAACTCCTTTATTCAACAATTAAGGTCTGAAAATTCCAAGGTTTAATTCTGTTGAACAGAATAAAAATTGAGCATATAAATGAAAATAACAAAGGTTGTCAATTCAGTGAGTGCATCACTAAAAGCATTTTAGTAGTTTTTCGCTGATTAAGATACTTTAAGACAAGTGTTAGGTAATGGTGGTGAAGAAGGATAATTATCGTTGATTATTATCGAAAATTAATCAACCATAGCAGCAGAAATCTCATAAATCCTATTAGCATAAAATTTTCATTCAATAGTTTAATCAATGTTCAATTATATATAAGTTTATGTATAAGCAGTATCTTTATATTGACCTGAATAAACCATATGATGGCCAATTTAAAAATCCACAAGTAAGTGGCGGCATTCCTCCATCCTAACAAGATGAATGCTATCAAGCAAGTTAAGTGTTGTAGTGATAGGAGGAACAATCATAAATCTCTTTGAAAATCAGCAGGGTTTTATAATAATTTGTACTGCATACAATCTGTTGATACATAAAATGTAATTATATTGGTGCTTCATGATTTATTAATACACTTAAGGCATTTGAATTTTAAAAAGTTGGTTTTAAGGCTGATTTTGGGATTTATAACCCTTTTTCAAATCTAAAGGAGGCTTGATTTTAGAAAACTTTAAAGAATTGCAGTAAGTTTGATTATTATTAAAAAAATTAGAAACATATTTTGAAAGAATCTGTGAATAATAGGAAAAGTTATTACTATAGTTCTATCTGCTCTGTGAATATCAAGAATCTAAAGCAATAAGAATTTATTATATTGAACAAGAAGGATTTATGATAATGTTAGAACTTTTAAGAGAAAATATAACATTTATGGAATATAAATCAATTTAGTTAATTTTAAAAATTTATTGTTAAGTAGGGTTAAATTCATAGTTATAGGGAAGAACAATTTTGTTATTTCTTAATATTTTCAATTATGTTTATGAAATTCAATCTTGGGTAATTTTGTAATTTATAAACAATTAATAAAATTGAACTAGTTGACTGACATTATCTTTGTTTATTTATTAATTAATTTCTAAAAAATCAGCTTGAAGTACAATTAAATAGTTCTTATGTTAATGATTAATAACTGTTTCTTATATGCAAAATTATTATTGAAATTAGCTACTTTGGATTTAATTTCGAGCTTATTTAAGATTATTGTTAGTGATGGATATAATTTAGATCTCTAAATCCTATTAGGAGTTGAAATATTTATTGATGATTAATATATCTTTTCAGTCCTTTATTCTCTCTAATACTTTTAAAATCAATTGAATATAATAAATAACAGAAGTAAGTTTAATTTTATTTATGTAATTATTTAAATGTATCTTTCTTCTTATCTTTGTTATTAATTGTATCATTACCTTTTTCTAAACTAAAGATCTAAATTTTACTAAACTATTAGTAATCTTTATTATGACTAAACCTGTTTACTCTGTTTATATTATAAATTTAAGAGTGTATTGTACGTCTATAAATATTAATTTATAACCATTGTTTCACATCTCAATATTATCCAAAAATTTTTAAGTAACAAAAAACACATATTATTCAAAA